ATAATTATATTAGTAACCCTACTTACTAAGTAATCTAATACTACTTACTAAGCATAATCTAATACTACTTACTAAGTATAATCTAATACTACTTACTAAGCATAATCTAATACTACTTACTAAATATAATCTAAGGTTACTTACTAAGAATAAATCTAAACCTACTTACTATATGTGATGTCACTCCCTTAAACTATAAGGATCTTTTAGTAAGGAGCTAGATAACCTACTAAGGATAGGCTTTACCTTAAGTAGGGGAGGATGTGATATTAGTGAATAAATATTATAAATAGATTAATAATTATTAAGATTAACTCTAGGTTACTAAGGTTAACCTAAGAAATCTCTGTAATATCTATGACTTATCTTTAGATAGATAGCCAGTAGTAAGGTATAAATAGAAGATCTAACCCTAGGTAAGTAAAGAGGCATTAGCCCAGCTTATTTCTCTTCACCCCTGGTGATACTACCTTACCCTCAGTAATTCCAAGTAGGTATTTATTATAGCTCTATTTAGTAGTTATATAACTAAGGGTATTTTTCTTTTATTATAGGAAGGCTCTATTATAGTAAGATAACTAATAGTTATTTATAATATAAATAAGTAACTAGCTCTATAATTAATAAGAGCCTTAACCTAAATTATCTATCCCTTACTTTATACTTCTATTATATAATATATAGAGTTAATATCTATTATATTTAGATATACCTTAGTAATTCTTTATAGTAGTTAAAAATTCCTTCTCTTAGGTAGTTCTTCCTTCCTATCTTTAAAGAAATTATACTATATATTCTAATAATTAGAAGGCTTTCTCTATTTAATTAATAAATATCTTTAGATTTATTAATCTTTCCTATTTTTTATTATCTTTAAGAGATATAATTAAAGATATCTAGTTTTATTATATATAAAATATATTTTATTCTAGTAATACTATAGTTTCTATTTTAATAAACTCTTATTTAGTTATAGAAAGTTTCTCTTTAGCTAGGGAGAGCTAGTAATTATACTTAGATTTATTAAATCTTTATTATATTAATTAAATTATAGTTTTAACTATAGATTATCTCTAAGTTATTAAGTAGTAGCTAAGTTATTCTTATAGAGAGAGAAATATTTAATTATTTTATTATATATTTATAATTATATTTAATTCTTTATCTATCTTTTCCTAAGCTCTAGCTAACTCCTAATAATAAATTTTTAAATAAGAGAAGCTTTATATACTAGGGGAGAGATATATATTATAGCTTTACTTAAAATAATAATATATAGTTATATAGGTTATAAATCTTAGATAAAGCTTTTATATTTCTTTTATCTTTTATTATTTATATTATATTTCTTAAAGTTCTTTAGTAGCTATATATAAAAGATTTCTATATTAATAATTACTAATATAAAATTAATCTATAATTAGGTTTTATCTACTTTCTATCTCTTATAAGTATATCTTATAAGTTTTTATTTTATAATAATAAGATATTCTAGATTAGAGAGAACTCTTTTTATTATTAATAAGATATCTCTAAAATATTTCTTAACTCTTTTTTATTATTCTTAGATAGTATCCCTTATATATATATCTTTATACTCTAAGATAGGAGTAAGGTTTAAGATCTTAAAAATAAATAATAATTTATAATAATAATTTATCTTTTATAATTCTAGAAGTAGTACTTATTTATTATATTACTCTTAATAAATACTCTAAAAAAGTATATTAATATTAATAAGTAATACTTCTTAGATTATTATCTTAAATAGCTTAATAAAGACTTATCTTATATCCTCTAGTAGATCTCTAGTAGAATTATTTATTATAGATAGCTAATTATTACTAATAATTTCAGTAGAGAGGTTTAAGGATATTATCTTATAGAGATTATTTTTTATTAAAACTTATTTTAGTAATTAAGTAATACTTCTCTAGCCTAGAGTTACTATATCTTATTTTATTTCTATCTCTTTTAGTAAGGCTTAATAAAGAGTTCTCCTATAATAAAAACTCTTTATTAAGTATAACTATCCTATTATTTTTTAGCTTAAATTTAGTAGTTACTTATAGAGAAGAGTAGTAGATATTTACTAAGATAAATATAAGTTTAGTAAAGTAAAAGTATTTAATTTCTTATTATCTATAACTTTAGATATATTACTAAATAGAATTACTATAAGTAAGATAATATTATTAGAGATAAAGAGAGATAGACTAAGCTAATACCTTTTTACTTATCTAGAATAAGATCTTTTATTTATACCTAGCTACTAGCTATCTATCTAAAAGATAAGTTATAGATATTATAGAGAGTTCTTAGGTTAACCTTAGTAACCCAGGGTTAACCTTAATAATTATTAATCTACTCATGATATTCATTCACTGATATCACAATAGCTTGGATTTTAAGAATTTAGGTAATTAAGTAGATTAATGCTAGGTTAGGATTCTTCCTCTATAAGGGAGAATTTACCTAACCCTCTGCTTAGTAAGGGCTGACTAAGAGATACCCTTGCGTAGGTGAGATGGATATCTTACCCATACTATTAGGAGGCCTTACAGATATATGGAAATAATGATTTTTGTCTGAGGTTAGTATGAAAGTGAAGATAGGATATATCAACCTTTAAAATCCCCTATGATTTTAGGATACTGTGATGGTCTAATCTTACCTTCCAGATCATGTGACGTAGTGAGATATCTCCAACATGGAGATCATCATCTAATGGATCATCTTTCCATCCACCAGCATCTTGACCCCTACCATCAGGTAGAACTGTAGGTGTGCACATAACAGATACTTTTAATCACACCCATTTAGATCTATAGATGTTGGCTTTATATTTTGGATATAGACTAATGTAGATATAAAAAATATGATTATCTGTTGAAATATTATAGATAATCATGAATATCATCATCATCTTCCCCTTATCATGACTTCATACCTTGCTTATAGACAATGAGAGGCTACAATGCCCGAGACGAAGGTCAGATCTGGAGGCGTATCAGCGTCTTAATGTCTCCTAGTATCATCTTAAGCACCTCAAATCCTGTGTCAACTTTGCAGGTTGCCTGACCCTATGGGTCAGGTACTAAAAAGTGCTCCTATACTTGAAAGAATCAGATATCCACCAGGCGCCATCGCGCCAACCAAGAACCCATTTACGACCGTTCATCAGTGATCCCATCGCGCTAAGCCGGGGTCTGAAGGTGCAGCGTCTGTGCGTACCGTGATTGTCTCGGTTCCTCCCGGATGCTTAGGGGCCGTAGTCGATTCAATTAAAATGCTCGAAGAACTACGGAATACATGAAGTACTAAAAAGCACACTTACAAAAGCATCCATCTCCTGACAACGGACCACCGCAGTCCCAACACAAGCATCCCCCCCCTCCCTCTTCTCTCGGCCGGTCGAAGATCGGAAATTGTCCACTCAACCGATTTGTTTAAAATGCATTGAGCATCTTCACCAAGTCCTTGCCGACCCAGCGTGCTGAGCTCGATAAGGCTCTATTTGTCATTGTGCTGCTCTCTGAGTGGATTGGAGGTGAGGAAAAGATTATTTGGAAAGGGCCTACTAAGTACTGACTTCGCCTTGTGTCTCCGCGTTTGCTCCCTTCCCGGGACTACTGTCAATCCTACTTATGGCGGCCCTGCTTTCAGCGAATTCTTATGTATAACGAACCCACGTGTTGCTATCTCCGTGCCGACCCCTACTGACACCCCATAGGCGTGTTATTGTGATTTTACTGGACCGAAGATTTTACCATCGTCTTCTGTAGGCGGGCTGTACTCCCCTCAAATTTGGATAGTATGTTGATTACGCCTACATTGGCTGACTCGGAGGGTTTTGTTTCAGATCACCCCTGTAAGGCTGTGGCCTGATCAGTTCGGCCCAGTTACTCTGTACTCTGTAGAGCAACCCTAAAGAGACCTCGCCCCTAAACACCCTCATCGCGCCCCGCTTGACTGACCCTCTTTATGAAAAGTTACATTGTGGATTTAGTAGGGTTGCCTTCAGAGCTGAGCGTTTAGTGCCATATAAGATAAAACTTTGGAGAATAATTTCAAATAGCTGGTAGTTTGGTTCGGTTTGGCCCCAAGCCTAACTTTCAAGCCGAAGGCCTCCATTCTTGAGCGCCGGAGCATTGCGTCACGGCGGCACACTGTGGAAGAAGGGGGGGGGGAGCTAGTAATTGCTAGCGCATTTGTACTGATCCAAACTTGCATTAGCAGGCCTTCGGTACTCTGAAAAAACGAGGCTTTAAGATTGCGACTTCTCTGCGTCTGTGCAGTGTGCAGAGAACGATGGTGGGCCAGAGATACCAAAAAGCCACGATAGACGCCACCCGGGCCCATTGATAAGCGTTGCGTCCAAGGCTTGTTTGCTTACGGACGAGCAGTGCCAATACTTACATCCCTGACAAATGTGCCAACATGGCACCATATAAGAATCGTGTCCAGCTTGATTATCCGTCACCATACAACCACCCAGAGAGCGAAATAACAGAGGCACAACTAGCTCCGAGAATTTCATTTCCTCAGTCAGGATGTCTAACCCCTCCTCAGAAGCGTATCTTTCTATTCGCGCCTCCTGCGACAGGTGCCGATTCCATAAGCTTAAATGTCACCCGTCACAACCTGGCTTTGAGTCCGATGCCGAGAACGGCGGTCCTGGATCGGAACGCTGTCAAAGATGCATTCGCGCAGGAGTCCCCTGCGTCTTTAGCCGACGCAATAAATCCCGGCGAGCGACGAAGGAGTTCCGAGCAGGTCAAAGCCGCGTTCAAGTGACACGTGGCTCAGAACAGGATATCGAAGATTATAACGCCACCAGGCCATCAAACACCTCGTTTTTCCAGCTACTCGAAGGTGGGAAGTCAGGTCTCACACAGACAGATGCGCCCCTACCGAGATCAAAAAGTCCTACCGAACAGCCTATAGCCGAGCTATTCGCGTTCGAAGATCCCTACATACATACGTCCTTGGGCAATACAATGGGCCTTCCGGGGATCTTGAGGGCTGGAGACAACGATACTGATCTTTTCATGTACACGGAGCCCGTGGACACGGGTATCGACCATATACAACGATATGAGAACCACGAGATGCTTCCCGGCCAATGTCACAATAGCATGGACGCAGAACGTGATGCAATAATGCCCCAGTCATTAACAGCGGTGAGAAATGGACCTCAGAGCTCGAACAGTTTCCCCGGATCGGAGTTGGATGGCACGGCCGTTGATGGAATAGCCTCTATAGGAATGCTCCTCAGACTCGTTACTGATCTTCACGCACGATTGGCGGTACTGAAGGAACTATCATGGCAATCGCAATTGTCGATTCAAGACCTACAACACTACCCCATTGGCAGCGTCATACATCTGTCTCAAACCTTTACTAGCCTTGTCCGCGGATTCAAGAGTAGCATCCCTGCCGATCCAGCCATCGCACCCATCTTGTTCAGTTGCTACGTCACTTTGACCCAGATTTACACAGTCGCCCTGCATCAATTCCAGGTCTACCTTCGTATGCAACCGAGCGGACGGCAGGTGTGTACATCTCAATTGGATATGCGGTTGGGGCCCCACGCATGCTTGGCCGACGTACCACAGAGTAACGCGCCGCGCAACAACATACACACCGCTGTCTGTATGTTGCTAGAGTCGCTTCAGCAGGCAGAAAAGGTGATGCCTCCCGACTCGTATTTCAGAATTATAGACCACACCTGGTCACAGACGACTCATGGCATCGCGATTGAGAACGGCGCCACCCGTGACATGGTACCCTGGGAAGGCCTAACTGATTCGACATCCAACACACATCTGATATTCCGAGCGCTGGCGGGTGAGGTGGCAGATATCAATCAACTTCTACGAGAAAAAGCGGATTTGTAGAAATATCGATCTGGGTAGTGGTGTTTTACCACTAAGCCAGGCTCAATCGGCAGCACTCCAAGCGCAATCTATGTTTCGTATGGTATACCGAATCAACTCGGGATACCTGGTGTATTATGCCAAGACTGGTATAGATATAGACCCTCTCAACAGTGGTCTACTGGTTTAATCAATCAACTTACTGCCTCATGGTTGGTTCCCTCAGTACTAGCAGTAGCGCGAACGGATGTCCGGCGATCTAACATTATCTTCCGTACCTGTAACACTTCCTCGGTAAGCACTCTCTAGGGATTAAGCCTGGCTTAAATAGAGAGATTAGCTATCTGAATCTTAGTAGAGCCTGGCCCATGGGTAGAGTTGCGTTCGTCTGAAGTTCAGGTAAGTATATAGCCAGTTAGTACTAAATCTCTGAGATTTTGAATTAACAATTAGGAACTTAGAACCCTCCCTGATCTAATCTAATTTAGTATAAATCTCACTTCAAAACTTACTCCGTAAAGCTTAGTATAGCTAATCTATGTATATTAGAAGCTAACTTATTATAGTTGAATTTATATTAGGTTTAGTCTATATATTAGTATATTCTACGGAGTAGTTGAAAAACACACATATTAGTACTACAAATAGTGCTTGCTAACGTGATGAATAGGAAAAAAGGCCTAGCAACTTATCATGTATATGTATTTGTCTTCTTTTCTTCCATCTTTCTTGAACTATTTTCATTTTATACAGGAGATGATGTGACGCCGGACCTCAACTCTTAGGAAGCCCTTAACTTACGGCTCTCCGAAAAAGCCCGAATCTACTCTGCAAGATGAAACCGCAACATGACTCTCGCTTTCGGATTTCGGAGACCCCTTCGGAGGGTCGGACCAAAATCTTGGGAATACAAAAGGCCAGAGAACGGAGACTCTGGCTGAGGAGAGAAAGAATCATTTAACTTCCTCCACTGAGATTGATCACATCTACCACCGTCTCAATCCAATCCAACAGAATGGCAACCCGAAGCCCACTTCCAAACATTCGGCAGGCGCTGGAGTCAGCCGGCGCACACTACACAAACCTGATCGAGTTTGGCATCCTAAAGGTCTTTATTGACTTCAAGGTCTTCGATAACATTCCATCCGAGGGCGACATCTCGCTAGCTGAGCTTGCCACGAAGACTGGCGGTGACGAGTCCTTGCTCCGACGCTTCGCCGACTACTTGATTGCGTCTGACGTTCTTACCTCTCCCGGCCCAGATCGCGTAGCCCATACAGCCCGCTCTCTGTCCTACTGCTCGGCCGAGATCGCTGCCGGCTTCATCTCGCATGTCTACCATTTCTTCCTCCGGCCCATGGCCGCCTGGGCGACCTACTTCGAACAGAATGGCCTCTTTGAGCCGCGCGACGCCCACACGATCCCCCTCGGCCTCGGCACCGGCCACTCGGGACTTGACTTATATGGGGTTCTGGATGCGGAGCCGGAGCTAGCCAAGCTCTTCAACAGCGCGCAGGAGCGATCCGCAGCCATCTACTCGCTACAGGGCGTGTACGATTTCAGCTGGGTGCAGGAGGTGCTAGCGCAGCCCGATAACACGCGCCCCGCCATCGTCGACATCGGGGGCAGCCACGGGCTCGCGCTGGGCGAGATTCTTGAGAATAACAAGTTCGTTCCCGCGGCGCGGTGCGCCGTTTTTGACCTGCCCAAGACGATTGAAGCCGCCAGGAGCAAGATCGACCCCGGCAACAGCGGTCTTTCGGCGGTTCGGTTTGTCGGCGGAACCATGCTCGAGCCGCTCCCCGTCGCGATCAGAGGTGCGGTGGTCTATCAGTTCCGCCGCGTGCTTAGCGACTTCGTTGACAACGATATCATTGTGGCTCTCACGCATGTCCGAGAGGCGTGTGCGGCTGACTCGCGCGTGCTGCTTATCGAGGAGCTGGTGAAGCCGACCCGTGGCAAATTTGCTATTGCGCAGGACATTTCGGTTATGAATTTTGGGGGCAAACGCCGGAGTGAGGCGATGTGGCGTGAGCTCGCGGAGAGAGCGGGACTTCGGGTTAGTGGTGTGTTTGAGGACGCTAAGTCGGAGTTTGCTGTCCTTGAGTTGCTTGCAGTTTAGCGCAGAGAGTAGTCAAGGGTGGATGAACTAGCAACTGCTGCAGGTCGACTTGTCATGAACCTGTGAGAGTACTGTTATATCTTGATTGGCAAAATGAAATTATCGATGCGTGCACTTTAAGATAAGATGAACATTAGATGTACAGTACCTGGCAACATATATAGTACGCAACTCCCGATCATATACAGACTTGATTGTAAACAAGGGAAGGAATTGATCTAACTGATCTACTTCATGGCTTGGGCACAGGCTGTGCGCAAAAATCTAACTCACTCTGACATCTTGCAGACCAGCTTCTTCCCCGAAACCTTCTTCATCGTGATGGCCTGCATGCTCTCTATGACCTTTTCCAGGGCACCAGATTGCACGAGGAGGGGATGCGTGCGGATGAGACCCTTGTCCAACAGCTGCTGCACCGTTGCCTTCCAGCGCTGGCCAAAGTCAAACATGTCTGCATCTGCCTTGCGGCCATGCGGTGCCGGCCACCCAATGTCCAAACCCAGCATGGCTGGCCCAATGACCCAGTCGGCCTTGACAATCTTGCGGGTCGCAGCCACGGCCGTGGGATAGGGGTCCAGAGCCGTGTACCTGCCACCGGCCCGCCCAAGCGCGGCATAGCAGATCTGCATGCTCTGTACCGTCGAAATACAGTCAAGTGCATAGCGCAGCCCATTCTTGGTATATGCGCGGATCTGCGCGGCGCAGTCGGGGCCGTGATAGTCGAATGTGGCTTCGGCGCCGTACGACTTGACCATCTCATAGCTGTGCGGCGAGCAGGTCACGATGGGCCGATATCCCGCCAGGCGGAGCAGCTGGATGGCAGCAGTCCCCGAGGCACTGGCGCCGCCGTAGACCAACACGGGGATAGGCTTTTCGGTCGGCGACAAGGGGTCGCTTGGCAGTTGGAGGCTTTTGAAGAGCGCCAGGCCGCAGGTCATAAAGCTAGTGCACAAGGCAGCGGCGCTCTCGAAGGTCACGGCATCCGGAATCTTGACCAGGGCAAAGGCGTGGGCGCCGACATGCTCCGAGAAGGCCCCATGCATCGGCTCAAGAGGGTTCATCCCCATGATAGCGGCACAGACGCGGTCGCCCACCTTGATGTTGTACTTGGCCGCGTCCGGCCCGGCCTCCTCGACAATGCCGGCAAAGTCGCAGCCTCCAATCGCTCCTGGTGTCACGTAGGGTCCTTGCATTTTGGTATCGACAGGGTTCACAGAGACAGCCATGTTCCGAATAATGACAAGGTCGCCCTTTGCTACGGGCCTGGGCGCCGAGTGGGAGAGTTCGACGCTGCCATTGTTGTTTCCCACGACGGCAGTCTGGACGAGAGAGCTCCCCATTGCGAAGGGTAATAGGAGTGAGATGATATCTGCTCTTTGCGAACTTGGCTGGATAGCTGGGATTTGATCTCAGATATCAAGGTGCTTGAACTCGGTTTGGATGAGATTACCTCAGCCTTGCACTCTTCTTAGTATGCAGGGTATTTATTGTTGTTCGCAATATCCCGAATTGCAGCGACAGCGACAGCAACGGGCACAATCCCATGGTATGATGTGGCTTTTGAGATTCGTACCGGGTATTTTCGATGCTTCCATCTCTTCAGCCCAGCCATGAAGGGTATTTCGATCCCATTCGCGGTTCTCCTCGCGGGGTCTAGAGGAAACGATCCACCATGACAGCAGCGAAGGGTTACTACCTTGCAGCCAAACCCGAAAATGACCGACGAATGCCGGCACTTGGGATGAATTTGGGAATAAGATCAGAGTTAGTTGAGAATGCAGCAGTCACTAGTGATGATTGGAGGGTTTGATTAACTGTGGACACTCCTCTAGACTCTGAGCGATCATGTCCGGGGCTGTGAATATAGTAGGTAATATATTATATGCATACATGTAAAGAGCTTGCTGCGGAACTTCAATATTGAACATTTGAACGGTCTGACTCCGAACATTGGACATTTGAATCTCGATTGTCAAAGATATGTACCTCCATGCCTCTTACATGGAGAAAACAGGTTGTACATACATGCGTAATCAAGGCACTGGGATCTGTAGCTGGCCGCCCACCCCTGTCCCGTTGAACGCCTCACCCTTCGACCCTCCGAGCAATGCCTCGACCCACCCGGACTTGCCTGTGCCGTCGGGACCGGGGGCACTCGTGGGCTCGCTCCACCACGCGTGTTTGTGACGTGCTTCGAACCGCCAATGGCGCTGTTGTTGCGCAGAACTGAACTCGATGATATAGCCCACGTTCTTGTCGCGAAAAGCACCGGCGAGACCAGCCTCCTGTCGTTCTTCGTTCGGCTCTGGTAGAATCTTTTCGACCCGGATTGTATCGACTGCCGGCGCCTCTGCTCCTGTACCATCGAGGACGTGATTCGCAGCGCACACAAGCTCGTGGTCGCGGTACAGTCGGGCGACGGCATGGGGCATATGGCCGGCGGCGGCGGAGCCGACGACTCGTAGTAGCTGCAACATGTAGGGCCCAACATGGGCAACGGCGTAGTACGCCTCGTTCATAAACTCTGGCCAGGCGCGGGAAGACCAGCCACGTACCATGCCACCGTGACCGTTGTTTTCCGAGCCGATGTAGAGTTTACGCCCCTCTTCGCCTACAGCTCTAGCGGCGAATGTGAGGTCCACAGTCGCAGCCTGAGGCCCCATGGGAAACGTGTAGTATACAGAGGGATACAACAGTGCAGCTTCTTCTGTTACCGGCAGGCTTGTTTTTTGGTTGCTGGTTGACTCCAGAATGCGGTGCAGGTTCATAGTTCCAGATAGCTGGCCCGGTACATCAAAGCGAACTGTTGTAGAAGAGAGGTCCGGCGTAATTGTAAAGGTTATTGTCCTCGTCGTTTCCCCATCGTGTACATCAGGGCCATCTCGGGACGTCCAGACCCCACTTACTCGGCCCTCGTGGGAATGTGCACTTCCCTCAGCTGTGATGACGGATTTCGCGAAGTAGAGCGTCTCGCCCCATTTGCTGCCGTCTGGCCAGATGGCGTTGAGCTCTGCGTGGAAGCCATCTTGGTCAAGGCCGCGCAGATCCCGGTATAGTGAGACGCCAACGGCAGTCTCACCGTCATCGCTGAATGCCTCGAACTCCCACAGCTCCCAAGAATCGTCGTTGATGCGACTGGGCATCTTCGGAAAGAGGTTTGCGGAGCCCGAGATGAAGGGATCCATCAAGACGGGCCCGGCGATGATGGGACTGTCGCGGATGTCAAGAACAGAGACAGATGTACCGGCCATGATATGGATGCAAGAGGGAACTGTGCCAATGCGCTGCTTCCTGGAAATCGATCGGGCCGCTTGAGAGGTACCCTAAGAGTCTCAGTAAATGAGAGTGGCTCAAGGGGGATGTTGTGAGCTAGTTACATGGTAGCCATTGAACTTGCTTTTATCCCCAATGAAGATCAACTCTAAAATATCTGCTACTGCGGACTTCGTATAATTCTCTTCATCATAACACTGATCGCCAGGGTTTGTGAACATCGGAGGTTTTCGGAAGTATTCGATGAGTAGTGGACACCTATATAAGCTATGGAATACTAAGGATTTACCGGGTGTAAAACAGGTTGCAATAAATGAAAGCTGAAGGCGTAAAATCCCGCCTCATGGTCCAAGAAAAGTAAGAAGAGAAAATAATCAACAGAAAATGGAAGCAAATTAGCATCTTTATCTTTAGCATTGGCTCGAAAGCCTCCTCTCACCTACTCCGAAATGGTGGAGTTGGTGCGAGGACTTCCTACTCATCATGCTCATGCTGCTTGTTGTCTTCGGAATTTCGGCAGCTGGAGCCTTCTGCTCATCAAAAACACAAATTGTTCTCACATAAAAAGGGCAAAAAGAAGAAGAAAAGAACAAAAATGACAGACTCCTGTGCAACTCGCCATGTGCTTAGAGGTTGATAGGAAATCTGGTTCTCAGTGCCTCTCCATATTTGTAAAAGAGGAAAGGAAGAGGAGCAAACGCTAAGCCGATGAAAGCCAACAAGCTGTTTCCCCAACCAAGGCCCAGAGATTCGTACATGGGTGTTCCTGCAAGTGGCAACAAGGCACCGAACAGACTGCGCAAAATGGTGTTTGTCGCTAGGGCGGACGCGGCCGCCTCGGAGCCAAATGCATCAACAAGATACAACTGGGCGGGCATGAGGATGAGGAAGGCCCCTAGGCCAATGAAGACAGTGCCTAGGATTGGGACAATCCAATGAGTAACTTTGTCGGCACTCCATCCGTACCAGAAGAAGCCGATGGGAACAATGGGCGATGACCAGATCATGAGGATGAGACGTAGCTCCGGCCGTTCGAGAGTTCCCTCGCGCGGCTGCTTGAGTAGCTTGTCGCTGAGAATAGCGAACAGGGCGATGCTGATGATCATACCCACGCCGAGACCTAGATATGCAAGACCAGAGATGTCGGTGGCGAAGTGGTATGTGGTCTCGAACACCTCTGGGAAAGTAGTGAAAAGCAGGTAGATGAGACCGAACATGAAGGCACAGTAGAGAGAGAGCGGGAGGACGATGGGTGATAGGAGCATCTTGAGGGGTCGTACTGTGGCCCGTGCAAAGATCTGAGCTGGCGTACGGTCATTGTTGTAGGTTCGTGCCTGCCACTGACTGTTGCCGGTGGCTTTGCGCATAGCAGCCGCCTTGCGCTCGAGAAGAACAGGCTCGAAAGTTTCCCGCAGTAGGAAAAGGGCAAGCAAAGAGACAACTCCCGCCTAAAGGTGGCTCATATTAGACCCTGATCAAATGATAGGTGATGTAGGGGCTTCCATTTACCAGGATCAAGATTAACCAAAATGTCCACCGCCACCCGAGGTACTCAGTCACGAAGCCGCCTACCACTGGGCCAATGACCGGACCCAGAAGCGGGCCGAGGCCGAATAGAGCCATCGCCTTGCCACGTTCGCTGGCTTGATAAAGGTCTGCAATGGTTCCTCCCCCAACCACCATCGGAGCGGAGGCAGCGCAACCACATATGAAGCGAAATACCAAAAACATGGCCGTATCTGTGCTTAGGGCGCAGCCAATTGTGAATGCGATATAGCCGACGTTGCTGAGATGGTAGATGATCAAACGACCGTAGATCTCGGACATGGAGGAAAGGAGAAAAGGGCCAAACACATAACCCAGAAGATAGATGGACACGGTGAAAGAGGCGACGATAGTGCTGGTGACGTGGAAGTCCTTGACGAGATCTGCCGCCCCGGGAGCGAACATGACTGCGGCAAGATTTCTATTTCACTCTGTCAGACATCATCGGCACCTGGAAGGCCAGTAGATCAAAGCTGAAAAATGTTGTGATAGAGGGGGGGGGGGGGTGCTCTTACGAGTACAGGGTGAAGGCGCTGACAAGGAGTACATGTCGCAGCTTCAGTCCATTCTTCCAGTTCCGGGGGTTCGCCGGGTCATGAGGACCATCCCAGTCCACAATGTCACCTTTCTCTGAATTCGTTTCAGCATGAATGCTGAGCATATTTATTTCTGTGTCCGAGGACATCCTGACGAAGGCCATATGGCGGAAACAAGCTGTCTCGTGGGAATACGAAAGTTGCAGTTCACTGTGGAGGCAAGTGTTGGATTCTGAGGATACCACAGCCTTGGAGGAAGAATTGGATAATTATATGGGTTTGAATGTGAACGAGTGACTGACCAAGGAAGAGAATGATGAAGACGAGACATACCTAGTAGGTATTGTAGGTATATCAGGAGCCAACCTCCGCGGAGGGTCGCCAACCTCCAAAGCACCCTTGGACGCCGCAGCGATCGAGAACAAAGAAAAGCAACATACAGGCTCCCCGACATCTGAAGAAATTATTTCCGTCGATCATCCGTTCTAGCTTTAACATGACAACAATCCGAAACCTATTACTGGACCAGGCCACATTCTGTTGACTGTGTTAGATGATTGTTTTGTAGATGAATTAGCCCGGAGGCCATCGACGATAATCGTATTATCCAACCAAGAACCTCGGAAGACGATTGACATGTTATCCAGCGAGCATCCAAGATCTTCTTCTTTCTCATGAGGCTGAGCTTTGGACTGAGCTTGCAGACCAATCCACGACCCTCCGCGGATGGTCGGAGTACCGATAACTACTAGGTAGTACTACTCTGTAAACCTCTTAGGTAGTTTTTAAGTTACAATTAAAGAACTTAGAACCCCCGGGCCCCCCTTAGTCTAATCCAATTTAGTATAGGTTTTATCCTAAAACTTGCGTAGTAAAGCTTAGCATAGCGAATCTATTTATATAGTACGGAGTATATTAGTATTGACTATTGACGATTGACCGTCCGAAATGTCCGAACAGCCCGGATATAAAGGTGGGGCAGCCAAGATACATAGCCAAACGGCCGATCCCAATCCCCACCTGCTCTCATCCTCCGAACTTCTACCTTCTACGGTTCTACCAGACTACCACATATACCCCATCGGGGAGAGCACGCAAAAATCCACAATTCCATTTACATATGAAATTGACCCTGTTGTCCAAATGTCGGATGTCATACATTCCGTAGACGGAGCAACTCAGCAACTGACTCCGTCTACCAATACCTCATCCGGGAGACTTCAGCCGCCATCTTCTAGGCGTCGAGACAAGCCCCAGCTTAGCTGCAATTCGTGTCGTCGGCGGAAGTGAGTAGCCCCCCCCCAATACCTAGTCACGCTGGTGCAGCCTTCGACTGGATCCGCAATCCTTCACCACATGTCTAATGCCCCAGAATCTGATACTGCTTGTCAGGGTGCGTTGCGATCGCCTACACCCATGTAGCAACTGCTCGAGTCGGGGACTTGGCTCCTCTTGCGTTTATACCAAGATCCCCACCTCGACCGCCTCTTCTCCTGCACAAGCAGCCTCGCCAAGCCGCCTTCAAGTTCCCGCCACCAATATGCAGGATCGCATCAATCAGCTGGAGAGTCTAGTTCTGGAACTCATGCACCAGACCGAGTCAAGACCTCGTAAGTAAATTTTAGAGCCTTCTCGAATTCCCCACGGATGTAGGGTGTCAGATTCTCCGAATGAGTTCTTTGTGCCCGGCACATCTATCCGAACTGAAAAAAAGCTCACGGAGTCATAGGTGAATCATCATTCGAAGACCTCCAACACATGACACCTGATCAACGCGCACGGAGTAACCGATTCGATCCACGCGAAAATTTGGAGCGAGCCACCGTGGTGGGATACGAAACGCAGCATGATGTCTCGCCGTCCCCATCAGACTATGGTAGCTTCAGGACTCCAGAGACAGGTGTCAATTATGTTAGTAGCTCGCATTGGGCTGCGGTGCTGGATAGTATTACCGATCTACGGAATCATATCGCACGGGATGAGGAGGCTCACCCGCGGATGTTGGATCCTGTCCAGCCACCGGCAAGCTTCCCCAAACCCCAATTGCTCTACAGCTGTGCAATGCATGAAACCTCTGCCTCGATTCTCAAATCTCTTCCTCCTCGCCCTACTGTTGACAGATTAATTTCCCGTTACTTCAACGTCCTCGACATAGCCCCTGGTATGCCATCCACCCTCCCCATCCATTTTGACCAACACCCTGATCTGGATTCGGACTGACTAGAAATCAGGCATTGTGCACAGTGGCAAATTTCTCCGAGAGGTATGTCCGATTTGGTCTTTCTATTCAAGATTCTCCTGGCCATTCCCAGCTGTAGACCTGGTCCGACCATCCAAACACAAGCTAATCCTGTTAATAGTATGAAGAGTTTTGGAAGGCACCACATGCCACCCCAATCTTGTGGGTTGGCATTCTGTTTAGTATAATATGTCTGTCGACACAGCTCCAGCAGGCCTTTGCCAGTACCGAAGGGTCCTCTCCTACACTCGGACACTCAGGAAAGACATCACGGGTTGGAGATAGCCAAGCGTTGGCAGAGACGTACAAAGAGAAGGCCATACAGTGCCTCCTCCTGGGTCATTACACAAAGGGTGGACCGTACGTCTTGGAGACACTGATTCTCTACTTCCTGATCGAGAATTTCCACCTCAAAGACATGGAAATTGGTATCTGGGTCCTGGTGGGCAACATAGTACAGATTGCCATACACATGGGCTATCACCGCGATGCGAAACATTTCCCATCCATTTCCCCCTTCGCCGGTGAGATGAGGAGGCGTGTCTGGGCAATGATCGTCCAGTTGGATTTTAGCGTCTCCACGCAGTTGGGGCTTCCCAGGCTGGTCAAAGAAAGTGACACCGATACTGCCGAGCCACGGAACCTGAACGATTCAGACTTTGATGAGGATATTTCCACATTGCCCGTTTCTAAGCCGGAGACCGAGGTGACACCTACCCTCTACGTCCTGGCCAAGCTACGGCTGCTCTCAGTAGGAGCCAAGGTCGCTGATGTGGCCACGGAGCCCCACCCACATTCATACGCCGAGATCCTGAAGCTTGACCAACGAATTAACGAGGCTAGGGACAAGATTCCATCTAGTCTGAAGTGGACTGGCCTTGCATCATCCCTCAATGTTCCATCTCAGATCATGATTCAAAGAATCTGGCTGGAAGTGATCATCCAGCAATTGAAGATTATCTTGCACAGGAAGTTCCTAGAGCCCTCTCGCCTTCACCAGCAATATGACCGCTCACGCTCAGCATGCTTGGATGCTGCGATGCAGATTTTAGAATTGCAGCGTCTTGTTGACGAAGAGACTTCGGCAGATGGCCTGTTATACCAAAGCCGCTGGAGAGTTTCTTCTGCTTTCATAAACGACTTCCTTCTAGCCACGAGTGTGCTTTGCTTCTATGTTCAAACACATAATAAGGAACAGGACACAAACCTTGACAATTCAAGAGACTCTGAAGTTGAGCTAGACATGGACAGAATCAGATCTCTCTTAAGAACATCCCAGTCCATCTGGTGTCGGCAATGTGCCAGCTCAAGAGAGGCTCGAAAAGCCGTCGCGGCCCTTAATTACGTTCTAGATGACTCTCGGGTAAGGGCTGAGCTCCATACATCGGAAGAGGCATCGCCCTCTGCTGTTCCGGCCACAGCCGTCTCTTACTTTCCAGGTAAGCATTCTTCTGGATTTTCGGTCAAGTGGATGAGTTGCCAACAATTGTAGGCTACTCGGACTTCACATCGAACTACGATCTTTCCAGTATGGCCCTGGGATCTACAATGGAAGGAATGACATGGCCCATATTCACGGCAAACCTGAACAATGATGTCGAGCAGTGGCTTGGAGGAACTGGCTCCCAACATATGGATATGACATTGTGAGCGTTGTTTATGATGGATTGGATGCGCCGTCGCCTCCGTGCGTGCAAAGTCACAGAGGTGAGATCTCACACCTGGCATTCTAGCTGTTCAAGTGGGTTAGATCTCCTCGTCCGAACCAGAGGAGCGCGCCAATGCCACAAAACGGCCATGGAATCTTCGTGGTGAAGTTTCACGATGCTAAAGCACTTTCAATCAATAGCAAGTTGAACAGAGACAAAGCCAAAAATGAGATACGGGACGGGTTTTAAAACCTACAGCCAGTACACTTTACAAACCAGGTATGTAAGAGCTGCTATTTTCTGTGGCTTTGTAACGACCAGACTAATACCTCGCCCCTTCGGAAAATTTCGGTCATGCAATGCGATGGATCCAAACTAAGGTGGTCTTTAGACTGAAAAGAATTCGGTACTCTTCGGGCCCCAGTAAAACCTAGTGGCCAAATTGCATGCATTGCTCTGCTTAGTACACAATGCCGAACTCGTTGTCAGTTCGCTTGAGCCAGGTATATGAGACCAGCTATATCAGATGGCTAATCAGGAATCCAAGTCGCTCTTACACAGGATTCTGACCCATTCTACTGTCTCATTCAACGAGGAATTATCAAAATGCCACCACTGGAGCCCATTGCCGTCATAGGGACCGCCTGTCGCTTTCCAGGTGGCTCAGATACGCCGTCAAAGCTTTGGGAGCTCCTTCAAGAGCCAAGAGACCTGCTTCAGAAGGTCTCTGAGCGCCGGCGCTGGCACCCCGATGCTTTCTATCACAGCGAACCTGAACATCATGGCACAACTGATGTGCAGACATCTTACTTCCTTGATGAAGATCCTGCAGACTTTGACAATGCTTTCTTCAATATCCAGCCGTCAGAATGTGAGGCTGTGGACCCCCAGCAAAGAATGTTGATGGAGACTGTCTATGACTCGCTCTGCTCGGCTGGGCAGACTATCGAAGGGCTTCGCGGCTCATCGACTGCGATTATTGTTGGCACGATGTGTGATGATTGGAGTGGTATCTTGTACAAAGATTGGGAGACTATTCCACAGTATAGCGCTACTGGAATGAGCCGCAGTATTATGTCAAACCGTATCTCTTACTTCTTCGACTGGCACGGCCCATCGATGACGCTCGATACGGCTTGTTCCTCGAGTTTGGTTGCTGTTCACCTGGCAATTCAAGCCTTACGCAATGGAGAATCCGAGGTAGCGGTCGCCGCCGGTGCCAATCTCCTGCTCAGTCCAGGTAAGCCTCGATAATAATTTTTTTCTTCTTTCACAATGAAAGGAATTCTTAGCTGATTGCGTAAAGGCATGTATATTGCCGAGTCAAATCTTCACATGCTGTCTCCCACCGGAAGGTCAAAGATGTGGGATAAAGATGTCGACGGATACGCCCGAGGTGAAGGAATCGCATCTGTCGTCCTGAAGCCCCTGAGTGCCGCGCTTCGGGACGGGGATCACATCGAGTGCCTCATTCGTGCTACCGGAGTCAATCAGGATGGAAGGACCAGGGGGTTGACGATGCCGAGTGCGACAGCGCAAGCTACACTGATTTGTGAAACTTACGCCCGAGCTGGCCTGGACATTGAGAAGTCCGAAGACCGCCCCCAGTTCTTCCACGCCCATGGAACAGGCACCCCAGCAGGAGACCCCCAGGAGGCTGAGGCGATCAGCAAGGCATTTTATGGAAATGGTGCGTCGGATACATTATATGTTGGATCCATCAAAACCATCATTGGCCACACGGAAGGTACTGCAGGATTGGCAAGTCTTATCGGGACATCGCTGGCACTTCAGCACGGTGTCATCCCGCCCAATATGCACTTCAACGCGCTTAATCCCAGGATCGCGCCTTTCTATAGCAACCTGGAGGTTCCCACGTCTGCGCAACCCTGGCCAAAGCTTCAACCAGGTCAGATCCGAAGAGCGAGTGTCAACAGTTTCGGTAAGAGAGCCAAATGGCTTGACGGCATTGCTTATGATGTCGTGAATGGATTTTATTCTGCTGAAGAACAGGCTAATTGAGGGGATCTTTCTAGGATTTGGCGGCACCAATGCTCACGCTATCATTGAAGCCTACGAGGCACCTCTTGTCTCACCTTCTGTTGGCACGCTCTTCTCTCCCTTGACCATCTCAGCTGCTACCGACAAGTCACTACGGGCTGCACTGTCGTCTTACGCTGACTATCTGAAGGCCAACCCCCAAGTGTCTCTCCGTGATGTTGCTTACACCATCCAGGAAAGGCGCTCTACACTCGCGTTCCGTGCTGCCATTGTTGCTTCTAGTATGGAAGAGGCCGCGCAAAAGATTGAAACACTTCTTAGCAGCGAAGACGCGCCTGAGCTAAGTACAAAGCACTTTGCTGTCGGGTCTCCGCGCATATTGGGAGTTTTCACAGGACAGGGCGCCCAATGGCCTCGCATGGGCGCCAAGCTAGTTGAATCCTCTCCATTCGTCGCGAAGCGGCTGGATGAGCTGGATGCAGCGCTAGCATCGCTGGCGGAGGATGTCCGGCCGGAATGGACACTCAGGGAACAGATCCTCGCAGATGCATCCACATCGAGAGTTCTTGAAGCCGCCATATCGCAACCCCTCTGCACGGCTGTGCAGATTTTGGTCGTTGACCTGCTGAGGGAAGCGGGCGTCAAACTCGACGCTGTCGTTGGTCACTCTTCAGGTATCTAGTTCTTTTTATTGCTCATGCCAAATTAATATTCCGTGTAGAATACTTGCTGACTCAAAATAGGAGAAATTGGAGCAGCCTATGCAGCAGGATTGCTGTCAGCCACTGGTGCCATCCGAATCGCCTACCTGCGCGGCTTTTACGCTAAGCTTGCCGGGTCGTCGAGCGGTGCCAAAGGAGCTATGATGGCTGTCGGAACATCGGTCGAAGATGCCTCTGACTTTTGTGAGCTGGAAGACTTCCAAGGCAAGATTCAAGTTGCTGCTGTTAATTCTTCCTCGAGCATTACGCTCTCTGGTGACGAGGACGTCGTGGCAGCAGCTGTTGAGATCTTCAAAGATGAAGGTAAGTTCGCACGCCAGCTCCAGGTCGATACCGCGTATCATTCAGCACACATGATACCATGCTCGAAACCGTATCTCGCAGCCCTAGAGTCTGTTAGCGACGCTAGTACCACAGACGCAAGCACCGAAGGCAAGCCCGTGTGGCATTCGAGCGTCCTAGACGGAAAGATCATGACCCAGGATAGCCTCGATTCGCAATATTGGGTGTCCAACATGACAAATACTGTGCTCTTTGCTCCGGCAGTCCAAGCTGCAGTCGCTCAAAGTGGGCCTTTCACCCTGGCACTAGAGCTTGGACCACACGCGGCGCTGAAAGGTCCGTGTCTGGACACTCTCGCAGAAGCTCTGGGAGACCGAATTCCTTATTCTGGAGTTCTCTCTCGAAACAAAGACGACGTATCACAGGTTTCCACAGCCCTGGGCTTCGTGTGGTCGAATCTGGGTGCGGGATCGGTCTCTTTCGATGCATTCGAAAAGTCAGTGTCTGGTGACGCCGCGGGGCGCCACATAGTTACCAACCTCCCTAAGTATGAGTTTGATCACTCAAAGACATTTTGGAATCTTTCCAGAGCCGGGGGCGCTCAATTAATCAACCCTCACCCTCCACACCCGATACTAGGCAAGCGGTGCGTGGACCGGGAAACCTCTGACGAGATCCAATGGCGCAACATCCTCAGCCCCAAGGAAATTCCATGGCTCAAAGGTCATAGAATCCAGGGCGGTATTGTCTTCCCCGCAGCAGGCTTCGTGGCTATGGCTGTCGAGTCCACAAAGGCCCTCGCCGGCAAGTCGAGCATCAGCCTGATCAAAATCGAAAATCTTTTCATTGGCCGAGCTATTGCTTTCAATGACGAGAGCTCATCTGTTGAGTCCCTTTTCAGCCTCACGATAATACCTTCGGGAGAGAATACCATTAAGGCAAAGTTTACTTGTCATTCCGGTCCTCCCCATGAACCCAAAACGCCGATGGGACTCAACGCCGAGGGATTGGTGACTGTGACGCTGGCGGAGCCAGATGCCGACGCAATTCCCTTCTTTGAGCCTGAAGATTTCAATATGACCGAAATCGAGCCTGCCCGGTTCTACGATCAGTTCCAGAAGCTGGAGTATGAGTACTCGCCACCTTTCCGCGGTATGCTCTCGATTCAGCGCAAGAAGGCCTATGCAAAGGGAATTATTGAGGATCAGTCGGGATCTGAGTGGGAGGATCAACTGCTCATTCATCCAGGCATGCTTGATACTGCCTTTCAGTCTTCGTCGGCGGCCTTCAGCTGCCCAGGAGATGGAATGATGTGGGGTCTTTATATTCCTGCAGGGATAGAGTCAATTATCATTAACCCCTTATTCACCGCCGATGGCGCAGGCAAGCAGCAAAAATTGCCATGGGAATCAATTGCCCGAAGCATGAAGAAGGCTCGAAGCACCATGGACATCAATATTTTCTCTCAAGACAAGTCCCATACCTTCATACAGGTTGAAGGCCTTGAGTTGATGCCCTTCACAGCTGCTCGACCCGAGGATGATGCCGTCATCTTCTCCAAGCTCAAATATGACATTGACCGGCCCAGCGGCGATGTTGCTGTCATCGACGATGGATTCACCGCCGAGGCGCTGGAAAATGCCATCAAGGGAGAGCGCGTGTCGTTCTACTACTTACGCCAGCTTGTTGAGACCATCACGTCCGAGGAGAAAGCTATTGCGCTACCGTACTACCGACATCTACTTAATTGGGCCAGTCACGTTGTTGACCAGGTCAAGAGCGGCAAGAACCCTTTCGTGCCCTCAAGCTGGCAACAAGACACAGAGGAACAGATCAGAGCCATCTGGGATGAGTATGTATAACCCCCAGATTTACCAAGGGCGTGACATCATTAACAAAGCGCTTCTAGATATGGTGATCGAGTTGATGTGCGCCTTATCGAATCTGTGGGCAAGAGTCTCCCAGGCGTCATCCGCACGGGAACCAGTATCCTTGAGCATATGGAAGGATTGTTCGAATTCTATGATCAGGGTCTTGGTCTCGACATGGCAAATCGCCACCTAGCGCGCATGGTCACACACATCGGTCATCGCTACCCACAAATGAAGATCCTCGAAGTTGGTAAGGAGACCTATACCTTCGCCCCTGTATCCAACGGTGATGCTGACTGAAATAATTGAAGGTGCTGGAACTGGTGGGTCTACGAGAACGATACTATCTCATCTGGGCGACATGTTTTCCAGCTACACCTACACCGACATCTCCAGCGGATTCTTTGAAGCTGCTCAGGAGCGCTTCAAGGATTTTGAAAGCCGTATGGTCTACAAGACATTCGACATGGAGCGGCCCCCGGCATCTCAAGGCTTCATTGAGGGATCGTACGATGTCATTCTAGCCTCCAATGTCCTGCATGCAACAGACAAACTGGAAGAGATGATGACTCACGTCCGCCAGCTCCTCAAACCTGGTGGCTATCTTGTTTGTCTAGAGCTCACGGGCAATGATACCATGCGTGTTGGCCTGCCTATGGGAAGCTTGCCAGGTTGGTGGGTAGGAGCAGAGAATGGGCGACCATGGGGACCAACGGTGACATTGCCACAATGGGATACTTTGCTACGCAAGTGCGGCTTCGGAGGAATTGACACAAGCACGCCGTTGCTTCACAGACTTCATGTTTCTACAGTATTTGCAGCACAAGCTGTTGACGACCGTATTACGATGCTTCGAGCCCCTCTGGCGTCAATCAATGCCCTTCCACCTACCGATGCCCCACGACTTGTTGTCATTGGCGGACAAGGGCTCGCAACCCACCGCATTGCAGAGCAGGTTTCGAGCCTTCTGGCTCCCAGATTTAGTGAAGTTGTGCGCGTCACCTCCGTTGACGAACTGGACTTGGACGTGCTCCAGTATTCGAGCACTGTACTGTCACTCACAGAGCTTGACGAGCCTCTTTTCAAAGTCTTTACAGAAGCAAAGCTCGACGCTCTCAAGATACTCTGGCGCCAGGCAGGCAAGATTCTTTGGGCTACCCGAGGCGCCAGGGCGGAGGAACCGTTCTCGTCCATGATGCTTGGACTTGGAAGGGCCATGACTCACGAATATCCGAATATGTCCTTGCAAATCCTTGATCTCGACGCATTTGAAGATGAAGAAAAGACGGCCCAGCTGCTAGCCGGAGATATTCTACGCTTGGAAGTCTTGATTAAATGGCAGTATGAAGCTCAGGGTGAAGTGGACTTTCTCTGGTCCTTTGAACCCGAGGTGTGCTATGAGGCCGGCTCTAGATTCATCCCCCGGCTATACAAGTGCGAGCCCGCCAACGAGCGATACAACAGTGCTCGGCGCCCAGTCACACGGAATATCAGTTTCCAAGAACCCTTGACATTTGTCTCCGAGGGCTCTTCGTATGAGATTCAGCAACCTTCACCCCTCCGCGTCACGACTGTGCCACTTGAGCCCGCTGAAACCAACATTATTCAAGTCTCCCATTTCATTTTTCAGACCATCGAAATTTGCTCTCTTGGTAGACTCATGCTCTGTGCTGGCACCGACCAATCTACTGGAAAACAATTGCTTGCCCTGTCGCACTCAACAGAGGCTCGACCAACGGTCTTGGCAGACTGGACTGTGTCTCTCTCCACCAAAGCCACCAATGTGGCTAAAACTCTAGCCACTGTTGCTTCTCATATAATCGCAATCGATATCCTCAAGTTGGCCCATGATGGAAGTGCCATCGTTGTCCACGAGCCTGGTGAGCTGATTGGCACAGCTTTGACGCAGCACGCCCAGAAATCCTCGATTCAAGTGGTGATAACTACCTCAAATAAGGACAAATTGCCCGAAGGATGGCTTTACCTCCCTGAAAACCTCCCTCGTCGGCTTATTAAGAAAGCTCTGCCGGCTTCTATCTCGTTTTTCGCCGATTTTTCCACAGCTCCTGGCTCCATCACATCTGGCCAGCGTATTGGCGAGTGCATTCCTACGGTTTGCGCCAAGTATACCTCCGACGACTTCTATGGTACGACAACTGAGCTTCAGCCTGGAGCCTCGTCGAAGCAGATTGCAGAGGTATTCAAAGCGGCATGTGATGCAGCTTTTGAGAGCCAAGGCCAAGCTGGAAATCCTGTTTGTATCCGCATTCAGGATATTGCAGGCTTTTCAATGGCCGATGCGCCTTTGGCGGTCGTTGAGTGCGTGGAACTGACCACCCCCATTCCCGCTAAAGTCCAGGCAATAGACTCAGGAGTGATCTTCCGAGCCGACAAGACTTATTTTCTGGTCGGTATGTCAGGACAGGTCGGACAATCTCTCTGCCAGTGGATGGTAGAACATGGCGCTAGGTTTGTTGTTTTGACGAGCCGGCGGCCCCAGGTGCACCCTGAGTTCATCAAGTCAATGGAGTCCATGGGCGCTACTGTCAAGGCCTTTCCTCTGTGAGTATCACACGCCACCCAATCGGAAATCTGTTCTTTTCCTCTAACAATCTTTGCAGCGATATTACCAAGCGAGAGTCCCTTCACGAGTGTTACAAGGAGATTTCCAAAACAATGCCTCAAATCGCAGGTGTAGCCCAAGGAGCTATGGTGCTTAGGGACTCTATGTTTGATGGGCTGACTTTCGAGAATATGACCACCGTCCTGGACCCGAAGGTCACTGGTACGCAGCTCCTGGACGAGCTTTTCTACGACGCGCCCCTAGACTTTTTCATCGTCATGTCGTCTTTGACTTCCGTCGTCGGAAACAGTGGCCAGAGCAACTACACAGCAGCCAACATGTTCATGGTGGCGCTTGCAGAGCAACGCAAAAGACGGGGCGTCGCTGGCTCTGCCATCGCTATTAGCTCCCTGATTGGCATCGGGTACGTCGAGCGCTCGTCAGACTTTGATGCTGAATACTTCGAGAAGATTGGGTACAGAAACATATCCGAGCCAGACCTACATCAACTATTCGCCGAGGCTATCCTTGTTGGTCAACCAGGCTGCCGCGAGTGCTCAGAGATTACGACGGGCATCATGCCGTTTTATCCCGAGAGGAATGCTAAGGCACAGTTCTTCGAAGACATCCGCTTCAATCACTTCATTCTCGAACATCAGGATGCCCAGAACTCCGGCGGTAAAAGTTACGGGCTCCCTGTGCGAGTACAGCTGGCTGAGGCCAAAACGAAAGATGAGGCTATCGCTATTATCAAAGGTACGTGAGCAGCGTTTGAAAGTCTAGGGGATGGTGATCTAGCTAACTCGAATGCAGAGGGCTTCCTCACGCGACTAAGGCGTACATTGATGATATCCCAAGATGAAGCTGTCAATGAGAAGGCATCCCTCGTGGAACAGGGCATTGACTCGCTAATGGCAGTTGAACTAAGATCGTGGTTCTTGAAAGAACTTGAAGTCGACATCCCAGTTCTCAAGATTTTGGGTGGAAGCTCTATCACTGACCTTCTTGCTGAGTCCATGGAACGCGTGCCAACAACAGTAGTGGATTTTAATGCGCTAACAAACACCAAGATTGCAGCCCCTGCAATAGAGGCAAAAAAAGCCCCTAGCTTGTCTTCTTCCGAATCTCAAAGTACAAAGGAGTCAACGTCCGAGACAGGCACACCACCAGTGATTGGAACGCCACTTACTGAGTTGGCAGAATTAGTAATGGATGTGAAGATAGTCGATGACAATATTAAAGTCTCACAGGCAGCTAAGGAAGAGAGCTTTCCGATGTCTTACGGCCAAGATCGATTCTGGTTCTTGAGTGACTACCTCAAAGACAAGACGAGCTTTAATATGACGGTCATGTTCAAGTTAAGCGGTAAGCTTCAGGTGAACCGTCTTGAGCATGCTGTTCGGACTGTCGCTCAACGCCATGACGCGTTAAGAACCAGGTTCTTTTGGCTCGGAGAGGGTGACACACGCACCCCCATGCAAGGTATCCTTTCTGAGTCGCCCATTCACCTGGAGCACGTCAAGCTCGAATCAGAGGCAGATGCGAAGGAGGAACTACGCAAGATGCATGAATACGTCTGGGATCTGAACTCGTGGCAGGCGGCAAGAATGGTTCTCCTCACCATTGACGACAACACGCACTACTTCATGGTTAGTGGTCATCACATATCGTGGGATGGTTACAGCTTCAATGTCCTCTTTGTCGACCTCGATGCGGCCTACAGCGGACGGCCGCTGCCACCCCTGGACACTAATTCCCAGTATCCGGCCTTCGCCTCGTGGCAGAGAGAGTCTTATGAGAAGGGTGACATGAAACAGGCGATTGAGAACTACTACCGTCCTATGATTGATCCTCACGCCAAGGCAATTCCTCTCTTTCCCTTTGCGAAGTCTCCGACTCGGCCATTGCTCGACCACTTTGAGCAGTTTGAGGCCAAAGCCACCCTTCAGCCGGCTCTTGTCTCAAAACTCAAGAAGCTCTCTCGGAAGAATAACGCAACCATGTTCCACCTCTATCTTGCTGCTCTCCAGACGCTTGTCTTCAGTCTCCTCCGCGAGGAGAAGGATTTCTACCTTGGACTAGCAGATGCCAATCGCATTGACAAAAGCTTTATGGGAAGCCTTGGCTTTTTCCTCAACCTCTTGCCCGTGCGCTTTGATAGGAGCGCTCCTGGTACGAAGATCAGTGATATCATCAAGGACACGCGTAACAAGGCATATAAGGCACTTGAAAACTCATCGGTGCCCTGGAATGTACTTCTGGATGAGCTAAAGATACCGCGTACGAACACGGAGGCGCCCATCTTCCAGTTGTTTGTCGACTACCGTCAGATTACTCGTGATAGAGCGCAGTGGTGTGGGTGTAATCTGAGCGATGAGGATTGGCTGAACGCGCGAAATGGCTATGACCTCACGCTTGGTATCACGGATAATCCCACAGGTGAATCCCTGCTGTCATTGCGCTTCCAGAAGAAGCTATACTCAGAGAGCAGCACTGAGCTTTTCCTCCGATCCTACGTGACTGTGCTGGAATCATTCGCCGACGGTGTCGATCTTGACGTCTCCGAGCTGCCACGCTGGGCTCCCAGTGACATCGAAGCGGTTATGGAGGCCGGTAAAGGTGAGGATTTCAGCTCTCTAATGATATGTATCAGAGATTGAAACTAAATACTATCAAGGACCGACTCTTGAACTCGAATGGCCGGCGACCGTGTCTCATCGCATCGATCAGATGATCGAAGAGCATACGGCGCATCCGGCACTGAAAGATGGCCTCGGCAACCAATTAACATACGGCCAGATGGGAGAGCGTGTCAACGCGATTACGGCGGCTCTTGTCGCTGCTGACGTTACTGAAGGTACTCCAATCGGCGTCTTCCAGAATCCATCCGCCGACTGGATCTGTTCGATGCTCGCCATCTTCCGTGCTGGAGCTACATATGTGCCCTTGGATCCTCGCAACTCGATCGCCCGTATCGTTAGCATCGTCGAGAAAGCAAACCCTGTCGTTGTTTTAACTGACCGCTTCACTGCTTCGAAGATACCGCAGATCGGGGCTAGCAAGGCAATTCACATCGTCGTCTCGGATATTCCCACATCAGCCTCGACGCCTAACTCGCCAAACAAAGCCAAGCCGGAGTCTCGTGCAGTTCTTCTCTTCACGAGTGGCACTACCGGAAAGCCCAAGGGGGTCATGCTAACCCATGCTAATCTGCGAGCCCAGTGCGAGGGCTACTCGCGCATGGTCGACCTACCGCCGATGGTGTCGGTGGTCCTTCAGCAAACGATCTACAACTTTGACGTTTCGCTCGACCAGATCTTTGCTGCCCTTGCCGAAGGCGGCTGTCTCTATGTCGTGCCTGCCGAGAAGAGAGGGGACCCGGAAGCAATTACGCAGATCATGGCAGAGGAGGGCGTGACGTACACCGTTGCCACGCCTTCTGAGTACGAGACCTGGTTCCGATACGCTCCCGAAAATCTCGCGAATTGCAAATCATGGGGATATGCCTTTGGCGGGGGGGAACACCTGCACAGTGGGCTTATCAACGAGTTTGCCAAACTTGCAGCCCATCAGATTCCCGGGCTGAGACTATTCAACAACTACGGCCCCACGGAGGCCTCACTTGCCATCACAAAGGGTGAAGTTAAACATAGCGATCCTGATCTAGAGGATCACGTTCCCGCGGGCTGGATTATCCCAAACTATGCAGTTGCCGTGGTGGACGAAAAGCTGCAGCCTGTGCCATTCGAGACGTCGGGTGAGATTGTTGCTGGCGGTCCTGGTATTGCTGCTGGATACCTGGATCAAGTCGATCTGACCGAAGAGAAGTTCATCTCCGGAGACAGTATCCACCCACTGGCCGCAGCGAGCAGCAAGACGTGGTACCGTACTGGAGACTATGGCCGACTGCGCCAGGACGGGGCGCTGTACGTCGACGGCCGTATCCTGGGCGACTCGCAAGTCAAGATCCGCGGATTCCGTGTCGAATTGCAGGAGATAGAGGGCGTTCTACTCGAAGCCTCGAAAGGGGCATTGTCCCATGCCGTCGTCAGCGCCAGGGGCGCCGGAGAAGACCGCTTTCTGGCCGCCCATGTCGTCTTCACGACAGACTACCCGCAGCACCGCCGCGAATCCATACTTCAGCATCTCGAGTCGAAGCTCCCGCTACCGTCATATATGCAGCCGGCCGTTATCGTGGTCCTCGCCAACATCCCCGTCACCAGCAACTTCAAGTTGGATCGCAACGCTATCCAAGCGTTGCCCCTGCCAGAATATGATGGCCGTGGAGAGAACCTGGCCGATATCGAGAAAAAGGTAGCCCAGTTGTGGAGGGGTATCATTCCGCATGGTGTGCGCTCCCTGACGGCTGAGACTAACTTTTTCGACGTCGGCGGCAACTCGATTCTGCTCGTGAAGCTAAAGGCTGCGATGCAGCGCGAGCTGCAGGCAGCACCGCCATTGATTGATTTGATGAACTCCAGCACCTTGGAGGGTATGGCGCGGCACGTCAGAGCTTGCACGGCTACTGGGCTGCACGGCATCGACTGGGAGGCGGAGACCAGTGTCCCGGAATCTCTGCGCCAACTTGCGCGCGAGAACCTTCCACAAAAAGAGAAGAAAACCGAAAATCTTACCATTGTCCTGGCAGGGGCAACGGGCTACCTTGGCCGCCACATTTTGGCACGCCTAGTCGAGGCGCCAGAGATTGGCGAGATTCATTGTCTTGTCCGGAAGGAGAGCCTCGAGATGACCGACCGCAGCAGCCTTAAGGTCCGTCTCGTCACTGCAGACCTCACGCAGCCGAGACTGGGCCTCACAGAGGGAGAATTTATTGCCCTGGCAGAGAAGACTGATGTGATCGTTAATTGTGCTGCTAATCGCTCCTTCTGGGATGGTTACGATACATTGAGAACGGTCAACTTCGACGCCGTCAAGGAACTCGTTACTCTATCTGTGCGAGCTGGTGGGGCGCCACTGCATACTGTGTCATCCGGTGCGGTTGACGTTTATGGCGACAACAAACCGCCAGTGGAGGGTAGTGATGGCTACGTGGCTAGCAAGTGGTCTACAGAGCGATTCCTGGCAAACGCCTGGAAGGAACTTGGCACAAGGGTGTTTATACACCGACCTGTTGCTTCTTCTATGGAAGAGAAGAATAGCGAGGGTGATAAGGAGGCGATCCAGAACGATCTCAGTCAGATTCTCCGCATACTCGGCAAGAGGCCGGACTTCGCCGCTGTTAGTGGCTATGTCGATGTGACACCCGTGAAAATCGTTGTGGACGATATGGCTAAGTCTATCCTGACGGGAAGAGGCAACGATGGCGTGTGCGTCACAGAGCATAAGGGCCGATTGCGCCTACACATTCAGGACTTTGCGCACCACATAGAGAAGGACGACCAGCTGAAAGCACTGCCGACGATGAATCCGCTGTTCTGGTTTGCGGATGCAAAGAAGGCCGGATTCGCGCAGCTGATCACGGCGCACAGTTTGGTCATGAGTGACGGAAAGGAAGAGGTGGTTAGTCGACGGTAAAGGATTGGATCAAGCTTTCAAGTGATAGTCGATGTGGTACTAGTGGTAAATGGGTTGTTACATGTAGGATAAGATGTCTCCAGAGCTAGCGATATCGGGCTCTTTTGTTGTCTACGTGTGTTTGTGTTTTAAGTTAGGTCAATTTGAGAAATTACTTGATCTTGGTTCATGTTCGATTCAACAAGGCACCCGAGATTATACCACCTAACTGATGTCTGCTTAAGTTGCTTAAGCACCATCCCTGTGTACCGATACTGGCGCATTTACTGTCTATGTATCACAGTTAAATGAAACATCGACCGCCGTGCTTTTTTGACGGCACTTGTACTGCACAGTCTACGGGGTATATATGATTGCCGATCTGAGGCTGGAATTACGGCTTAGCACCCGTCGCAAGCGTTGTATCATTAAATCAGCCGATGGCTCTCTTTTATATATATATGGATGTAGAGCCAAATTGTTGTAGGTCTGGGGCGCACCGAATCGCGCTGTTCGAACCTACAAGGGGACTTGATAAATCTAATCTACTTTGCATTAAATATATACCCACCTGTCGGTCTACATTTTTTGGGTATCTATAGTCAACGGTCCTGGGAGTATAACATTGAAGTCACCGCTCTGATACTCACGCTTAAATGCACTCTATTGTGTTTTGGTCATGTTAAATAGTCTTGGGGGGTTGTGCATTACAATCCTCAAGAATCATCCTCAAATCACATCTGCTTCTTCTTCTTACCTAGTTGGTGGACCCTTGTCCAGTATCTGCCCTTTGACAGAATGCAACCTGATGCAGCTTGAATGCCTGGACTTTGATATGTCTCTTACATACTTTATCCGATTCAGAATCTAAATGCAAACAATGCTCAGCATCTGAATTTACTTGCTGCACACACCCCCTCCTTGATGTGAATACTGTCTAGAAGAAAGCCTCTCACACCAGATGTACAGGACAAATGCTCTGTTTCTTCCATTTACCATACCGCGTTAGGGTCAAGATATATCGCTGTTCTCTCGTCGTGGAAAGAGTATTCATCCGCCCTTTCATCTCGTTCGACTACCTTCTAGATCTTGATCGAGAAACTATCTATGGGACACCGAATCTTCCCCTCCTCTGGTCCTCAAAGCGCATACACAAAGAGGCAATGCCCATCTACCTCAGCGAGAACATCTTCTCCCTTGTCCAGGTCGACTTACTCGCTGCAGCGCGTGCCGAGCATCCGCGAGTCTTCGAGAACCTAAAACAGATTCGCAATCTCGAGCTCGTCTTCGACAGCCGCGACTACATCTACATGGCGCAGTTTTTCTCGCGGGAGCTACCAGGCATCGCAGGCGTGGTCCAAGAGACAACTGCTCCGTCTCGACACAAACGCAAAGTGATCGAGGACCTGGGCGGGATCCACGCTGACCTCGACATTCCTGGGATCTATCAATCCGAATCTGAGTCGGAAACGGAGGAGTCGCCCGTGGAGACGGAGGAGGTGCACGAGCAGCACATCGAGAACATGAAAGAGTACCTTTGGGGGCGGACGATGTGTTTCGTGCGGCAGACTTTCCAGCTGTCGAACCTCTACATTGATCTACGCCGATGTACCTGCATTCAGGGTTGCTGTCGTCTAGCTATGGAGGTGCTGGATTGGGGTTGGCTCCATGTTTGGATTCATGGTATGCCGAGTGAGATTCATGTGAGAGGCACCTCGAGACGGGAGAAGGCGATCATTGTCCAGTTGTTTGATAAGCAGCGATACCATGCGGGATTATGTGAAGAGGAACTCTTCGACCAGGGCAGAGCTGAGACCAAGAGCTGGGAAGTATACAGCGGTGTGTTCCGAAAGGTCCATCAAGGATTGCTAGAGCAGTAGCGTTAGGTAGTAAATACGGTGCAAGCTAGCTCGCAGTAGTAGTGAGGTGAGCGTCTAGTGGTCAGTCTTTAGCAGATACAGCAGTAAGCATTGATGTCGGCGCAAAAGAAAATGAATGATATTTACAGCAATCACGAAACAACGCAATGCCTCAGCTACTTCAGGCCGTAAGACTAGCTGTACCGTTCAACGCCACCAATACAGCATCGATTGTCCGCTTGTCGACCTAATTGAGATCAAGGGCCACGAGAAACGGATAACCTTCTGTATTTTGGTACAAATAATCGACTGGGCGTTTTTTCAATCCAGTAAAATGACACCCTGCTGCCCAGTCATGTAGCCTCCTCACTGACAACGAATTCACGAATTCACGAAGCTGCGGCGAGTGCCCCGGCGGCCGCGCTCAATGTGCCCTCGCGTTCGTCCCGTCTCCGACGCTTCTCCAAGATAGCCTCCCGCCGTTGTGCGAGCATCTTGAGCTGTCTGTTCTCAACACCCTGGAGCCAGTATCCGAAGCTTCCACCAACACCGGCGAACAAAGGGTACACCCAGAGGGACTCCTTGGCGAGGATAGGGCGCATTTCGATTCCGAGCTGCCAGAGACGGACGGCAATGCCTATATCAAAGTGACGTTAGACTCATGCATTATCCATGCGAGGGAGCTCCGCTTCAAGCAACAGGAACAAAGGACATTGCGGCAACAGGAAAAGAGATGAGAGTAATAGCTCGAGCCTAGGATATCCCCGGTAAGTACGTACCAAAGCCGCCCCAGAAGAGGACTTTGTGAACCATTGTGTTGTGGTGGACGCGGACTGCGCGGATGGGAGTGAGGAGGGGTTTCTGTTGGAGAATTCGGCTGGATAAAACTGCCGCAATGAAATTCGAGCAGTTCTTTTGTATAAAGGCCCAGACCGACGCAACAATGGGGCACGTTCAGCGGACAAGCGTTTCGAGATGAGGTTGCTTTCCTCCTCTCTCCCACTCAGGCCCGTCGAATCACCCGGCCGCAGTTCGCAATCCGTAGCGGACTATTATTGTTCCGTCCGACCGCCCTTCACTCAATCCGGTAATAATTATTTTGGGCGGAGAGTCCCTGCAGCCAGTTTCGCGTCGCGACCAGCATTATTTCTCATCCACGTTGAAAGGCCGCCTGGCGGCTCTCTGGTGACGAGCATTGGAATCATCAACTGACCTTTCAGTCATGGCTGGTCCAGACGAAATGTCAGATGTCCAGCCTAATGGCCTGAAAAGACCCTCACTGGATGTCGACAGCCTTCAGCGGAAGAAGTTCAAGACGGAAGAACTACCGTTAACAGCGGCGCAACATACAGCGATTGACGATCTGCTGCACGCATTCAAGAAGAAAGGAGGATTCGATAATGTTCGAAAGAAAGTCTGGGCTGAATTTCACGACGGGGTATGCTCCATTAATTTCTAATGTACTTTATGATCTTGTTCTAATGCTCGTATTCTGTATAGGAAGCAAAAACTGAATTCACAAAAATATTGATTCAGCTGGCGGAATCGGAGATTGATCGCGAACCGGAGCTCCTTTCTCGAGAAAGAGGAAAAGCTGCGACACTGATAGAGGGCGCGGCCGACCGGAGTGAAGTCTACAAAAGCGCGGAGAATCTTATTGATGCGCTGGCCTCGACACACTTGCAATTTATCCTAGACTCAGTCCGAGAGATTCGCCGTCAGCAAGTTGGCGAAGAGCTCGCTACGAAAGAGGAACAGGCTGGAAATAAGACAGATGAGGAATTTGCGGCATACGTTAAGGCGAAACGAGATATACGTGAACGAGAATGGCAGGAACAAATGCGCAAGCAAAGAGAGCTTGAAGAAGAGGAGGCTCGCCGAAAAGCCGAGGAAGATCGCAAGAGGCGCGAAATTGAACGCCAGAAGGAGGAGGAGGAACGGGCAAGGAGGAAAGAGCGCGAGGAGCAGCGACGCGCGGAGCGCGAACGTTTACGCGAGGAAGAGAGGAGACTTGAGGAGCAGAGGGAGAAAGAACGCCAGGAGAGGTATGAGCGCCGTCGTCGAGAGGAGCGGGAGAGATACCGTGATTGGGAGCGAGACAGGGATCGTGATCGCAGTCGCACCAGAGACAGGGACCGGGACCGTGATCGCGAGCGCGATCATGGTCGCACACCGAATCACAGACCCGAACGTGGCTACTCCCCTCGATATCGCGATCGTGATTCTAAGAGAGAGAAGTCCGCTACACCAAAGGAGCCAACTCCCGCTCCCCCACCACCAGCCGTGGCTGTGGATGATAAGTCCTTGGAAGAGGCTGCTCTCCAGATGCTGCTTAAAGAAGGCGAGGAACTTGCAGCTAAGGCAAGACAAAAGCCTGAGTTTGATTTCGAGGAGGCCGAGGCGATTGAGAATGGTCTTAAACCCCCACCGACCAAACCGAAGAGTACAGCTGAGTCGCGTTATTCAATTACGCCATTGAAGTCAGGCAGCCCCGCTGTCGACGTGGATCCAGCTCGAAAACGCGAATCTACCGTTGATCCTCGCGCGCGCAGGCGGGACGAGAGCAAAGATCGCAGTCGCTCGCGGCGGAGATTCACGCCCCGCTACGATGATGACCGTCGACGAGAGCGGTCTCGTGATGCCTCTACTCGCACCCGTGATCGCAATCCAGATGAGAGATTTGCCTTGCGGGACTTTAGGCCCCAACGATATGTCAGCTACCGCCCCGGTCGACGGAGTAGAAGCAGGTCAACGGTTCGCGGCTATGATCGCGATAGGGAGCGCGATGGGGATCGCAGCAGATTTCAGGATCGAGGCGGTGAACGGGAGAAGGATCGACTACGGGCTCGCTCTCGGCCCGCTGATGAAAGAGATCGGGACCGCGATCATCGTCCTCGAGATCCCAGTCGCGATCGAGACAGAGATCGAGACCGTGACCGAGATCGTGACCGTGACCGTGACCGAGATAGGGATCGGGATAGAGACCGGGATAGAGATCGGGATAGGGACCGAGATAGAGAAAGGGACCGGGACCGGGACCGTGATCAACGCCGTCGCAGTTACTACTCTCGGTCTAGATCACGCCCCAGACATCGACGACGTTCGCGGTCTGTCTCTCGCATTAGGGACCGACACCCAGATCGAAACCCGAATCAACCCCGAGACAAAGAGAGGGACCTTGAACGGGAGCGGGAGCGGGAGAGGGAGCCTGAGCCAAAGAAAGAAAAAGAACCAGATCAAGCTCGGGATCAGGAGCGGGATCGCAATGGCGAGCGGGGGAGATCTAAATCCCGCGCCCCCAATTCTTCTCGAAAGCAATCTCCCTCTCGCCGTTCACGGTCCCGACGGCATTCTCCAAGTCTTCTGGACATCGATCGGTACGTGCCTGCGACTAGCAATCGCAGTAGGTCTCCTCGGCGACGAGTGCGATCGCCGGAGCGCCCTGAGCGCGAGGAGCGTCGCGGGTTTGTGGAGATCGACCGCTACATACCGGGTGGTGAGCGAGACCGTGAAAGAGCTCGAGAGGGTGATCGAGCGAAGGAGAAGGAAAAGGCAAATGAGAAACCCAAAGAACAAGACAAGCCTGCCGAGCAATCACGTGGATTGGACGGCTGATCGGTGCAGGAACCCAGGCTTAGTCGAGGATAACGTCAAGGTTGGATGTTCCCTGCCGCCCGGTTGAATGTATCAAATATCGTGTCATGTATATTACGTTAGTTCTATTGATGGTCATGTATGATAGAAAAGCTAATGCTAATGTTGACCAAACAACGAACACGGGCATTGCTGCATTGCCTCTTGTCCTCTTTAATTATCTATACAATCAGCAACTTAAGTGCCTGTGGCCAAGTGAAGAGTCTGCAGGACACTGGGCATGAGAATATGTATTTTATACATCAAATTTGCTTGCAAAGAAGGAAAGGGAGCTAGGACGAGTCATCCAGCCATCGCATGTTCATACAAAGGAGATGTAACCGATCAAGATGACACATGAGCCGCAACAGCCTCGTGATAGCCATCATTTTCATCGTGACGTTTATAGAAATATGAATTTGGACCAGAACTGGTGGGCCGCAGCTCAGGTGATAGACGTTCAAGAATGGTCCGCTCGAGAATCTTAATGGAGCGCTCATTCGAGCCCAGCTTGTTCCAAACCGATATCATGTGCGAATTGAAGCGGACGGAGCTTGACACTCCAAGGACATGGTCATGTTCTAACAGGAGGCAATGAGTTAGAAAATTCTTGAACTCTTTGGGGGTATGGGTAAGGGGAAGCGATACCTTTCTCCAAGGCAGCCTGAAACTCATTCGCCATGCACAGTATAGCAATCTCGTGGAAGAACTCTTGGGCTTTGCTCTTCGGAACCCTGAACCTCCAACAACCCCCTTTCAGGTTCTCTGGATCTTCCCAGATCGGGCGGACGCCCTTACGGAAGATATGAACGGAGTCTCGCAATCGGACCTTGTCCCAGGGATAATTGTTGTAGACCCGGTAGAAAGTAGCAATATCGGCAACATCTTCGTGTAAGACATACAGTCTCTTGTCATAGTCCGTGGACTCGGAGTGCCGGTCGTACCAGACTGTCCAATGGTATTGAAATGGTAGCGGGCGTAACTTGCCGATGATGTTCTGATGTAGTGATTTCCTTGTAGTGGACGATGGACTCTCCGCTGCCTCTCTTGTTGGAGAGGTATCATCGGCTACGGGACTCTGATCATTGACATGTACTTTGGGCACAGTCATGATGAAGTATTGGACGAGTAACGCCAGGGATCTAATCAGTCTTGACGTCTGTAGAGCCTCGCACAAGAATATATCTTTTTGCAGGAAGACTCCCGTTCACTCAGACCAGCTGGAATATATTTAGATACTTGGAGATCAAGCCGAATAAGGAGAGGCTCAGTTCCTGTCTTTCTTGTTAGCACAGCTCAAAGACAAGTTGAAAGAAGCACAACATCGAGAGTAGATCAACCCTCTCCAATTTCAAGCATATTCATTGAATCTTATACCAAGTACTGTCATGAAGATTTGGATGAAGACTGGTTGGAGACATGGGTGATAGATATCTTGTGGATCTATCTGGGGAGCTGACCTGGTGTTCTATAGGAAGCGACAGACAGCACATACCTACTACGATCAACAAACAGCCAGTCGATTCGGCTCCAAAGGATCGGATCTGGTGCTCCAGAAAACGGAACAAAACAGTGACACTAACGAAGACAACAAAGTGACTTGCAGCAAGCCAAGCCCTGATGCAGAAACATAAAGTGAAGCTGCTGACAGGGGGCAAAGCGGGGTTGGCGAGAAGGTCTCTCTCTACTTAGGCGGGGGAAATCGCAGCGACTTCGTCTCCCAGTTGCGCCTGCTGAGATGTGCTGCTGTCAGATCATGATCAGTTGATTCCTTAAGTATGTCTTTTCTCTTAGAGTAGCACACTGGTCGTTTTCAACCACTTTCCCGATCACATACACATGGAGACTTGGAGCTCCAACCAGAGCATGATGTTGGAGATCTGCACGATGTTTGGTTCTTCAGAGGAACGAATGATCACCCTGGCTTCTCCTCCAGCATTTCCATTGAACCTGCAGACCTGCAGACCTTGATCCATCATCTGATCCGGTTCATTGGCATTGATTCGATCTCCACCGCCCTGCGCGAAGCGCCCTGCAAGTGTGAAGCGGGAGAGTAGAAGAACCAACCAATTAACCAACAACTAAATTCTCCAACCACACATCATGGAGGACAACCTCAACAAGCGCGTACGATCCGGCGATTCCTATCCCGAACCGTCTCCGAAAAACGCTTCACCCCCCAAAAGATCCAGAATCGTGATTGTTCCTTCCAGCGGTGACGGCAAAGCATCACCCTCTGCAGCGGAGCGCGATGCAGCGGCGAAACCAATAGCCTCTCGCCAGGCGGCAGCTACGACAAGCGATAGCGATGAGAGTGATGATGACGATTATACTTCTTCGTCAGGCTCAGATAGCGACGGCGACGATAATAGTGAAGATGGCGACCAGGACGCCGCAAGTGTCGATTATACCTCCGATCAAGCGACTGGCGCACAGTCCTCGCTCCCACGCATATCGGCGCAGCAGAAACCTCGCATACAACGCATCGCCCAGAATCCGGATCTTCTATCCCGATTGTCTGCCTTTTTGCCAAAGATGAAAAATGCCAATGACGATCTAGAACGGGAAATAGCTGCGGGAAGAGGGAAGGAACTGCAGCTGGATGAAATAGACGATACCGAGGAGGGGCGGTACATTGAAATGGTATGCAGATTGTTTTCATCCGTCCGTCCCTTCCCTTCTTCTTTCTTTGGGAAAATCATGATCACTAATATTACATCCTACAGAATCTGGGACTAGGCGTTTTGGAAGAACAACGGGGCGACGACAGTAGTTCAGCTGAGCACGACATGGACGACAGTATGGACACTACAAATGATAGTGGTACCGCAGATGGTCAGGGACCTCCAGTGGGCAAGGACTCGGACATCTTGGATAAGCTCCTGGGCAAAAAGAAGTCGTCAAAAGAGCAGAAGCCGGAGATCCAGGAGTTATCTGAGTCGCGACCTACATAAACACATTGCATCGGACGGGCGTTCAAGGAGTACAAATTTGCCAATTTGATCATACTACTTTTAAGAACGGCCTCTGAAGAGCAGGCTATTCGTTCTCTAACTGAGACAATATTGGCCCCTTCTTGCACAACTTTTTAATGTATATGTCAATCCTTCAGGATAAACCGAACACTAAGAAGAGATAATGTCTCAGAGAGCCCAAGGCATCATATTCCAACTCCGGCCGTTAAGCCTGGAAGAGCACGGTTGTCGTGGCGTGTAGTATATCAACTATTCTATAAGGCGACATGAAGCTAATCGACATGGTAGACTCTAATGTATTTGCACGAATGAAGGGGAAATATAACCACTTGTCCTGTGGCAATTAAATAAGTTAAAGCATGACATATCACCATCATCATTTAAGAGATCTCCTTGATGCGGCAAGTCCAGCCTGATTCCTGGCTCAGAAGAGGCAAACTGCGATAGAAGAGATAGGTTAGCATAATTCAAGACACCGTAGGGTCAGTGGTGTTATCTTACCTTGCTCCAAGACACCATCCAAGTTCTCTATTCTTAATCTTCTTCGCAATCTTAATTTCGCGAGTCAGAGGCATTTCGTAGCCCGTGTGCAGCAGACCAAGCATGAAGTTCAGGTCCAAACACCACTCAGGGCGGTCACGGAGTTCAGGAAGAGCCTTGTCAACGCCCGCGAAAACACCCCAGCTCTCTTCGCCGCCGCAAACGGTCGCTGTCAGCTGGTGTAGTTCATCGATGGTGAAAGAGTCAGGCATGCCCAATGGCTTGGTGCGGTCATAGAAGTACGAGAAGATATAAACATCCTCCCTAGAGAATGTCTTCTCAAGGGCTGGCTGGTGAACGCCGTTGAATGAGCAAGGGGCCAAAGTACAAGCGGCATCCTTCTTCAGGATCTTCTCAGCCAGGCCGCGACATTGGACGGCCGAAGAACCGACTCTTGGGCCAACCATTTTGACGGTGACATCTGGTGCAAGCGCATGTCCTTGAGGGAAAGTCACCTTGACATCCCGCTCCATACCTGGCCCAATGCAAGGATTAGGGATTGGCTGCTTGAGCCAAGACGTATCCTTAGGGCTGGACGCAAGCATGGCCTCGACGACGGTCCTGTGAACTGCCTCACGTGCAGCCATAAGACCATAACCAAGGTGCGAATGCTGGTACAGCTCAAAATGACGGCCACCGAACTGGAGATCATATTTGTGATCACCTTCGGCCAAGCGCTCAGGCATTCCACCCGACTTGCTCTTCTCGAATGTAGGCTGGAAGACAATCTGGGTCGAACCTCCACCCAAGTCAAAAATTGCAGCAGTAGGAGTCTCATCCGGGCCGCCAATCTTGCCAAGAAGGTAGTTTGTGGTGATCCAGGCGTAAACACCTTCGTCGGAACCATCCATAATCTCTACACCTCCCTTCTCTTTGGAGACGACGGGGAATGGATAAACCGTCTCGAGCCGGGTGCGAACAGCATCCAGAATCTTCTGGCTCATCTCTGGGCCGAGCATGCGCAGTCCGGCGGTGGCCTTGACAGCAACCGGCGAGCAAGACTTGTATTCGTCGGGGACAGACTTCATCGCGACCTCCATCAAAGGATCGAGACTCTTCGCGGCTCCCTCAGCATCTTCCTTGTATGAGCTCAATCCAGAGCCACCTGGTCTCGCCTCAGTCTGGAAGAACACTTCGTCCTCAAGCTCGGGAGTAGAGCCGCAGTTGTTGAACTTATAGACGTGGATGCGAGAACCTTGGCTCCCCGCATCGATCATCAGGGCATATTGAATCAAAGGTTTAGAGGGGTCGTGGGGCTTGGAGCATTTGCCTCCGGTAGAAGAAGAATCGGTGCTTGGCCGTGCTAAGAAGAATATGAGCAATTTTGGTCAACGACAAAAGTTTTTTCGATGGCGCTAACCTGGTGACAAATTCGATACTGCTGGTTTGGAGGGCGAGAGCCAGAATAACATGAGCAAGATAGCGGCCACAATGGCGCCCGTCTTCAGATAACGGGATCTCTGAGTCTGCGCCATATCTGCAAGTGCTGGAGGACGCTGCTTGATAGAAAAGCCTTCCTGAGTATTCACCACAGTTGAGGGTGTTCGCGAATTAGAACGTCGACTAGCTGTCGATCCTGTCTGGCTTTGGTGTTGCGTAGAATTCAAATGTCGACTGTCAACTCCAGTCGACATACGAGCAAGGCCAGATTAACACAAGATGAGGCCTGAGGAATAACACTCTCCTGCTTGAAACAGGTAATAAACGAAAGACAGATTAACGATTGAATCGAATAAGAATCATTGATCCATTAGACACCTCCAAACGAGCCCAAACAGACCGTGGAGGACGAAATCAGGTCGATGGAAGAAAAATGGGGGAAAGTCAGGGGAGGGAAGAAGTCCACTACTAAGACGGGGGACGAGACCTTGAAACGACGGCATTAAGATCCACCAACAGTGGCGCACGTGCCCCTATAGGCTGTGGCTTGGCTGCTCCGAATGCGTCGAATGTCGGCAGCAACGAAAGTCCCAGAATCATTATTGTTCATCCTTGCTGTCACTTTACAGCCAACAGTCACTCCGGATTATCAGGTGGATAATACAGCTTGCTCACGGTGGTACACTGTGCAGCTAGTGTTCGTCGCAAAACTCATTCGATCTTTCCTTCTATACTTGATTTCGCAAGCCCAACGTTTTTCTCCAACATGAAGCACATACGCGGCTTGACGTCGATAACTCAAGCACTTAGACATACATTCCTCCCGCCTCTCCAGAGCTCTCCTGCTCAACTTTCTCGCTATAATCCTGTGCATCGCGCAACGCAGCTAAGACTCCTCCATTCGTCCCACCCTCTCTCCGCTCAGCAATCCCGACAAAAAAACAAAGAGCAGTCCAAACAGAAACAAATCAAAGATGAAGACATTCAATCAGAATTTGTGCAAATAGTCAATGAGGCAGGAAATCTCGAGCAACCCATACGTCTGCGCGAGGCATTGCACTCCTTCGATCGGTCCGAAAATTTCCTGATACAAGTGTCCCCAGGTCCCCCTGATCAACCACCCGTCTGCAAGATCGTAAACCGACTGGCTATGCGTGAGCATGAGCGAGCTAAAGCTAAGGCTGCCCATGCTACCAAAACTGCAGTCAAGCAGATTGAGTTGAACTGGGCCATAGATCCCCATGATCTTACACACCGTCTGAAGCAGTTGACCAGTTTCTTGGATAAGGGCCGACGAGTCGAGATTGTCTTGACTAGAAAGAAAGGCAAAAGGGCGCCTACTGTGGAAGAGATTAGGAATGTGATGGATAGCGTCTTGCAGGTTACAAGGGAAGCCGATGCGACACAGATCAAGCCTATGGAGGGCGAACCAGGAAAACATGTCACTTTATTCGTGAAGAAGAGAGACAATTGAGGCCTTGCTACTTTGTCGATATGGCATCCCCTGTATCATAGTTCGTGTATATAATGCTGAGTGGCTGGAGTGCGCTCTGTATAACTTCTGACCTCACATCCTACGACAACAGCTGGAGAACAACAATTCACTTAATTCTTGGCAAGCGTAGCTTTTGACAGAAATTAACATAGATGTTCCATTGACTCTGACAATGCAGCTAGAAACTACTTCTGCAATGCAATATCATGAAAGTAGAGGTATCATTATAGTAATTATTGCTAGTAACTACTCCGTATATTCCCTAAGGTAGTATGAAGAACTTCAACTAGGTATCTAAGGTACCTTCCAAGCGCGATGCATCTTCCGCAATCCGACCGCTTTCATTGGACGGCCAATGACTAAGCAGATCCCCTAAATTTTTCGGGTCTGATGGAGAACTTCTCGACCGTCAGTCCGGCTCCATTTCTTCCATTCCATCGCGTTTCCTTCCTGTCTTTCTCTGGTCCGTCGTTATTTTACAGGGCAGTCATCATGTCGAGCATCTCCAGAACAGCCAACCTTCTCCTGCGCTCCAGCAAGGCTTCCTTGCTGCGTCCTCGCGCTGTCAACCCTCTCCAGCATGTGTTTGGTAGAGACAGACTGGCTGCCCGTGGGCTGGCGACTGCCTTCGAGCGCTCCAAGCCTCACGTTAACATCGGTAAGAAGCAATCATCTTCTTTGGATCTCCTTTTCTTTAGCTCAACATATCATCTAGGTACCATTGGTCACGTCGATCACGGAAAGGTCAGCTTAGAAAACCCGCTACTGTTATTACTTGGCTCGATGTTGTCCGCAGGTTGCTCACGTTCCCTTTAGACCACCCTGACTGCTGCCCTCACCAAGCATCAGTCCAAGAAGGGCCTTGCCAACTTCCTCGAATATGGTGCTATTGACAAGGCTCCTGAGGAGCGCAAGCGTGGTATCACCATCTCCACCGCTCACATCGAATTCTCGACCGACACCAGACACTACGCCCACGTCGACTGCCCTGGTCACGCCGATTACATCAAGAACATGATTACTGGTGCTGCCAACATGGATGGCGCTATTGTTGTCGTTGCTGCTTCTGATGGTCAGATGTATGTTCAATCTCGGCGTTTTTGAAATATGGACTGTGCCAAGGTACATTGCTTACCTCTCTCCTGGATAGGCCTCAGACTCGTGAGCACTTGCTGCTCGCCCGCCAGGTTGGTGTCCAGAAGATTGTCGTCTTCGTCAACAAGATCGACGCCATGGATGACCCGGAGATGTTGGAGCTCGTCGAGCTGGAAATGCGTGAGCTCTTGAGCAGCTACGGTTTTGAGGGTGAAGAGACCCCCATCATCTTCGGCTCTGCCCTTTGCGCCCTGGAGGATCGTCGCCCCGACATTGGCGCCGAGAGAATCGAAAAGCTCCTCGAGGCTGTTGACACTTGGATCCCCACCCCTCAGCGTGACCTTGACAAGCCTTTCTTGATGTCCGTCGAGGAAGTCTTCTCCATTGCTGGCCGTGGTACCGTCGCTTCCGGCCGTGTCGAACGTGGTGTCCTGAGAAAGGACTCCGAGGTTGAGATTGTTGGAGGATCTTTTGATGCTCTCAAGACCAAGGTCACCGATATCGAGACCTTCAAGAAGAGCTGTGACGAGTCTCGCGCTGGTGATAACTCTGGCCTCCTGCTCCGTGGTATCCGTCGTGAGGATGTCAGACGTGGTATGGTCATTGCTGTCCCTAACAGCACCAAGGCCCACGACAAGTTCCTTGTGTCCATGTACGTTCTCACTGAGGCTGAGGGTGGTCGCCGTACTGGCTTCGGCGCCAACTACCGCCCCCAGGTCTTCATCCGTACTGCCGGTAAGTTTTCTTTGGATTGACAAACACTTTGATTGGCGGATTATGTACTAATGGTCTCTTAGATGAGGCTGCTGATCTCAGCTTCCCCGATGGCGACGAATCTCGCAGAGTCATGCCCGGTGACAACGTCGAGATGGTCCTGAAGACTCACCACCCTGTTGCCGCCGAGGCTGGTCAGCGCTTCAATATCCGTGAGGGTGGCCGCACTGTCGCTACTGGTCTGATCACCCGTGTCATGACCGAGTAAGGTGCTGGTTCACTAAGGGAATAACCGAGGCAAGACCGACTCACTGACTGCTCTGTATTATACAAAAATAAATTTTCTTTGTTCTTTTGCACATTGCAGCGAGGGAAACAGCAACGGTATCCGGGAAACGTCGGGAGCCCAGGAAATTTTTGCGCCGGCGTTTTTGAATTATGTCCATGTAACTGCATTGTATTGGAAAGCATGTAGTAGGTTTTCTTTCTCTTTTTTTTTTCTTTGTTATATTCTCTCTCCTCTCTTCTATACCAGGCCTAGAATGATCTCGTACGAATCAAATGATCTCACTCAACCTTTTGTTGGCTTGATACCTAGGACCCCTGGTATCACTGGAACCTCACGTCTTTGCGGTAGAAAATGTCTGTTCTCATGGTATACTTGACCCCTTTATACACATCATCGCCAGCATGGAGAAGATCTTTCTGCTGAAAGACAAGCAAAGATCCTGTCTTTGGGAATATACGAACAACATCCTTCACCGAGCCAGATTGAAAGGATGTTGCGCCCCCTAGAGGAGGTAACTCCGCCTCACTTTCATCAAGATCGCCAAACTCACCAGCAGCGCATCTCTGTCGAGCTTGCTCTAGCTGCTCCAAATCTTGGTCGCCGTCTCCATTCAAGTACAGATGAATAGTGAAGAGCGAGGTCTCTTCTGCCAGAGACTCGTATATGGCATCCCAATGAGGTTTGAAGAATTCTCCTCGTTCGTATTTTAAGAAACGCAACCGTTCATTGAGTCTCGATACCCGATATATATCGTTTCTGGCCGATGGTTCAACGGCTTTGATCTCGCTGCGGGTTGACACCGTCGCGATTCCGGCTTTGATGAGAAACGGGAAGAGGCGAGCAAAGAGCTTGTGGGCGATGAGAGGAGTGTCCCAGACGATGCGACCGCAGTTGCGAGACATATCTCCGTCTGTCCCGAACAGGGTTCTGGCCCATGGCATACGAACTTGTGTTTTGTTGCTCTGATCACGACGAGTATCGTGTGAACCTGTGGCTTCAGTGGTAGAGTTTTGGGCATGTGCTTCGGCTGCTTGGAGGAGAGTACGACACTCGCTTTCTGTCAGAAAATTATCGATGACCAGGGCAAAGCAGTCTTTGTACTCTGGAAGTGGGGGATTGGTTTTCATAAAGTCGATCTTGTGGACGGAGACATGCTGGGGAGCAGTAGGAGGCAGGAAGGAGCCGGGGAGCTCCATCTTGGACAGAACGATGAGATACTAGTATTGAGATCTAACAAGAAGCTACACCGGTGGAAGTCGAGGGGCTCAATGAAGCATGACCTGGCCATGTGTTTTCTAGTCGGCAGCATCCATGTCAAACTTAGGGCGACGTGTGTGATGTGTCGTTGACCATTCAGCTCCGGTATGGGTGTTGGTGGAGAGATGCTGAATACGTGATATCTCGAACATTGTGTATTCACTATACATTTTACTTGCTATTCATCACGTGTGTTCATATCTATATTGAGAGACAGCCATGTTTTATAGCCAGTCAAGGTTGGTTTACTTGACAGGAGATGGCCTTCGACTCGATGCTAGATACACTATGAGGTATGAAGTAAAGCGGCAGCACACTTTACCAGATCGGGAAATAGGATCACGGGAAACGCTTAGCTATGATGGCCTGGGCGTTAAGGCACTCAGGCCCCAGCCACCATCATGAGAGCAGATAATACTACGGAGTAATGATGATAATAATGACAGGAGTCAGGACCATAACAAGGTCACCACCAGCCAACCAACAACGAGCCTACCTGACCTGACCTTACCTCGGGGCTTGTTTGATCATCGGACATGAACCCGCGTGGGATAATCTTGTGATCTCCCTCTTCTCCTTTCCCTTGCATGGATATTTACATCATCCCCTTTTGCTTTTCCTTCATCTCGCTTTCATTGTTCATTCTTGGAACTCGCCACGGGCTCCGCATCCTGACGTTTCCCCAGCCGCTTCTCGGGGGTCTGCGATTACTGGCCGCACCTCCTTGAATCTTGGTCACCAACAACGAAATCACCAACATTCGAGACAGCGAGGCCATCCTTCTCTACTCTGTTCATCATATTTGAGATAGAGTCAATCCGACAACTCACCATGGCACCATGCCATTCGCGCGATGCGTCGATAATGATAGACAGCTACGAGCATGGCGTACAGGTAATAGACGAGAATAAGGAGTTCAAGTATGCTTCTTTCTCCATTTCCATATTCAAGCAAGTTGGCTCGGATGCGATGGGATCGCTTCGCATCTTGCCTTCTTGGACATTCCTGGATCATGGGTGTCCACTGCTGGTGGGGTTATCAATGAGCTGACAGTTACCAACTCGCAGTCCCAATATCTCGAAGTACCTGAGTCTCGAAAATGTCACGCACGCCGGTTTCAACTATCATCTCATCTCTGTTTTCGGTTCACAATCGACCGGAAAGTCGACCCTCCTCAATCATCTCTTCGGCACACACTTCTCCGTAATGGCAGAAAGGGAACGACGCCAGACGACCAAGGGTATCTGGATGTCGAAGAACAAGAATGGAGGAGAGGTTTCCGCAGATCACAGTGCGCGCATGGCGGATAACATCCTCGTTATGGATGTCGAGGGCACCGACGGTCGGGAGAGAGGAGAGGACCAGGACTTCGAGCGCAAAAGTGCTCTCTTCGCCCTCGCTACCAGTGAAGTGCTTATTGTGAATATCTGGGAGCACCAGGTCGGTCTATATCAAGGCGCAAACATGGGTCTACTCAAGACTGTCTTTGAAGTCAATCTGCAATTGTTCTTGAAGGACAAGAAGTATGTGCATGTCCCCCAGGTCCCGTCTCGGCTCCCTGATCGCATTGGATGATATATTGACTAGCCTTGTCGCCGCAGCACTACTCATCGATCCCTCCTCTTCTTTGTGATTCGTGATTTCGTCGGCACAACGCCTCTTCAAAATCTCCAGACCACCTTGATGGAAGACATGTCTCGTCTTTGGGATTCGATCTCCAAGCCTCCTGGTCTGGAAAACTCGAGTGTGCATGACTATTTTGATTTCCAATTCTATGGGCTTCCCCATAAGAGCTACCAACCAGAACAGTTCGTTGCTGAAACCAAGAAACTCAGCCTGCGCTTCCGCGAGGGGCAGAGGGATCCGGCAATGGATGCGCGCAGAGGTAAATTCTCCGAGGGAGGCGTCTTCCTTCCCGAATATCATCGGCGCATACCTGCAGATGGCTTCTCAAGATATGCGGAGGGAATTTGGGATCAGATTGTGAACAACAAGGATCTCGATCTGCCCACCCAGCAGGAGCTACTTGCGCAATTTCGCTGCGATGAGATCATGAGGGAAGTAATGCTTGTTTTCGATGAAGCTATTACTCCGTTCGAGGAGAAGCAGTCACAAGCTGCCCGGCTTGGAGAACCAGAGGTGCTCGGGGGCCTTGGGGCTGCCATGCGCTCATCCCGGACGAAGGCAATCAATGAATTTGAGATCGAGGCAAGCAGATACCACAAGGGTGTTTACCAACGCAAGCAGGAGGAGCTTGAAGACAAGATCGACACTCGTCTTAAAGCCCTCTTGCAAGGTCAACTTAATGCTGCGCACAAATCGGGTATAAACGAGTTCACCGAGGCAGTGTCTGCTGCTGTGAAGATGGGCCAAAAGCACGGCACAGGGTATGACTTTGCCGAGATTGTCAATGGTGAGGTGAGGAAAGCTGTCGCGAAATACGAGGACGTGGCTCGGTCAACTGTTGTGGAAAGCACCAGCTGGAGAGACTATAGCCAAGAGCTATCTTTGTACGAAAAGGAGCTTGCTGAAGTCAGCGGCCGGTTGAGAAGGGAGGAGATGCGACGCCTGGCCAGCCGTGTGGAGCGTTGGGTCCAGTCTCGCCTGGGGGATTCAGTTGGTCTCGAATTCAATGCCCTCGGGTCTGGACGCGCCGGTGGCGGTGCGCCAGAATCCGGAGAGAAGCCTTCTGAGAAGGCTTTCTGGGATCGGATCTGGAATGTGTTTGTGGAGACAGTCCTCGATGCCGAGCGTAGGTTCACAGACCGTGCCAGCAGCTTCGACGCCAGCTTGGAGGAAGTGGACGTGGGACTCTGGAGACTTCGCCGCAAGTCCTGGGGTGTTCTGCGCGCAAAGGTCGACGAGGAGATGACTGAGGGAAATCTATTGCTAAAGCTGCGGGAGAACTTCGAGGACAAGTTCCGGTACGACGACGCTGGAGTCCCTAGAATCTGGCGACCAACCGATGATATTGAGGGCATCTACACCCGCGCACGCGAGTCGACCTTGACTCTGATTCCTCTCTTGTCTCGCTTTCGACTAGCAGAAACATCGGCTCCGCCTCCACTTGATCGCTGGATCGGCCATACTCCAAGCTCCGCCACCCCAGCGGATGAGGAAGACCTGCCACCCATCGGTGGTGTCGATGAGGAGGAAGGGAAGAGCTTGGAGGAAGAGATGACGATCTTGAGCGAGGCCAAGAGCCAGGAGCTCACTGTCAGATTCAAGAAGTCCGCCGACGGCGTGTATGTCGAGGCGAAGCGGAGTGCCATTGGCGGCATGACTCAAGTGCCTCTGTATTTCTATGGTCTTCTCCTTGCTCTAGGATGGAACGAGATTGTGGCAGGTGAGTGCTCTTCTATTAACCTTTTCACAAAGTTTTGATGGGTGGTTTTTACTGATTGCCTCCTACAGTACTCCGCAATCCGGCTTATTTCTTCCTTCTGTTTGTATGTGCCGTAGGAGCATATGTCACTTACCAGTTGAATCTTTGGGGTCCTATCATCAAGATGACCGAGGCCGCATCGAATCAGGCACTGGTTGAAGGCAAAAAGCGCCTACGCGAGTTTCTTGAATCGTCCGATACTGGACGCCAAGCTATTGCCATGTCAACCTCTGGAGCGGGTTCAGGGCGCTCTGGTGAGCAGTACGAGATGTCTGATTTCAGCCAGAAGAGCAAGACGGCATCACCAGCCGACGAAGACACGGATACTTTGTGAGCCTGATATTCTGTATACCTAGTGTATTTTGACTTTAGAGTACAGTTTTTATTCGAATACATAATTTTTTAGGTTACATCATGGGAATAGGGGAATCTGCAATGTATTGAGCCACTGGCTATTCGGGCCAAGCTTATAGCCGAGTCCATTATTCTTCGATTTTAACAGGATAAATCCATCTCTGGCGTCATCTCGTCTTAACTCCTGTGGGGGGAGGGTCGCGTTTCCCCACGTCAACAGTGGAGTTATTCCGAATCCCCCCCCCCCCGCAGGAGCTACACATCACTCACTCCTTGACACTTCCATGATCGAGAATTTCTGTACTCGTTAGACTCTACGAGTACCTCCAACTTCTTTCGAAATCAATCTGGGTTATCTCACGTTACCAGCATTGAGCACTTCTGAGGCGAGTAAACAACCAATAAGCCGTCCCCAAAGTACTATACACATCGCTTCTTTGAGAAGTACCCCAACAATCATGTCAGGAATCGAAGATCTGCCCGAGACATACGATGATCTTCCAGACAAACAGCGATTCTGGCCGTCAGCATCAGGATCTTCAGATGAAGGGCTAGGGATGCTCCGCCTTTTGACGCCGGAGATCGTGGCCGATGCCGCGCGCACACAGATCCAAACGGGGGAGCGCGTCTGCTTGAACTGGGATATGGAGAAGTTGAATCCTCCGGGTATGGTATAGCGAGAGTTTGGTTCATAGGAGATCGTTCTTTGCGCCATGCTACTATATCTCGATTTCGATGTGTTAATGCTCACGGTTTCACCAGGATTTGGCCGTAGATCGTTTGAACACAGGGTTGAATGGGTTGCGCCTGGTACCGCCTTCGATGATGAGTATCACTTCAATCCGCAGCAGTCCTCCCAGTGGGACGGGTTCCGGCACCATAACGCTCCCGCGCCAACCGCCGACGAGCCAGACCGCAGGCTATTCTACGGCGGCACCACAGCGGAGGAGATCCAGGACTCGACCAGCAGCCGCATTGGGATCGGGCACTGGGCGAGGAAAGGCATCGCGGGCCGCGGCGTGCTTATCGACTATCTCTCCTGGGCGGAAAGAAAGGGGATCACAGTCGACGCGCTGAGCCAGCATGTCATCTCCCTGGACGACGTGCTGGCCATCGCGCGCGAATGCAATATTGAGTTCAAGCGGGGCGATATCTTCTTCCTCCGTGTCGGACTGACGCGGACATGGGATGCGCTGAATGAGCAGCAGAAGCTGGCGTATAGCCAGCAGTCAATGCCCAAGCATGCGGGCATCGAGCAGAGTGAGCGGGTGCTGCGGTTCCTGTGGGACAACCATTTTGCGGCAGTGGCTTCGGATGCCGTCAGCTTTGAGGTGTATCCGCCTCTGGACCCTGAATTCGATCTGCACCATTATCTCCTGGCTGGATGGGGGATCCCGATCGGGGAGATGTTTGACTTGGAGGAGCTGGCGGAGATGTGCAGGCGGCTGGGTCGGTGGACATTTTTTGTGTCGAGTAGTCCTTTGAACTGTGCGCGGGGCGTTTCGAGTCCCCCTAATTGTATGGCTATCTTCTGATGCTCTTCTACATATAGTCGTCATGATATACTGTGTTGCATAGGATTTTTTATCCGCATAAACCACGCTGTTCATAAATTATCGCTTTCACAAGTGTTATCTAATCGCACGTGATCGTTATCGACCTCGGCTCCCAACGGTTTGTCGATTCAACAAAGTAACGTCAGCTTCGCGTTCATACCCCCTATAGGATCTTCTCTAGAGTCATCTCTAGCACGTCGCGAACATAGCCGCTCCCTTGTGTGAATTTCCTCTGTCCTTTCTGTGTATTTGCTCGTGCCATTGCTGTAATCCTCTCAGTTTTGTCCCACTACTTTTCATCTCCGCTCTACCTTCCCCCCAGATAAACTCTCCACTCTAAATAATCTTAATATAATTGAATCTACTCGGCTGCTATTGAGCAGCATTATGGGTAACGGGATGTCGTCCTTGCCCCTCGATAGCATGCGCGGGCTGCTATCGGGCATTTCGTCACTAGTTTCTTGGAAGACGATGGCCCTGATCTTGGTTATCATTAATCTGAAGAACATGCCTCTGTTCTGGCACGTAAGTACCAAAAGCACCGAGCCTATCCACCGCGAGGAACAAGCAATTCCTGACCCAAGCAGGTCCGCATCCTCTACTACTTTGTGAGAAACATCCGCTGGCGTGTTCAGGACCCCCACTTCCCTCGGGGGAAAGCTCTGGTCACACACACCGGCAAGCCCACACACCCAGTATTCGTCTCGTACTCCATCTCCTCCCGCGCGCCCATCCTGGAGACAGACTACAACCAACACAAGTCCAACAGCACGTATTTCTCCGACCTGGACATCGCGCGAACCGCCCTGGTCACCCGGCTGTACAGCCCCGGCGCCTCCATCGTGAGCCGGGAACTCGACGCGGAGCTGCTCGAAGCCAGCCAGCGGGACGGCACGAAGCCGCCCAAGCGCAGGGGCATCTACGTGGCCCTTGGTTCGGTGTACTGCAGCTTCAAGCGCGAGATCAAGCCGTTCGAACTGTACGAGATGGAGAGCAAGGTCATCGCCTGGGACCAGAAGTGGATGTACGTCATGACGTTCTTCCTGCGGCCAGCCAGCCGCAAGGGCGGCGAGAAGACCCTGTTTGCGACTGCGGTGAGCAAGTATGTGGTCAAGAAGGGGAGGCTGACTGTTCCGCCGGAGCGGGTGCTGCGGGCCAGCGGTTTTCTGCCCCCGCGGCCGGCGGGCTCTGCTACCCCTGAGGTTGCGGATTCGAATGAACCGTCTGGGGTGGGCACGCCGGCTGGGGGGGAGGGACTCCCGGCGAATGTGTCAGGGGTGGATGGGTCGCTGGTGAGAGAGGTGCTGAAGCTGCAGGGGGAGGAGAAGCCGGAGCAGAGTGCTGCTGAGCAGAAGAGTAATGCTGAGACGTGGGATTCGGGCGAGTGGACGTGGGAGCGGATCGAGCAGGAACGGTTGCGTGGGTTGACGGTCGTGGAGGGATATACCACGATGGATGCGAAGCTGTACGAGGAGTGGCAGCATTAGTCTCCGTATGATTCTATGGCTTTGGATAGTGGTTTCTTCTTCAGGCTTACTGGATACTCAAACACTTTTTATATAGACTAGATTTGAAGCCAATATTGCAATGATAATGAATGTGGACCAAGGCCACAGTCGATGACTCCGAACAAGCATGATCGTCCGACTCAAGAAAAAAAAATCTCGTCGAATGAGTAGCTCAAGTTTCGTCTGCGCAAAGCCATGTCCCTAATCCGACACAACCAGGGTTCCCAACTCATCAAGAACAACCAACCTCAATCAACACAATCCTCCGTCCTTAGCCACAGAGACGGTGCCTCAACTGCTGAGCAGCTAGGAACAATCAATCAGTACGCGGGGCTAGAAGACCCATACTGGCCAGATACATACCATCGTTATCCGCCGGAGAGCACTGGGTGTCCAGGCAGTGTTGCACGGAATTCTGATACTCCCTGTTCGTGCAGGGACACATGAGGTCGACGTTGATATTGCATTGCTTGCTCTGATCAAGACATCGTTGCTACTCGCACGGTCAATATGGCTCTGTGACTGAGAGGTCATCGAGGGGATGTCTACCAGACAAGGTGTGATTCTTTGGGCGGCGACGAAGGCCGTCAAAGTGGCGAGAGAGAGAGCAAAAGAGAGTTTCATTGTTGACTTGTACGTTGGTTCCTGACAAGGCTGGACAGCTCAGAAGCCTGTCGGGTTTCAAGGCAGAGATTGTATATTCCTTTGCTTCTTTATGGTCTGCGAAGAGAGGACCGGTGGTCTAGCTCGGTCATATATGTCTGCCGTGAGACACGAGAGAGGACTCAATCGGTCATACACCTGTCGTTGTCGGTGATCATTGTGTTCCAAGTTGATGATCGTTAGCCCTAGACTGATCATGCAAGATCCATTTGCTATATGCTAGAATCACTCTTGCCAGTAGTGCAATGGATACACCAAACTCGGATGTAACATTTCCTACTCAGATGTCCACCACCATCTTTCCCAGGAGTCCAGAGTCTGCTGTATTCTCAACTAGTCTTGAGGACACAAGACGCGGTAACGCATATGTAAAAAACAAGCCTACTTGCATCGATCGCGGCATCAGATGCTACGTTAGGGCAGGGTCCTGGCTCATGTACTACCCCTGTGATAATGACTTGGGTGACCCAGTGCATCTATGCGGGTTTTGCGAAGAAGCTGGGGATGAGTGTAGAAAATGCCCGAGAGAATGGTATGATGAACAGACAACCTTCCTGTTCTCTTCCAATGGTCTGTGGATTGCTGCACCCGCATGGTGCAATCCCACGAGTGTTGACACTGAGCAGCCCACCAAATTATGCGATGCGACGCCGAAATGAGATCGTTATGTCTGTTCTACCGAAGCACAGCTGGCAAAGTCAGGCGATAGAGTTTCTGTACAGCATTCTTATGTATTCACAGAAGCAGTAGCACTCTACCTACGTAGTATATGCCTGTATGGCGGGTAACCGTGGCAGCTACTACCTGCCAGTTGTCACTCACTCAACCGTTTAGCCTCAGTTCCAATCGTACAATTGATCCACCCTCCTCATGGCTGCTCAATGTTCACTACGCAATCGCTCTCATGAGGTCATGGTCCCCGGGTTGTTCAGTATAAGCGGAGTCTAGATGCCAAGCGGTTTCGAGCACTTGAGAGACCTTCAAAATGTCCGATGCGACAGAATAATGGAATATCCAAGTGAAGAACATTGATCGAATAACTTCTCCCAAAAAATCTCTTCTCCAACCAGCCGGGCAAGCCGGCCGTATTGATGAAAAGGGTCGCGTCGATTGGGGGTAGTGTAAGCCCAATGACACTGTGTGGCGAGGCATGCGCAAGCACAGAGGCCCTGCCACTGGATCCAAAAATGAGATTAATCAATGTTGTGTTCCTTAGAACACTTTCAGAGATTAAACTGAAAAGAACAGATACTACACTTGATCTAAGCCAAAAGGCAAAGAGAGCTGAAGAAGAAAAGAAAAAAATTCTAAAGAGACGGGGGAGGCAGCAGATATTTATACTGACGACCGCTTGGTCCGTGCGACGCTAGCGGCGACGGCTCGCTTATTCGAGTCATGCCTCAGGCTGACGCAAGCCAGGTATGCGGTTTGCCTCAGGTATCCATGACTCGGCATCTATCTACGGAGTATATCTAACTCTCTAGCTATCTACTCTCTAAAGGCGTCACCTTTAGGCAGATCCACATAGCCGTACAGATTCATCTTTGCCGCGTCTTGCTGCATCTTCTGTCCCCACTCAGCCTGGTGCTTCAGGAACATCTCCACGTTCTTCTCATCGCTCAAGTCGATCGGGTCTTCGTCCTTGCCCACTTGCTTCATCTGCATTCCCGCCGCCGCGCTGGTTATCCCGAAATCCTGCTGGTCGATCTTCGGCTCAATCGCCCCCGTCACCTTGCCTTCCAGGATGTCGCGTGGCAAATGGAATTCCTGGCACGCAGGTCGAGCCAGCCCGACGCCATCCACCGTGTGCAGGGCCCCCACCATACCCGACGCCGTACGCAACCCACCCGTCACGTAGCTCCTCGTCTTGCTTAAGACCGGGGTGATGAGCGATGCGAACTCCAGAAAGAACGATTCCCGCTTCCCCGTGGACTCGCGCCTATGGCTGAACGCAAGAGACTCGTACGTGCCGCCAGACAACTCGACGAAATCAAACTCGTTCTCCTCCAGGATCCGACATAGGGCGCGTGCTTCTTCCGCCGTGAAGCCACCGGTCTGGAACTCGACCGAATTGATCTTGATGCCTAGCATAAACCCTGTTGACGCAGGCAGCTCCTTCCGGATGGACCGGGCGATCTCCACGATCAGCCGTGCTCTGTTCTCAAGACTCCCGCCGTACTCATCCGTGCGGTGATTCGTGGTCTGCGACAGGAACTGCGCCAAAAGGTACCCATGCGCGCCATGTAGCTGGATCCCGTCGTACCCAGCCTTGTGCAGATAGACCGCTGCGTGCGTCCACCGCCGCACGAAATCCTGGATCTCGTCCTTGGACGCTGCATGGGGCTTCGCGAAGCGCATCCCCATGATCTCCTTCTCGAGCCGGACATCGCTGGCCGAGACCGGGTCCGGCTGGAGCCGCTCCTCCGTCTGCCGCCCCGGGTGGCTGACCTGGCCGATGACCAGGCTGCCGTGTTTCTTGGCCTGTGTTGCCAGCTCGCGGAAGGCCTCGAAGCGCTGCCCGTGATAGGGATTCTCCAGATCGATGATCGGGTTGCCGGGGGCTTCGAGCTGGTCGTACGCTAGCATGATGTTGCCAGTGGAGATGAGCCCGTATCCGCCTTCGCCCCATCGCTTGTAGACGTTGACCAGCTCCGAGCTGGGGATGCCTCGTGCTTTTAGATCGGTGGGGGACCAGGACGAAAGTCGCTCGGTCATGGCCGCCTTGTAGAACCGATTGGGAGCTTCGCGCTGGCTGAAGGCGAAATGCAATGGCTTCCCCAGTGGTGAGACATCGACAGGATGCGAAGCGTATCGTGCAGGCATTTTGTTTTATGTGCGGGAGGAAATTTTCTGAACAAGGGACGTAGATATATATATATATGTGTATATATAAATATTGTAGTTGGGGTTTCTGATGTGAGATTATATATATAATAGGTTACACAATGTATCTATTCGACTGCCGCTCCTACCATATATACCCCATGGCGGTCTTGACGAGGCCACACGTACAAGAATGCTGTCGCAGAGTATCCAAGTTTTCTAACTCTCCTCTCCAGAGACAATGAATAACCATCCGCATAACCATCAAGGGTGACGTCACAATCGTACAAGACCCTCCGTCGAAAGATGGAGCACATTACAAATCAAGTCTCCGAGGATTTCATCATGGCAGCAGTATTAAAGCACTAATCGATCGTGTGGGTACGAAGTTCAGATCAATAGGCGTGAAGCCAAGGGACATGCGTATGGAGGTATATGCACCATGGAGCGAAGTCTTTCCCATCCCGAATGTCTTTGATTCGTCAGCCGGTCAAATCGAATATGGGCCGTTTCCTCCTGCTCGTTCGGTTGGCGACCATCTGTGCTTTGCGCTCGGCCCAATTCTCAATCTAGGGTTGCCATCAGCGTGTTGTTTGTTAACTTCCAAGTACCATGCCGCATGCTTACGTTGGTGAACTTGGATGACAGCCATGCAATGACCGTCAAGAGTAACAGCACCCCGCCAACTAGAGGGTACCATCTCCAGGAAGGATCATCTTTTAGCAGATCCACGTTCATTCCGAAGAGACTCTATGACAGTGAGATCAGTATATTCAATTGCTTTGAAAGTCCAAGACGTACCGATGCAAATGTAAGAGGTAGGAAGACGAACTGCTTATATCAGCTGATGTACACAAGGCAGTAAAGATCTAAGGCAATGGGTATAGCGTACTGTAATCCAGCTGATTCGCTTCAGACTCGTCGCCAAACTGGTCGATCGATGCGCTTCGTTGATGGACACCCACGCGAATTCCTATGGAGAGGCGTTAGTTCGCAAGCCAGCTATGTGGGGAGTAGGATAACTTGCTATTTGTAGCAGATCCCGCATTGTCTGCTCTAGTTTCTCAATTTGTCCATGGATATCCCGTTCCATGGTGTTGATGATCCCGTTCATGCTTTCGCTGAGCCGATGGGTCTCGCTATACCGTTGATACTGAGACACAAAGTGACGCGCCTGGCTGAGTTGCTCCTCCAGTGTCCCCTGGATTCGCGTCCATTGCTGCATTTTCTCGGCAACCGCATCGATTAAAAGGTCGTCTTTTCCACGAGCGGTCAGTTGGTGGGTGCGCTAAGATTGGGTAAGTTTCGACATGTTGTGCCAATGATTGATCTGGAAGAAGTCACGAAGGGTGACTTACGAGGCGACTCAGATCGCTTCTAGCATCATGACAAAAGCCCATCCAGTCTTCTCTCCATGTGCGCATAAATAGCTCAATGAATTCAAGATCATTCTTGGGGACCCAGCCAAAGGGCAGGTTGCTGAAGTAGTGGATTGTTTTTGGAGGCATTTCCAGAACAGCCCATTCGATTGTTCGGAGGGTGCCGTTCTTATATTCAAAGTCCTCGTCTCCATTGTGGCCCAGCGAGATTGCATTCGCCATTTTCAGGTTCATTCGAATTGATAAGGTGAATGTCCTACAGGGACTCTTATGGCCCAAAGAGAATCTCAGCTCATTTGGTGAGTGGTTCATTTGCAGGTATGTTTTCCACTGATGATTTTCTCGAAAGAGCCTGCCTGACTGGTCAGATTGACAACAAGAAAGGAAGCACGGCAGGCAGCACCACATACATCAAATGTGTCTCGTCCGATGTCTTGGGCATCTTGCTTAGTTGTGTTCCCAATTCCTCTTCTGTGATCCACCAGGCCTTCTTCTTTCCATCGCGAACGACCACGATGTCAACAGCAGTTGCGGGCAATTCTCTGCGACGATGGTATCTTGGATCATTCTCGTCTTCTTCGATTTCAAGGAGCTTGGTACGTTGATACAGTAGTGCAGCCATTGCGGCACGATCCCCCTCTTTTATCGTCATCTGCATCACTGGGATAGAGCTGTAGGCACGTCCTGTGCGCGTGTTATTCAAGATTGCCAAATCGGTAGATGGGTTAATGGTGCTGCAAGGACCAAACCATTCTCCGTTATCAAGGCCCTGGATACTGGCCTGGTACTCCAGGAGAACTGCGACGGTGGCCCTATCGCCTTGTTGCAATGCTATCCTCATCAAGGGAATAGCATTGTATTGGTCCTCTTCCTCCAGGCTGACCTTGTACCGTTCGAGAAATGGTTTGAGAAGTCGAGACCGACTCTCTTGGATCATAATCCGAAGAGAAACAATGTCTTTTTTCTGGCCTGCAATTCCGCCAATACCAGAAACGAGTATGTCTGCGACATCGTAGTGGTTCCATTCTAGAGCGTAGATCAAAGGAGTCTTCCTATATCGGTCAATGGAGTTGGGGTCCGCCCAGACTGTCTGCATGAGATGCGTGACTAGTTCTTTGTCGCCCCTCTCACATGCCCAGGAAAGAAATGTCCTTCGGGCTTTTGTCATGGGCTCCAGGCCTTGCTTCGGGCCCAATAAAGAAAGCCATTCCTGGAGATACTCCCCTTTCCCGCCTGGATGCAGCTGCTCCATTGCTGTTCGCTTCTCCGTGTTGCTAATGAACCACCACAGAGGCAACTGCCCCTCTCTGTCGTGGACATCCACGCTGGCGCCATGGTCAATGAGAATGCCTGCCGTTTCGAGATGCCAATTCTCTGCGGCCCATGACAACGGTGTTCGCCCGCGCGCATCCTTGCCGTCGGGCTCGGCCTTTCCTTTTGTCAACAAGGCTGTCACAACCCGTTCGTAGCCTTTCTCGGCTGCCCGTGAAAGTGGCGTGCGCCCTTTCGAGTCTGGTAGATCAGACCGAACTCCTTTCTGGAGGAGTAGCTCTACCATTAAATGGTCTCCCTCCTTGGCCGCCCAATGGAGCGGGGTTTCACCATGGTAATCTGCAAGGTTGGGATTCGCGCCTCGATAGAGGAGAAACTGCAGAAGATGGTCCCGGCGGTCGGACGTATCTGGTGATTGGGTTGAGTCAGACGCAGCTGCCCAAGAAAAAGCGGTCCGACCCGTACTGTCTTGCACATCAGGGGACACGCCGTATAGAAGCGGCTTGAGCTCATGAATGTTCCCTCGTTGCACAGCTAGCATCAGCTGGCGGATGTGCTCGTCTTCCAGGGGAATGATAGATGTCGTTGCTACCATTTTACCTCATGCTCGCTCCTTACAAGTTCTTTTTTGAAATCGAGGGACCGGAGGTTTCTTTTGAATGCCTCCATCAGTTCGCTGCGACGTTCAGACGAGGCTGGAAAATCCCCCATCAGCTTTCGAACTCGACTCAGCCTCCATTACGCTGGGGGCTTATTGGTTACATCCTAGGACACTCATGCAGCAGTCTCCGTGCTAGTTTAGACTCTTGGCATTGAAACATTCTTGTCAGCCGTGTGAGTTTGAACTATGAAGATCGAGCCGTGGATGTGATCAACATATTTAGCGGAAGGTTGGTGCTTGGCAATATCTTGTGGCCATGCATACATACACTGAGCCCCTTCCCTTGTGTTTGTGACTGATACAGATCAGCCACGTAGTACGAGGATATCCTCTGAGCGCTGAGCCTTTGTCCATTGACCATTTGCCCATTCGCATGCTTGGTATTGCTGAGAACAACGGCGTTTGTCAGGTTCCTCGATGCAGCCATTGGCTGCTGGGATTAGCAAGATGAATAAGGTACAACGCCCCTGACGATCACTCGCAGTATTGATTTCAGTGTCTTGACTTTCGGATTCGAGACGCCAGACTCGAACAATGTTTAAAAGATGTGGCCGTCCAATGTCAAGATGAAAACCCAACAATGAGACTTCACGTCGCTGCAGGTGAAGTGTCACGAACGCAAACCACCTACAATATCAAGGTGCCACGAGCATCAAAAATTAGCCTCATCCTAACATATCTTCAGGGCAGTGGAGGGCTATCTCACGAAGCGGCCTGAGAGAACAAGGCCAGTTGTATCACAGATTATGGGATACTAAATCTAGTCCTAGTCAGCACATGGCCTCCACGTTTAGAGAATCGAGGACGTTCTGGTGTTACAAGCGTCTTTGAAGACTCTTGCTAGACAAAAAAGATGAGGAGAATGACATCAATCTCAAGATCGATGAAGCTAAGAAGCGAGGCTGAGTCAATAAGTATAAAGCTAGAAGAGAGTACTTGACAGCTTGAAGAGGGTGTCCAGAGGATGAGAGAAGAGAAAGTCCCTGAGCAACGACAGATACTGGGTAGCACCTTTTTGGCGGACAACACAACCTTCAGTGTCTCTGCTTTCCCTCCCTCGAATCTCCTTCCTGCTCTCTCACTCTCTTTCTCCTTCTCACGCGTAGGTTTACTTTCCTCTATCTCCTACACGTAACTTCTCCCTCTCCTTCACTCTCGTTTCAACTTCATCTCTCATCTCAACGACCTCTTCGGGTCTACCACAGCCATCATGAGTGACCCAGTCAATTCTGCAGACCTGGTGACGGTGGCTCAGGCTCACGTCCCTAAGCAGTCTTTGGATAGCCCAGTGAAGGAAACGCAGACTTCTGTGGTTTTCATATCCCCAAACCTTGACAGTGAGGGCCGCGAGATTCCTACTAATGAGGAAGGGCGTACCCTTCGTCGTGTCGCGGGCAAAGTCCATTGGACTGCCTACACCATTGCCTTTGTCGAGCTCTGCGAGCGTTTCTCCTACTATGGAACCACTGCTGTCTGTATGTATTGACTATCCTTGTGTTATAATGGGTGAAAGAGAGGGAACTGACTAGGCTCAGTTGTCAACTTCATACAGCAGCCTCTTCCGGATGGTTCGGCCACTGGCGCTGGCCATAGTGGACAGTCTGGTGCCTTGGGTATGGGCCAGAGAGCCTCTACTGGTCTGACAACCTGTAGGTTTTCTTTTCTTTTTCTTTTTCTTTTTTTTTTTGCCTCTAGCCATTCCAGGATTGAAACACAGCTCACACCCATCTAGTCAATACCTTCTGGTGTTACCTAATGCCTATTCTCGGTGCGTATATTGCAGATGAATTCTGGGGTCGACTGAAGACGATTCAAGTGTCCATTGCCTTTGCAATGGTTGGACATATTATCCTGATTGTCTCTGCCTTACCTCCTGTGATCGCCCACCCTCATGGTGCTTTGGGTTGTTTCGCTGTCGGTCTGGTGATCTTCGGAATAGGTGTCGGAGGTTTCAAGTAAGGATATTCAGCTCGTTTTCCATCTTTACAGCAATGGCCCTGACATGTCCGAACAGGTCAAACATCGCGCCCTTGATCGCCGAGCAGCACAAAGAAACGAGATCCTTCATCAAGGTGATCCCCAAGACTGGCGAGCGTGTAATTGTGGACCCTGCTCAGACAATCACTCGCATCTTCTTGTACTTCTACTTCATGATCAACATCGGCGCCTTGGTTGGCTCGATTGCTATGGTCTACGCTGAGAAGTACGTCGGGTTTTGGCTCGCGTTCCTTCTCCCGACGGTCATGTTTGCTGTCTGCCCTGCAGTGATTCTCATCTGCCGCAACAAGTACGAAGTCACACCCCCGACTGGCTCGGTTTCCGCCAAAGCCTTCAAGCTCTGGGCATTTGCTCTGCGAGGCCGCTGGTCCTGGAACCCAGTGAAATTGTGAGTGGTTATGGAGCCTTCCTTGTGCTGGAGATACTAACTCTTTTCTTGTATAGTGTTCAGAACTGCAGGTCGCCTGACTTCTGGGAGAATGTGAAACCCAGCAAGGTCCGAAATAAGCCAGAGTGGATGACATTCGATGACCAGTGGGTCGACGAGGTACGCAGAGCTGTCAAAGCTTGCGCTGTGTTTCTCTGGTATCCCGTTTACTGTGAGTCTTTCCAGTAGGGTTCGATTCGATGTAGCTACCGCCCCGGACTTACATTCTCTAGGGCTGGCCTACGGACAAATGACCAACAACCTGACCTCCCAGGCCGCCACGATGGAACTGCACGGTGCTCCCAACGACCTCATCAATAACCTGGATCCTCTCGCGCTGATCATCTTCATCCCCATCATGGACCAGCTCATCTACCCCGGCATCCGCAAGCTAGGGTTCAACTTCACCCCGCTGAAGAAGATCTATGTGGGCTATATCATCGCCTCGATGTCCATGATCGCAGCCGCCGTTACGCAGTACTACATCTATAAGATGAGTCCCTGCGGCGACCATCCCAGCGACTGTGATAGCCCGGCGCCGATTAACGTCTGGGTTCAGACCCTGCCGTATGTCCTGATTGCGTTTTCGGAAATCTTCACCTCGATCACAGGCTACGAGTATGCATTCACCAAGGCGCCTAAGAACATGAAGAGCTTGGGTATGCTTCCTCTCTTTCATCTGTGTATCTGTTATCTCTTGTGAATACGGGGAAGTGCGCATGGCTGACACCTTCCAACAGTCCAATCCCTCTACCTCTTCATGAATGCAATTTCCTCCGCAATCCAGCAAGGGCTCACAGCGCTCTCCACCGACCCGCTCCTCATCTGGAACTATGGATTCGTGGCCGTCCTGGCTTTCGTGGCCGGTAACCTCTTCTACCTGACCCATTACCAGACCGATTTGGAGGAGGACCGGCTCAACAACCTCGAGGCCTCGGCTTATCTGGGCACTAATCCGGGGGCTCGCAATGAGAAGATCGATCCGGAGCACCAGGTGACTGCGTGACAATCCCAGGCCGTCAGGTTTAATTCGAGGGGATTTTGCCGGGATCGAGCCAGGGATGTTTTCCGTTGTACTTTAGTACTACCTACCGAATGATAGTCGTCCTCACGGCCACCGCCTATCTGCTGATTCGGGTATGGGGGGATGGTATGTACTTTATGAAGTATGCAGATATGAGAAATGATACAAGATGTAATGACTTTTTATCTTGGTTTCTGAGTGCTATTGGCAAGGGTAGGGCGAACTGGAATCATCGTATGCACATTACTGCCAGGGGGTAGGCAGGGAGATAAAGAATAACATGACGGCGTTCCAGGTAAAGATTTGAATAGAAGAGATGAGGTCAATTAGACATATCCTGTATATCATCATTATACTCGGCCATGTATCAAACATGGCCAGTCGCCTTTTGAAGTACAGAAACGCCATTTTCCCAACATGAGATGCAAGCAAAGGAATATTAATACACAAGAAAAGGCCAGGGGCAAGGAAATCTAACAGGGGAAAAAAGAAAAAAAAAAAGAAGAGAAGAGAAAAAGACGATGGGTCAACCTCCAATCTATTTCTTCTCTTCTGTCTTCTCCTCCTCTTCCTTTGGCGCCGGTTGCGACTTCTCAGCATGATGAGGGTGATGGGGGTGATGGTCATGCTTCTCATACAGCGGCTGATGCTTCTGCTTCAACCGCTCCTCCTCCGCGGCAACCATGTCCTTCCACAGATCCTCGCCCTGTTGCTGGTTATGCGAGGCCGGGACATGCTCGACGACGCCGCCCTCCTTCTCCTGCTTTCCCTTGTTCGCGGCATCCAGCAGCCCCTTGCCCTTGCGCTGATCGGAGATCTCAAAGGCGGCGGAGGCGACGAGCACCGCAAGCGTGAGGCCCTGGGCATACACACGGGCCTGCACGATCTTCTGCTGGCCGCTGAGGTAAGGGTTGCGGCCGACGAGGACGAAGGAGCCGATCATGGAGGCGATCCAGGTGGCGCCGACGATCTTGTACTTCTCGCGGCGGGCGAGGGCGGTGACGCGGTCGACGAAGCTCATGTTGGCGAGCTCCTCCTGGCGCAGGCGCTCCTCGCGGTTCTCGTACCACTGCAGCTCCAGATTGCGGGCGGCCTCGTAGCTGCGCGAGGCGTGGTCGGCGGCGATGATACCGAAGAAGGTGCCGGAGGAGGTCACCAGGAAGGATTTCATGGGGAGCGTGAGGTTGCGGATGGTGTGGTAGCGTTTGGAGGCGGCGAGGACACCGGCGAGACCGCCGACTAGACCGATGACGCCGCCGACGGTGCCACCTCTTAGGACAGCGCTGTTGGGGGGCAAGTCCGTTAGTTTCTCGAATTCGGATCCCCCCCAAATGGAGTGTGATCACTCTGAAGGTGCAGGAGCGGGCGTGCTGCTTACCTGTAGTGAGCATCTTCCTCTTCTTTGGTAAGAATCTTCATGATGAGCGGATTGAAAGGGGGGTTTTTTTTGTTATATGTTCAAAGGTGGTGTGGTGTGTATGGTATATGTGACAATTGACCGGAATACGCGGAGACGATGAGATCGAAGAGGAGGAAGATGAACGATGAGTCCGAGGCAAGCGGAGAAGAAAGGGAAGGGAGGGGGGAAAAAAAGAAGAAAATGATGAAGGGGGGATGATGAAGTCAGAGAGAAGGCAATAAGTATAATGGATGCAGTGGATCTAATCTAATACTCCATATACTTATATATACTCTGTATGTTCTCCGTAATCTTCTCGAGAGCAGAGACCGGGTGACGTACGATGCCAGCGGGATCTGCTTTTTTTTTTTTTTTTTTTCTCTTTCGCTGGATCGGCGATTGGTCGGGGAGTAGCCTGATTCCTGAGGCTGGAGCGTGCTGAGTCACCCGTTGATTACTCTCGCGCGAAACACACGAGAATCTGTGTCAGCGTTTTCGGGTGTGTTGAGGCCAATCGTAACAACTGCCGCCGTGTGGCCTGATAGTAGTACTAGTAGACTAGTAGTATTGCCATATTATTATTTTTATTTTTATTATATTCGGGTGGTCCTGTTGAAACCCCGGTATTAGCCAATTTCGGTCGAAGTACGGACTACGGACTACGGAAATGTGCACCAAGGTTAAAAGGGCTAAAAAAAAACCCTCTCCCCCGGAACGCATAGGAAAGAAAATAAAATGCACTGCAACTCCCACTAATCATCCCCGGGGCGCCGTTCGCACGTCACAACCAAAGAAGAGGGGGCGAGAAAAACAAATAAAAAAAAAAAAATTCTTGATTGCAGCGTTTTGTTCGTCTCACGCTTGTACTTGGATTAATTGCATAGGGCCAGAGATAATACAAAAGGAAGAAAAAAGAAAGGAAAGAGAGCTGATGATGTCAACACGTCCGCCCGACGCATCTAGCGTCGTGATCCTTTCGCGGCAGCAATTTGCCGCGCCCGCATTCTCCGGAATCGATCCTCTCCGCTGGCTCCAAGGGGACGGGCAAATTTGCTCTCTTGCACCATCGTCGGGCGAGGAACAATGGTGTAGCTGGTATGGGTGATTTCGGCCCGAGCACGGTTGGCTAGACGGGGAGGAAGGAGTTCCCGCTGGCGAGCCTCTGCAACACTCGCTTGAGCAGATGTAGTACGAGCAGTGACTTTCCTGTGAGAATGGGATGGTGAGCATATGGGCCGGAAGGGAAGGGGGGCTCTTCCAAGACTGCATACCTAGGGTCATATTCAGCTTCCTGGTAAACCCGCTTCGAGTAGTCGTCGCTGCGCTGCAGGATAGGTCGCGTCCATTCGGCGAGCAGACGCTCCGCCATCCGCTTGATCCCAGCTTCCGGGCGTTTGCTCTTGGTGTAGAACACAATCACCTTGCCAATTCCGCTCGCGATCAGTGCCTCCTTGTTGATAGGGAGCTTGCCCAATGCGGTCATCAGATCGCGCTGAATGTTGTAAGCCGGCAGTGAGCCGTCGTCGAGCGGTTCGAGGAAGAACTTGACGGCCTCGAGGAGATTGATTTCAGGGTCGACCAGACTGTTCACGTATTGGTTGCGATTCAGTAGTGAGACGACCTCTGGGAGCATCTTCAGCTTGTGCATGGCAGGACGGCCTTCGCGGCGGTTGATCGCGTCCAGTTGGGCGGCATGTGTCATGCGTTTGCGCATATCTTCGATCTCAGCATCGGCCATTTGCTCCAAGTCCTGTGTAACCCGTCAATCTCGTCTTCACTCCAAGACCATGTCAGCCAGAGCACTACAGAGAAACATACAATTCCATCGGCTTTCCGGAACCGTCTCTTGGTGGGCTTCTTCATTGCCTCGTCCATCGCGCGGTCGAGGGCTCTGCGACGACCTAGAATCCATTGTTAGTTTAGTCACCAACCCCCCGCGGGGACAGTATTGCCAAACGTACGTGTAGCGGGGTCCAGCAAGTCCTCATCCTCAGGCGTAGGATCTCTCTTCTTCCGATCCCTGCGACGAGCCTTAGAATCGCCCTCGTCGCCCCCCTCCTCCATATCCCGTAGCCGGCGACTCTTCTTCTCCCGGCGCCCTTCCCGCTTCCGTTGGACGCGCTCGCTATCCTCCTCTGTCCTCTTGCGCTTGTGCCGACCGATCAGTTTCAGATTATCCTCGTCGATCGCGAGCTGTGGGCGATCCTCGACATCAACATTCTCAGGGTCAAAGTCATCGAACTGTGCCTCGTCGACTTCCGAGAGAATCGACTCCTCGTCCGAATCCACTGCGTCTGCGTCGTCCTCGTCTTCATCATCGTCATCACCAGCCGCCGATTGCGCCGCGGGCGTTGCGGATGCCGCTGCCTCGTCTTGTCCGTCGTCGTTGTCGTCGGCGCCAGGAGTCGGCGGTCTGGCTGTCTCCTCGGCCAGGTCCACCTGGGGTTCATGATCCGATACGGCGGCGGCGGGGGAATGGGGCTTGCTCTCTGGGCTTGCAGACATGTTGATGATGTTATTGAACGGAGAAAAGACGGTGGTGTTAGTAGAGGTTGTTAGATCAGTGGTCGTATCGGAGCGCCTGGTGCGGCTCCCGCTGTAGTCAACGCTTCTTCACTTGAGCCGGTCAAGTCGATAGAACAAGTAGCACCCTTGACGCAGATGATTTTCTCTGAAGAGACTTTCAGTACTGGTGGAGAGTAAAGGGGAGTAGTTGTCGATGAAGTGAAGCGTGAGGGGAGGGAGGTAGAGATGGGAGGCTGGTCGTTTCGGGGATCAGTCCGTGATCACCAGCAGAAACAGCAACAGCAGAAATTCCGCCTCCGCGAGTGTGGTTGGTCCGTGCAGCCGCATTTCGACTCTTCGGCGATGTGAATGAAGGTCATCGACTTCTTTTCATTTTCCGCTCCAAGTCAGACTACCATTTCCATACCATCTCTCCAGAAGCTTTTCTTTCCACCCAGAAAAGACTCTATCTCACAATGTTCGCTCCCGGTAAGTCAGACTGCCCCATATATCTAACCCCCACCGTCGTCCTCATCGATTCACTTTCAACACCCCCCCGGCCGGTCCTGCACACATCGCTAACTCTCTTCTCTCTTTCAGGTCAAGAACAGCTTTCCAAGGAGGAGCTCAGGGTAAACCCCCCCTTCTTTCCAACGCTGTCGGAGCTAGCAGACACACACACACCACTTTCCCCTAGACTCCATGCTAACAACACCCTTTCCCTCACAGGCTTCTGAGGCTCAGGCTAGCCAGACCGTCCGCGCCGCCATCACCGGCGGTATCCTCCTCTACCTCTGTAAGTCATCAGCGACAGCATGACTGCTATGAACATAGACATCGCATCGTCTAACCTGGCTGGCCACAATAGCCCCCTTCGCCGTCGACTTCGTCAAGAAGTTTCTCTAGATGCATCGATCTTTCTACCTTACACATCGCTGCATAGCTCGTTGACTTGCTTCGGAACGATGGTTACGGTTATGGCTGTGGCTTGGCGCTTTGTCTATCTCGGATTCTCAGGCGTGGATGTATTACTATTGTACATTGGATGTTCTTCGTTATCGGATATAGGATGGGGAAGATTGAATTGAAGCATTTATGCCCTGGACCAAGGCGAGGTCGCGAGAACTGTAACGGATATTGGGTCTTGCTTTTGGTTTGAGACGTGTACAATTGTGTAGGATATCAGCTCCAACAAAGAAAAAAAAAAGAAAGACTCCGGTTTGCTCCAGGGAATTCAACCATACAAACACCTCCCCAGATGGTCATCAAGAGGAATCACAAAGAGAAAATCAGTCACACCAGATGCACAAAAGGCATTACATAACACGCGTCGTTGCATATGTCTATCTATCGCTCAATGGGAAGCCGTCCCCTGCAGCAGCTTCTCCGCCTCTTCGAAGTCCTTTTTCACTGATTGCAGTTCCTTGTGCAGGTGCTCGATCTGGGCATGGTAATCGGCCAGAATCTGAGGATGCATTAGCGATTGGTCTGAGCGCGAATTCAAATAATATCAAGGAGTAAGCGTAGACATACCTTCTTTGTCGTCTTCATGGTGTTCTCATCCAGCTCATCTTCAGCCTGAGCCGCCGTGGTGGCACCCGCTCGCTCCATCTCCGCCTGGAGCCGTTTCGAGTGCTCACGGATCGCCAACATCCGCGCCCAGATCTCCTCAGCACGTCCGTTAAGCGAAGGGTCAAAGACAGACCGCTCCAGCTGCGAGAGCTTCTTCCTCAGCTCCTCTTCCGCCTCGTCCATCGCGTACCCTCGATTCCGGAGCACCTGGGTCTTGGCGGCCAGGGCGAGACAGCGCTTGCTCAGCACCAGATGCTTGCGACGGCAGTCGGCGATCTTGACGGAAATCTTGAGGTCGTGGCGTGACAGCAAGTCGGTGAGACAGTTGTTGATCTCGTGGAGACGGGTCTGGGCCATGGTCAGGAAGTCCTTCTGTCTCTGAGCGCGCTTGCCGAGTTCCCAGAAGCCTCGCACCAGCACGGGCACGTAGCCCGGGCCAGGCCGTTTCCGTAACGCCTCCTCCCACTTTGTGTCGTCGTCCTCTGCGGTGGGCTGGAAGAAGGGTGCGGAATCCTCTGTGACGTAGTTATACAGATAAGACCGGAACGGCGACGCGCGGGTGCCGGTGTCCCACTTATTCTTCAGGATCTCAATCTGCATGGGCACAGTACGATGTACTAGAAACCCACCCCGTTAGCCGAACTCCCCGAATCACTCAATCGAAGCGCGTGAACGTGAACAAACCTCCAGTGACGGCGCGGCCTGGCGACCAGAGGCTAGACCCGGGTTGGTGTGTTGTGGTCTGTCCCAGTTGAGACTGCTGCTGCTGCTGCTGCTGCTGGGCCTGTTGCTGCTGTTGCTGACCGCCCAGCAAAGATCCACCGAACAGACCACCTTGTTGCTGAGGTTGCTGCTGCGGCTGTTGTGTAGTAGCTCCCAGGCCTCCAAAAAGACCACCCCCCTGCTGCTGCGGTTGCTGTTGCTGCTGCTGCTGTCCCAACCCTCCAAACAACCCACCACCCTGCGGCTTCTGCTGGCCGAGCGTCGACCCGAACAACCCACCACCGCCAGCAGCCGCTTGCTGCGGCTGCTGTGTCTGCGTCTGGCCCAGGCCGCCGCCAAATAGACCACCGCCCTGCGGTGTCTGTTGAGCCGTCGATCCAAACAGGCCCCCGCCGGCCTGAGGCTGATTCTGCGTCGTGGTCGTGGACCCAAAAAGGCCGCCGGTCTGCTGCGGTTGCGACGTCGCATTGGATCCGAAGAGGCCTCCTCCTCCCGCGGCGGGCTGCTGAGTCGGCGCCCCGCCGAATAGGCCGCCGCCGGGGGTTTGCTGCGTTCCCGCCGTCGTCGTCGTCGTCGTCGTCGTCGCGCCGAAGCCGCCAAAGGGGCTGGGCTTATTTGCGGTAGGCGTAGCGGACCCAAACAGTCCACCCGACTGTTGCTGAGTTTGGCCAAAGAGAGACATGGTGAGGTAGGAGTAGGCGTAGGTAATGAGAAAGGAAAGGAATTGACGCGGACTGCAGATGGGGAAGAATCGATTCAGTTGCGAGTGATACGGTGGAGGAGGGACAAAAACTGCTGGGACGCAGCGCTGGAGCTGCTTGCGCGCAAATCAAATCAGAACAGAAAAGGATGATCCTAGCAGCAGATCTCAAGAAAAAAAAAAAAAAAAAAAAGAACTTTTAGAGAAAGTTCGGTGTGTCTGGGATAGCAACGGCCGGAGCTGTCCACCAGCAATCTCATTGGGAGCGGCTTTGTTTTTCGTGGTAGACTCACGTGATCTATACCTTGCCAGCTCGTCCAATACGCCATACGCAGTCTACCATTGGCAAATGACTACGCAGAGCTCAGGTAGATATTTACTCAAATCTCGTAGAAGAGCTCAATTACATGCCCTCAATGCTACGAGGCTATTATAAATCTCTCTAGAGCCTAGATAAAGAAGCATTGGAAGCTCTGCATTGAAGAACGACAACCATCAGCGCCCTCTTACATAATCCACACCCAGCCAACCAATAAGAGCCTGGCAAAAACCGACCCTTCCCAGTGGAAACTCGCAGCTCCCTCTGCACCCGGTGCACCTCCAACCACGACTCCCGCCCCCGTCACTGCCAATCGCGCACATCCCACAGCCAGCCAATCCGTCAAGATGTCCCGGAGAGAGCCCCAGTACGTTCACTTGCTCAATTGAATCCCCCAGGGAGAGAGGGAGGGGAGTGAAAGGAGGAAAGGGAAGCAAGATCCCGAATGGAAAACTGACTGGGACACAGGTTCAACCAACATGTCCTCGTGGACACCACCCCGATGCCCAGCGACATCCCCAAGGTGGAGGAGGTGGGAGCGACGTCCGCGCCGCTGCTGAGCGCGTCGTACTTTATCGGCGACCGCTGCAAGGCGTTCAATGATGACTTCATGAAGTGCAAGGCCGAGGCGAACGGCCGCGGAGAGCTGGAGTGTCTGAAGGAGGGTCGGAAGGTTACCCGCTGTGCGGCGAGTGTGTATGTGTTACCCACGCTTTACCCAGCGTAAGGGAAGGGGAAGAGTGGTCGGTTGACCCGGTTCGAACAGGATCAAGGATATCAACACCCACTGCATGAAGCAGTTCACCGCCCACTGGGAGTGTCTCGAGAACAACAACCAGAACCTGTGGGAGTGCCGGAAGCCCGAGATGGCGCTCAACAGCTGTGTCTTTGAGAAGCTGGTTCGTTCCGCCCGCTGCCGAGGAGATTCGAACTCGGATGTGGATTTGGTTTCGGCATTCGGAATCAGATCCATGTGAGCCTGGCGCTGACGCTGACAATGAAACTAGGGCCTCAAGAAGACCATCCCCGGTGCCCCCGAGGGCCAGACGCCCGTACATTTGCGGCCCAAGCAGCTGTACGCCCAGTTCCCCGGTCCTCAGTACTAGAAATGCCCTCCCACGCCGTGTCGTTTCTCTATCTTATTTCTCCCCCGCCTCCCCTCCCCCCCTGTTCGGTTTCTTTCGTGGAATCTCGGTGTTTCTGATCGAAAGGCTTGTCTGTGTATATATTAGCATCAGGAATGATCAATGGTTTCTATCGCCTCTGTTCTACGAGTCGTTCTGTTTGGTGGTTTCGATCTTGTCAGTCTTTTGTTGTAGGAGGCTATATGACGAGTTGAATCTAGGCACTATAATACAGAGGATCTCCTGCGTACTCTTCGCCAAAAAAATGAGGGGGGAAAAAAACCGGCACCAGCAATTGATCCTCCTCTGTAGGTACTCCCCTCTTGGTACTCCCCTGTTTATATGATTTCTTCCCCCGAAAATGATACAGACAGAAAAGAAATGAAAAGAAACAGGGAAGGCAGGAGAAGATGAAACAAAGGAAACCGCATGGAAGGCAAAAGGTCCATGGACAAGGGCCAACGAGAGAATCTAATCTCTAGAAAGAACAAGAAAAGGAGAAGTTATTTACTTGAAAGAAACAAAGGGAAGAATAAAACCACCAGCTCCATCCCAAACCACATCCCAAAAAATGAAAAAAAAAAAAAAGGAAAAAACAAACGGTATGCTCAGAAGAGGCTATATACCCATGGTACCCGCTTGATGGATCTCAGCCTGGCCAGCCGCGTCTTGACCTCCGCCCATCCGACCCTGAGCTTCTCCTCGAGCCGCCGGTCGCCCTTGAGCCGCATCCAGATCAAGACCATGCCCAGAATCGCCAGGTCGAAGATAATCTGGCGGAAGGTCGCCCAGACGATCCATTTCAGCCAGGCCCAGACGGCGGAGCGGCGGCGGCTGGTCAGCGTGCGCGCCTCCATCTGCTCGCGCACCGCGGCCACCTCGGCCGTCATCTTGGTCAAGGCCTGCTCGACTCGGCGGCGCCATCGGCGGTCGCGGTCGGCGGAGGTGGCGACGTGGTGGTTCTTTTTGGGTTTGGTGTTGCTGTTGGAGTCCCCTGCTGCGGGTGGGGATTTTCTCGTTCGGCCCCGAGATTGGGCTTCGTCGTCATCGGCGAGACGCTGCTCGTTTGGGTGGTTGCTGCTACTGCTGCTGTCGTGGGTGTGAGAGTTGGTATGGGTATGGGTGTCATGGTCATCATCGTCGTAAAGGGTATCTTGAGCTTCCTCGTATTCCTCCTCCTCCTCCTCTCCCCCTTCCTCCAACTCTTCGTCTCCTTCCTGTTCCTCCCCCCGATGCGACGCCTGTCGCTGATACAGCCCATCGGGCTGGCTGACCGGGCTGAGCACACGCAATCGCGAGTCACCCCGGTTCCCAATATACTTCGGATTCTCGCGGACCGTCGCCAGGATATCCTCGTAGATGGGGCCGGCCAAGCGCCCGCCTACACTCGAGTAGTTGTGCTGCGGAGAAACGCCGGCGGTCGCCTGCACGGGGCTCGAGGACGACGAGGACGAGGAGTTGGATTTGATCTGATCCCAGACGAACTCGAGCTCGGCGACCAGCTCGCGGGCCTCGGCGGTCTGTGAGGCGTAGCGGTGCATGGTGTCGATGAGGGTGGAGATGTAGCGGCGTTTGGCCTCGGTGCGGGAGAGGCCGCGCTGGGCGTACCAGGCGTCCCTAGAGCGGTGATTAGCGTTTAGTTCTTGGGGGGAGGAAGATACGGGGCAACGAGAGGGTTGGACGCACCATTTCTCGCACTCCGCGTAGACGTCTGCGGTGTTTCCGATGGGTCGGTCCATGACGCCTTCCACGTCGCCTTCTGTATCGCATCGTACAAACGATCAGCACTTTGTCCATGTCCATGGTTTCAACCGGAATCTCAGCAATCGTACCCATACTCTGCTTATACAACCCATACAGCTTCAACCTCTCCGCAGCAGGCGGTCGCGCGGTCCCCGTCCGAGGGATCCGCTTAACGGTATTGAGGGCATGAACGAAGACTCGATCTAGATCACAGTCAAATCAGCCAATCTCTCTTTGTTAGGATAATTCCCTCCCCAACCCAAAATCCACACATACCCACAGAGTCCGACATGGTGAGATCCGGCGCCTCGAGCTGAGCCGGCCCTTCATGGGCGCTGGCGCTGACCTGGCGAGGTATGAATACCGGCGGCGATTTCTCCTGCAGATAGCGCGAGAGTAGCAGCGGTGGTTGCTCCAGCTTTTCTTGTTTTGCGCGTTTTTCTCTTTTTCCTTTTCTTTTTTCTTTTTTTTTTCGCGTCCTCCACGTCGGGCTCGGGCTCGGACTCGATCGCGCGAAGGGATTTGTTCAGATGGGGGAAGAAGGGAATGGCAATGGCAATGGCAATGGAAGGGATGATGTACGTCTGTCTATCTGAGAGAGTGGTTCGGGAGTGGACCGCTGGGTTTGGTTTATCGCAGGAGCTTCCCCGGATTTTCTCGGGCGTTGAGTTGAGCCACCGGACAATTGGATGATGGGGGCTGGTGCTTTTCCGTTTGGCGGATACGATTGAGAATTGTCAGATCGGATGAAATAATGTTGTTGTCTTCTGTTTCTTTTGCTGTTGCATATGGCGGACGATATGGTGCGTTGGCTGTTCGTGGGGGGGGGGAATTGTTGAACCGCGGCTCTCGGAAGGAAGCTAGCTGACAACAGCTACGGACTGCACCTGTGATAGACACGCAAGTCACATTTCGCCAGCAGTAGGTTTACTTGTTTTCTGGAGGGATTTGGTACGCTGACCGTAATTTGTCAATTGGAGTCGACTGGCTGGTACCCTGGTATATACAAGATTACTACGTAAGGATGGGTATGTCGCGTGTATTTTACATGTGCATGTCCTATCAATCATATATTATGGCTTGCCCGCTTGACATGTAGCTCTCTCTGACAAGAAATGCGAAGATCCTAAAGATGTAACCAGACATCATTGCTCCGCCTTATTTGCAACGGCCAATTCATCGGCACAGGCATGCTCCGCGTCTACAACGGCCTTCCCCGTCATCACCGGCTGCGCCCTGACTTCCTCAGCCGACATGGGCGGGCCGGTGAAATGCTTCCGCGCATACACGATATACCAGCCGATACTGATGACCGCGAAGCCGGCAAAGACGACGCTGGCGTAGTTCATCGAGCTGGCGGTCACGGGCAGCGAGACGGGCATGCAGAACAGGACGACGGCGAGGACGATCCAGACGATGGTGATGGCGTTGATGGTGTAGCCGAACGCGCCGAGCGAGAAGGAGGAGCGCTTGACGTCCTGGCGGCCGCGGATCATGGAGATCAGGATGGGCAGGCCGTACGAGGTGGAGAGGCAGATGGTGGCGACGCCGGTGAAGGAGTTGAACGCGGCGGTGGAGCCGAAGTAGATGAGGCCGAGGAGGCAGATGACGGCGCAGGAGAGCAAGATCGCGTAGACGGGCACGTCGAGGCGCCGGTGGACCGTGCGCCAGAGGCGGAAGCCCGGGATGGCGCCGTCGCGCGCGAAGGCGTAGGTGCACCGGCTGGCGGCGGTCAGGGAGCCGATGCCAGCGAACATGAGGATGCCGAGGATGAGGAACAGCAGGCCGAAGCCGCCGCCGGCGGAGCCCGTGGCGGTCTTGAAGATCAGGCCGATGGGTTGGCCGCTGGTGACGCCGAGGAGCTCCTTGACGGACGGCAGGACGAAGAGGATGGGGATGAGGTAGACCAGGCCCGTGATTCCGGCGGCCACCACGGACAGCACGATGGCTTTGGGGACCTCCCGATGCGGGTTCTGCACCTCCTCGCACATGGCGGCCACCATGCCGTATCCCGTCAGAGTATATGCTGCCTGCAGCAAACCGACGAAGAAGGCCCATCCGGCAGGCCTTTTTTTTTCGGCTCACATCAGCGGTGTCCTCACACCAAAAAAAAAAAAAAAAAAAAAAAAATATGCTAATAGAAGAACTCACCAACCACTATCCGACGCATCATAATGCCCAAACACAAACGCGGCATCTCTCCGATTATCCGCCATGGACAACAGCACGACCAAGATGATCACGACACTCGCCGCAGTCCAGATGATGCACACTTTATTGATTAGATCCAGATAGCGCGAGAAGAAGATATTGACCACGGCACAGACGGCCACGACGGCCCAGAACATCAGGATGGTCTGCCAGGCATTCGCGACAAAGTCCTCGTTCCACAGCGAGATGGCGCTGAGGATCAGCTGCCCACCGGAGAACGTGATGCTAAGGGTGACGGTCCAGTTGCCGACGAGGGTCAGCCAGCCGTCGATGAAGGACATCATGGGCGCCCACTCCTTGGTGGACAGCATGGCGCTCCAGTAGTAGACGCCGCCGGCGGTCGGGTAGACGGCGCAGATCTCGGCGAGCGACGCGGCGATGGCGGTGGAGATGAGCGCGACGAGCACCCAGCCCCAGAGGATGGTGACGGACTGGCCGTCGGTGAGGGTGATGTAGAGGGTGGTGCTGAGGCCGAAGGGGGCGGCCATGATGGCGAAGGAGCTAGGTGAAAAGTCCGTGGTCAGTTTTGGCCCAATGCAGAGGGGAAGAGGGCAGTAGCATCGCATACAGTCCTAGAATACTCAGCATGCTCAGATTGCGAGGCAATTCGCTCTTGTAGCCCATGCGAGCCAACGCCGCGTCGGCGCTGGATTGAGGCATGGCGAGAAGAATCCGATCAGGATGTTTTAAGACAGCATCAATCAACAAATGCAATCCGTTCCGAAGACAGTCGAACCGCAGGGATATAGAAGAGATAAGTGAGGAAACGAACAAGAAGAGGAAGGGGGATAGAGAGAGAGAGAGAGATGACAATGGCATCACCCAATCACCAGGACGAAGCAGACACAGAATAAGCTGCCACCATCCTTGCTTCCGCCTGGGGGATCGGTTCGTATCGATTCCCACTAACTCGATAGATAGACAGACCAGACTATCCATGACATGTGGTTCTCCTGCTCGAGTCATCTTGCTCGGAGCATCAAAATGTCGCGTGAAGGCCTTGGCGCAGTGATATCAATGGCTGGAATTCCCCGCACGTCAGAGACGAGAAGAGGTTGATAAGGTAAGATCTTGGCTTCAGTACTGTCCCTAGTACCTGATACCTAGTACCTACCTACTCTGGAGTTGTTGATGGTAGTCATTTTGACTGCGCATACCTCTGCTCTTCCTCGGGACGGTACTCTTGAACTGTCAGTCAACAACGATTGAGTCCACTTCAAAGCGTGCGGATCCTCTCCTCCTCCATCGTCCCGCCAGATAAGTAACCGCCGCCACACTAACCGGCACCGAATCCATGACTAACAGGCTTTGGCTCCATCACGCTAATCTTGCTGAAAGATAGATAGAGATCTAAATAGGAGATAAATCTATGGCTCGGCATAATGGAATATTGTATTTGGCTTGGTCATGGGGGTGGTGTCGTGTGCTGGAGAAGGTACATATATATATATGTAAGTGGCCGTATCACTTCTACCGAGGTAGTTAATAGAACACACGAACGTAGGCAAAAAGTCTCCTAGAATGCCGAATGTCGGACTACTTGAATATTACTCTGAGCTTGCCAATGCTTGTCTTGTCCGGATTGTCAGATCAATACAATCCGTGGTTCAGGCCCCCTTCTCTCGTAAAGCTTTCAGGTACCCGAGACGTCCAGCGGTCCTCCGAAAGATGGCAATTCAACTCTACAGGGATTCCTCTTCTCTTTCACGAGCATATATCTGAGATCATCCATTCACAGCTATCATTCAAAATACATCAAGTCGACTGTCACCCATGTCGGCGACGGCTGCCACATCCGCTGACTGCTGAGATCCGCTCGCCATTCCATCTTCCCACAAGAAAGATTCATAAAGAGCGGTCCAGCGGGGATGAGCGCCAGTACAAGAGAAAAATAGAATAAACAAGGGAAAGGAACAAGACGGTGGAACAGATCAGGGGAATTAGGGGGTATCAAAAGGGGGGGTTTCAAGACAGAGATATATCATAACTCAATCTCGTTCTTCATGCTTTTTCGGTTGAATTCCTTTTTTTTTTTTCCCTTGCTTTGTTCGTTCGTGCTTCGGTGTCCAGTGCCAGATAGTCGACGGGATCCTGGGCGCAAGTCGGCCCAGTGGCTGAGTATAGATAGACTCAAGACGACCGACCCTGCACGGTGGAAGGGAATGAGGGCGAGTAGGGGAGAGAGAGAGGGAAGAGGATGCATAAAAACCACAAACGAGTAAACATCACCACAGAATGAGGCATATGGGGAAGAACAAGGAAGAGTGAAAATGGCGACGATGTAGGCAACAGGCAGGCATTGATCAGGCAGATCAATGCCTGCCTGCTCCTGCTCCTCGCACAGTGTGACCTCGTCCGCTCGTGTCCCATGTAACCACCCACGGCTAAAAGAGCTTGTTCATCAGTCATGTCCCGTAGTCTAATTTTCATCTCTCCTTTTTTTTTTTTTTTTTTTTCATCGTCCATAAACACCAACGCCTTCACTTTTGACCATTCAACAAGGCCTTAAGTGGTGCAGGGCCCCCAAGCTGAGTCACAACCAGCCAGCTAGCGTCAACTCCGTGGTGAAAATGGACCGGGACGAGAAGGTGGCCAAGGGTCAGAACGAGCGAAAACCTCGAGAGAAAAAGGAAAAAAAACAACACAGTCAAAAAAAGATAACAGAACGCCCAATCATGCAGTCGTCAATCCAGATAAATCGTTACATGAGATGTTGCAGCATTATAAGCGACAGGCATATACAGAACACATCGATGATGCCGGGGGCGCCCGCACGTCACGGACTCAGCTCGGCACAGAGGTCGTCGGTGCCATCTAAGCCAAATCCGGCCATGTCGACCGAATGCAGAGACCCTGGGCCTCGACCCAAAGAGATGTCGGACGACGCATAGTCGTGCTTGAGTCGTTCGTGAGGGCCAAAGAACGGTCGATTCTCCTCGTTTGGAGTGTTTCCGTCCCCGGCGGCCCAGGGCCCATGCTGCCAGAATCGCGTGTTGGCCTGTTGGTCACCAAAGAGGTCATGGTGGTCGTGATGGACTTCCGCCCCATGACTCGTGAAGTCGTTGGGGGACTGAAACCTCAGATGCGACCGACTAAAACTCGAGCACGGCGAGTCGGCATGGAGGGGTAAGTCGAGACCGGACAGCGGCATGTCCTCCACCGTCGTGATATCAATGGTGGGGTTCGCCGTCTGTTGAGCCAGAGCCGATGCAAGTCGAAGATTGGACGACGAGCTTTGTCGACTGTGCGGGGCCGAGCGTTCGATGGCTCGCTGCACGAAGCTGCCGCACGTCTTGAGGATCTTCTCCTGGTCTTCTGGCGACAAGCTGGCAAAGTAGTCGTTCGCCAGGGATGGCTTCGGCAGCTCCGGTTCGCAGGGGCCGAGATCATAGGTCTTCTTGGCGTATTCGGTGAACCCGGACGGCATGTCGTAGGGAGACTGGTAGACGGCCGGGGCCTGGGCACGTTGCTGATCGAGATAAGCATATTTGCCTGCCAGTTTGGCGGACGCAGCACTGCCCCTGGCAATGGTCTCCGGCTTGCTGTTCTCCGACTCCCTCTTCTGGAGCACGTCCAATCGCTCCCGATGGCTGACAAGCGAGAACCGGAGCATCTGCAACAGCCTCGTCACTTCCTCCGACCGCATGTTCAGTGGCTGCAGCGGCAGCAGGGTCCCATCGGGAGCCCGGGGTTGTACACGCTGCTGGGCCATGGCAAGCTCGAGTTTCTCGAGGCCATTGGGGGGTGGGACCGAACCCATAGGGCCCAGCAGCGTCTCCACTACCAACTCCGGACTGACAATGGTATAGCCGGCGAAAACGTTGGCGTGGTCGGTAATCTGCGCGAGGCGACGGCGAGCAATGAGTTCACGGACATTGGCGAAGGTATTGGTGGGGAGATGGTTGATGGTGTTATTGTTGGTGCTGTTCTGCTGCTGCTGCTGCTGCTGGGGTGGAAGTGGTTGCTGTTGCGGTGATTGCTGAGCATGATAAAAGGGATGTTGCGGTGGTGGTTGTGATTGTGGGTGATGGTGATGTTGATGCGATTTGAGAACTTGCGGGTACGGAGCATGACGGGCAGACTGAGTTGGCAAGGATCGATAGGCCGACGGCATCGCAGAAGCAGCAGCAGCAGAAGCAACAGCAGAGGAGGGGAAGGTTCGAGGAGGACGAGGAGGAGGGGCAAGAGGAGGACGCTGCAGGAGGGAAGGGCGGGAGGCAGCAGCAGCGGTAGCGGCAGCGGCAGCGGCAGCAGCAGCAGGTGTGAGGTGGTGGTGGTGAGGAGGAGGGGCAATCGTAGTCGGAGTAGACGGAGCAGCAGCAGCAGACGCAAACGCAGACGCAGACGCAGCATTAGTAGCATAGTGAGCGAAATGGTGGGGGTACGAGGGGAGACGGGCCACCACGGCGCCAAGAGACTTGACGCTGTCCAGGAAATTCGACCGCGGGTTGTGGACGGAGACGCTAGGGTTGTGTGTATATTGAGCCCTACATTCGGTCGACGAATGCCCCAAATAATACCACATCTGCTCGCCCTTATTGAGGTCGACATGCATCCGTGGTGGGGCAGAGACGTGGTTAGTTGCGTCCACCGTCTCGAACTCAGCCCACTGATACGGCGATCGCCCGTCGCCAAACGGATTTCCTGCCACCGGGACCGCCGATTCCAATTCCTTCCGAGCATCGGGCTTGCGAGCTAAATGAGGCGGCAATGGCTTCGTGCCTGGCGCCAGAGGCGAGAAATTACTCTTGCGGACGATAAGCAGCCATTTGTAGGGGAGCTCGATGATATCCCTGCAAGGTGCAACAAAGAAAATATCAGTTAGTAAAGTGGAAAATAAATAAAAATAATCCGAACCAAATTTTTTTTTTTTTTTTTTTTTGTTTTTCCCCCAATGCAGCTCCCGAATGGGAAAATTCAAAACAATTTGCCAAAAAAAGGATTGCTGTCGAAAGACGTACCCTCGTGGAAGTATTTTCACCAGCAGTGTACGTTCCTCTGGTCGGTTCTGTAGTACCACGGCGCCATTGATCTCCTTGTCGACCTGGAATTGCACGAGATCTCCCGCAACCAGTCGCTGAGCCGTCCCGTTGAGCTTCCGCTCGTACTCGGCGGTGTCGTTTGCCATCCATGGGGGCCGCTTCTGACGATGGTATTTGCATTTGAGGTCAATACTGGGGATCGAGTATTGCTGTCCATCATCAGCGATCACAGCGATGGAGCCGTGTTCGACTTGGACACCAGCCAACAGAGCGCAAGTGGCATGGTATGATCGTGTACACTTGCCAAAGTTACACTGGAAACAGGCTCCGCGGACTTCGCGACAGAAGAGACACTTGAGTCCCATGCGGGCCTTGGGGATGAGCTCAATATCGCACACCTTTTCATTTCCGGATTCATCGCGCAGGATGGTGGTCTCTTCCGTGTACATGGCACAGCGTCGGTGGGCGTGAGATTTCCCATCTTCGGTCGGGAGCAGATCTTCATAATCGAGATCGTTCGGGCAAAGGACGCAGGGCGCCTTTCGTGGCATATCGGCGTTCACTCGCATACGCTTCGCTCTCGTCGTATCACCAGGATGCTTGCGTTTCCGACCACGGCCCGATGTCTTCTCAGGGACACTGCGGGGAGGGGTCAACAAATCAGAGGCCCCCTCCACCCCTTCCATATCACTGAATTCGTCGTAGAATTCCGGAGTTGCTTCACCCCGTAGCTTCCGTTCGATCTCATCGACGTCAATCCAGACGCTATCTGATTCGCAGTTGCACTTCTTGGCGACGCGACCGTAGTCGAGCCACTTTTCCGTTGCGAAGTTGACCGACTCGGCACAGTTATAGCCAAGATTGAACCCGGAGTGGTAGCCGTAGGGGTAGGTGATGACGAATTCGCCCTCGTAATGAACCAGGCGGTTCACAGTGATACCATATTGGGATTTCAGGAGACTCGGGGAGACAAGGTAGGTCTTATGGCGCAGGAATTGATCACATGCCTTCGCATCGGTGGGCCAGATACCTGAGAAAGAGAGAGAGAGAGAGAAAGGAAAAAGTCAGTCCTACCCATGTTCCGTCCATTGGTGGACACGGATAAAAAAAACTTACTCTTCATGACCTGTTCGAAGCGAGGCGCATCCTCCTGCGAGATACTATACCATTGTTTTGGAGCACCAAAATGGATGTAATTGATGCTGTAAAGATCCACATCTTCCAAATGCCAGGCAAAAGTGGCTTTCCACATACCGAGGTATAGATAGGCCGTGTTGACACCGGGGACTTTCTGCCCAATGACATCAAGCAGATTCGGCAACTTCGCCACGTTCCACGATGTGGTGTTCTCGTCGAAGAGAGAACCGGGCATATCAGCTCCATATAGGGGATTGTTGAACATGAGAGACTTCCAGTACGCGGTCTCGAGCTCCTCACAGCGCTCCTGCGTGTACTCGGCATGATCGTGGATGCGATAGTCGAAATTTTTGAAGGCTTCTTCGTCGACCAAATCGATAGCATCTCCCTTGTTGTGTTTCCTTCGCGCGGTCACGGACTTGGGCTGTCTGCCTTTGGGCTTCGGTGCAGGCAGGGACTCGCCGTCGCTCAGTTCTTCTGACTTCGATTCGACCGGGTTCGACTCTGGCGAGACGGGTGTTGGTGGGCCTTCCGGTTTCGTCTTCTCAAGGACGTCATCCGCAAGTGGTTCTTCCTTCACCTTGATCTGCGGCTCTTCCTTCACCTTGGCTTGATTGGATTTTTTCGGGGGTCGACCAGGTCCCCGTTTCTGAGAGCTAGAGCGAGTGGTCTGAGGCTTGGGAGCGGCAGGGGTGCGTGTGACTCGCTCTTGGTTCCGACGTCGTTCGCCTCTTCGAGCGGGCGGCTGATGACTGCTTTCCTCGCATAATCCTTTCCACTGGGGTAGATTGTAGGTCCGTTGTCGCTCAATGTTCGCTTGGGTATAGGTGCCATGGGAGCCATGGAACTCCTGCATGATTGGGTTCTTGACCCGAATCTTCTTCACGGCTTCGTCGAGGGGTGGCTGAGCATCGAGCCTGCATTCAAGAAGGGTCAGAACGGAAGGCCCGCGAGGTGAAGGAGTGAGGAAGACAAAAATTCAAATCAGAAGCATACCATTCCTTGGGAGGGATGACCTTGATGATACCCGACCGCATGCCATAGTCTTCGACTTTATTGATGAACGACTGGAAATCTCGAAATTGCGCCATTGTCTGGCCATTGCGCGTTAGCCGGTGCAACCAAGTCTCCTTTCTTGAGACTACCAGGGTCCAACACTTACCGGCTTAAAAACGGGGACCTTGCCGCCTCCATAGTAGTGGTCAGGTTCAATCGCTTCTTCTTCTTCTTCCTCTTCTTCGCCTTCAATCGACTCTTCGATCTTGACTGCAACAGCACTCGGGTCCAGCTCGAGATCTGAGAGCTCCGATGGGACACCCTCGGGGACCTCTTTCTTGCCGTTTGCGCTGTGCGGAGGTGTCATGGAAGCGGCATCGTGGGGACGGCCCCCAGCAAGGGGGTCGAAGAGAGGCTGATCAAGCGCTGTCGCCATCATCTCAAGCAGAATGGGAAGGATCGAGACGGGATGTCGATGGCGATAAGGATGCCGTCGGAAAATGCGACCGCTGATCGACGGCGAGACAAGGGTTCCCAGCGGTCGGGGAAGGAAGCGTCAAGTGGGTTAGAGGTGAAAGAGGCTCAATCCCTGCGATGATGTCGGAAACTTGCGATAACCGTGTCGGGGTGGTGGCTTGGCTTTCGTATGTCTTTCGATCGCTGGAAGAGAAGAGGAAACGCAAACGCCGAGTAGGGGGATGATGGATCCAAGGGAGAAATTGTGCACGGGGTGATGAGAATGGATATCTGCGAAGGGTCGGGTAGAACGATGTCAACGGCGCTTTGAAAGCAACATGAGAAGAGACACAGGGAAGGACCGGCCAGTGGGCTGATTTCTAGAGCCGAACACTAGACCGACAGGGAGATGGGCGCAAGTCGAGTGATGAGATTGATATCAGTTAGCTCGTAAATGGCAAATAATAGGAAATTAAAATAATAATGATAATAAGAAAATCAGGAGCGAACGCAATGCAGGTTGACGGCGGGCCCCTCTTTTCGAAGCAAGTCAGTAAGACTAAGCACTCGGTAGGTAGATAGGTTACTGTTAGTAGTAGGTAGTAGAGCAGAGATTGGAGCAACTCAGGAGACTGTGAGATCCCCCTTCATGGTTAGTTTTGCCGTTTCCGGTACAACCGCTTGATTTACCTTACACTATACAGAGTATAGAGTACCTTACCTACCCTAGTCCTAAATTCTTAGTCACCCGACACTTTAGGTAAGCTCGGGTGGGTTCGGATTATCGTTGAGCCATACTCCATTAGATAACAGTGATGATGGTGGGGCTGCAAGCCTGCAAAGGAAGTCTGGACTGATATGGATGGATGAGTGGATGTGTCAGATCTTCATAACTAGATTTAGCACATCTCATTGGTTGAACTATAATCAAATAGTAAGTGCCTTAATGAGTTGAAGATATGCCACAAGCGAGTCATTCCAGGAGTGAAGTTTACACAGTAGATACCTTTTTCGCTGCCTGGCAAGTTGCAACTCGCGGTAATCTTAGTCTGCGGGTTGATGAAGATGAAATCCAATCTCTCATACTGTGTAAGAATGTCTGAGAGGAGTACCGGGAAGCCTGAGTTGTCTACTAATCTTCATGCTTTTCACCATAGGCACTGTCCCAAATTGTGCGGATGCTACATAGCCCTGGTCTCGTCAGTATCCTCAAGGGATCTACGGGAGTCTAGCTTTGAGAAGAAGAGTGAAGAACTGAAAAAAGCGCTGATGAACACCTGCTCAAATGGGTGGCTCCTTGCAGAGGATCAGAGCAGAGATTATTGGAGCCACAAAATTTGCCATGTCAACTAGTTTAGTTGCATGATCGATTGAGCAACGAGGGCACTAGTCCAGCAAGAGTGCAGCTCAGGTGCTAGGTACTAATCAGGCAAACCAGAGGGCGAGCAGAAGAAACAATGTGGGAAGGAAATTACCGTAGTAGTACGGAGTAGTTGGTAGATGGAACTGGAAGGCAGAGCATGAATAATAATGAATGATGGCCTGACGCTGGAAGGAGGGAAGAGAAACACAAATTCAGCTGTGGGCATATGATCTGTGGGCTGTGGAAAAAAGTGGAATTGGAATCACCAGTGAAAATTAGTAATGATGGCTATTTACAGCCTGACTGACTGCCTGGGTGCCTGAAAGTTTAACCGATGGCCTGATCGCCTGGCTGTGAGCAGATCCCAGCACGTCCGGTGTCGGGGGTGATGTCTCTCAGCCAGTCCGAGATCAGTATGACTAGTAGTACTCGCCTACCCTCTGGCCTCTGCTCTCCCCGAACATGCTAGTCAGTGCAACACGTGACCCTATCGCCATCCAGCCATCCAATACCTTTACCAAGAGGTCGCAAAAAAAAAAAAAAAGGCGTAGTATTCAGGATACAGAACGTCGGATACCAACGGAGCCGACAAGAACGAATACCTAATCATGGGAGGCCAGATGACCCAAAGCTCAGGGTCGATTGAGATGATCTCATCAGGGTGGTAATTAGCCAGTAGACTGACAACTGACAAGTAACAACCACTGACAGCGATGAAACAAGACATCTAAGAGATACATTCTAGATGATCCATGGAAGACAGTGGATAACTTACTATGTAGTTTATTTGAAATCTTCAGGAATGTCAACCTCTCAATCTTAGGTACAACACCAATGTGACAACTAACAACTTCTCCATCTCCATCCAAGCTCCGGTGTATCTGTACATGTACATGTACATGTACCTAGCACCGGCTACGGAGTACAATCCACATATATACAGTAAACAGTAGCCCTCCTCATCTCCCATTCCCCAAAATCAATACTCCTCCATAGTCCATACCAACCTCCCCCCATAAAACAACACCTGGACAACTCACCCATCCATCACACCACCCCTTCGCAAATCGCAAATCGGCCAAAAAAAGAATCTCAAAGCCACCGCCCGAGTCCCGCATGCTCGTGCAGCGCAGGCTTGCAGTAGGCCAGCAGCTCCCCCCCCCCCCCCTCCCCTGCAGGTCTCATACGCTGGCTCGCGCCGCGGTATGACGCACCTGCATGCAGAGGAGTGAGTCGGGTAAGACGATGCAGAGTTTTGCGGAGTGGGACCACTCCCGCTTCCTATCTATCTATCTATCTATCTATCTACTTACGGAGTATGTACGGAGGAGAGAAATGTAGAATGTACGGAGTAGAATGTTTTGTTTACTGCAGGCTGCGGGGGCGGGTGTGGGTGTGGATTTGAGCTCCATACTGGAAAGGGGGTTGGTCAATAGAGATGTGTCTCTTGGGTAGGTAGGAACTAGTAGGAAGACTGATGGATCGTGTACCTATCAGCTAGGACGCCTTCTCACTTGAGATAGGGAATATGTATTGGTATAGCTATGTACAAAATCATGGCATCAATCATGCACTTTAGAAAAAAAAAAATAAAATAAAAGAGAGAAACAACAACATATGCACGCCAATATGATATGCAAGAAGCAATGCAGGACAAAATATTCCAATGCAGCCGCAAGCTTCGGGATCATCTCAGTAGTCGTTCAGCCGTAACTTCTTGCCCACAAACCGGCGTTTCGCCGGTTTGTCGCCTCGTTCGCGATCCACGTTCAGGCCCTTCAGAGCATGGAGCAGCATGCCGGCGTCGAAAAAGCCATCTAAACCACAGCTGTTAGCAATGTCATGGAGAGTAACTATAAAGGACAAACACTTACATCCACCCATGCCGTCGTCCTCCAAATCGCCGCTGTACGTCGTCGGCGTCTCGGTGCCCCGGATCGAGCCCGTGTCCCCGCGGACGATGCGGCCCCGGCGGTGCTCGTTATGGAACTGCTCGGCGAGCATCTCCGTCTCCCGGGCCCGGCTGGTGCGCGGGCTGGGGGCCTTGCGGTTCGTGGCGCGCAGCAGCTTGCGGATCTCAAACAGATACGACTCCAAGGTGTGCATCAACCGCGCCGTTTGGCGGTGCTTGGAGGAGGCGCAGATGGAGATCGAATCGTCCTTGATGATATAGCCGATGCCGAATCCATCCGCCGAGGTCGGACCGAATCCAAAGTGTCGCAGGCATGGGTTGCCGCAGTTGGAGGTCGACAGGATCGTGTTGTTGATCTTGTCCCACCCGGCGTCGCTGAAGATGGCGGGGGTAGGTTGCAGGGTGCGAGCACCGCGGTAGCTGTAGCCGTTCGAGGAGAGTCCGTCCTCCGACATCGACGACGTCGTCGGGGGCGAGCCGCTGGCCGAACCGTTCTCCACAGGACTCGAGTAGCCGTTCGATCCGTAATCGACACTGCTGCCCGCAGAAGCGCTCCCCTCGTCGAAGGATCGCTGCCAGACACAGTACAGAGCATACAGGTGGCGGTCCTGACCCTGTCCCTTGGAGCATTCCTTGGTGATGGCGGTGTGCTTCTCTGTCGCTTTGCGGAGGGCGTCGACCTTTTGCTCGGCCGGGTTGTCGGCCCAGAAGGTCCGCACGAAATCAACACATTCATTCGTGACCGAGCGGATGGCCTCGGTGCGGCCGTGGAGGAAGAACTTCGTCATTGCGGGCTCGTAGGTGTTTTCTACGCGCCCATACAGCCCGTAGTAGGCGGCCTGGAAGGCCATTTGCACAAACGCATCGGGCGAGAGGCCCATCGAAGTGATGAAATTCTTGCCGTACCCTTCAAAGTCGAGGACGGCAAACTCATGCTGCTGGAGAAGATCGGCGAGGTGCGACTCGGCAAATCGCAGGGCAATGCTCAACTCGGGCACCATGTCCCATTCTAGCTTCCGGGGAGTGGTGCTCACATTGCCGAAGCTCCGGGGTTCACGCTTCGAGGGATCTGGGCTGGTGGTGGCCCACAGCGACGGAGCCTGACCATTGATGGTCTTCGCAAAGCGGAGAATGGTGTCCGTGTAGAGGTCGCTGGCGAAGCGCAGCACAGTATGGCCGTCCACACCGGTGTGTTCAAAGTTGATCCCAGCACTTCCGTTCTTGCACACGATGATCTGCAGCTTATCATACCAGCGGTTGGTGCAGGTACCAACCTGAACACCCCTGACGACCTCGCTTGTACCACAGAGCATGTTGGCGCAGAGCTGCGACGTGTTCTCCGGTTCGGTCCAATCTAAGCAGACCACGAACAGGGCCCTGTCCACAATGTCCAGGCATTCGGAGTTGTTGGATCCCTCATCCTTGGTCAGAATGTCCCGCAGGCCCGACCAGACTTTACGATTCTCCGTGCTCAGCACACCTAGGGCGCCCTTTGCGGCATCCTGGATCGGGGTCTGCACTGCATCGCCAATGATGACCTGCAGATTGACGGCGATGTCCTTTTCGCTCATGATCAAGTCACTGTTGTCATCAAGAACATCGAACCAGTAGAACTGGCCCCGAGATAAGACAACGATATGTTTAGCGTGGGGATCCTGGCTGATAACGCATCCATTGTCTGTAGGGAGACGCGCGGTTCCGAAGAGTCGGGAGTACTGGTACATGCAAAGTGGCGTTCCCCGGACGGTGTCCGGTGGCAGTTCCTCCCGCCTGACAGCTCGGACGACCGAGAGAGCAGAGACGACGAGCGATGCAGCCCGGGTCACCTGGTTGTTTCTGGCAGGAGTGGGATCGTCCTCCAGTAAGAAGAAAGGGTTGAGGTTCAGGACAACAGCTGCACCGAATCAGTACGAGGAGATCATGCTGCGGATTTGAGGAAGTAACTCACGGTTGTCATAATTCAAGTAAGAGTCGTACCCTAGAGGCATACGTCAGTCTTGATCCAAACCTTGAAAGAAGGAGTCATCGGGGAAGGGTCGTACAGAACTGTTCGATGTAGCTCGTCTTCGACGTCGCATAATTCTTCAGCTTCTCCTGAAGAGCCGGGCCATCGGTTCTGAGAAAGTCCTGAACGGCAGCCTTTGTATCTTCCTGTTCTCTAGGAGATTGCAATGCCGATAGGGCATCGAGATACTTCTTGCAAGTACTTTCCAGATCAGGGATAGGTAGCTTGGGCAAAGAGTCCTGGTTGGCAAACGTCAAGCCCTTCTTCTCTTGCTTGGCAGGAGATGAATGGCCATTCATCATCGCTGGATTGGAAGAAGGTTTGATCTTGGGCTCCAGGTTTGACTGGCTTCGGGAAGGATCCATAGTGCCCCCCAGAGGCTTTGGAGCTGTGAAATAGCGGACTGCCATGGACGAGTAAGACATGATGTTAGCGATGAAGATCGAATGACTCTCAGTTCCGTGACCAAGACACTAAGCGTATCGACAGGCGAGGAAGGTTGGGATGGACAGGAGACGTAAGGCGCTGCGGTAGAAGTAATGGCAATCTTGCAAGCAATAAGATGGCATGGGGATTATCTCATAAGTGTATCAAAACATAGCGTTCAACAAGCAGAAACAAAGTTGGTAGACGGATCGGGGAGGAGGAAGAAAGTCCATTGTTATATGTATAGAAGGATATTGAACATAACCTCCCTCCCCCTCCCCATGTAATCACACCCCGCGAATGGAAAACCGGAGAGGTGGAGCATGTGCTTGGGGTGTTCGGGGACGAAAGGAAAAATAGCGTCAGGCAGCGGGAAAAGGGACGCTTACAGTAAGACTAAGACCGACAGAAGAGAAAGCGTGCAGCTGGCGCAGCAACAGCAGGGTGGACCGCGTCGACCGGCGTCAGCGTCCGAGGGGTTCAAGGATAGTATGCGTCGGGGGAACGGAGAAAGCTTGATGGGTGGGAAAGTACTATAGAGTACAGATGAATAGCGCCAAGAGATGCAGGCGAAAACAGCAGCGATGGAGCTGCACAAAGACGAGGGGAAAAAAAAAAAAAACGAACAGAATGACGGAGAGGGGAATAAGGAAGTGAATGCCTTGATGTTGAAACTGATCTGAGAAACGCCTTGAAGACTGCTGGTCGACTCTGATGCTCGAGTTCCTTGGGTTGACGATGGCGGCGGGGTTGGATGTACGGAGTAGATATGAATAGATATGATTATGGACGATGGGCCGTGTGATATCCGGGGGACAGGGCAGTCAGTACCTTAGTTACAGGTACACCAAGAACAGCGAAACGGGACGAATGAAAGTACAGCTGATATATATGATCAGTTGATACGGCGGTAGGTAAAAAATAAAGATGACAATATCGGCGATATGATTTGACTCGTTCTCCAGCCCGTCGGAAGAATAGACAGTAGTAGGACTGACAATGACGGCAAGGGACAACGATGCTTGACTCTAGCTCAATAATATCTAGCTCCCAGTAGTCGATGACTAAGCTTGACTCCGATTGAAGGATGAACGTTTCGGGCGAAGGGAGCCGTTCTCCATGTAAGTTAGAAGCAACTAAGGACTGGCAGCCGACTGGTATAGTGGTGGGGTCACGTGGGACAGCGGGATTAGATTACTTCAGCAGGGTTCATCACGAATTCATGAGCCACGAGTCACGACGTTGAAAGGCTTCGGAGTTGTCTCGGTCTGCGGGTACTAATAGTGTAGTACTCTGTAGATGGAGTAGGATAGAGTCCAGAACCCAGTTATGTCCTCATGCACTAGGTTGCGAAGATTCGCCGCTTTGCTATGCTTCACCACCGAGTATACGCCGTACCAACCAAGGTCAAGTACAATCCGGTTGCTTGGTATTATGAGCCACCGTGGAGAAACAAACGAATATCCAGACCATCAATAAAACACTAATCAATATCCACAGACCAAGAAAGAAATAACGTCATGTCCGTCATGTCCATATTCCCGCAGTCAGCCTGTCTGTTCACGATTTCGGTTCAAGCCCGGGGATGTGGAGACTGGCAGATCTCCCCAGACAAGGCACTGGACGCCATCCGAAAAGCCTTGGCAATTGGCGCAGAGACATGACTCGCGACATGCAATGGAAGGAAGACGCAAAAATAGGGTTATATGAAGAAAAGAAAAAGAAAAAGAGAGATTTTGAAATCAATTTGGCTTTCTGGTTCTCGGTTGTCGCTCAATCGTTGCCCACTCTCGCCCACAGGTACCATGGAAAATGAGCATCATACAGTCTGAATCACTTAAAAAGATCGCTAAATTTCCACAAAGACATTCCAAAGCCCATTACCAGAACCATTGGCCGTATTCATCTCGAATTCAGGCAGCCTTTCCAATAATGCAGGTGGGGCAAGAGAACGACAGCGGTGAGTCACCAGGTTACGCAGCGTAGAAGGCGCGTCCGATCGGAGGAAGGACGTTCTCGGCATACTCACCCGCATAGTTGCCTATCGAAGTCAGAACTGAAAAGTCTCAAAGAAAGGGGCAAGCGCAGAGCACATACCAGGAGGGTAGTAGTTGCAAACGGTAAACGGCGACGGCGCGCTGGAATCGACGTTGCCGAGAAGAGGGCAGACAACGGTGGCACAACCCACGGAAACCGAGCCCTTCCACAGAATCTGGGAGAAATGACCCCACTTCTCAAAGTAGGTCATGTCGGGGTTGGCCTGACCGTACAGGTTCTGATAGTAGCCGAACTCATCGTTGTACATCAGGTTGGTGATCATGGCGCCAATCTCCTCCGAGGAGACACCGTATCCGATGTTCTGGCCATAACCACCACCGCTAATGTCACTGGACAGATGTTAGCAGACGACTCTCCGTGCAGCGAAACGAATGGTACTCACGTGTCGTGTCGGTAGATGCATTGTGCGGCCAGGGCCTGGGCGCTGGACTCGAGGGTGGCATTCCAGGTCAGCGAGCTGACGGAGTGGTTGCTCCGGTGGATGTTGTGGTTGTACAGGATGGCGGCTTGGTAAGCGTTGCCGGGGTTGGCAGGGGCGGTAGGGGCGGCAGTGGGGGCAGCAGTCACGAGGGTGGTGGGCTCCACCACCCGACTGGCCGCCGACGAAGTCCAGGTCGAGGTCCACTCGGAGGAGGTATCGGGCAGCTCCTCCACGGTGCCGGCGGTGGTGGTCGGCACAGGCGCCGGCGCGGCCGTGGTGACCACCACGGGAGGCTCAGGCTCCACGGGAGCTGGGACCGGGACCGGAACCGGGACGGGGAAGGGGTCGACCTTGGAGACGGGTGCGGTGGGAGCGGCCTGGGGAGCCAGAGTGATGGTCTCGGTGACGGTGATGATGGTCCAGTCGGTTATGTAGGACCGCTTATCAAGAGGTTTGGCCAAGGCTCCTGCAGCGCAGGCGGCGCCGATCAACCACGAGTAACGCATCGTGCGGATGGATTTCTCTTGTTCTTGCGGGAATTCGGAGGGGAAAAGGCGCGATATCTCCGACAGATCAACTGTGAGCTTCTCAACGGGCAAGCCAAGTACTTCGCCAGGAAGTAAATCGAACTGGTCAATTGTCTGGGAGTCAAAAGAGATCCGGGGAAAGGAGGACAACAAGCTTGGGAGCAGATCGACTGCGGATAGAATCTGGGAGGTTATGTACGGAGGGGGTGGACGATATCAACAAAGGAATGACAGCCGTTGGGACACTTTTTCTAAAGGAGTGAAGAAAAAGAGTACGCCACAGGCGGATGATAGTGAAGAGAATGAGGGTAGGAAGAGGGTCGAGGGAAGGTGAGGGCAAGACGTGTCCGATGATATAGGCCGGACAGGTCGCTGTAGCGGGCCAGCAGCTTCAGCAAAAGGGGAGAGGGCGCACGAAAGAGAAGGCAATGGGGCGATTGTATCCTCATCAGTGGGGCCAAGTGATCTGGGTTAATCAAACCGCAATTTTAAAACCGTGATTATTAGACTGCCGTCTGTCAGACTAGGAAGGCCGTGCTCCAGGAGATGCTAGTATAGATACTCCACAGACCCTCGAATGTTCGATGTTGGGGTTGTGTGTATCTGTCTATCCGTTGCTACACTGGTGAGAGAAACCAGTGTTATAAGAGAGGCAGATGCTCGCTAGATAGGATGCAAGTAAACAATAATGAGTAAGGAATCATCTGCAGTCTGCAGCCATGATGTACTACGCTGCAGTGCACCTGTTTCCCCAACATACCAGAGAGTGTTTGAGTCTGGAGAGCCCCCCTGTGAGAGACATTCCTCGGCCCCAACAAAGTATTCAGTTGTCAACCCGCCACTGGCATTTCGATAGTCCAGTATCTTACCCTGTAAGTCAAACAGTACAGAGGACGGAGGATAGATATCTAATTGATAGGTCTTTATCAATCAAGAGAGATTGAGGTGATGAATCCAAGAAATCCTCCCGTCGACAAGGAGCATTTAATTTCTGGGTCTTTGGATCTCGTACCAAACCAAACGGAGTACTGTACAGTAAGGTCAGGTACCAGTACTAATACAGTCCCTCCTGACTGGTACCTACTAAACCATTCTGAATTTCTGAGACATCCACGATGCCGCCCGTTTCAGGCACACGATGTCCACCCACCAATCAGCATGGGCCATGACACATCTGTGCTTCTGATCTCCAAAGGTTAATCTTTTCAGGACTCAGAGTCAGGAGTCATCAAAAAGTCAAACCATCAGAATGCAAAGGTCAAAGAGACATCACCAGAGTGATGGACAGTTGATCATTCCATTAGTTGAACATCCACAGTATGCAACTATTGCATATTGTTTTTTTTTTTTCTCTTGGGTAGACTAATTGTCTCTATTATTCTATAGCCTTTGACTCAGACCCAACATATCCCAATTTCAATCCTGGATAGTTAGTAATCAAAATGAGTACTAGTGGACCAAACAACTTCATACATGATACAACCTAGTGAGTAGTAAATAATGGCATCGATGCGCTTAAAAGACAAAACATAGTACCACACATTATGAATGATGAGCCCAATGGCGCACGCTAATGTTTCATCGGAGATTTCCCTCATTTTCGGTCTTTCTCGCCCATCTGGAGGTGTCTCTCGTGTTTTTCCCCTTTCCTTTCCGGGGCTTCACGATCAGACTGGTCGTTCTTGATGATTGATTATTCACATTCACATCAAGAGACGGAGTTCTAGTCTAGCGAGCTGTAGTACAGAGTGGACTGACGAGAGTCCAGACCGTGATTCACTGTCCCCATCTACTCTGTACTAAAACTTGACTCTCGTCGGCAGTCGAGTCGGGTCTCGGCAGTGATAAATGATAGGATTAATTAATGATGGGATTGGGGGGGATAATCAAATGACATGACATTTCCACACGGCTGGAGCCTGGATGATATCTAAATAGTAGTAAGCAGTCGATCAATGCAAGAACCAAAACGGGAGTAATTTCATAGGTACTAGCTACGCTTTATTTCATCGAGACTCTACGTAGTATGTTTACAGGAGTTGCGGAGTATGTTCTATGACAGCATGTTCTCTATCCGGATCCCAGACTCGGGGAATTATTATCAGGTCGACCTCAGGAATTGACAGCGCAGAATCAGCCAAGGGAATGTTGGGCGCGGCTAGAAATCAAAGTATCAAGTGAGACTGTGAGAGAGGTACTGTATTCCTCTTGTCTCTCTGCACCTATTTTAGGAGTCAGAGCTTAGAAGAAGCCATTTGGTGATGCTACCTGCTCCCGAGGGATAGATCATGTCCAAGAAACAGTGGTTTAAATAAAAGCTATGATATGATCGATCTCATGTGACATGCACACAATCATCTCACTCTACTCTACGGTCTCTACCCATCCCAATTTCCCCTCCCCCCCGGATAGCTACTGTCAGGGCCAAAGTGTACGGGTATGGAGCAACGAACATCGACACCCCCTTAATGTGTTTGGGTTTCTGAACCGGCGCTTAGCCCGAGTACTCTTGACCTACGTGATTTGACCAGATGGACGAACTGAAAAACCACGTCCCTATGCGGTGGAACGTCATATGAACCTGATAGCCGCTGATCTCTCCAGGATTATGTTGAAACTCAGGGCTGCTTGGCCGGGAGGATACCTGGCCGGGAATTCCAGACAGAAATGACCGGTTTCAAACTGATTCAGATATCGACTAGTACTGGGATCTCAGTGCAGAGTGCGGAGTGCGAGGTGACCAGTCTTTATATAAATTCAGATGCATGCAAGCCGCCAAGGATCACAACTACATTTTGTCGCTATATACATTAGACATCGACCATTCGGCACCTCCCGCTCTCGCAGATCATCAAATAATTCTTCGGTGGCTCCGAGGGCTTGAGGTCCTTGAACAGGGTGTTCCGAGTGCGTAGCCAAAATGATTGATTGCCCACAAAGTCGCCCAGATGAGACGGCCGGATATCCACCAGTGAAGTCACTCTAGTCGACGTCGCTATTGCTGAGCCGGCCTCGGCCCGGATTTTTCGGATGATGAGGTCCCGTACGGATGTCGGCTGGTCGACTGTGCGGGTGACATCGTCGGGCCCCTCCGATATGATGCCCTGAGGCACGCTGGCGGTACAGAAGACCCCCGTTATGCTGCGAGTCTCCGTCTCCAACCCAACAATGACGTCCAAGAGACCCACATAAAGGAAAGGATGTTGCAGGATCTCAACGGAGAAGGAGTGGCACGTCTGGCGCGCGAGAGTACGGTACTCTTCGTCTTCTAACAGCGCTGAGAGACGAAGTAGATTGCGTGCGATCACTCCATTGATGGACGGTGTAGCGGACTCCGTCCCCGTCTTCAAACGCAATAGAGGGCCGGGCATCCCCGGTGTCATGGTAGAGGGCGTGCTGTAGTAACCAGCAGGCGTGGACCCAATGTAGGCCAGGAAGTTACGGTTGAGGTATCCTGGATCATGTCAGTTCATACTCGACAGCAACAAAAGATAATGTGGTACACTTACTTTGCAGCTGTTCCGCAAATTGTAAATAGCTGTCTTCGAACGTAGCCTCATACATGTCCAACAGACCCTGGGTGAGGTAGGCATAATCGTCCGCAAATCCAGGGGTGTCACCGCGGCTGCCATCGCGATAGATTCGCCAAAGCTGACCCGTTACTTTTTCAAAAAGATTCTCCTTGATAAAACTGATCGCTCGTGCCGCCGCCTCTCGGCATTCGACGGCTTTGGAACTTTCAATTTCCTCAAACAATGCGCTGCACTTGGCCAGCGCACCAATAGCAAGTCCGTTCCAAGCGACAATGATCTTGTCATCCAGATCAGGGCGCACCCGTGTCTTTTCCCGATACTCACGCAGCTTCTGCTTTGCCGACTTGATGATCTTCACGACCTCTTCCTCGCTCAATCCGAATTCTCGAGCCAGCTTGCTTGGCGTCACTTTGATCGACAACACGTTCTGATTCATGAACTCATCATGCGGGTCGTGCTCAGGCGCAATGTTGCCATCCGGAAGCACACCCCAGTGGCGCGCACAGACGCCAGCATCGCGTTGACCCAGAACTTGTGTGAGCTCCTTCAGAGTCCAAACATAAAACGCACCTTCACGCTTCTCTGTATCGTTGGGTGCTGGCAGACTGTCTGCATCCTCCGAGGAGTGAAAAGCCCCTGTAGACGATTGGATCGGGGCTGTGGTGAGATAGGTCGCGAGATCGTAGACTGCGCCGAGTAGCTCGGGGTTGTGCGTGATTTGAAAGGCATCCACGTATACATCAAGAAGCTGGGCCTGGTCGTAAAGCATCTTTTCGAAATGAGGAAGACTCCAGTCTGATGTGACACTGTATCTGGCGAAACCGTGTCCGATGTGGTCCCGGATTCCTCCGCGTGCCATACTGACGAGGGTGCTCACTGCCATGGTAGTGGCTTTGTCGCACTCTTCCTGCCCCACAATGTCTGATACAGCACTGGGATATGTCTTGAGGCGAAGCAGGAAACTCAGATTGGCGGGTGTGGGGAACTTGGGTGCCCGCGAGAAGCCTCCATTCACTGCGTCGTACCGAGAGGCAAAGTGCTGATACGCCTCCTCCAAAAGCTCGATGTCCAGGTCCTCGTCGGCTTCCCGATCGCCCTGCTGCGAGTGAGTCCCCTCTTCTGCAAACTCCCTTAGCTGTCGGGTAATTTCCTTCGCACTCTCACGGCACCGTTGCTGCTGTGTCTTCCACACATCCCGCAGTTTCTCTAGAATGTCAACGAACCCGATGGTATGTGGTCCGGAGAGTGTCGAGGAGTTCGGACCTGGCCAATAGGTACCCCCAAAGACAGGCTCGAGATCTGGCGTCAAGAACACACTCAATGGCCAACCACCAGACCCTGTAGTGGCCTGAACATAGTTCATATAAACATCATCAATATCAGGTCTCTCTTCTCGGTCGACCTTGATCGGAATGAAGGACTCATTCAGTAGCGAGGCGACCTCCTGCGACATGAACGATTCTTTCTCTATGACATGGCACCCTGTCTCACATTAGTTCGGTCCGACCTAGAATATGGACAGCAACGCGCTAAGGAGGTTACGAACAGTGACATGCGGAATAACCGATGCTCAAAAAGATGAGTCGGTTATGCCGTCTGGCCAGTCCAATGGCCTCTGCGTCCCATAACTGCCAGGCTACTGGGTTATTCATGTGAGCCCTGACCTATAGCGCCGTTTAGCTTCGGGCATGCCCCGATGTCCGTGGGTAGAAGTCTCACATAAGGCGACCGGCTGTCCCGCAACCGGTTGACGAGCTTTGGCTCGGTGTCATTACCACCGATGTGTGTCGAAGGATGTATTGCTGCCGTGGCTGCCATTTTGCATTACCCGAGGGTGACTATATGGCGAGAAAGTATTGCCAACGAGTCTGATGTTTGTCGCACGGGAATACAAGTCAAGGGAGGGGCGTCTCCGCCAATAGCTAAGATACAGCGGCGATTCGAGCACAAGCCACCCGGTAAGGGCACTCTCTAGACCGTCCAAGGACCTGGTAAACGACAGGGGCCTGTTAACCAAAAAAAGCTACACAGGAATCATGAACGAAACGTTGTCTTCAGCAAGCGAGGCTGGGCGTGTCTGAGAGAAAGACCGGGAGAAGGAGAGAGAGAGGGCCCATGTGGCAGCAGCATTAGTTTGGCCCGCATCCGGGAGATCATCGCCGGAGTGCGTCATCTGTGCATCAGAGTCACGTGATTTGCGCCTGGCCTCGGGGACAGCTTCGAGGATCTGTTTCACTACTGTTGAAAAAGCATTGTAGACGATCTTTTTTACTGGTACAGTTTCAAATAGTCTTTATTTCTAGCGTATGTCTGATCATTCTTCGCCCATCAGCTCAGCCAACTCGCGTTCTTCTTCCTCTGTCAGCAGCGGTTCAGGGTTCGTCTGCTCTTCTCCATCCCCCAGTTTGGTGTCTCGAGCCTTCTCCACGGCAGCGAGGAGATCATCAGGGCTCAAAGACCATTGGCGGATAGTAGCATCAATACTGACACTGACGACTGTCGAGCCCACGAGGGCCAGCCCAGTGACCTCTTCAAAGTGCCCAGAGAATGTATGATAGAGTTGGCCAGTCTGTAGATGAACATTAGCAATAAGAAGGGAATGCCTCTTCGAGAACAATCAACGTACTGAGCGGTTCCAAACACGAACTTCCTCGTCTCTGCATGCCGTGATGACCCAGCCTCCTTGCTCGTACACCACCACGTCTCGGACGAAATCCGGATGGGTCAGCGTCAAGTTTGATTTCCAGCCATCCTCTCGTACCAGACATTTGGCTGTTTTGTCCGCCGACGCTGTCCACATATCCCCATCACCATCGAAGAACAGCTTGTAGACGCTAGTATCATGAGCCAGCAGAGGATCAGCCGCAGTGAGATCTTGACTACCAGCGGCGATGTCAAACTGGCGAATCTCGCGATCGCTGCCAGCGCTGAACACAAGCCTGCTGCCGTCAGAGTCGAGAGAAGCGGGATCGACAACCAGGTCTTGGATCCCCTTGGCATGGCCCTTGATTGTATACAGTCGCTTACCACTTGCGATGTCGAAGACCAGGATCTGCGCATCGGCACCTCCCGAGATGAGAAGGTCCTGACCTTGTAGCCTTGCGCTGGTCACGGATCTTACAAAGTCGGAATGGCCTTCGTATCTCTGCTTTAGCTGCTTGGAGGCCACATCCCAACTCCAAACGGTCTTATCCCAGCACCCGGCAAATAACAGCTTGCCATCCGGGCTGAAACATATACTTGTCACGGGGGCCGTAGGTCCCTTGAAGAGAGCAGCAGTTTCTCCGGTCTGCAACAGCACAACGCGAAGTGGAAGATTTTGCTTAGTTACGGGTACTAGTGAGGCATCCAGCGCGAAGGATACCGTGCACCTACTTCTAATAGAATCTTCCTAACAGTACCACCGCTCTGCGCAACATATACAGAGCCAGGGCTCACAGGATCAGCTGCAACGGCCAGGATCTTACTTTGCAGCTTGATGGGACTCCCATCGGTGTTTCGGGATTTAGCGTCCTTTCGCTTCTGCTCTTCCAAGGAAGCACTGTAAAATGGGGAGGAACCATTAGTGAGAGGGCGCAACACGACGACCCGACGGTATCATCACGAACGAGGTTTGGAAGAAGTCATCCCGATGCGATGAACGAGACATGATGGTAGAGTTATAGTTATTGAATTATATTGAAATAGATTCTGACGGGAATAGTAGTAATCAATGATAACCTTTTGGTGGAGTTGGTAATAATAATAAACTTGTAGCAGCACAGTAGTAGTGGGACTGAACTTACTGAAGTCTGCTGAACAAGGCAAAAGAAACGAAGAACCTGCGGACCAAGCTCTTCCGGTCCGCCGTAGTTCAAGAGCTTTTCCCACCACAAAAACACGGTTACCTGTTGCAAATTCAACCTCTCTTCCTCTCTTCCTCTCTCTCTCTCTCTCTCTCCCTCGCTCTCCCCCCCTTCTCCTGGCTCGCTTCTTCCCTCGCTTATCGCTCGTCTCTTTTTCGGTCGTCTATAAATTCTCTTCCGTTTTTCTCTCCTCTTCCTCCCTCCTCTTCTCTTCCTTCCTTCCCGTCTTCTTCTCTTGTGCGGTTCTCCGCGCAAACCCTCTCGTCAGCATGGATATGAACCATCTCATAGGGTCAGTCTTCTATGCCTACACTGGTTTGACCCAGGGTTTGTGCAGCTAGACTGGAATTAACACCGAGTAGTCAGCGTTTTAACCTGATCTCCAAGAGTGACATTCGGTATGCTCCTCTTCCATTCCTGTCGACTCCTAGTTAGTCTACCTGGCCATTGACTGACTTCATCGTCCCTAGTTATGTTGGTACTTTACATGAGATCAACCCCGAGGCCTCAACAATAGCCCTTGAGAATGTCGTCTCTTTTGGCACTGAAGGTAGACGAGGAAATCCCAATGAGGAGATTCCTCCGTCTGCCAGTGTCTACGAATACATCGTCTTCCGTGGGAGTGATGTAAAGGACATTAGCGTAGCTGAGGAGCAGAAGGAAACTGCACAGCCTGAACCTCCTCAGGTTCCTGATGATCCTGCCATTCTAGGGGTAAGTTGATTCGAGACAGTTCTTTTGCCTTTTTTTTTTTTTTCTTTTTCTATGCTTGAATGGGCCTCGGTGTCTGTCAATGTACTTGACTCGACCCGATCGGCTTGGTTGATCAGGTGATGAAATATTTTCGGATGTAAACTCACAGACCTGTTCTGAATGCGCAAAACCGTGTAGAGATTTCCGTTGCCTTCCTTCTGATGATCAACCAAAGCATAACCCTGTTCATGCTTTCATATCTTGGTGTTTCGAATTTGACAGTTTACTGACTCGTCGATTGAAATAGAGCATGTCTCGTCCTGGACCCGGCCCTCAAGGTCTTCCTCCTCGCTCCCAACCACTACCACAGCAACCTCAGGCTTCACACCCCGCACCTCCTGGATATCCTCCTCAGCAGGCACAGTTCCAAGGTCTCTACCTTCCTTATGCGCAACGCTTTGGTGCTCCTGGCTTCCCTCCTGGACCTGGATTCCCGAATATGCCGTATGGTGCTCCACCTGGTTGGTATCCTCCTCCCGGCCAGGGTTTCCTTCCAGGACCAGGACAGTTCCCTCAGATGCCGATGGGTGGCCCTGGCCCCCATCAAACACCCCCTCCCCAGAATCGAGCAGGAGCTCCGGGCGCGGGTCCTGTAAACGCACCAAAGCCAACTTCCGAGCTTCCGGCCGGTGATCGGCCAACCAGTAAGCCCTCTAGCCGGAACGCCACACCTGCCCCTGCTCCATCCGCACAGAATCCCCCTCCTCCCCCCGTGGAGTCTAAGCCTTCCGTAACAGAAGCTGTACAAGCGTCTACTTCTGCTCAAATTGCGCAGGCCGCTGCTCTTGGTGCTGGACCTGGAAGTGCGGCCAAGGCGCCTCCCACTGGACCCAGGAGCGGCCGTGTCCAGCCAGCAATTCCAATTGCGATGCCATTCAAGCCGCCTGGTTCGGCTGTAGCCAATTCTACTGCTAGTGCACCCGTGAATAATGCTTCGCAAGGACCAGCGTTGTCCGCGATCACGGAAGCTACCCGTGCTGCTACCGCTGCCGTCGCTGCTGCGATGGCCAAGTTGCCGCAGCCCAATGCTCAGAAGAAGCCTCAACTGGATGCCGCTGTGGAGAGTGTGACGAAGCAGATGAATGAATTGAAGACATATGAAGGTGGCCGTCCTCCCCGTGGTGGACATCGCGGCGGACGTAGCACCCAGCGTGGTCAATTCCAGGGACCGGCCAAGAAGGTCGAGGTTCCTGACACTGACTATGACTTCGAAGGCGCAAATGCCAAGTTTAACAAGCAGGATTTGGTCAAGGAAGCCATTGCCACTGGTTCTCCCGTGCTCGAAGCTGAACCACATGTGCAGACCGACCATGCCGAGGTGGCCGATACTACCTCCAACGATGCGTCGACTGGTGCGGCCATCGCTTACAACCGGACCACCTCTTTCTTCGACAACATTTCCAGCGAGGCTCGTGACCGCGAGGAAGGCACTGGCGGCCGGCCTGGTGGCCGTGAGTGGCGTGGCCAGGAAGAGAAGCGCAACATTGAGACCTTCGGCCAGGGTAGTGTCGATGGCTATCGCGGCAACTACAGAGGTCGTGGCAGAGGAAGAGGCTACAGTGGCCGGGGACGCGGTGGCTATGGCCGCGGATACAACCCCAGGGGGCGTGGTGGTAACTACCGGGGACGCAGCACCACGCAGTCCACTGGTGTGCCTGCCCCAATTTAATCTATTGTCTTGTCTCACCGACTTGAGATTCCCTGATGCTGTTCCATTAGCGCTGTTTCTCCTCGTCTTCTCTATTCTTTATGTTGATGAATTTCCGGCGTCTGGATGATAACATCCAACGAACAATTGATCCTAATGTGGAACATGTCATGCTTTCTACTCTTGCGTTTGGGATGATTTTATGGATCATGGCGGAATTGGTGAACTTTGTGGTGATACGACCTGGTTTTTCCTTCACGGCGTTTCTCTCTCCTTACCACTTGCATGGCCACGTGGCGGGCCTTGTTGGCATCACACCCAGCGATGATGGCCATCGATTTTTTTCTCTCCCTCCTTTATTCCTTAGGACTGCCCTTGAGCTTTTCGTCCTTGATCTGCCATGGTGACGGTCTACACGCGGGTCCAATGCTGGCTGGCTGTAGACCGATCTGACCTATGTACCATAATCGAGAAGACACCATATTGAATGAAAACGACCAAAAAACAGGCCATTGGCCTATCACATTTCTTGCTGTGCATGAAGTCAGTACACAGTAGTTTTGATATCCCTCCCCCTACTAAAAGTAGACCAACCCGACATCCTCGGTTCATGATGTGTGGAGATCATCCTCCGCCTATTCGGCCACTATGCAAGCCAGCTGGCATCCACCGGCTATCCCCCGTCTGGTTTGTGTATCTTACTTGATGTCGGATGTCCGGATGTCCGACTTGGCCTCTCTTAGTGCAGCCTCTGACTTGTTTACAGACCGCGTAGAGGGGGATCGTCGAACTGTCGCAGTTCCCCTCTCTTCTTGTCTCCTTCACCTCGGCCAAACAAGCATTCCTCTATAAAGCCTCTGGACAAAGAATAGGCGTACTACTCTCTATTGGATTGCTGATTGCTATACCCCCACATCATCCATGGTTGGTATAAGTAGTGCAGCAGGAATGGATTCAAACCTGGCCATCCTGCTGTCCTACGCTTGACTCGTCCAATTCCTCCTCCACAGTAGTCAGTACAATTAGACCCAAGAGACTATTTATTACCTACTCAGTAACCTACCTGTACGTGTATTGGACACCCACAGCCGAGAACATCCTGTTGTGCTACCTCCCTATCGTCTCGGCGGCGGTGTACCACAGTTTCCCCGCGCCCCAAGGGGAGTATATAAAAGAAGTAGACGGACCCTCAGCCGGCCAAACATGCCTGCCACCGATCGACTCAGGAAAGTCGCTGATACTCTCTCGTCGAACCCGATTTCGTCTTCTGTGTTGCCGCATACCATGTCTGCTCGTGTGCAAGTCGCTGATCAGCTGCCCTGGGACCCGACCTGCGTCAGGTTCCCGTCGCGCAGGGAGTTGCCAAAGCTGACCGAGGCCCCCGAGGATGCGGCGTGGGTGTGGGGGGAGGATGATTCGGTGGGTGAAGGGTGCTGTATGTGTGGATTGGGTTTGATGTTGATGATGTGTTTAGCTTGGACGGTTGAATCTGCTTACTCCGGAGCGGGTGAAAGCGGCGGCGGCGGAGATTACAACAGGGGAGATGGTCCGGTTGGAGTGAGTGTATTCCATTCCTGGGATATGATTGAGTATAACTGATGGTGATTGTGATGGTGATGATGGCTAGTCTTCCACTGACTATCCCCGAGGCACCTTCCTTTGGCCGAGAAGCCTTCCAGCATAAGATCAAGCTCCTGATCGAGGGTGTGGCATATGATGATACATACACCCTGAACACGCAGAGCGGGACGCAATGGGATGGTTTCCGTCATGTACGCTTGACGGCAACCTCATCCAAGGTCTGACAGTAGGCTGACCACGGCCAGTTCTCGCACATCGACTCCCAAGCCTTCTACAACGGGGTACGCTCCCCACCATCTCTTCCCTACTACCAAACCACCTACTGACCACACGATCCCCCGCAGACCAAATCGTCCGACATCGTCGGCGAAAACGCCAACCTCCGCTGCAGCATCCACCACTGGGCCGAGCACGGCATCGCCGGCCGCGGAATCCTCCTCGACTACCGCCACTACGCCAACACCCACGGCATCAGCTACGATCCGTACACAGCGCACGCGATCTCCTTTGCTGACCTGCAAGCCTGTGCCACGGAGCAGGGGATCGACCTGCACCCCGAGTCGCAAGGTGGCGACATCAAAGTCGGCGACATCCTGATGGTGCGCTCCGGGTTCGTCGAGCGGTACCATGAGCTCAGCCCTGAGGCGCGGGCGGCGGCCGGCGAACGCGCGTTCGACGACATCGAGTGGGCGGGCCTGAAGCAGGAGGAGGCGGTGCTGGACTGGCTGCACGACTGCTACTTTGGTGCGGTGGTGGGCGACTCGCCGACCTTTGAGCGCTGGCCGGCGCCGGGGAACAGGCACCTGCATCAGCATATCCTGGCGTTGTGGGGGATGCCGCTGGGGGAGATGTGGGATCTGGAGAAGCTGGCGGCCAAGTGTCGGGAACGGGGGAGGTGGACGTTCTTTGTGACCAGTGCCCCGGCGAATGTTGCAGGTATGTGTTGTTTAATACTAGAAAACGGTTTCTGCTAACTTGTCTAGGGGGTGTTGGATCTCATGCGAATGCGACAGCCATTTTGTAGGGTGGGAATATACATCTTGACACTTGCGGTTCGGAGCGAGGGCGCATATCGCTTTAGACTGTGCCATATATGGCCGAAGACATGACTTTTACATCTATCTTGCACCTTAGCATTGCAATACCAATACAATACATAAACATCAATCCCCATGGTTCCTATCAGAAAGTAAGACATGTCCCCCGTTTAACTTCGCAATGATATCACGATCGACCCGGCGGACGCGGAACGGAGACGGATCGACGACCACCATCAATTCTGGTCAGCACTACCAGTAATCCGGATAGAACGAGATAAAACCGCATCCAATCCAATCCCCAAATCGAGCATTGCACGATCCGACACGGATACCGCACTGGTGCGCGGCCCGCAGCACTGCGGTACAGCACCCACACTACCCTCAAGCACAGCAGTATCGTCCAAAAAGCAAACATAAAGAAACCTCCCCCAAGGTACAAGGTCGCGGATGAAAAGGCCAGGTTGTCCATCGAGGAGATGAATGGGTGGGGACCGAGCTGGAGCTTTTTATGGATATATGTTTTCTAACTGCGGTAGATATGATATGTACGAGGATATCGAGGAAGTTTTGGCTACTAGACGTGGCCAGTAGTTATATATATATATATCGGCAGCCGGAGGATGTAAAAGCCTTGAGAAGATGTACAGCAAGTATCCAGTTCATTGTTACACTTCAACATCAAAGTACAAAGGAATTCTCTTTACCGCGACTATAGCTCAATATAATCCCTGTACATAAGCATAAGCAAGAAGCATCAAGCAATCTTACACCGAAGACACGATCTACGCAAACCACCCTAGCGGCCTAGCCTCCGACGACGTCGTCGTTAGTGTGATCCTCAAGCGAAAGATCACGGCTGCCTCTCCAGGGATCCGGCTCCTTCATTTCGGGGACGGGACGGGACTCGCGGGACTCGCGGGAGCCAAGTTACAGGCTTTAGCAGGCTTGACTCTTGACTCTTGAGTCTTTCGCGCCTTGGGCCTGCTAAAGGTATTACTGCCAGTCTGCAACTGACTGGACGGGTCTGAACTATGTACTGTACCTTGCCAGTCGGGAAGCTCGGCCTGCCTCAACCCCTGGAAATGTCTCAATTTCTCATTCAGCTTGGCTGCACTAACCCTCGCCCGTTTCTATAATGTACAATCACCCAAGCCCCCCCCCCCTGGCCAGATCAGTCGGCCCGTACCCTGACTCGAGGCCCCTGCCACTGTTTCCGTCCGCGTACAACCCAGTCCCCGACCGCAAACAGCAGCGCACCCAGGAACACCGGCGCCGCGTAGTTCATATTCATCGCGTCGACGGGGTAATTCGGCGGAAACGGCAGGAAGATAATCACATACACCCCGTAGACGATGGCGAAGAGGTTCACCGGCACGCCCCAGCGGCCCAGCCGGAAGGATCCCCAGCGGATCTCGTGTGGGGCGCGCAGACGCTTGATCAGCAGGAAGATCACGGGGAGGAGGTAGGAGATGTACTGCCCGAGGGTGGTCAGGGACAGCAGCGCGTTGAAGGCAGTGGTGGAGCCGATGTTGATGAGCGCGAGGAGGACGGTGATCACGGCGACGAGGAAGAGGGCGCGCAGCGGGATCTGGTAGCGCGGGGAGACGTGCGCGAAAAAACTGGAGAAGGGGAGGCCGTCGTCGCGGGCGAAGGCCCAGGTGAGCCGTGTGACGGAGGCGAGGCCGTTGAATAGGGCGACGAAGCCTGGGAGGACGAGCATCATCATCATGCCGGTGGCAGCGGCGGTGGATTTGGTGGCCTGGTAGAAGATGGTAAGGATTGGGTAGCCTATTGGGCTGTTAAGTGCGTCCGTGATGCTGCCCATCGTGTAGAGCAGGCCGATGGTGAAGCCCAGGGCCACGCAGCCGTTAATGAGCACACTGTACACCATGGACCGTGGGACGGCACGGGGGGCATCCTTGATCTCTTCCGCCATGTGGACGACACCATCGAATCCTGTTAGGATTAGTGGTCTGGTATTGGCTATTCAGATCAACAATGGGGACGGACCACCAAGGGTATAGACTGCGGTCAACAGCCCTATGGACCAGATGACGCCGTCATTCTGCCATCCGCTGCTGGAGTTCTCAAAGTATGTCCAGACGAACTCGGAGGAATTGCGTGATCCCAGCGCGATCAAAGTCACCAGCACCGCTGGGAAGAATAAGATATGAATGATCCCACCCACCACTTCGACGGGGGAGAGCAGACGGCGTGCATAGATGTTGACGGTCAGGGGAATCAACAAAACGGCCCAGATGATCAGCGTCGCATGCCAGGAATGGGGCGTATACGTAGGGTAGTTCATGACGACGAGGGCCTGGATCTGAGTTCCGATCAGGTAGGGAGAGGTGGCCACGTTGGCCCACCAGGAGAACATCTACGTCGTCAGAAATCTCTCGCTTCAAGAACGGCTGACGGCCATACCGTGATCCATCCTAGGTTCCATCAGCTCGGCCCCGTTGACCTGACAGTAATGAGCAGAATACACACCTTGAATAAAGCTGAGAAACCGGGGCGCAAATGGAGCAAGGTCGTACGTCCAGTGATACTGGGCTCCCGCCACGGGGGTACTGGATCCATCAGCTGAAATTCAAGCGCAGGCACTTCTACAAACTGACATTGATGCCAGTTCTGCAAGCGATAGAGCAATCCCCAAAGAGCCCACGATTGCCAAAATCAGGCCGTACACTAGGACCACTGGACCGCCATTCTCCAACCCAGCGTAGAGACTTGCCCCGATAGCTTCCCAGGAAGCTTGAAGCGTGGCTGCAAACGCCAGCATGGGCAGAAAGCCGAGATATCTCTATATCGAATTAGACCTGCTTGTTGAGATCTGTTTTGGTGCATACCTCCAGGCGGGGCCTAGGTCGAGACCCATCTTGTTGAGGTGAAGCTTCCACAGTTCTGTCATGGGAGGATTTGAAGCCATTTCCGTTGCCATTGCCGTAGTCGGCCTTCTCGACTGTGTTGTAATCCATCTTTTCGGTCAAATCTTCGCTGGATTCGGTTTTCAGTACGGAAACAGAAGCAAAAAGAAAACATGATCTGAAAAGAAATCATTTTAATCGTCGACGAGGGGCACGCATAGGGAAAAACGTCCCACGACCTTTCCAGGGGGTTTCAACATACCCTGGTCCGTGATTCTGGCTAACGCTGACGCCGGCCGATGGATCCCCGTCATTGCTGCAGAGACTAAGAGAATTCGGCTCGGATTGCATATGAAAATCGGCCAGGATCCATCCCGGATGGAGGCATCCGAAGAGACGATCGTCTAGTGGTGGCCGCGGCTGGGATGCTGACAGGATCCCTGGAAGGCGCACGCAACTTGAGACATACAAACTGCAAGGACACTGCTGTATCTCTTTTTCTCCTGCCCCAGAGGAAGCATCGGGATGTTTTCTCTTCGACAGGTTGTTGTCCTTCGTTCCTGAATGGGAAATCCGTCGATTTGGTTGTGATATCGTCCTGGACACTGCCATGTCTGAGCCACCTCTCCTCCCTCCGTTGGAACAGATCACGCCAAACAATCATGGCGCAACGGTATCAATCGTCGCGTTTGTGCTTCTCTCCCCAACTATACTCACTGTTCTAGCCAAGGTTGCGACGATGGTATACTTGAAGCGGTGCTTGCTCTCCGTTGACCTTCCGATTTGGGCTTGCACAGTACGGTGGCCCCATTCTATCCCCCGGGTAGTGAGAGAGCTAAGTCTTGTAGATAACTGCGTTGATCCAGAGCATTCTCATCCAGCATGCGGTCGACAACGGCATGGGGAGGCACCGCGGTGACCTATCCAGTAGTGCATTCGATGCCTACAACAAGGTGAGTGTACTCTCCCTGCAGCAGGGACCATCCATCTGATTGTTGGTTTCTATCAGTTCAACTACGCTGCTCAGCTGCTCTTCATCCTCGTGCTCTTCCTCTCCAAACTCTCGACCACCAACCTGATCGGCGCGATCAGCCCGAACGAGACTATCCAGAGATGGTGCATGACCACGCACGTCTGCATGGGCGCTTGGGCAGTACTCGCTGTATTTGCACTTGCATTTCAATGCCAACCCCCATACTGGGAGTACTCGCCGACTCGTTGCGTAGCAGAGGTAGGAGCACCGTGTGAGAAACTGCGCCTTGTTAAGCTGTATAGGGTGCTATCGTCTTTCCCATTATGATCATCAACATGATACTCGACGCGAGCCTCGTGGCGACATCGACCCTCATGCTGTGGCATGTCCAGATGCCTCGTGTCCAGCGACTGAAGGTTTCTGCGGCATTTGCGTCGCGCGCAGTGTAAGCATCAGCCAAGGGGGAGTAGGATGATGCTGACATTTTCAGAGTAATTGTACTCGGTGTTATTCAATTACTATACTTGCCCAAGTACCTGCGTTCAGATGATCCTACCTGTACGTATCACCGGCTCCTATCCCTGATCCAACGCTAATGCAACCTAGGGACAATCGTCAGCGTAACAGCATCTAGCCAGTAAGGCTTTGTCCCTATGTTTGTGTCAGTTTTCCCTAACTCAAAGACCCTTAGAGCAATCATGAATTGCAGTATCATCACCGCCTGCATTCCCAGTCTATACCGATTTATCAACAGTCTGGCCCTGGGCACGAACACTGTCTATGTTGGCGGGACAGAGCTAAGCAGCGGAGCGGGATTCCATCGGCCAAAAGCAAGTGCGTCTGGCTCTGGGCGGGTCCGACGAGCATCCTCGACGCGCCTTGGTTCCTCCAGGGAAAGCAGCATCTTCACACGAGTTACGACAGTAGGTAACCACGAAGGGTGCGAGACGGAGAGTATGAGACATCTGCGAGACGAGGCTGAATAGAATGGTGTTAGGGCAACGGTGAAAGCCCGAGCAGAATCAATCGAACCTATCAGTTAGAAAAGTTTTGAATCGAAGGCCTGTTTACTTACCAGGCGTAAGCTATACTTAACCTCAAAGTAGTACCAGTCGTGCTTCGAGAGGGAGGGAATGGAGTCATATTCACTTCCCTCATTAGAGACCTAGGGGAAAGGATACCTGCCTATAATCAGTCATGAAAAGATATCTCCAACACGATGAAGAAGCTGTAGAGATACACACAGACAATCAACGACTGGCTGAGAGAGAACCCATTTGCCCAGGCATCTGTGAGCTACAGCTCTGGTATAGCCTATGCCACCCCCGAGAGATCAACGAATAGGATCAACTTGTTGCCGGGAACAACAACGTGCGGCAACGCGTCGACTCAACTCTAGAGCTTCTGCCATCATTGTGATCCACGAATATGGCTTCTCTCGGCTACAGGGCGAGAATTTCGATTGCTGGTCATGCCCTCATCAAGCCATCTCTGCTGCCCTTCCATGTGCGACACATGCACCACCACACGCCACGTTCATCCGCCCCTTGCGAATCATTCTTCAAGAACACGTCTCGACGCTGGATGTCGGTTCGAATCTTGCCGTATCAATAAGATTGATGCTGATATGTGTGCAGATTCAATGAGGAAAAACGACTGCAGGAAAGATATGTCGAATTCAATGTCCCAGAGCTGCTACGCGTCACGGCCACCGCGATGCATCAAAATAGGCGCCCTGATATTGTCAAGTTTGCGGAAGGGGGCTTCAACAGAGCCTTTCTCGTCAGAACAGACGAAGGAAAGGAAGTCATTGCACGCATTCCCACCCTGATAGCCGGTCCTCCTCACTACACAACTGCTAGCGAAGTCGCGACTATGAACTTCCTTCGCAACGTTCTCGACCTTCCTGTTCCGAGGGTCCTAGCTTATTCATGCGACTCGGCAAATACAGTCGGAGCAGAATACATCATTATGGAGAAAATCAGCGGAGAAAGTCTGGCATCAAGATGGTTCTCGTTGTCAGCAAAAGAGGTTACCCACATCATGGCTCAACTGGCTCAATTCGAGAAGAAGATTTTCTCTTTTCCGTTTCCTGGATATGGCAGTTTATATCACAGTCGTGATATCCAAGGGGAGTCTCAGATGCCACTGGGAACGGATGACTACTGTATCGGCCCAGTGGCAAAGCGACAGTTCTGGCATGATGAACGGGGCCAAATGGATCTGGACAGAGGCCCTTGTATGTGGCCTTCCTAGATATACTTTGCAGGACTAACGGGAAGTCATAGGGAAATCACCCATCGACTGCCTCATGTCTGCAGCACGACGAGAGGCTGCATATCTGCGGACCCATGCGCAACCACGACCGCGGCGAAGATTTCTTCTGCCTACGGAGCACAGCATCCCCCCCAGTGAGCATCTGTCGCTACTGGCAAAATTCGAGCAGCTTGCCTCTTTCTTAATCCCCAAGGATCCCAGCCTGAGCACCCCAACTCTCCGACACCCTGATCTGAGCCTAGCAAACATTCTACTCGTTCCTGGGTCGACCAAGATTGCCAGCATAATCGACTGGCAGGATGCCGCGATCTTCCCATTGTTCATGCAGGCCGGATATCCTGCATTCTGCGAACACGACATGGCGCACCCGCAGAGTCTGGAAACCCCGACTCTCCCCGAGGACTTTGACAGCATGACAGCCGAGGAACAGCTCCAAGCCCAAGCACAGCTACGCCAGGAAGAGGCCAATTTGTACTACACCGCCGCCACAGGCATACACCACGATGCACACCTGCGAGCGCTTCGCATCCCGCATCTGGGCATGCGACAACATCTCATCCAACAGACAGGATATCCATGGGACGCGGATTTGATCAACCTCCGCGCTGCCCTGGTTGGGATTACCAGCCCGGCTGTGTGGGAGGGAATCTCATCCGAGCCCTGCCCGGTGTCGTTTTCCGACGAGGAAAGGCAGAAGGCAATGGAGGAGTCGACGGAATGGAATGAGTCCGAAGCTCTCTTGTCTCGGATTCGGGATCACCTGGGAATTGATCTGGAGGGGGGCACGGAGCCGGAGAACTTTGAGTGGGCCTTCAATAGAAACGTCGAGTTTCGCTTAGAGATGCTCCGGCAAGCTGGTGAACAGGAGCGGGAGACTTGTTGGCGTAACTGGCCGTTCAAGGAGGACGAGGACTGTTCACCTGCGCCTGATATTCCTGAATGAAGAATACGACCGTCGTGTAATTCACTCTATAGTCAAGTAGAGAACTCTGAGTGTGACTTTTACGTTGGGCTGAGCATTGAATATGTGAGAATCCCCCAATGATGGTGACAAGTTTCGATATCTACCGTTGTGTGAAGCAGTTCTTGGGCCTTATGGGGGAAAATAACCAGGATCTTGCTTCTCTACCCCTCTCGACTTTCGGACCTAGATATCTGATGAGTTGTCTATGCCATTGAGCAAACAGCAGATCAGTTCAACCAATAATAGAACGACACATCGTTCATCCAACTTGACCGAAATGGATATGCCTTAGAATGGGTGTATCTTGAAGCAGAAATGTCTTTTTTGTCGTGGAGGAGTCTACACCTTCCTCGCCCTGGTTACTCGTGGTGTCGTTGTTGCAACTTTCTCAAGGTGTTCATCATCAAAAAATGGAGGGGACTTTTGGGAGGTAAGTCGGATTGAATCCAAGAGATATTGTTTGTCATCTAAGTCTCACACTCTTAGATATCTCTCTTCGCCTTTATTCACATTCCAAATTGGCCCTGATAAGAAGGAAGTGACCGTGCATTCTTCTGCTGTGGCAGGGCTTTCCCCAAGCCTGGATGCCCTCCTGAATGGCGGAATGATTGAAGCAAAACTCAGGCTGGTTGACTGGTCCGATGTCGACGTAGACACGTTCGCTCGGTTATGTGAATTTGCCTACTTACGAGACTACACACCCCCTTCCTATCGCCTGGTTGATGGTTATTCACCTGTCCCTCAAGCTTCAACCCCCATTCAAGGGAAAAAGAAACGCATGAAACGCAACTCGAGGGTTCCCAGCGGGCACGTGTCTGTCTTTGAAGCCGCAATGCAGCCCGAACCGGAGCCTGCTATTGAGTGCGCAGACGAGCCTGAGCCTGTGCCAGAAGAACCCCCCGCGCCGGAACCTGAGCCCACGAGCGCCGTACATAGTGATCCCGAATTGCCGTATAAGGAGCGAAGCGTCTGGACTCGACATTTGCGTGATGCATTTATGGGCGGGTCTTTTATTCCAGGCCCCCAGACCAAGGACTTGAACCTTGCGTTCACACCACCTCATAATACTGGATCCTGGGAAGACTTCACCCCGGTCTTTGTCGAACAAGCTCGGCTGTACGTATTGGCCGACAAATATGGAATAGAACCTCTGTGTCAACTCGTTCTCTCCAAATTGCATCAGACGCTGAAAGACTTCAAGCTCTATCCGACGGGAGTGGCTGGAGTTTTGGAATTTGTTCGATTCGTGTACTCGAACACGCCACCAAATTATGCCAATAGGGTTGATGCCATGAGGAGCTTGGCCACTCGTTATGTTGTCTCTGTCTTAGGACAGATCGGCGAGACCGAAGAGTTTCAGGAGCTCCTGGAAGAAGGAGGCGCCTTTGTCACTGATTTCTGGCACATCATCTGGAGTGCGAATGCCACTCTCCGCCAGTGAAACAAGCAGAAGCCCTAAATTAATATAGCTTGATTCTCAATCTTGTCAATAATCTCATTAATCGTTCGCCTACCTCGCCGGACAATCTTCATGTCTGTTGTCTAGAGGTATTTAGGGCTAGCAACCGGAGGATTGGTACTTTAGACCAGCCTGTATGGGACCTGATCTGTCAGACGAATTCCTGAAGAGTTATTTGCGATGTAGTGGGATTCAGGGAGGATTAGATTATATTGAATATGGATGGGTTGTGGCCTGGAATGTGGGATCAACTTATGATGTGACAGCAGGGTACTTGTACTTGTCATTGAAAAGCAAGATCAGAGCCCTCTCCTCTTTGAAGCCGCATGTATTTTTTTCTTTTCTACATAAGCTACCGTCATATGGTCATTTTATATACATCGTCAAGTGCCCCTTGACAGTTGTTAGTCTCTCATTGTCCTTGAGGTTTAGCGTCCACTGGGCTAATTGGTATCGAAGCCCTAATCAGTGACGTTCGGCAAGGTAAATCCCTGAATGAAATGAATGATTTCCTAGAAGAATGCGCCGTGCAATGTGCACCTACTTCGCCTATATTACCAGCCTCACACTATCTAACAATTGCCATGGCACCTATCAGTCGAAGTTGATGGTAATTTGCCGATTGTCGGTATTGCCTTGTGTTAGCGTACTGGTGCCTAACAACCATGGGAAGCCAAGCGAGCTAAGCTTCTAGTACAAGTGCCATGGCTGAGTACTGTATATATATACACCCCTGGACACTCTGGGACGCTTTGGAACGCTCTGCTAGTGTTTATATTCTACCATCTCAACTTCATTGCACGCTCCGTGATCCCAAAATGCAAATCGACGAGCTTCAAGCCCGAAACAACCACACCTATGAAAACGGACACCGGTACTATGGCTTCAAGTTCGAATATCCTTTCCCAGACGACAAGGACGCACAGGATACCCACAGTGGCATAGAGCGCCTCTGGCGCGAGTTGCTCGATTGGAAGGTCTTTGTCGCGCCGCTTCCCTCTCCGCTTGGGAAAAACCCACAAGGTGCTGGACTTCGCTACGCGGAGTGCCGCCTGGGTGGTGAGCTTCTGCCAGAGCGAGCATCACAGGGCCTTTGTCACCTCAATGGACCCGACATATATGCAGATCTTCCAGGGACGATGGTTAGTGCATCATGAGCTCGAAGGGGAGTGGCCGTTCTCGGCGAAGCGGGCGTTTCATTTGATCCATGCGCAGTCTCTGGGTGGATTGCTTACCGATTGGGAGGGGTTTTATGATAATGCTTTCAAGCACCTTGTGCCGGGTGGATGGTTGGAGGTCAAGGAGCAGGATATTCGTCTTTGCTCTGATGATGGTGGGGTTCCAGACGCCGTGAGACAGTGGCAGGAGCTGTTGGAAGAGGCGGCTGAGAAGTTTGGGAAGAGGATCAATGTGGCTAGGAAGCAGAGGGAGTGGATGGAGCGTGCTGGATTTGCTGAGGTGAAGGAGGAAGCCTTCAAGGTAAGTTTGTCATGGCCCTTCAGAAGTATGACGGAGCTTGTACTGAGTTGAGTCTTATAGGTCCCGCTGGGCCAATGGAGTGAGGGCCTCAAATGGAAGGAAATCGGAATGACCTACTCCTACCAGCTACTGAAGAGTCTGGATGTGTATTCCCTGCGCCTATTCACTCATACCTTGGGCTGGTCCGAAGAGGACACAGATGCACTCCTGGGCAGGGTTCGCGAGCAGTTGAAGCAAGAGGATCTACGTCTCTATTCTTATTTTCATGTGGTTGTTGGGCAGAAGCCTACAACCGCGGAAAGATGGCGGGGGCGTGTACAACAGCCATCTTGATATTCTAGAACGCTGCATGAACAACACATGGAAATAACCAGGCTATCCATGAGGAGAATTTACTTTGCAAGTAGCCCATAGTACTTGCATGAATAGCTTCCCATGTTCCTGACCTTTGAGGAACTTCCAACTCGAGTCCTCTTCTCAGCCATCAGCCATCCCCGTGCCCACAGTTCCGTTGGAGAGAACGGAGGGAATTTGGCTCAGGCTTGGGAGACTAGTAGCCGACAGAGAAGTCTCCTCATCTGGTTTGAGCTGATTTAGGGTCCCAGGAAGGAAACTGGCAAGGCAAATGAGTGATAATCGAAAGGCGCCTAAGGAAAGGCACAGATTTGATGAACAAGATGAAGGCGCTGCACTTTTCAGCCCTGTTTATTCGTCATCTGCTGGAATAACCTGACAGAAAGATACAGTACTGGCAGTAACTGTTTATAGGGAGTGCTGGGGCTACCTTTGGACCCATCTATGGCCAGGAGTTGACCACTTCTCTACCTTTGTTCAAAACATTTTCAGTTACTGTCAGATGATAGGGTGTCCTCTAGTGCCTAAGAGCACTCGTCGAGGCTATTCCATACTTCTACAGTTGAGGTTCTGCTCTATCATTCCTTTCTTGTCACATTGCTGGATACATCAAGCCTGTCTGGGCGGCAAAGACGAGTTCTATCAGTACAAACAACCTATCACTGTCCACTCACAGCCGGGTGTCAGTTGTTGGTTTGGAAATCAACGTGATAGGCTCTGAAAGCCATGGCTGGCTCTTCGCTTTGCATCAATGCATGCCACCGGAATGCCATCACACCCCTCCCTCCCCGCTTTTGGACAACTCGAAGTTCATATACAGCTATCGCTGCATGGCTTTCTCATTCTCCATAATCTAAATAAGTCTCGTCGTTCTCACTTCATAACCACCAAGTGTTATCCTCTGGGTCAGCGCTCACTTAAGCAACATCCACTCCAACTTCCTGCTGCTTCTGTGTGCAAGATGGACATTCACGACGTCTCCAATGTACCGGAGTACATGCAATGGCTGCGTAAGCACAGGCAGACACTTCAAAGTGCCCAGTCGCGTCAGGGTCAGAAGCCCAAGTTCACAAAGTCGCGAGACGGGATCATCATGCAGTTCATGCTTCGGCTCATGGCTAGTACGGCCCGTGTTGACTCCCCTAGCAATATCCGTTCATCTTTCGTGCCTCCTGCCTATGCACCTTGTGTCACTGCCTTACATGATCTGAGGAAAACCAAGATCAAAGACCTCAGACTGGAGACTCATCATCGTGGGTCTTACATTGTGCTACGCGCAGTCACCCCGCCAGACATAATGACGGCGGTCGTGGCGATTGTTGAGGACGAGGATGGGGATGTTCTCATGCTGCAATTGTACAATCAAGAGAAGGATCTGGTTGCGCATGGCCGTCTTGCTGAAGGAACGGTCATGATTGTGAAGGAGCCGTACTTGAAGGTCATGTCCGATGGGGATTATGGGATTCGAGTCGACCATCTTTCCGACATGAAGCTCCTCACCGAACATGACCCCCTGCTCCCATTGCTGTGGAGGCCGCGGCTCACGGAGATCGACACCTCTGCCCGCTTCTGGAGGTTGAAAGGCAACGACTATTTCAATGCAGGTGGCTATCACCTTGCTATCGAATGGTAAGGCGGTGGTGGATATTTCCTTGTACAGGCAGACGCTGATAACAACGATAGCTACTCACAGGCCCTAGCTTCCTCCCCGACAACTGAAGAGGCCTTCACTATCAGACTCAATCGTGCCCTGACTTACCTCAAGGCGAATCAATTTGAGGCGGCACTCAGCGATACCGAGAAGCTCGCGCCAGGCTCGGACTCAAAGCCGTCAGAGAAAGCGCTTCTCCGCAGGGCTCAGGCCCTGTACTATCTCCAGAGATACCAGGAGTCTTGTGAAGTTCACCAAGTACTGGGCAGGGAGTATCCGACAAACGCTACCGTTAAGAGCGAGTTCGGTCGAGCCGAGGCACGACTTGCCGAACAGCAGAGCGGCAAGTATCAATTTCAGCGTTTGCAACTCGAGGCAAAAAAGCGTCGCCCACCGCATCTCGACCATGCGACCTACATTGGCCCGGTGGCTGTGGGATCTGCCCAGTCTCGGGGCCGAGGGTTATTCACGACAGCGCCAGTCCGCGCCGGCGATCTTCTCTTCTGCGAGAAAGCTTTCACGCATGTCTTCTATGACACGGAGTCATCGGATGGTGGCCTTACCCTTCTGATCAACGTGCAAGAGGATGCGATGACGATCGGGGCACAGGCAAGCCTTATTGCCCTCATTGCCCAGAAGTTGTACAAGACCCCGTCGTTGATGCCAACATTCACCGATCTTTACCACGGGTCATACAAGCCTGTGAAGGTCTCGGAGGTAGATGGTACACCTGTTGTGGACACGTAAGTGGCTCTCTGGTGGACATGATCATCAGGCTGATAGGACTGTAGCTTCCTCATTGAACGTACCATGTCGTTGAATGTGTTCGGCTGTCCTCTCTCATCCCGAGAATCTCACATACGTGCTATGAGGAAAATGACACCACAGGTCAAGGGCCGTGATGCGTTCCATTCTTGTGGGGTCTGGGCTCTAGCATCGTACATCAACCATTCCTGCTATAGCAACGCGCAACGATCCTTCATCGGCGATATGATGATTGTCCGTGCCACCCAAGATCTCCCTGCGAACACGGAAATTGCATTCTGGTACCAAGAGCCCTCGGAGCAAACTTCAAAAGAGAAACCAGTCAATTTGCAGCACTGGGGCTTTAAGTGCAGCTGTGAAGTGTGTCAAGACCTCTTTGAAACCGAGAATAGCGTTCTCGCCAACAGAAGAAGGCTGGTGGCCGGTTTAGCAAAACTCTTCCAATCTGGAAAGTCAAATCTAGCTAGGATCGAAGCCACCCTCGCCACGATTGAGGGGACTTATCGTCGGCCAGCCTTTGAAGTTCCACGTTGGAGCATCTGCAAGGCGTACCTGACGCTCGCCGCGATCTACGCAGGGACTCATCAGCCACAGAAAGCGGTCCAGTGTGCCCTGAAAACGCTGGAATCACTTGGCTATATTGTGGAAGGCGGAGCCCTTCCGCATCAGACAGGTACACCACTACTGATTCGGAAATGGGGATTGATGAAGGATAGCCTGGTCGGGTGTTGGATGATTCTTTCCACGGCCTATAGGGACATCGCACCGGAGCTCGCCATCCAGGCGGGAGAATACGCTAGGATCACGTACAGGATCTGTGTTGGTGAGGACGAGACTTTTGATCAAACCTATAGCCCGTACTCTGAGAGAGTAGATGGTCTTCTCAGCAAGGCAACTTACTAAGAGAGTGGTGGATATCCGCACCTTTCCTTTGACCAGGTAACCATTTATGTGCTCCCAAACGATCGTCGGGATTCATAGAACAGGCGAATTGGCCGCCAGGGGAAAGGACACCATAGGATAGCGTTTTAGCGATGTCGCAAAGCAATTGATTGTGTGATGGTTTCATCCCCAGGTGGACTAGTGATGCTAGTGACCCTCTATCTGGTGGTAATGATCTCTACCTCCGACCACCGCTAATACTCTGGAAAGATATGCGTGAGTATCCAGGAGGATCCTGGAAAAAGTAATGATAGATCAAAGCAGTTGGCCACTCTCAAGCGTTGATGCCATATCCAATCCTGAGTCAGCTGACCCATACTCTCTCTTGACATCACTACAAAAGTCAATATCACCACTCTCTATTCCACACGCCTTCGGCATGAATTGCTAGGCCTAAACCAAACATACCTCCAGCTTAACCCCCCTCTCTTCCGTTCAAGGGAGGCCCCATTCAACACTACCTCTCGCCCCCCCCCCCCCACCAATGGACCAAAACATCGGTCACATCCTCGCAGACCGCAGCGACTGGCCGTCATGGTACAAACGCATCCGACTCGTGGCTCTCAGCAAGGAGGTATGGCCGTACATCGACCCCGACTCCAAAGAACCCCCGTGCTTGCCCCTGGAGCCGCAGCGGCCTGCCTACGGGGACTTCCAGCTCGGTGCGCAGCGGTACTCGTCTCTGGAAGACAGGAACCGGATGGACTATGACCATGCACTAGCGACGTGGCGCTGGACGCACGACGACTGGCGCCGGGTCCGGGGTGATGTTGCGTATGTTGCGCTGCTGATTGCGTCGTCGGTGTCGAGGTTCGCGCACGACCTGATTGTGGATGAGGATGATCCGAGGGAGATGCTGGTGACGTTGAAGAGGCGGTTTGATCCGGATTACTAGCTATTCAGAATTCTTATGGCTTTGGATAGGAGATACAAAAAAAAAAAACAATGCTGTCAACCCCATTCGGTTGGATTTATTCTCCCCAGAGCTCCCTCGGCGTAAACCCAGCATGATTCCGCATCCCCTCCCACACCTCTTCATCCCGCCCTCTCACCATCTCCACCGTCTCCTCATCCACATTCAGCGTCCCAGCCAGGTAATGCAGCGCCGTATTCCCATCCACATCCGGCGCCCTAACGTCCACCGCACCCCCGTCAAGAACTGCCTTCACCGTCGCCCTCAACGCCCTCTGCTCCCGCTCTTCCATCGGTCTACTCCCTCCGGAAAACTCCCCGGCCCCAACAAACCGCGCATGCAGCGGACTCGGCAGCCGGTACGGACACCACGTCTCGTCCAGCGTCCGCGCACAGTGCAGGCTCCGCGCCACGCTCGCCCGCCGCGACACAATCGCCTCCCCCACCAGCGGTAAGCACGCCACATGCAACAGCGTCTGGCCCAGCGCCGTTCTCCCCGCCGCCGCAAGACCACCGGACACATACCCGGCCACCCAGCGGAGGAGATCTGGGTCGTGCCGCGCCGCCGCGAAGTGGAGGACGTGCACGCCGAAGACGGGCGTGCGCAGGCTCAGATCCACACCCGGGCGCGAGAGAAGCTCAACCAGACACGCCTGCACGCCTGCATCCGCCAGCTCGCACCGCGCAATCGCAAACGATACCGGCGGGAGGGCGAGAGTCGGCGCCGCAAGCGGCCGGTAGTTGGCCGAGTAGCTGCGTGCCAGGAGATGACGGAGCATGTGCACCTGGCCAGTGCGGAGCGCCTCGTGGATGGGCGACGAGGTCGAGAGCCACGACACCGGTTCCTCTTCACCGTCACCGTCACCGAGACCATCAGACCCCACCAACCAAGCCGACTCGTCCGCGCCAGCGGCCCTCAACAGCTCGAACACATCGACATCGCCGTAGGACGCGGCGACCTCCAGCGCGGTGCGCGCGGGACCCGAGCGTAGTCGCTGCGCGGGGACATTCGGCTCGGTCCAGAAACGCGGAAAGCCCGCGCGGCGCTCGGCGAGCTCACCCGGCGTAAGCGCGCACGTCTGCGAGGCGATGCCTTTTTCGCGGGCGGAGGCAAGGACGACGCTCCGCGGCGGGCAGTGCGCAAAAGATGAGGTGTCGATTTGCGGGGCGCGGCCGCGGATGAATCGGGTGGCGTAGTCAGCTAGGTCGACTGTGGAGATGCCGTTGGGGTTGGCACCGGCGGATAGGAGGGTGTGGATGTTCTCGGGGAGGTGGGCGTGAATGGCAGCGATCAGGGGGGTCGAGTACGCGCCGTGAATGGCACCGGAGATGCTGGCGTTGGGAGAGAAGCGTGAGCGCGTGGTTGCGAGGGTCGTGCTGGGGAGAGAGGCGGAATAAGTGAGAAGGGCCTGGAGAACGGCCGGGTTAGGGTTTTGCGCGGCTCGGATGGCGGGGGGCTCGTCATCGCGCGAGTTGTCCAGGTCATTCTGGGTAAGTTGGTACATGTCGAGTTGATGGGGATAAATGATAATTGATAATTGATAGTTGATAGTTGATAGTTGATTGAAGATGGAACGGGGGTGGGAGATGACTTTATACCCGTCCGAGACACTTAGACACTTAGACCTCAGTAGGCAGCAAAGTGGGTTTGGAAGATACGCAACATTACGATGCTTATACGTACCCTATATCTAGAGTATATTCGCCCTGTTCGATAATCAGGTCTAGATAGTTCGCGGTTCATAGTTGACAACAAACATGAAGACGTCATTAAGCTAAGACGTTTATCGAGAGTAAGGCTGTCTATGAGCCGGGCATCTCTTTGGATTGCCAGACACATTCCCCAATATCTATCTATTTTGAAGCTGATTTGCCCTACAGGCAATGGATACTTCTTATCTATGTAATATATATATATATATATATATATATATATCCATCCAGCTTCAACCCCTATAGCCCTGCCTACTATACCTCGTCATTATCATTCTGGGTGTCCTGCGTTTCCCACTGTCCCCGTGCATTCCCATTCGGTGTAAATTGACGGCTCTGATGGTATGTGCCCCAGTCGACGTAGTGCCGTCCAGGACATGGGTCGTTGGGGATGGTGTACGTGGTCAACTGGCCGCGCTGGGCGCCAGTGAAGGTCTCCTCCGTGATCAGGTCCTCGTCGTACAGATAATTGCCAAACCGGGTGATGGCCTGCGCCCATTGAGGGAGACCCGCGGACGCTGAGTTGGGCAGATCGCCCGGGTACCAGTAGATCGTGTGCTGGTTTGCCTCGCTGCCCGTGTTGCACTCCATGATATGTGCGCGGCGGTTATCTCCATGATGGGCATTACCGTCAACGCGTGCAAACTGGTACCCGCTGGCGTACTCCTGTCCGTGAAAGGCGACGACGGCATAGATTCCAGCGCGGTTGACGCCCCCGCGATTAATCAGATGCTCAAAGTGGAAATGGAAGGCAACAAAGCGATCTGCCGCCGTCTCCTGGTAGCTACTATCGGTGATCTGCCAAACAACTGGATTCGGTCAGGTCAGACACGGGGACGAAGAACGACAAGCGAGGGACTGACTCTCAAGGATGTTCTCTCCGCTATTGGTGCGGATGAGCTGTTCATAAACCAGCGGCAGATGGCCAGCAATAATGCCATCCACGATGTATCCTGCAACATTTAGTTCAAACCCCCCTCACTGAATTAAGCAGAGAGGGTCACTCACTCCAGCTGGGTTCGATGCCCCCTCCTCCAGAGATAGACTCCTCCGTCTGCAAGATATTGCGAGCCACGAGCAGGTCAGTCCGTCTAGCCCCTGATTGAGTCTCCCCGATGCTGCCACGCTTTGATCGAGCCGACGAGCAGGGCCGCACGCAGACGCTGCTGCGAGTTCTCTCGTAGTCCTCCACCTGATTCCCGGCATTTCTGCCTAGGCACATCAAACTCTCTGTGCGAGAGTTCGTATCCACAAGTGGTCTGTCTATGTCAGTCGCCAAACAAATAAGTGTCGCGGAGGAGAGACATACGCATCGTCAAAGAATCGGTGGATCTGATCCAGTGTCAGGCCAAAAGGCTCTCCATAGGTCTCATTGAATTGGCTGGCCATCAACGACGACTGGTATGTGCCAGATCGGCCCAGAGCCAGGGCTGTGACTTGTAACATAATCCCAGACCAGTCCGACGGGGCCAGGTCATGTCGTTTAGCCAGAGCAAGTGTCGTGTTGCTTTCATCCCGCTTGCTATACTGGCGATCGCTGGCCTTGCAAACAGGGTTCTTAGCGAACTTCGCCAGACGATCGGAAAATGCGGCCACCAGGGGATCATTCTATGGATGTTAGCGGGTCAATCATCAGTTAGGGTGAAAAAGCTTACGGTTGTCGCGGGGGAATCACAGCAGAACGATCCGTAGCCTGATCATGTTAGCTGAATCTCATGACGAACTTACAAAGGGGGGACGCCAACCAGAGAAACATCCTGATGGATCAGTGGCAATCGACGCCTTGCCGGCCGGACATTCACCAGTGCACACAAACGGAATCGCGCCCCGGGCTTTACCTCCGTGATAGTACCAGTCACAATTCTCATATGGCGCCGGTTGGTCACAGCAAAAAGCCTGCTAATGTTAATCGCATTCCATTTCTCAAGGCACTGTACTCCTTACCTTCTGTCCGGTGATGCACGGCTCCTCACCACCCGCACCAAAGCTCGAGTACGTGAGCCGTTGGCGGCCCGAGGGGCAACTGGCTGTGTTGAACGGGGCAGAGCAAAAGGGGGCACTGCCGTACCACTTGCACTTGGCAGCAGCCGCGTTGGCCGCGTTCTGTTGACAGCACAGTACCTTGTGTCCAGTCCAGCAGGATTGTCCGGTCCCGCTCCAGCTGCTTGATACTTCAACCTCGCCGTCGTGGCACTTGCCGTTGCAGAACGGGGCGCCTCCTCTCCAGGTACATGTGGGCATGTTATCCGGGGGGCAGCAGTACAGCCGCGACTGGCCCTTGGGGCATCCGGTATTCGTTCCTGTGTTGCCCCGGTTCTTACCGTCACTGCGCTGCGCCGGCTTGAGGCCACTCGGACACTCTTGTCCGCACTCGCTCAACCGGCAGGATTGAACTTGCTCGGTCGATGACGAGCTAGCGGCCAGGGAGATCACAGATCGGCCCGTCAATTTCGACAGTGCATTGGCCGCGCTACCCTGCGAATCATCTGTCGATGCGGCCCACACCATAGTACCACCAAGGCAGTGGTTGTTGGCATAGTTCAGCTTGAGCTTGAGAGTCTCAGCATCATCATAGCTGACCCATTGGTTTCCGCCCCAAGTGACTATCTTCACAGCGGCCTCCGCATCCAGCTCCACCTTGGCTCCATTGGCAACAATCTTTTCAATCTCGGAATAGGACAGTGTCCCCACGGATGCGGTACAAGGCCCGGCGTTGCCACCGGAGGAGAAGGTGCAGCCTGGCTTGGTACATGAGGGATCAGTGAGAGTGAACGACCGACCATAGAAACCAAGACCCAAGGTAACATGATCAGGATTGATGTTATTACGCCAAAGCAAGTTCAACGCCTGGTCAATCTCAGTGATGTTGGTGTGAGCCTTAAGATAGGGGCCCGTGTACTGATTCTGGCCGTCCCAAGTCCCGTGAAGATCGTAGGACATCATGTTGAACCAGTCAATTGTTTTCTCGATCTCGACAACGTCGAAGTGCTGCAGGTACCAGTAGGAGGAAGGAATCTACAGAATAGGTCAATTTCCGGGAAAGAAGGAAAGGATGTGGTACATACTGTAATAGAGATGCCATACTTGTGGCCGGTACCACTCAACGCACTTCGAAGATTTCTCAAAAACGCAGGGAAGTTCTGGTAGTCCGATGGCTTGCCTGAACGTTCTGCAGCGACGGGATACTCCCTGTGGAAGTCAGTAAGACACATGAAAAAAGATGGGGGGGGGGGGGGGGGGAACTACAAACCAATCGATATCGACCCCGTCGAAGCCATATGTCTCCATGAAAGATATGAGCGACGCAAAGAATTTGGCCTGCGCATCAGCAGAGCCTGCTAGATCAGAAAACGTAGAGGCCGTGGGCTGGTCGGGGTCATTCATGCTCCATCCCCCGATAGAAATCCAAGTCTCCAAGTCGGGATATAAGCTCTTTAGGCCAGTGAAGCGCTTATAGAGTTCTTCGTCACCGGGGCTCATTTGGGCCACCTTGAAGGTAACGGGGTCCTATCCTGGTCAGGATCTCGAGCATCAGAGACACCTTGGTCAGACTTACAATGAATGCGAAAGCAAAGTTGAGGTGCGTGTAGGAACCAATTGGAATGGCTGGGTAGTCAGTATACCATATTGTTTCTGGCTCAGAAAGAGACCTACATTCAGGGTACATGCGGTCACAGCTGCGAGTGACACTCCAGCCCTCATAGTACCCGACGGTTCGCTTCGATGAGCTAGAGCCGCTGGAGCATTGGGGCGCCTGGACTTTGTTGTCACCGCAGAACTCGTCCGTCGTGCCACAGAAGCCAAATTTAGAGCAGCAAACGTTCAGGGGACAGTTTTGGGAGGCAGACCACTGCTCAGGTCAGCATGGGCAGATCCACGAGTATGTTGAGTACATACCTCCAAGCCCCATCCTGGGTTGCATTCCGATTTGCGATCACAGTTAGAAATACAGGTCTCACCGCAAAAGTTGGGTCCCAGACCACAGACACCTGTGTTGGAGCAACATCCGATAGCACAGGGCTTCGTAGCACTACAGGTGTAGTCCTGCGCAAAGACAAGCTGGAGGCACGAGGCCAGGCACAACCAAAGGAGCGCAGTCCAGTTCATGGTTGGCCAGGACTGGGTTGGATTCAAAAGAGTGACAAAGGTATGAAGAGAAGCAAAGGAAAGAAAGAAAGAAAGAGTAAGAGAGAGTTGACAATAATCTCCAGTCACCACACCTGAGGTCTTCCCGAGTCGCTGCCGTGTCATATTTAAGGACATCTCGAGAGATATCATTCGAATAGACTCATCTATTTCGCATCAGCCAACGTCCGTCTTCGGAGGCATCGTGAGGGGTGGTGTGAGCGAGGAGGAGTCGAGCACCGATGCCATTCGCGTGTGATCATGTAGATTGACTCGTTGGGCCTTCATTTCTGCGTAACTGTAGTGCTTATTCCTCACGCTTAGTGTGCGGAAACCCCCGTTAGCTCTCCTTCGGCAATCTCGAGTGGCAATGGTCCTATAGATGAAGTCGTGAGATGGAGGGATGATAATGTCGTGCAGGGAAGTCCAGCCCTACAACAAAGGAAACTGAGGCTGCAGGAACTTCCCAAACGCTTCAGCAGCGGAAATGAGGCTGCGGACACGAGATGGACAGCACTATATCTGCAATATATGCCGCCAATGAGAGGTTCTTTTGTTGTTTGCTGTTTCAGAGCACAAGCAAGCGAAGATTCATTGCCATTTCTTGAGTCTGTCCTATTCGCAGGGTAATATATAGCGTGTCCACTATTCATTAGCATCGATGGTACCTGAGGATAAGCGAGGCATGCAGGGTAGACAGCCCGACATGTAACTCCAAGCGCGTGGACGACTGTACCAATGCTTACCCGAGGTCAGTCTTGTCCTATTCTTTCCTATCAACTTTCCTAGTCTGGTTTGGTTGGCGTTCTACTATCTATATGCATGTGCGGGATTGCGGACATCGTTCCTGATCTGCTAGCGCTGACTAGTTTATAGTGAAAAGAAATTTTTACCCTAACTACTCCATACTCCATAGACATGCAGGAACTAATATAAACGCTGGGGCCAGAGCTTAAGGGGATATGGTGAGCAACATGGTGTTGGATCGCATAGGTAGTAGTACGAAGTATAGACAGAACATACTGGATGGAGAGCGTTTCTTAGGCCTCGCTTGATCTGCCATTGATACTTACTCGATGAAATGATTCTATACTCGCTTATTATGATTCATCTCCCTCCTCGGACATTCTTGATACTCAATACTAGCACCCCACTACCACTAGCCTAACTCGAAGCCCTAAGGTTTTCGGACATCTGATAGACAGGCAGCAGTGGTTAGTGCCAGCATGGTTAGCGGATGTGGATATACTACATACTTTGGGCCTCATCTCGAGATTGTATCCTGTTTCCCTGCATGTTTAATAAAAGGAGTCATCCGATAACACCCTGCGGCTGACGTTTAATTTCCTCTGCCCGATTTCGGCACTTTGCGAGAACAATCACTTTGACCAGGCTAGACTTGAGGACCAGGAAATCCTCTTATTATGCCCCTCAGGTGCGTATTGCCAGAACCCAGACCCAGCTGCGCGCACTCTGCTTCACGATGAAACCCTCCCTCTGCGCTTTTGCCGGTCTCGTCGCAGGCCCAGTGGCAGCGCAGATCCAGCTCTACCAGTATGGCTTGAACTCCACAGCCACATTGTCTGCTGGTTGCAGCACCGCTCTCAAGGCAACGCTGCAATGCGATCCCTATCTGTACACCTTGGCCACCAACGACCACTTTGGTTCGCTGGGAAATAAGACCTTCCAAGACCAGTTGTGCCAGGGAGCCTGCGGAACTTCTTTGACGACATACCACAATACAGTTGTCGAGAAGTGTGCCAGCGATCCTCAGCCATGGGACGGTGTCCCAGCTGTCTGGGCAGGAGACATTCTCTGGGCCACCTACAACCGGACTTGTCTTAAAGATCCTAAGACGAACGTTTACTGTACTGGTAAGATCTTTCTCCAATGTACGAATGGAAATCTCTATGCTGATGGTCCTTCTAGAGGAAATTGGAGACATTCAAACCCTGCTGGGAGACACGGATTCAACTCTGACAACCCTGTCCAAGGATCAGCTGTGCTCTCCCTGTGTGTTGTCTCTGATCCAGCAGATGCAGGCAACGGCTTACTCTAATTATGATGACAGTCATGTCGCTGACTGGATCGCCATCCAGAAGACCTGTCAGACGGGGGCCTTGCCTACCCAGGTCCAACCGCCAGCAACTAACATTACAGAGGCGCCGGGAGTCGATTACTCAACCCCGGTCAATGCCACATGTCTGTCGGATAGGTACTATACCGTGGTGGCTGGGATAACATCCAAGCCATTGCCGATGCACAGGGGGTCGCTACTGGTCCTCTCAGGACGCTGAACGGTGTTTTCCCGGACGGATCCAATCTCCTTGCAGGACAGGTCTTGTAGGTTCCTCTCCATTAAACCCCCCCCTGTCAAACCAGACTAACAGCATTAGGTGTCTCCCTCGTAAATGCCAGATCTACAAAGTCAAAGCCGGGGACACCTGTGCCACCATTGCTGATGCATATAATCTCTCCGTCGTGGACCTCGTCACCTACAATCCTGCCGTCAACCGGGCCTGCTCCAACCTCATCGCCGACACCAACATTTGCGTCGGCCCCTCAGGCGCCCAGTACACGCCCACCACCATCGCCGGCGCCACGGCCACCAAGACCGATGAGTATGCCACTTCGACGGTGACGCCCGACGGACCGACGGCCAGCGGCACCACCCTTGAGTGCGGCAAGTACCATCAGGTCGTGGCCGGCGATACATGCGAGCAGATCTCACTAAAGTTCGCCATCTCTGCCGCCCTGTTCATGAAGATCAACCCGTCCATCGACCAGGATTGCTCGTCGCTGCCCCCAGGCGTCTACTACTGCGTCTTCCCCACGGCAGACTGGAACGCCACCGCTTCAGGCAACACCACCACCACCACCACCTCGACCTACGTGACGCCGCCTGCGCCCACGCCCACAGGCACAACGCAGTACTGCTACGCATGGTAAGTCATGCTCCCTGTCCCCGTCACGGGCAACATCGCTAATGGCCCAGGCACGTCGTGGTCACCGGCGATCAATGCTCCACCCTCCAAGCCGTCTTCGGCATCTCGTTCACGCAACTGCGGACCTGGAACCCCCAGCTCAACGCGGACTGTACTAACCTCCTCCTTAATGAAGCGTAAGTCTTCCCCTTCCCCCGTTTATATAGATTGCATTCTCTGAATTTTCTTAGCTACTGCGTCAAAGGAGACTCAGGCTCACGGCCTACTTCCGTCTCGGTCACCCCGACTTCGGCCTCGGCCACACCGACACCCACTTCCGTCCCTGCGCCGGGCCCAACGCAGACGGGTATTCCGGCCAACTGCAACAAGTGGGCCATGCAGGCAAACGGTATGGACTCATGCTCCGTTTCGTGCATAGCAAACATACTAATGGTGTACAGGGGTGTTCTGCTACGATATGGCTGCGAAGGCGGGGATCTCGCTCGACGAGCTGTACAAGTTGAACCCTGCGCTGAACGGAGACTGCTCTGGCCTGTGGGCAGGCCATGCGTACTGTATCGGGGTGTCGGGATAGTCATTAGGAGAGCAAGGGAGATAGGAGAGACGTGGGAATTGGGAATTTATTTTTTTCTTTGCAGTCTCATGGGATGTCAGACGTCTAACCTCGCTCACATGTATAGCATCGCCATTTACACATTTGGGATTTTGGCAGCATACAAGCGAATCAACCACCCCGGAGCATTTCATGTCTGTTGACCATGGAGGGGAATGGCAACTCCAGGGCCACTATTAATTGCTAGCTTGATCAAGAAGAACTGCAGTCTATCAGCTACCAAGAGAATTATTGCCCTTACTGCGTACTTACTGCTATCCCTGTCCCCCGATTCTACTCCGTGGTACCCCGTATACTAGGAATATTGTAAAACCCTCTACACCTGCTGGTATGAGAGGGAGTGGCGCACAGACTACATCGACCATTTCCTGCAGCCACGCGGAGATGTATACTTTGTAACTTTCGCATTATACCATTGGCAACGGGCGCCGTCTAGGTAGCAACTGACGCGTCTCGAAAACTTCCTTGGGAGGGTGTGATATCAGATATCATTCATGATCAGGTCCGAATAGGCGAGGCAGAGTTTCTACACAAAGTACCTCAAGAGAGACGGTGTCACTTTGCCTGTATTCAAATGGTCTCCTTTGCTATATCTCGAGTCTGTCATTCCGCTAGTTCTTCCTTGGAGTGCACTCTATAGTTGTCGACAGATGGCTACAAGACATAGGCACCACAAGTTTCAAGAGGAAAGTATTGACTACCGAAACGAAGAAAGAGGACAACAAAAATACATAAGACCGCCTCAGCAGGCTCCCTCTCTCTCTTGGATGTTCTAGTCAGTTGAAGTACGATGATAAAGCAGCAACCCAAAAGAGATGGCTATCACAACTGTCAGGAGACAGGGCAAGGGAGAGTTTCAAACATAGCACAAGCATAGTACTACTCATGATCATCCTTTCATATAGATTGGTTGAAGTCACTGAACAAGTATGAATGATGTTGATCCTTCAAATGCTTGAATGATCGGCCTTGACTAAAGTAATAAATATACCGAGTGACTAGTCAGTCTAGTTAAAGCTTGCTGAAGCTTGCTGAAGCTTGCTTCTTTACAGTCTCCACCATCTTTCTCTCTACAACACTCTATTCGAGACTCGGCTATGGTTTCAAACAACAATCACAGACCAATGAAAATACCAGTTAAGAGACTCCTAGATACTCCGTATGTAGATCTCTCTTCCGTCCTAGTTTGATTGCTCCAATCATCCACAGATATCATCCGTGATACGTATTCTTGCTGATCACCAGAACCGCCCGGCAATTGATCTCAACTCAGCCATGCGAACGCTATGATAAGGGAATAGAACTTACGGAAGAGAGAACGAGACTTCAGAACTACAAGAAAACTACAAAGCAGTGAATGGGTGACCAGCGGGAGCAAATGCTCACTAATTTTTAATTCTGAGTCTTTCTAGAATACAGCGAGGATTCCAGATCCTATGTATGAAGCATAAAAGAAACCTCGTCAGAGGTGCGATGCACGGTCAGAGTGCACCAAAATGGTGCTCCAATCCAATCAAGATGCTTCTATCTAAGCAGAGAGGGAGCGAGCGTGAACCTTCTCGGTAACAAGCCAGGAAAAGGTCTCCTTGAGGACGCTGAGGAACTGCTCAGGGCTCAGGGACTTGAAGTAGTCGGTCAGGTTGCCGTCGGTGGGAAGACCCGGGGTCGAGCTGGGGGTAGACGGGGCGGGGGTGGCGACAGGGGTCTGGGTCTTCTGTCCAGGGGTGCTGGTGATGGTCACGCTGGGGGCAGCAGTGGAGGAGGGGGCGGCGGTGGGAGTGGGAGTGGAAGCGGGAGTGGAACCGTTGTCATCGGAGCCGCCAGAAGAAGCACCGGTCCAGAGAGCAGGGCCGGGGATCGTGTAGGAGGTCAGGCTGCCGTAGATGTTGACAAGGATACCGGGGTCGGTGGCCTTGTAGAGCTTGGTGCCCAGGGTGCCAACAGGCTTGTCGCTGCCACCACCGGTAACCTTGAGGTTGATGCACTGGGGGTAGTTCTGGGCCCCGTTCGCGTTGCCAGCCGAGTGGAGGCCAATGATCTCGTGACGCATGACATAGTTGCCAGCGGCCAGGCTGCTGGGGACGGTCACGGTCCAGCTGTTGTTGTTGGCAATCAGGTCATCCGAGGCCCAGTGTCCGGAGCCGATGAGACCCTTCTCCTCAATCTTGAAGAACTCCAGCTGAGACTTGTCAACCGAGGCGCAGTCGCCATTGCAGTTGGCCATATAAGTGATGACAGGGCCGTGGTGAGACTCGGGCCACTGGGTCCATTGGAACTCCACCTTTCCACCAGCCTTGATGTCCGCAGAGAGGGCTCCAGGCTTAGCGTTCTTGTGGCAAATGATGTCGCCGCTGGCGTAGCCAGTGCCGTCGACAAAGCCGAGGTCGGTGGCGGTCTCAGACCAGCCAATGGTTTTGGGAGGGTTGCTCGAGTAGGGGTAGTTGTTGACAAGATAACCCGTGTGGTATGTGCCATCGACAACGGCACCGGTCACGAAACCGTGACCAGCGACCATGGCGGCGGAGCCGAGAAGGATACCAGCGATCTTAGTGACAGACATGTTGTATGATTGGTTGATCGACGCACAGCGTAGGATTGATTTTGAAACTTGAGAAAGAGAGACGAGAGAGAGAATGACAAAAAGGACGGGCTTCAGTCAATGAAGTCGGTTGAAAAAGAATGAGAGAACGAAGGGTTCTAAGACCTCTGGGAAAGAAATGAATGCTGATGGAGAGAGGAAGAGAAAGAACAAAAGGATTTCGACGGTGAACTGGCGCTTCTTATATCCAATTCCAGCGGCTGTGAGACCTCTGTGGACTCGACCAATGCTCCGCAGAGCTCCTGGTCCAAAGCTAAGGATAACCGGGTGGGCGGTTCATTGCTGGTACTCCATGGATGGTCTCTGATAGGCGGCGAAAGATGGCCATGAAGCGAAACAGTCAGAGATAGATGAAGCGACAAACACCGGAGCTTCAGGATTGCCCTTTGCGGACTAGCGGGGCCGTTGGTTGTGACGGTCAGAGTTTCACGCTGCTCTCCGTTGTTTCTTGGCTGGTCTCCAGTTCTCTCCCCGTGATTAAACAGAAAAGGAGTGGTGGAGCAGTCATCCTGGAGCATGAGTCCCCTGCTCATCTAGTTGAGTAGTCCACTCTGCCACTCGGAGGGTTAATCAACTGTCGACAACTCGGGCGCCTCTGCCGCTGCTATCGAATCGGTTGTGCTCCGCGCTCCACATGGCGTTTGGTTCCTGAATGATCAACATTGAACGCCCCTGGTACTGGTAGGGATTCCCAGACTGGTTTGGAGCTGGAAACAGGGAATTTTCTCCCTATTATCGATCAACCACGGAACAACCAGCGACATGCTGAATCGCTTCAAGATCCCAATGATTCCACCATGAAATCAACTGATGGGGGGCGAGGGGCATATTTGCGACGAGTTGCGAGTTGTGGATCCTGTTGAAGACATTTTCCCCTTGACAATTTGGCCATGACCCCATTGTTTGTCTTGCTGGTATTCACATGAGTAGGAGTGGTGTATGTCGAAAAATCTGGCCAAAATGTCAAAAATCATTGTCAAATGACAAAGGTCATGTGGAAGAGGTGGATACGATACTACCATATAACCAATGGGAGAGCAGTATTTCAAAGTCCAGCCAATCAGGCTATATAGATTTTAAGTCACGTGATTCCAATAGCCACCTACCTACCTACACAGTAAGTACTCTGTAGAATTAACTAGGAGATGAGACTAGCTACAGAGTACACCTCATCAAAATATATATCACTGTTGAGATAGTGATCCACCAGCATATGGCAACATGGGCAGAAGTGGCGGTAGTAAAAGTCAAAATGACATTTCAGTTCTCTCGCCGGGAGTTGAACCCTGCAGCCTACGGAGTAGGTGCCAAACCCATGTATTGTAATACTCGAGGAATTGGGGCACCGGGCGCATCTGATCCACGAGCTGGAAGATATTCGCGCAGAATATCTAGCCCTGACGGCCCTTTCCTGGTCCCTGACTCAGGGCGCGCGGGTAGGTGGTCTCTGCTCTGAAACGCCCGAGAATCAATGTCTTAGTTTAACCTAGGATACATACTAGTATGTTCTTCCGGCAAAACTAACGTATCTACAACCACGCCGGCTAAATAGGGGGATACTGAAAGATCAAGTGGTTACGGGCAATCAGCCGGTGGGCATGTCTATAGTACGCGTATTAATATTGAATGTTGGGAGTATTGAATAGGCAAGAAATACGTGCCTGGCAAGTGATATATCGCCTGAGGATCCATTCTACCGATTATGCTATCCTCGAGAGCTTCCATCGCTTATCCAGTTTGTAAACACTGAGAGCAGAACACGGGATAGACAAATTCTTTGCACCATCTTATCTCTCTGGTCTTGAGCTTTGTCCAAGTAATGGAGGTGGTCTTGCTGATGATGAGAAGCGCTCATGAGGAGATATGTGTATCTTATTCCGCCATCCAGCCACAACTAGCCGGTCTCATCAGTACAGGAGTCCCAGGACCAACACGGTCCGAGTCCGGATGATCAAAAGCAAGTGACATGAAATATACATGTCTAGTAACAGGTGAGACTCTACGAGATGATATTGTCCACTTATACTGAATGCTCCTTGGACAGATGGTTCTCCCACTGTGTCCTTCCAATCAACCCTTCAGGAGCCGGATGGAATTGCACCTTATGAGAGGGAACATTTAACACAGGCTCTCCGATACACTGAAGGGGGGGGGGAAGGGGTTGGATCACAGGATAGTATCCGGCGCGTGCTAAACCACTGTATTTGGACACAACTACTCTTTTCACATAGGTAAATGCCAGTACGTAAATGACTCACTGGTCATCCACAGAGCTCCATACCACCTAGGGAAGGCCCAAGGGTAGAGAACGGCTTTGATTAATATAACTCAGTTGGGCTTCATTTGGTACAGGTCTACTGAAGGCTGACGTCCACGATATCTCCTGCGTCACCATTGACACTGTGATCTTGCTTTACAGAATCGAGGGTAGGAGGTTGTCCTTGCCTTTGAGCATGTAACCACGGCTACATTGACTGACTACAATATTAAATCATTGTTATTTAGGCTACCATGGTCATAGCCCAGGGGTTTATTTTTGACCCTTCTTCCACCCCAGGTACTCTCAAGGAGGAAGGGGCTCGCACTGAGAAAGCGCCATGCAGTATATACATAGGTCGTTTACTATTTCCTGGGTAACACAGGGAGGTTATGTAGTGGTATCCAGTGTCTTCAGCAGCATATGAAGTCATTCTGATATAGCATGTGTTCAGTGAATGGAATAAAAGGGAAAACCTATTTATGTCAAAAGGAGTTGATATACCTGCTTTCAAGATCTCTGGTGGTAAAAGAAGAAGAAGAAGAAGAAAGGGAAGGAGGCAGAAGAGGGAGTATGGAAATGCTCTCTTATTTTTCTAATTCACTATTGAGACTCGACTTCCACATATGATTAACCTTTATCCACCCTCTCTGTCCCTTAACTCCCCTCTCATCTTTCATTCAAGCCCTTCCTATTCTTCCATCATCATCATGGGTATCTTCTACTTTGGTTACATTAACCATAACAGCTCAGGTTAATCTGTGAGCATTACCCTTAACAGAAGCAGATGTCTGTCATGTAATAGGGCTACCTCTTATTTAATAGTTTTTCATTTACTACCAGGTACATAAGTGACATCATAGGAACTTTGACTTCATGCTTGGTTTTAAGATAGGTAGGTATTCATCACTACCTAGGTCTCACATGAGAAGTGTCCTACCTACGGGACCTGTACTGAAAAGCATATGCAGGCCACTGTCCTTTCTATAGGACAATCAGTGGCAATAATAATAGAAACTATAGCTGCTCGATGACTTATGATTTCTCTCAGTAAGTCAGAGACAGGGTGGTGTACTCGGTATCGTGAGTTGTATAGAAAGGCATTTCATTGAGGAGCGATCTGATTGATAGGTGCCTTCGGGAGACTATTACAGAGGCACGTAGCTTCGAGATTACAAATTTAAGTACAACTTTCGAAAATGGAATCCGGTGATGTGAGTTGCATCTTCAATCAATGCAGGTAGAAATCTGATCGTAGAGTAGAGGTGTTAGATTATGTGGAGAGCATATCTACCACAATATATATCGATCATCCCGCAGTCCCACACACAGAAATCATCTTTACTTCCAGAATTGCGAATATTAACGACAGAGATGTCGCTAAATAAACTCAACAAGAATGCACAATAATTGTCTGTACTCTATTGAGTCAGTAGTAGATATGAGATGATCTTGAACGTGACTGTTGTCTTTCCGAGGCTCGCTCGAACTAGTTCAACATCGGTATCACACTGCCCAGAGATGTAGGGCTGGAGTTGCACAACCATCCTACTTTATCCACATGCCAGTGCTTGGCATGGAAGGATTGATCATTAACAGCATTTGTCAATGTGTTTTTGTTGCAGTCAGTCGGGACACACGGTTGTTGGAGGCAGGCAGGTCTAGGAATCCGTTACCTGTGTCATCCTGCTCATCCTTCCCCTAAACTGGGAGCCTAAAGCTCCTTGCAGAGATTCTACGATTAAAGGACATATGGCTTTGAGAAGATGAGGACACTTCAATGAGAATAAGATCGATTCTACTTACCTTGTCCCCCAGCGATTTGAGAGTCAAGTATGACTCTATCCTCAATCCCAACAAACATCAGGCCAATAATTCGGTAGCCTAAGGCCAGAGTGATTCCTGTTGTAGACTAGCGTGGGTCACGAGCCACACATCGCTGGACGAGTGAGATTCAGGCATCCAGGCTCAGATGCTGACTAAGATCGTCGACCGGGCTCAGATTTGCCCGTAGTCTTTTTTTTTTTACCTCCATAATAATAATAATGCACAAAGCCAGAATGATAGTACTTCTGTAAGTGATTATTGATCATCAAACGGTGGGCTCAACCTGCACCAACCCCCTTTCTCCTTCTCATAATCAATTGATTCCCTTATCATCCATCCCCCATCACGCACTATCTGTCTATCTCACCTAAATCGTTTGGACTCTCCAGTCCAAGTGTCATCTTCATTCTATTATTCTTATTCTAATAATTTCCAATCTAGTTCCCACTCGACACTAGACTCCGATTCTCTCTGGACTAGACAGTAGTAGACAGACAAAGACACTCTTGAACCATCTCCTCTCCCGTCGCCTCTCCCCCGGACGATCGCCGCCTTCTGGGTTTTCCTCCCCTTTCCACCACTAACGACTCAACACAATCCGATCCGCTGCCACTCCCTGCTGCGCCTCAGCGTCCGTCATTCACCACGGTCGTCATCACCCTTCGTTTCGCGTCAAAAGGGAAAAAAAGAAAAAAAAAATAATAATATTCCTGGATTCGGTCAATATTTGTTCTTCACTGATTGTGTTGCGAGTCGTTCCGATGGATTGGAGACAGCGTTGTTAGGAATCTGACACCAACATTCGAATCTGACACCCTTTTCGTCCTCACCCCTTTGCCGTCTTCGCAGTCCCGGTTTGAGATCAGCGTATTATTCTTTGGCACCTCGACGTCGGGAGCGTGCTGAGAGGAGCTTGGGCATATCTTACTGTGGCCCCTTGATTTCCTGCTCCGTCCTCCCCGTGTGGATTTCGAATGATGGGACCAGCCGACGTTGTCTCATCACCCGCTTTTCCCGCCCTGGATCCGATTGTGGTCGACGATGAGATGGAAAATCCCTATCAGGATACCGATATGAGCTTTCTGGATTCTGCGAGGCTACACATGACCGATGCTGCCGGCCAGGAGTTCGACGATCTCTTTGCCCGTTCCCATTCTTCTCGTACAGTCACCGACTCGGAGTCTGTGTGTCTGTCGCCGTCAGATCTCTCCGTTAAGCGACACTTTCAGGAGCAAGATGCGCTGAGACAGCCTAAGATCGTTGCGTCAGACTCCCCCGCGGAATCTCCAGATAATTCGAGTCCCAGCTCATCGTCGGATTCTCCGCGAAATCATCTTCGAAACCCATCCGTGGCCTCGTCCACTTCCGCCATTCACAACGATCACAACGCTATCATGCCTTTCGGTTATGCGACGGAGGAGTGGATCAACTCGGAGCTCGCGTCGGTCAGAGAGCAGACCTCCATGTTTGCGTTCGACCCTTCCTTGCCGGCCATGGAGGGTGGGTTTCCCATCGAGACCGATCTCGAATCTAGCAATAAGGCAATGGATGCCGCCTTCGACTTTGAAAGTGCAGCGAGCAGTCCTAGTCCGTTGAAGACCGATGCGATTTCTCAGCCCAAGGTTCAGAAGCGGCTGAAATCCCAGTTACGAAGTACCTCTCACCCTACCTCGCGACAATCCGCTTCACCAGTAAGAGTTCAAGCATTCCCTTTCTCCCTTCCCATCACTGTTGTTAACGTTTATCATAGCAATTTCGCCAGCCCACTTCGCCCTTCACCATGGGTCAAATGCCCGCTCAACCCAGGTCCACGTCAGGCCAGTGGGGGGGACAGTCACCGTCGTCGCTCCTGGAGGAAAGTTTTGGAGGAATCAACATGAATAGCGCATCTCCGATGAATGGAAACTTTAACTTTTCCCCCAATGGACTTTCCTTTGGCATGAACTTTGTGCCTTCGCCTCCTCAAACCGTCGTGAAACCCGAAACCGCCCAACGTCACTTCCTCACCGTCCATCCCACTTCTCTGAAATCTCGCGTGGAAACCCAGATCCCCATCCGATTGACCCTCTTTCCATTGCCAACGGGTGTGAAGAAGGTACGATTACCGAGCCACACTATCTCAAAACCCAAGTTTCTGGCACCACCATCCACCGAACGTTCGGCAGACACCTTGCAGCTACACACGACTCTCGTTTGTACAAGCGCAATGCAGGATCAAGTGAAACTGAGAAAGGCATTTGCAAGGGCAAGGGGGGACACTCGCTACCATCCGTCAAGCTCCAACCCGAATGTCACGGAAGAACTGCCGGAAGATGACAAGCCGTTAGATGGCGGCGAAGTCAAAATCTGTGCGGGCTGCATACAGCGTGAGCGAAAACGTGCCTTTCGGAAGAAGCAAAGAAAACCCGAAGAAGACGAGTTGTTTCAGAAGGATGAGGACAAGAGAGTCATCGTTTTCAATACCAATGAGATCAAGGATTGGACGGAGCCTTCTAAGAACGCTATGCCAGGCTATACAGACGCGCCGATGCCGAGCATCCCCCCTGGAGCGATGCAGGTGGAGCTGCCCATGCGCATCGCGTGTTATTGCCGGCATCAGAACGAGAAACTCGGTTTCCAGGTCATTTTCACGATCAAGGACCACATGGACAATGTTTTTGCACAAGCAATTACCAACTCTATCATGATCACCGATGACCACAAGACTCACGCGCCTCCCGCGCCTCCAGCCCCGGGCCCCTCTCCTTCTCTCCCCGATGGTACACAGCTACCTGGTGTGGGTGTATTTCCATCAGGCCCAGTTGTCGACGCGAAGAAATCCGCCCCATCACAGCAGAGACTTCAGTCATCTTCGCCAACAGATCTGCAAGGCCTTCAGCAACGTTTCACTTCCCAGTATCAGTTGTCCTCCGGGGCCTTTGCAGCCGCCGCCGCCACCGCTCACAATGGAACAAACGGCACTTCATCCACCTCCCAAACACCCCGCAGTCTCTCCCGCCAGACTTCTCCCAACGACTTTCCAGGACCCATGAGCAAACGGCGGAAGCACAGCAACTCAGGCCGCCTGCCCACCGAACTGACCATGACGAAGCTTGAAAATGGGCAGTCGTCTGCGAGCGGGTCCAGTTCAACAACGCTTGGTACCGATGTTGCGTTTGCCGCCGCGAGTGGATTTGCATCCCCTCTGGAGAGGCCATTCGTGACGTCGTCTGCCATGTCGAATCAATTCGCCAATAGCCCGCCGACACCTAATAGCGGAGACAACAATCCGTTCTTCAATCCCACAGCAGCACAAACAAGCTTAGACACTTTCATTCAGCAGCAGCTGATGTCGGCTCCGAACTCGGCCCATCCCAGTCGGCCCAGCACCCCTGGTGTCTCTGCTCGCCAGAATTTCCAGGACCAGTCGCTCAACCTCTCGATGGGCCCGAGCACTTCCACCCCTGCCTGGCCTCCTCTGACGAATGCTGGCAATCGCCTGCCCTCTGTCATTCACAAGGTGGTCCCGGCAGAGGGTTCCATTACCGGAGGAACGGAAGTGACGCTGTTAGGAAGTGGCTTCTACCCCGGAATGGAGGTCGTTTTCGGTGATACTCTTGCCACGACCACCACCTTTTGGGGGGATAAATGCCTCAATTGCTTAACCCCACCCGCTCTCCAGCCGGGTCTGGTAGCCGTGGTATTCAAGCATGAGCACCCGACTTTTGGTCAAGTCCAGCAGGCTCCGCCGATGTTGCCCAAACAAAAGCAATTCTTCCGATACGTGGACGACAGAGAGCTTCAGATGTACCGTCTCGCGCTTGGAATTCTTGGCCAGAAGCTTGGCAATCAAGCAGATGCATTCCAGACGGCCCAGCAGATCATGGGTAGCGGCCCTAAGGGTGTTTTCAATCTGCAAAAGGATTACTCTGCCGGTTCCAGTGGGCATCAGCGCCAAGTTCCAGGACTCGAATCGCACGGTCAACTTGGCGATCTGGACTCGAAGATGTTGACCTTCCTCGAATTCATTGATCTCGACGATAATCCGAGGCCCCCGAAATTCAATTCTCGCTGTGCCACAGGCCAAACCTTGCTTCATTTCGCCTGTTCTCTCGGCCTGACGCGATTTGTTGCCGGACTTCTTGCTCGAGGTGCAAACCCCGACGTACAGGATAACACTGGGAACACCCCCATGCACTTGGCTGCCTTGCGCGGCCATGCGCATATCGTCAATCGCCTTCGTTTGGCTGGCGCGAATGTCAATGCTCGTAGCATCAGGGGCTTCATTCCTGCCGACTTGGCCACTACGCTTTCCGTTCACCAGGCTGCCCTGATCCCTGCGCGCCATTACCGGTCTCGGAGCGCCGGGTCAATCACCTCATCGCGACGCAGGCATAGCAGCTCGGCGTCTCTTCATTCCCTCTGGGAGTCCTCCTCTGCATCGGGATCGCTTGATCCTGCAGTCTACGATTCCGACGATGATGACGATGATTCGGATGCCGAAGTAGAGTTTACTGTATCCCGGCGCTCGAGCCTTCATCAAGACAGACCAGGCACGCTGTCCTCGACCGATGAGGCCGCGGCGGCTCAGGAACCACGGCCCTTCTCCCCTCCAGCAGCCCTGGTGGCTTGGCGAAACCAGCTCCAGGCTCAGATCAATCAGTTCCAGCAAAGTGTGGCGAATGCTTTCCCGAACCTCCCAGCTTTGCCCCCGATGCCCGCACTGCCTGATTACCAGGCTCATCCCGTGATGCGTCGCATTACCAATCTTGTTCCTCACCGACCGACCACACCCTGGGTGTCAAAGGAAGGCTGGTGGGACCTCTTGACGGGCAACCACAACTCTGCGCCCAGCACGACCGAGCTCCCATCCTACGAAGAGCTCTATCCTCGCCAGGAAGGTCAAGATGACGAAGAAGCCACACAAGTCAAGAAGACAACATTGCTCCGCGCAGCTGCCGAAGCAGCTCTGGATCAGCATTTCGAAGCGCAGGCCAGCACATCTACGGAGGAACTTGCTAAGCAGGATCAAGATGAGATCACAGATATCCGGATTGGCCGCAACCAGATATCCCAGGAACAACAGAAGCACCTTCGAGAACAGCAAGCGCGCCGAATAAAAGGTCTCGCCAGCGATCGGAACCTGTACTTTATCTGGGTAAGTGACCTCTGCTCTTCTCACTTTCCTCCCCCCCTCTCTTTTTCATCGTCCCTTGTTACTAACACATTTCAGCTTCCACTCCTTCTCTTGGTGATCGGCGCATGGATGCGAAGCTATGTTCCCGGTATCTGGCAAGGGCTCTCCGACGTCTACGAGTTTGTGAAGACTCGCAACCCGCGGGCCGCTCTAGGCGTTGGCTCTTAGACCTTTTATTTTATTTTATTCTATTTTTTTTTTTTTTTTTACTCCTCGTGTTTCCTATGTCTTTTTCTTTCTTTCCTCCTCCCCCGATTCCCTTTCAGCTTGGGCGTTATCTCTCAGCGGGCGACACTACTATGGGCATGTCTTTCGTTTGCTCTCTTTGTATACTTTTGCGTAATGATGGGACATGACAAGTTCTTCCCTGTTTCAGCTCTCTCTCTGCCTTTTGCGTCTATCTTGTTTTGATGGACCTGGATATCTGTACAGCTGTGTTGAGTTTACGGCATCACCTGTTTCGCTATAGAACTTGAAACCGATCAATAGCTCGTGGTCCCAGTCTGCCCCTCGTGTTGATACATACGAACACACATCATTAAGACCTGTGTGGGGGTAGTAGCCGTTTCCTTCTTCTGTAGTGTCCTCTCAATCGAACTCGAGAAAGCCAAGTCATGGAAGACTCCTTTTGCAGTCAAACAAACCGATAAACAATGCCAAGAACAGCTTCCCAGCGGAGAGAGCGCGGGTCTCGACCGCCTTCCTGATCGAGACCAGACACCTTGGATTGTTGTCCCCTGATGCTCGATTCACCTGTGCCTAGTCCCATCTCGCAAGCACAGATTGATTGATTTTATTAGAGTCTCTGAGCGGCATGATCCTTGCGGGAGACGTGTTACGTCCCGAATAGCGCTCGGGAAAATATGGACGCCTCACCCCAGGCGGGCTCGAGCAGTGTCACCGGTATGTCAGGCCAGCACCATTCACCCCGACACCACGTATACGCAGGCTGACCATCGTGGCCTGCTCTGCCAGTCGAATACACCGATCCATCGGGCCTCTTCCCCTTCGTTCACCCTGTGATCGAGGGCAAGCTCCCGCTCAAAAATCTCCACTGGAAATCGCCCACCCGCCCCGTCCGCTCCATCGAGTCCCTCCGCATCGGCTTCACACCCGCCCAGCATGGGCCCGGCGAGCGCAAGCCGTCCAGCGACGCCGCAGCCACCGCGGCTGCCGTCCCGCACCGCCGCCACCAGATCCCCGGCCTCCGGCAAACGCCGTACCTGAAGATCTACCTGCTCCGCTGCGACGACAACGAGACGTACAAGGCAAGCGCCCGCAAGGCGCTACGCGACTGGATCAAGACGCAGGCCGCGATGCCGCAGGCCAGCGGCGGCGCGGGCGCGCTCAGCACGCAGGAGAAACACGATGCGTTCGAGTGGCTGATCGTGCACGTGGTGCAGGACGGCGAGGGCGCGGAGCGCGCGGCGCCGGCGTCGAAATGGGGCCGCGGGTCGACGACGGTGCTGGAGAAGATCCGCGCGGACTTCAACGGGTCGTCGAAGACGGCGGTGGATCGGGTTGCGCAGCTGCGGCTGCCGCGCGCGGGCGCGGCGCAGCGCCCGCCAGCCGAGCTGGGTGAGCAAGTCGAGGATTTCGTCGAGAAGATGAAGAATGCGATTCTGGCGTCGTTTGATCTGCGGGTGGCGCAGTATGAAGAGGATATCAAGGAGAAGGACTCGCAGCGGAGTCTGCCCGGTTGGAACTTTTGCACGTTTTTCATCCTCAAGGAGGGGCTGGCTAGGGGGTTTGAGAATGTGGGTTTGTTTGAGGATGCGCTGGTCGGGTATGATGAACTTTCGGTCGGTTTGGATATGGCCGTGCGGGAGCAGCTTCAGGGTACCGGTGACCAGCATGGCGGTGCGTTTCTCACTTTCACCAAAGACTGGCAGGAGAAGGCGAAGCAGGCTCTAGAGGAGACAGGCTCAGTATCCAAGGAGGAGGGAGAGGAGAAACCCGAGGTAATCGCGGAGATTGATCCCAAGGACTTTCCTCTTGACTCGGATCGGAAAGTGTATCGGGAGATGATCCTTGGAAGTCACATCTCCATCTTCGATTTCCGCAGTTATGTTTTTTCCCGCCAGTTAACACTCCTCCTAAGGGCAGCCAGGGCACCGTCGATGGTTGCCGCGGAGACTGGCGCAGGCCAGAAGGAGAAGAAGGACAAGAAGCCCGAGGATCTGCTGCTTCTCTCCGAACTTTGCGAAAGGGCCGCCGAGTTCATTACTCTGGCTGCACGAAATCTCAGATTCGACCTCGAGTCCGGCCTAGCGGACGTGGATCACCCCTCCAAGCCGAGTGTCATCAACAATATGGTGTCCTCTTGGGCATATGCCGCTGCCCTACAGATTTTGACTCAGACATACACATCCAGCCTCACGTTGCCGGAGTCTTCTTTGCACGCCATCAGCAAAAGTGCCGCGGCGGCCGCTGAGCCCAGGCTTGATGTCCCTAGGCGGTCCAGCTCATTGATTTCTGGATCGGCAAATCGACCTATGGAAACTCTGTCACCCGATACACCCGCTGGCGTTCCTCGCTCGGGTCATGAACAACCGAGGCCTACACCAGTTGTGACTCCTAAGACAGGTTCTGAGCAGTTGGCATCTGGACGGGGCGAGTTGCTGTCACTTGCACGGCGACTGTTGGAAGAAATTGCCAGCAGGTGTGGCTGGCGGGAGAAATGGAAAGATCTTGGGCTGCTTTTCGACGATCAGGGTGGAAACGAAGGCGAGATGACCGAAGTGTCGCTGGACGCCGAGACAGAGGACAAGCCAAAGGAGGAGTCTCCTGTACCGCAGACTCTCGCTGGCATTGCGCTGCCCGAACTGAAGGCTGCTCTTCGATCGCGAGAGGCCTTCCGCTCCCATTACGAGGAACTGACAGACCTCATCTATCGACATTATATCATGGCCAACCGCGCGTATTCAGCCCAGGCGGCTTTAGCGGACACGGCTCTCCTACGATACCGACAGAATGACTACAGTGCTGCTGCGTCTTATTTCCACCAGATCGTACCATTTTACGGCAACAAGAATTGGATTCTCCTGGAAGGCATTATGCTGGAGATGTACGCCAGATGCTTAGAGGAGCTCAAGCGGAGCGAGGAATACGTCCGCATGATGCTCCGACTGCTTGCCAAATTCGCCGTGCACACACACTCCCGCTTGACTATCCGACAGAAGTCACTCGATGCGTCTCACATTTTCACCGACCAGAGCCCTGTCTCGCAGTACGTGGACAAGCTGTTCGCCGCCTCCGGCACCCTACAGAAAGAGGTATCGGCTTCTTTCGCGGATTTCTTTGCCGATTTGGACGTTACGCCCACCATCCTGCATTATGCGGACAAGGATGGCTTCCAGATGCAGCTGAGCCTGCGGTTTCTACTGGGAAAGAGGATCGAGGTCGATTCAATCAAGGTGCGGCTAGTCAGCGCGAGCGGGTCTCAGAGTAATGAGCACTGGATAGAGACTTCCAACAAGGCAGTTGTCAAGTCGTCACCCACAAGGCTATTAATTGACTCTTCGGTAAGTTGAGCCTTCTTTGGCTGTTTGTCATGTTTATTGATTATTTATTTGGAAGGTTACGCTACAAGGAAAGTATTTTGTGGATCGGCTGGAGGTGCGCGCTGGAAATATTGTGTTTGCCTTTAGCGGTGGGAACCATTCTGCTCTCCCACTTGGGTTCAGAGAAGCTGCCGACTCTGAGGATGTTGATGATCGGCCGTATATCTACTGCTTCCCGCCACCGGAAGGACTCGAGGCTAAGATCACGTCTCCGCATCTTGTCAATCTGGAGGAGATGCGCACACTCGAGGTGGAGCTTCATAGTGGGTGGAATGATATCCAAAAGGGTACCATACGGGTGAGGCCTGCTACTGCCGGTCTGCGGCTGAGAGTGGCCGAGGCCGAGGTGGTGGACGGAAAGATCAGCATCTCTACACATGGCGAATCTGGAAGCATTGAGATTGCTAGGCTGGAGCCTCGGTCGCTTCTGCGGCTCCGGATCCCATATACGGTCGAGGAAGTGCACCCGATGCTGTCTGCGCGGGCAGAGGTGGTCTACGAGACAAGCAGCGGACGCTTCTCCTACTCCTCCGCGCACAGCATCGTTTCGGCGCTGCCGATCAGCGTCAACGTGCAGGACGTGTTCAAGGACCAGGTCCTCTTCTCTCGGTTCACCGTCAGCCCGGCGATGATGATCCCGCTCCGGATCTTGAACTGCAGTATCCCCAGCTCTGACGTGTACCGGGTGCAATCGAACCTCAAGGGATCAGTCGCCATGAACGTCTTCCCAAAGCAGCCTGCATCTCTCTTGTACAAGATCCAGCAGCGGGAGGACAGTGTCATGTCGCCGGGGTCGAGGCGCTCCCTGCGCTTGAGTGTCGAGTTTACCTGCGTGGACGATGAATGTTTGGATGCTGTGGAATCGAGGTTCCGGACCAGCATTGTTGCGAGTGAATTCTGTCAGTATACGACACTGCTCACGTCTCATATCGTGCAAGCATTCCGCACACGGCTGTCGACGGCAGACATGGAGGTGATCGGGCTGATCCGGGAGCTGGAGACACTGCCGTACAGTAGTGTCGGATGGGAAGGGTTGCTCAGCGCGCTCAAGGAGTCAGCAGAGGGACTGAGGGCCTGGCTCTTGGAATGGCACCAGGTGAGTAAACTAGGTGTATTTCCCGTCCCTTTCTATCATGGAACTAACATCCTTGTCAGAATAACCCCATCATCTCCTTGCCGACACAGCCGATTAACCCCAGCCGCCGGATCGTGATCCCAGTCGACATCCCAGAGATCCAGGTGCTGCATACCGCGGAGCTGCGGCTCAAGGGCCTGGCGGATCAGCCGCGACACGCGGCGGTGGGTCAGATGATCGCAGCCGAGCTCACCCTTCGTCACACGCGGCGATGGAGCTCGCCGGAGCACCGGGAGCATGCCAGCAGCGCGCTCGAGTTCTCCTACGAGATCCACGCCAACCCGGAGATGTGGCTCGTGGGTGGTCGCCGACGAGGGAACTTTGTTGCTCTGGAGAACGAAACGAAGACGTTTGCCGTGATGCTGCTGCCGCAGAAGGCGGGCCATCTCCTTCTGCCGGGGCTGGAGATCCGCAGTTTCGTCCCCACAGCGACCACCACGCCCAACCAGCCCGGAAATCCGGCGCCGGCGTTACAGCGGCGGCAGATCCCCTGCGAGGTGGATTACCGCAATCACGGGGAGACGGTGATGGTGTTGCCTGACCTGCGGCAGACGACGGTGAGTCTGAACCCGGCGGGGGGAGGGGGGGATGGCGGGGCGTGGTTGATTGATTCGGAGCGGCGAAGGGAGGTGGATGTATAATGAGAAGTGGCATACGGATGTTTTGGAATGGTCATGCTAATCCATACTGACTATATGGCATATGCATCTCCCTGACCGTAGCTGTGTAGTTTTACTATGTATGTAGCTAGTACCTACTACAAGTACCTAACCTAATGGAGTACCTAGGTACCTAGGTGGTGTATTGGACGAAATGCAAAAAAAAAAAAAGAAAAACAAAAGTTACAACTAGTCCAGCTTCCATGACCATTTTCTTTTTAGCCTTTTTTTTGACAAGGGGGCGCGACGGGACCCCACTTTCTGGCTCCCATCCTCAACAAAACGACTCCGCCCCAACAATTTGAATTCCTATGGCGATCGAGTCTAAACTACTTCCAGTATCTTTCCTTAAAACGCCTGCATATTCGGCTGCCTCGCGATGAAGTGTAAAACTAGATTTGACATGTGAAAGAGTCAACTAAGAACAGGTCAGCCTTATCACTCACTCATTCTTAATCATTCTTAAGAGGTAGGGGTGGTAAGCAAAATATCAAAATGTTTCAAAAATGACGTGTCATTTTTGACTTTTTTTTTTTTTTTTTTTTTCTGACGAGGTACTCCGTAATACTTGGTCAGAAATAGTTGAGTTTTGGGAGAGCCACTACCGCCATATGCTGGTGGATCACTACTCTGTATCTAGTAGTACTCCTAATGGAAACAATGATATATATTTTGACGAGGTGTAGTCTGATCTCCTAGAGTAAGTAGGTAGTCAATTCTACTGGAATCAGGTGACAGAGAAATCTATATAGCCTGATTGGTTGGTTTTTGAATTGCCGCTCTCCTATTGGTTATATGGCGGTATCCACTTCTTTCATATGACATTTTTGACATACCTACTACGTACTCTGTATACCACCGCTACTGAGTCTCTCCTATGGAAGTATGGAGTATTCCATACCTTAGTATATTGTGTCAGGGCTCCCTGGTACCACCTCTCTAGCTGTACTACAGTCTATGGGTGATTGAGCCACGACGAAGGATAACAGCAAGAGCAGAGCGCAAGTAAGCATTGAACCATCACGGATGCAATGTATCCCCGAGCCCCAAGACACACACACCCCCTGAAGGTCGAACTAGTAGCGTTGCGTAGGTGCAGCTTTAGTCCGACTTTTGAGTCGGGTGTGAGTGTGACCAGAGCAGAGGGCAGAGACAGAAGTAGAATAGAATTAAGAGTAGACCGCGGTATACGGTATGCGGTATACCCGGGGCTGTTGCGATTAGCTGGTATGTGAGTTAGCGAGGGTGGCCTTGCAGGGACCGGAGATATCGCTGTTGGTGTCAGAGTCATATCCTAGGAGAATATTGCTATGTACTCTGTATGTACTATGTAGATACTCCGTACTGCTGGGAAGTTCACTACCTACTACTCTGTACTAGTTACCAGTTGTCAGTTACGGAGTCCAGACCCTGCAGAGTAGAAGAGAAGAAGCTTAGTCACCAGCGTCCTCCGACGCTCCGAAACATTTTCGAACATTTCCCGGTTCCACTGGCAACATCACTATCACTCACTGAGTATATCACTGACCACAATGGGTAAGGAGTATGAGCAGTTCAGCACCTTCGTACTCCGTACTATGGAGATATCCAAATGATCGGCCTTCTGACTGACATATTCAAGATACTATTCCTAACAAAATTGCATATGATACCTCGGAGTCCTGGGAATTGAAATTGGAACTATAAACACCAGTACTGTACGCGGTACATGCCAAGACTGTTGAGAAGCCAATTTTTCTCGCTCTCTGGCCTCGGCAGGTGGGTTGATCAATCTGTATTGCCATTGGCTGGTTCAGGCGGTGAACCATACTGTAGTAAGGTATCTACAAATATAATTCTACACCTTCAGGAACTCTGTTGCGCCTGGTAAATACGCTGTACCGGGATATGCGTATTCTCACTTTCTTTTGCCACATAGATTGCTAGTACTAATACAGAGTAGACTAGGTACATCCTTATCCCCTACCATACATACACAGTAGTAGGTAGTAGTAGTAGATAACTGACAAGGAATTGGAGGCAAAGGTATCAACACAAGCTCAAGCTTCAGGTGGCCTGACTCGGGATTTCTTCTTGAACGACAATGGCTTGGCTATCATTGGTGGGAGGTTATTCTTGTCTACATGGAGGATTGTACCACTCCGTATGTACACTATACAGTAGTCCGTCAGTCTGCTCTGTAATTTGTACCTTATGAGTGAAGGACAGTGGCGTCTCAATCACACCTGAATGCTGCAGATACCAGCACTCGCGTTCACCTGCAAACTGCAGTTCAAGAGAGCTGAGCTGAGTCTTACTACTACTCCGTAGATATGCAGTGTGAGGCGAATGATTGAAAGAATTGAAATTCTGCAAGGCAAGGTGCGAAACCAGGGGCTAGCCGGGCTTAATGGCCATCTCAACCAATCAAAACCAACCAACCGAGTTGAAAATACCATCTGGTCGATCCTCCCGAATCGATAATTACTCCCCGACATGCTCCGCACTGCTTCTGGTCCCTTTTTTTTAACTTTTATTTTTTTTTTTTCTTTCGCCATCAGATTGTATTTTTTTTTTTTTTCCCCTTCCCAATTTTTGGACCCCCGATGATCCTTTTATTATCTCTCCCCCCGGACCCTTTCAAGTCCTACATCCTCCCTCAGCTCTTCTCCTGTTCGACGTTCTGTTCTTGTTGCTTGGTCCTTTCCAGTCAAGGGTTCAAAGAGCTTCTCTCGCGGCCAGGTCAACGACCTATCCCTTTCACACGACCATATCAGCCTCCATCTTGACTGCTTGGAAGCTCTCTTGCGTCTCTAGTCCTGAGTAAACCCCTCGTTCAAGCTATCCATTGGTAAGTGATCAGGCTCTCGCTCTCTCTGTACACCAGAGATTTTCCCTCGACGGGACAATCCAGACTTGCTCTGTGATCTTGCTGCTCTGCTGCCGCTGCTGCTGCACTATCAGCCGTTCCAATACCTCAAATTGAGTTTGCAACCTGCAGAAACTAACCAGTCGATAGTATCCTCCCCCACATCGCCGGTCAAAATGTCTTCCACTGCTCTCCCTAAGCGCGTTGCGCTGCACCGCAACCCGACCACCGAGTCCTCGGTCCCCAGCTCCGTCTCTCCCTCGCCCTTCGACAGCCCCCGTCAGTCGCCTTCCTCGACCTCCCTGTCGTCCATGGCCTCCGATGCCGAGAACGTCGGCGGCAAGATGCTTGACACCTATGGCAACGAGTTCAAGATCCCCGATTACACCATCAAGCAGATTCGGGACGCCATCCCCGCCCACTGCTACGAACGCTCCGCCGCCACCAGCTTGTACTATGTCTTCCGCGATATGGCCATCCTTGCTGCCGTCTTCTATGTCTTCCACAACTATGTGACTCCCGAGACCGTCCCCTCTTTCCCCGCTCGCGTTGCCCTGTGGACCATCTACACCGTCGTCCAGGGTCTCGTCGGTACCGGTGTCTGGGTTCTGGCCCACGAGTGTGGTCACCAGGCTTTCTCCCCCTCCAAAGTCCTCAATGACACTGTTGGCTGGATCTGCCACTCCCTGCTCTTGGTCCCTTACTTCTCCTGGAAGATCTCCCACGGCAAGCATCACAAGGCGACCGGCAACCTGGCCCGTGACATGGTCTTCGTGCCCAAGTCTCGCGAGGTGTATGCCAGCCGTATCGGCAGAGCCGCCCACGAGCTGAGCGAGCTTATGGAAGAGACCCCCATTGCCACTGCCATCCACCTTGTTCTCCAGCAGCTGTTCGGATGGCCCATGTACCTGCTGACCAACGTTACCGGCCACAACAACCACGAACGCCAGCCCGAGGGCCGTGGCAAGGGCAAGAAGAACGGCTATTTCGGTGGTGTGAACCACTTCAACCCTTCCAGCCCTCTGTACGAGGCCAAGGACGCCAAGCTGATCGCCCTGAGCGATCTGGGTCTCGCCATCACCGGCGCTATCCTCTACTATGTCGGCTCCAACTATGGCTGGATCAACCTTCTGGTCTGGTACGGAATTCCCTATTTGTGGGTGAACCACTGGCTCGGTAAGTTCTTCTCCTCACGGATCTGTTCAATTCCCATTAGCGAGCCATTTTGCTGACGTTGGACCAGTTGCCATCACCTTCCTCCAGCACACCGACCCCTCGCTCCCCCACTATGAGCCCGAGGCATGGGACTTCACCCGTGGCGCTGCTGCCACCATTGACCGCGACTTCGGCTTCGTTGGCCAGCACATTTTCCACGACATCATCGAGACCCACGTCCTCCACCACTATGTCAGCACCATCCCCTTCTACAACGCCCGGGAGGCCAGCGAGGCCATCAAGAAGGTCATGGGCTCCCACTACCGCACCCAGGCCCACACCGGATGGACCGGGTTCCTCAAGGCCATGTGGACTAGCGCTCGTGTCTGCCAGTTCGTCGAGCCCACCGAGGGCGCCATGGGTGAGAGCAAGCACGTGCTCTTCTTCCGCAACACCAACGGCATCGGTGTTCCCCCTGCCAAGGTTGCCGCCAAATAGAGGACCCCATTCCTCTCAGTACATAGAATTGTTTTTTTTTTTTTTCATGATCTTTTGTTTTGAGTTTCTCGCTCCGTGGCACTCTCGCAGGATCGAAAATGACCACGACCTGAGTCGAATGAATGGAAGGCGTATCCGGGGTTGTGGAGAAAAGAAATTTTTCTTTTAGGGAGTCGGCGATGTCGGGTGTTTTTTTTTTTTTTTTTTTTCCCCCCCCTTCACCCCCTTCATCGCCATTTAATCCGGGGTGTCCAGTTGATTGTGATCGACGGATTCTCGATCCTAGATCCTGTCATGTTCTTCCGAGTCCCAGCCCAAGTCCGAGTTTGAAGTCTCGTGGCCCTTTCCTTATCCTCTATTTTCAAAGCGAAGATCTTGTCTTTCCGCATCTGTCTGCTCGATATTCGATCCATCTTCCGTCCAGCATAGACCTCGAGTGAATCCAATTCATAGCGTGTGTTCATGAGCGATTCGCCTTCATCGTAGTCGATAGTCGATTTCCCCTTTAGGTAGTATGAAGTGAGACCAACCCGGAATGCGGGGGAGTCGCACTCGCGCTCCATCAACTAGTTTACAATTAACATACAATGAACACGGCCTTGGCCTCCGCGGCCCGCCGGACATCAGCACTACCATCCTACCAACTCGTATTCGAACTTTGACGTCACACTTGGCGATGTAAGCATGCTAGATACCGGGCCAAGATTTATTCACCCATATCTACATCTCTATTTCAAAGAAGAAGAAGAAAAAAAAGTATCTAACTATTGGTTGTTCTGTACACCCTTCAACCCTCCCTTCCAGATGGTATATTCGACTTCATGCTGCACGGGGGCGGCACCCTCGTCTGTTGTGCACGCCACGGTTCCCGCGCTCCAGGGCGCAAAGGCGAGTTTCATCGTTCGGCGGATCGTGCGGTCAGGGAGGACAGGGGCGGGGGATGAGGCGGACGGGGTTTGTCGGTGTTCAGGGGTGGGGTGTGTGGGTGGTGTTTGTGAGGGATGATCGACTGCATCTTTTGAAGTATTGCGCGGTAGTGGAGATGTGGGTGGGTCGATGGGTGCAGGGAGGTCTTGTTTCTTCAGCGCGATGCGGCATGCGATCTGCGTCGTCCAGACGAAGCCCAGGGCGGGTGTCTTTTGCGACGGCTGCCGGAGGGATGGGTAGGTGTTCGTTTGTGTCGGTGGGGACTCGTCGCCCCATCCGGTGAAGAAGCGTTGCTGGTGGACTAGGTCTAGCAGCTCGTTGTGGATGGCGTTCCCGACGAGGTACGATCCGTCGAAGTCGGGCTGCTGCTGCTGCTGCTGGTCGTCTGAGACGAATGGCGAGGAGGGGAAGGCTGGGGAGGACGATGGCGGTGGCAGGAGGATTTGCGGCGAGAGTTCGGCGGTTGCCGGTTCCAAAAACCTGGACCGTGTAGGCGGTCGTGGTGACGCGGCGTTTTCGCGACGCAGCGGGGTGGGAGGGCCCTGGGGTTGTGTTGGTGCTGGCGAGGAAGAGAAGACCGTATTTCCGTAGGCTGCGGTGCGTAGCAGGGTCGGGTTTGTTTCGAGGGGGTCGAAGCGGTCCGAGACCTGGTTTGCGACCACGATGGCGATGTTGTGCGCCGTCGCCAGATTGCGCAGCAGCTGGCCGAGTTTCGCTAGCTCGCTGGATCGGGTCGACAGCCCTTGGACGTTGTGGGAGGTATGTTCGGCCCGGTAGTTGGCGGTGATGGAGTCAATGACCACCAGGCCAACGTTGTATCTCGTGATTGCGACGGGGAGCTGGTAGTTGAGGATGTGATCTTGGGTCTCGAGATCCATCGCATTGATGGAGAGGATGTTCTCCAGAGTCGGCGCGCGGTCTTCGGGCAACGTCGAGAGGTACGGATGGGACTCAAGGAGCTGCGACAGTCGCGATGTAGCCAGCGCGGCTTCCGTGGATATGTAAATTGCGCCTTTCCCCAGCCCTCGTGGCTCAGGAAGCTGGACCGCGAGGAGGAGGCCAAGGAGGAACTGCGTCTTGCCGCTGCCGCTGTATGCCGAGTCAGACATGTCGTTGATGCGAGGGGGGCTCTCAGCCACCACAGGAGGCCACCAGGCAAGGACTCACCTCTCCCCAGTAACCTCCGTCAAGTATCCCACCGGCACCCCACCATTGAGCAGCTCATCCAGCGTGGGGTCGAGAGTGCTGATCGCATTCCAACATGACAAATCTAGCTTGGTCAACGGACCAGGGACGAGGGGTCTCTCGACATCAATGCTAGAGCTGGGTTCAGAGCCATTTTCGCCAGTATCCACCTCCTCGAAGCCAAGATCCTTGTGTAAGGCGTTGACAACCTGGGCTGTCAGTCGGCGAAGGTCCGCGGGAGGGACATGGGCGCGTTTTGCGATCTCGAGCGTGTCGAGGGTGATGAGATCGACGGTGGTTATTTTGTTTCTCTCGAGTGGGGGTATAATATGAGCATATGATTTGGTCTGGAAGCCCGGTAGGACTGATAGCAGATCCATAAGCGTGGACTGCGTCGGGAGAACAACTGAGCAGACAACGCGTTGGGAGTTCGGCGGGAGAATACGCGGAGCTCGATTTCCCCCGATGCAATGGGCCAATCAGCATCTCCCAATTTCATGATCTATACAAAAGAGCTTCACTTCAACACAACTGATCCTGGATTTTCATGAGACCTTCACCACGCATTCAAATTCTATAGTTTACTACGAAGCACTGAGCCATCTGTGTCTGCTATGATATCCCCACTATTCAGTTCAAGATCATCGATCGTATACGATAACTCCTCCCCCTTCCAAAACTGCTCCACGCTGGTCCAGTATTTCGTCTCATCCTCCAGCATCAGCGCACAATGCGGACTACGCCTAAACCTCACCCCATCAGCATAATACCCGTCGCCCCGAGCCGTCTCCATATGCGACTGCACGTCCCGCCAATCGACAATCTCGTCCGCCTCAGAGAACAGATACAGCCGTCGCACTGAGCGCCCCAACACCGCCTCGTCATTGAGCTGGTGGCGCAGGTCCCGCACAGAGCTCATGAAGCCCATATCCTGGAGGTTGACGATTGTGCCCACGGCCGCGTAGAGGGCGGCTCTGCGGGCTAGTGTGGCCATCCTTCCGCCCTCGGGGAGAGAAACGGCGGCGGCTTTGTATGAGCGCTGGAAATCCACGTCGCCGGGGCAGCAGTCGAAGATGACGCCCCGCAGGGGGAGGTAAGACAGGGCGCTTGGGCCTTTGTTCTCCTTCATGGAAAGGGCGAGCTGGATGGCAGTGTTGCATCCGCCTTGCGAAAAGATATGGAGGAGGGCGTCGCTGCGGCGCGATGACGGCGGCTTGTCGCTGGTATTGCTGGGTCCTAGGAGACGACAGATGGCGTCCCTGGCTGGCTTGAGCCGTGCACGGATTGCGCCGAAGGTGCGGATAGTGATATCTGGTAAGGTGGTTGTGATGACCAACACCGAGGATCCTGGGAACAGAGCGCGGTAGCGTGTCACGTATCTATTGATGCGTCGGGGACTTGCGCCCCCGAGCCAAGTGCATAGGATAATCAGAGAGGGATCGGAGCTGGATGGTTGTGCCTCGTCGGCTGTATGCTCGTAGAGGAAGATGCCTTGCCCGATCTGCTTCAGGGGATCTAGGGCCATGGTCGCTGCATTGGCTGGGATGGTGCAAATGAGAACAGCTTTATGCTTGTATCTATTAGCCTTTGGAGAAGCAATTATGGAATGATCGATATGACTAGAGATTTGCCAGTTATATATCCAGGAGACGGGAGTGCTGTTCCCTTAGTGCTTACCTAGGTAATACGGAGAGAGACAATAGCCGACAGGCACCGCGAATCAAGGAACTATATATGTCCAGAAGACCAACATTCGTCTCTCTCATTCACCTTTCATAGGGTATAGCATGCAATGATGTCGGCAACCGTATACTTAGAGTGTATGGGACACGATGCTGGCTTGAGTGAACCCCGGGATAAACAATCCACATCCCCCACACTACGATTAGAAATCCAGTCTCCCAATCTTCTCCATCGCTGCGCTCTGCTGTACAAAGGTCTCTTTCTGTACATAAAAGAGAGAATAGAGCGTATACACCACAAGTCAACATGCCCGGTCAACTGCGCAACATCCTCGTGCTCGGCGCGACAGGCGTCATCGGCCGCTTCATTATCAAGGCCCTCGCAACTGCTGCCCCCACCTCCTTCGACCGCGTGGCCATTTTCACCTCGCAGAACACCATCGACACCAAGACGGAGCAAATTCGATGGCTCAAAGACCACGGCGTCGAGATCATCATCGGCGATCTCACTGACGAAGCGCACGTACGCGCAGCTTACCAAGGTTACCTCGCACAAACCCCAACATGAGCCCACCCCCTCCCCACGGTTTCATTTCCTATGGCAGTAACTAAACACAAAACGCATGCCAGGCTTTGATACAATCATCAGCTGCCTCGGACGAAACATGATCGCCGCGCAGATCGAGCTCATCCGGATCGCCGAGTCTTGCCCCAACATCATCCGCTTCTTCCCATCCGAGTACGGCACCGACATCGAGTACGGGCCGCAGTCGGCGCACGAGAAGCCGCACCAGCTCAAGCTCCAGGTGAGGCGGTACATCCGGGACGAGGTCAAGAGGCTCGAGCATACCTACCTAGTAACGGGTCCGTATGCGGATCTTTTCCTCGGCCGGAACGATGCGGTGCCTCGCGCGGGGACGTTCGATGTCGTGAACAAGAAGGCTGTTTTGCTGGACGATGGGGATGGTCGGATTAGTCTGACGACGATGGAGGAGTGAGTTTTGAGTTATTCTTTATTTCTCTGCATAGATCTGGCTGGGGGACAAGGGCGCTGAACTGATCTGGGGGTTTTCTTTCGCAGTGTGGGCAAGCTCCTCGTGGCAGCCGTTATCAACAACGAAGCGTCCCGCAACCAGGCGCTCAAGGTCAATTCGTTCACCACGACGCCCAACGAGATCCTGGCGGAGTTTGAGCGGCAGACGCAGGCGAAGTGGGAGAGGGAGTATACCTCCCTGCCGGAGCTGAGGCAGCTCGAGCAGGAATCGTGGGCGGCGGGTCATCCCCTAGCGGTGGTGGCTACCTTGCGCAGGATCTGGACGGAGGGGGGCACTCTCTACGATACAACAGATAATGAGAAGATCCATGCGCCGCACATGGATACGTTGCAGATGGCGGTTGCGGGTGCAGTCAAAGCTCAGCAGACATGACGGTGTACATAAAGTGTCGTAGATAGGTATCGGCGTGTGCTTCATGTTTAAGAATGAAATGTCCGATGGTACCGCCAGCGAGGATACTCTGATTTTCTGTCGCAGAAAAGAGTCTGTGCATGCTGATCTAAATAATTACGCCACCTCATGTTGCACAGACACGGAAGTGCACATGTGCTCAAACAGCTTGAGCAAATGTATCTTTCGGCTTTTCGTGCTATACCCCAGTTTGATGAGCTCCGTCGTGATTATGCCAATAAGGGGTCTACCCTTTGATCATGAATGGTCACAATGCAGGCCCTGAGGTCTCATGACTCATGAGATATAGGTCATTATTGATCAAGTCAAGCAACGGATAGTGGTGAACGAATCCCTGAGATCAGACATAAGTTATAACACTAGGATGCGATTCAGATCTCGATGCGTTGCGGCCGACAGGTCATATCTACCGAGTCAGAATCAACCCCTGTGCCATGTATTTCATGACCAGGACAGGATGATCTCTACAAGTAGTGTGAACCCACTTGTCCAAGTGTGGAAGTTGACTCAGTTGAGGGCATTATCCCGGACAAAAAAACGGCGCACTAAGCCGGCTAGCAAGGGCCATCACCGCTATTATGGTTCATAATTGGGGCTTGGGGACACCAGGACACCGCAAGTGGTCTATGCAACGCACAGATCAATAACGGCCATGTTGCCGATGAATATTCAAGGATGGAACTCAGGGTTCTGGTGTTGGGATCATTGATCTGTCGTGTAATCGAGGGTAGCGATAAGCAAGAGGAAAGGAGTTCTATCTCGGATCAGCCAACGCTAAGTTCTACTCTTGCAGTTGCAGCCTCCGTACTTTAGGCGAGACCGACGCTGGAATGCAGATTCGTAATTCGGGATCCTATCGGGATCTGGATTCTGGAAGTGGAAGATCGAGACGAGCAGCAGACTAGTCGAGGAGTGGACTAGTGAATACTACTGTAGTCTTCAGCATTATTATTTTGGGGGCTGTGGCTGTTTGGACTTTGGCAGACTATTCCCTCCAATCCCATACTCCGGGACTCCGTAACTCCGGAGTCGACATACTTTTCTCCATCCTCCGGGGTTTGATTTAAAATGAATTTAACATGAAATGAAAAATGGAAAATGGAAAATGTAAGGGGAGGAGGGAATTGAACGGTCCAGTCACGGAATGTTGGAATGGACATCCTATCGTGACTTCGTGAGCGATGAATGTGATCTATCATCCAGCATCCAGCATCCAGCGCTGAAGATCCATGCGGATAGATCCGACAGTCTGGTTATTGGATTATAACGCCTTGCGATCGATGCTAGGGGCTGCTGGCAAGCTCTGAAAATGGACCTGTGGTAAAACAATAATACTTCCTTTCCTCCAGAATGACAATTCCATCATCCAGAGTATCTGGGGCTATGTTGTGCTGTTGAATCTGTAGTCGTCCTCCGTAGTACTACAGGCTGTCTACAGTACCTACGTAGTAGTATACCACTCTACTTTACCTACTCCGTAGTACCTAGAGGAAGGATGTCCTTTAATTCGGCTACGTTAGCGAGATTCGGCCGAAGCGTTTGGTAATTGCCTTGGTCCGCGGTCAAACAGCAAACTCTCCAGGGTCACCAAAAGTGTAACTCTTTTTTTTTTTTTTTTTTTTTTTTTCATGTCTTGATTTTGAGGTATTATTGGGGGTGTGAGCTATTTTTGATGATTATGAGTTAGATGAATAAATACTTACGGAGTATGTACACTACTCGATCGTAGAATTGAAGATACTGAAGCCTGAGGCCGAAATGACGATCATCCCGGAGAATTGCCCCCATTCACGACCAGTCCGAGGGGCCAGGGGTCGACAGGAGAAACTCAAAAAGCACATCCATGTCCCTGTTGAGGGTGCTCATTTGACCGTGTCACGGTGAGGTAGATGGATGATGATCATGATGCCCGTCATATATGATAGATAAGTACAGAGTACCTAGGTACTCTAGTAGTATCTACTACCGATCTACCTAGTACTTAGGTATGGTGTTTGGAATGATGGACTTTGGAGTTTGGACCACAGAAAGAAACAATGGAAGGGTGGCTTGAGACGGATCCGTCTTTCCATTCGGTGCGGACCGTCCAGATGTGGACCGAGAGGATCCTTTTTCTCTGGAAAGTTACCCGATCAATTATTTATACCCATCGAAATGACCGAATCATCATGAGAGCACTGGTACCTAAGTGGTAATTTGGTATTCAGTATTTTCGGCTCCGAGTCCGATAAGCTGAGGTTGGTGCGGTGATTGCATCTCCACCCAAGGAGATGGATTTCTGGGTCTCCTCCGTTGATTTTCGATTTGGCTAAAAATTCATGATTCGTGTAAAGACCTCCGTACTAAATAGGTATTACTCCGTAAGTACTTCGAAACCATACCTTACCTGATCTGAAAACCTGCATTTACCCGAATAGACACGGTCGGGTATTATCGCCCAATCGTTTCATTAAGGTGCAACACATCCAGCCAACATTGGACCACCCATCCCTGCTAGCGCTGTTGCTCACTGTCCCGTGCTTTTTGGTCTAGGCGAGTACTCACGAGTTAGGCTAACTCCCAGACTGCAGATCCAATATCCCACGGCACTGGCTACTGCACTCTGCAGATGGCGACTCAAACCCCGACTCCTGTCGTTTTGGGCAATGATTGTCCTCGAACCAGACCCAAGGCAATTCCACCAACTCTTTCAGAAGAAGAAATCCTCGATTCCGGACCCGAGGTGGCTATTTCTCGCAGTCTCGCTTCGTCGTATCGCAGAATCAAAGGCTTCCTCGGGAATGCATGCCTACACAGTACAGACTAAAATATCCAAAGGCGCTGCACTCCTTCGTTTCTTTCCGGAGCTCTGTAAAGTCTCGAAATAATACCTACGGGCCTGTTGGACAGCTCGATCTAATCCAGGTGCTTTGAAGCGATATTTTACGGACTGCGATTGAGCTTCGGTGATTTCAGGGTTTTGACACCGTGATTGGTTAAGGTAATGGCTGGTGCGGACTGCGGATACTCATTGTAGTACTCTGTACTTAGTTACTAGGCTTTCAAGCGTTCAATTCAGGCCTCACTACGACTACAGCCATCTTGACTCAAAAGTGGTTTCAATGTGGTGAGAAGATTTTTTCAGTCGCACCTGTTGCAATTTGGTTGTCCCATTTGAAACCCAGGCTCGTACTCTTCTTTCCATTATTTTATTTTATTTATTTATTTATTTATTTATTTATTTATTTATTTATTTTTTCTGACATCCTATCAACTACAGAGTAGTTACGGAGTACTCCGTAACTAGTTGATAGGAAATTCTGCAGGATGATGATTTAAAAACGCATAGACCACTTGTTGGTTGGATAGCTAATGCTTGTCGTCCCATATTTCAGGTTCTGGGAAGTGACAAAGAGTCCGATCCGCTGGGCTGGGTATGTCAGAGTCCAGCGTCCGTCCGACTAAGTCACGTGATACCACCCCCATTGGGTTGCATGGTTGCATGCAGGAAGGTAGCGTTGGGATTGAAGCCACATGTCCGTCTCCAGACTCTAAAAAAGTCCACGAGAGCACTGGAGCCGTCAGGTGGGTAGTTGACTGTCTGCGATCATCCTCTATGTACAGAGTAAGTGAACCACATGGTAGTTGATGATGCTGTCTTGACAGTTTATATCTAATTTGCAGCGAGTATTTGACCTTCAGTCACCCGTTTTTTTCTTTTTTTCCTTTTTTCCCTTTTAAATTCTGACCTAGCATATCTTCCTGTAAGTCTCTATAGTTCCGGGCCCTGGCTGTGGTGAGATTCGACTTTCGAGACAGTTGAAACGTGAAAGCAGAATACATGGATCGTAACCTGTTATGCACTATCCTGAAACGGTTAGCGCTAGAAACTAACAGTCATTGGCAGTTTGCCACAAATCCAGTCGAGCTAGCCGCTGCCTTAAACCTAAACCACGGGTTATCCTTTGTCCCTTGGCCAATGATCGGCCATCTCTCCTTCCCCTCTTTGGCTTCTTCTCCACCAGCCTACCCCCTTTCCAACTTTTCCCAGTCTCCAGTAACTTCCCTGAGTAAGTGATAGCTTTAACTACGGAGTACTATGACTAGTAGGCACTAGGTAATAGGTACCTACACCGTACCAGCCTTTCCCAGAACCCATTACTCCGGAGTAACTCTGCATGCCTCTACCTGAGGTAGGTAGGTAGGTATGAGTATGACGATACCCGTACAGTGAAATTCTTTGGTACATCATTAACAGGATGCTTCGATCGTAAGAATTTATTTAACCTAACATCCATTGACCCGGTTTCCAGTCTGACTCCATCATGACTCCTCGAAACAAAATGATTGTTGTTGAAGGGGGAAAAGAAAAAGTGGATATCTAAGTAGAGACCAGTGGACCATACTAACATAGTAGAATAGATGGTACAGTTCCATACACAATAACCACAGTCGGTTAGCCCACCGAGCGGAGGAGCTGGTAAAGTTACGACGTAAAGTGGATTTGATTTAGATTTTAGCACCAACGATCCGTAACTACTCGGTAGAGTGTAGACTTAAGTCGAGATGGCTCCACGCCCCATAGGCACTAGGTACTAGGTAGAGTCCAAGACTGCCCTCTTCGTATGACAATGGACTAGTTAACTAGGTACGGAGTACGGCTGACTTTTCCCACTTCCATGTCCCCTGCCGCCTCCCCCATCTTGCTTGAATCTTGATATTCATTCACAACGCCTTCCATCTCAATCTCTTCCTATCTCCCTCCTCCATCCTCTCCGCGGTTTGGGTCAGTTTGTCGCCAGTAGAACTGTTGTCGACTACATCTATACCCAATTTAGCCTTCTTGCTACTCTTGTCTGATGGTTGTATACTGCCTTCGACTGTGACCTCCAGTGTCATTTGGCAGGCTCCTAAGGCAATCAGGCAAATTTGCCCTCGCGTCTGCCAACCGACTGGTCCGGACTGGTCGGTCTGATACGCCATATCATTGAAAGGAACGGGCGATTGGGAAGGACAAGGCTTCGCTGGATACGAATTTCGAGTCGTCCGTTGATATCATACGCCTTTACCCAACCACAGGCGCTTCCTCGTCTGTTCTTATATGAATTGAAAACAAGTCAGTCCCATCGTCTCGGCTGTTTGCGAAATTCATCTACACTATGCTATCAAGCATTGTCCGCATATATTAGCAGCAGTGATTGACCCGCGTTCAAGCTAACACCATATAGCCTTTCCTTCCCCACCCCTTCTACCATTCCACCGATTATCACAATGGCGACCAGAGCTCCTTTGCTGCCTCCCGCGAATGAGACGGAGAACTCCGTCAGCAGAATCACCCGGGAGGGCAAGAAGATCACATACAAGCTGAGCGTCATGCAGCAGCCGGAGCGTGCAAGAGCCTGTGGTGCTGGTGCCAAGTGTATGTTTCACTAGAGACTTCTGCAACGCTTGGACTCGAAGCTAATCAACCTACCACTCACACAGCCTCTGCCGACCGTCGACCGGTTGATCCTCCGCCCGTTGTTGAATTGCGTATATTCGAATCAGACCCCAATGATGATCTCCACAAGACCGACATCACCTTCGCCTACAATGCCAACTTTTTCCTGTTCGCTACCTTGGATACAGCTCGTCCCATGGCGCATGGAAGACTTGCGGGACCTCCGACATTTCCAGTATTAACGGGTGTCCCAGTCGCGGGCGTAGCATATCTGGACCGTCCGCAGCAGGCTGGCTATTTCATCTTCCCCGATTTGTCCGTTCGTCACGAGGGTCGATACCGGCTGAGCTTCCATCTGTACGAAGAGATCAAGGACGCCAAGGACGCCGACAAGGATACACCAATGCCAGATGTCAATCCCAGCATGAACCTGTCGAAACCGTCGGCACCCAGGTCGCACCTCAATTTTCGCCTGGAAGTCAAGTCGGTCCCGTTCACGGTCTACAGCGCCAAGAAATTCCCTGGTCTGGCCACAAGCACCTCTCTGAGCCGCATTATCGCCGAGCAAGGCTGTCGAGTCCGGATTCGACGGGATGTTCGCATGAGACGCCGGGGCGAAAAGCGTACGGACGATTACGACTTTGATGATGAGAGGGTCTTTGGGACACGGTCGGACAGATACACCACTCCCGATGCCTATGCGGCGAACTCGGCTGAACGTGCTCGTTCCACCAGCATCAGCACCACCGTTGACCCCTCCTATCCTTACGGTTCTGATGGTCAACGGCGGCCCTCTGCAGGTGACTATGGATTCCCAGGCGCGCAGCCCTATCAACGTGCTATGCCTCCAGCGCCGGCTCCTGTTCCCGTTCCGGCTTCTGTCCCTACTCCGGTACCTACTGGACCGCCAGCATCCTATCAATCTCACCTCTCGTTCGGGTCGACTCAGGCACAGTACCCGGCTCCTCAGCTACCGCCGACACCACAGTCCGCGACTCCTACAAATACATATTCTCCCCACCCCACATATTCTCACTCGCGGAATTCTTCCAATGGCGCCGAACACGAGGCCGCGTCCGTCGGCTATCCCTATCCGCAGCCACGTCTTCCGGCGGAGCGTCCGAGTTATCACACGGCAGCGCTACCTCCACTGCGCCTGGAACCTCCTACCAAGGCGCCAAACATGCAGCCGGCTGCCGATCCACGAGCCATCGATGCCAGTGCTTATCAGCCTCTGTCACAGCCGACCGTTCCTCGCGCTCAGACCCCTTCGAATCATGTCACCTCGCTCCCGCCGTTGAAGACTATTTCGGGCGAATACCACCAAAATTCATCGCAGTCTTCGAACGGCTTCGTCCAAAGTCCGAGCCCAAGCCACGATACCGGTTCAGGGAAGCGGATGTTCTGGGAAACTAACAATACATCGTCTAAGCGGTCTCATGACGACACATTCGGTCACGACGAGCGGCCTCTCCACAACGGCATGCGACCTGACGCGGATCCCTATCCCGGGATGGGCCGGAAACAGTCAGAATATAGCCGGGTCTCGTTCTATGCCGACTCGCGGGATGAAATGGCATACAAGCGAGCGAACGGGCGAATGGTCATGAAGATCTCTCCGGCTCTGCCATGATGAAAACTTTCCCATGTTGGGATGTTTTGAATTCTACTGACGGACACATTCACCTTCCTCGTGGATGCCCTGTACTGTATTCTGCTCTTTTTTTTTTATTTTTTATTTTATTTTTTTTTTTTGCCCCTTTCTGTCGGCTGAGGGGCGTTGGAACTCCTGTCTCCTTCTGATTCTCATGAACCTGACTCGGCGTGGATACCATTTATATTGATGTTTCTTTGTATATTCTTCTTCACTTCTTTCCCAGCACTGTTTGAGTTGACGACAGGATACCCAGATGGAGGCTCCCATCGAGTACTTTTTTTTTTTTTTCTATATATTTTGTTTTCACTTTTGATCTTCCCTGGACCCTTGACTCCAGCCGCCTCCTTTGTATTTGTGGGGTATATGCAGCTTGAGCGATGACATCCTTTTGAGAGGGATAGAGATTTGAATCCTACAATGAGAATCCAAATATCTTCATAACATATTGAATTCCACTTACAAAGTGAGACTGTTAAGGTCTCAGGTCGGTATTTGACAGGACAACCATTCCCCCCCCCTCCTCCAACAAGCACTTGGAGAGACTCTGCTCTCCTCCCCGGGATCCTTAACCGACACTAGATATAACTTCCATGGTTCTGGTCTGGGCTGGCGCGGTGGAGAAAGAGAATAAGACATATCGCTACGCTTAGCTGTGCCACTGTTCCAGAGTTAAAGACTTGTGATATCCGCTTTTTTTTGTGTTTTTCGGCCTGGAGATTGGATGCAGCATTGCAATTTAAGAAGGAAAGAATCCTATTGCAATCTCCAATCAAGACAAGAATGTTCGAAACTGGAGATAGATCCTTAGATTATGCTACGTGATAGTAGTGTGCTTGGCGCATTGTTGGCCAAAACACCCATGCAAAAAGTAAACAACAAACACCACCACCACAACAATCACAACAACCAAGGCCACTCACTACCGCCCACCCCCGCGCTCGGTCGGCCCCGGATATCTTCTCTTCTCATTCTCTGTATGCTCTCCTGGTTTCTCTGTGACTCGATCAAAAGTATCATTATGGTCGCCCTGCAGAAGTGGATTGTCTGACCCCAGCATCAAACCCCACGAGATTTGAGTGCCGTCAGTGAGATGGATATGGAGGTGGGTGTGCCTACGCGTCTTCTTCTCCCTCGTGCAACCCTCTATATGATGCTGCGCTCCCTTGCGCTGGCCTGTTTCACGATGCGACCGACCCGCGCTCGAGGACAATTCGGACTCTTACTGACCACGATTCGCGCGTAGATGTCCTGCGCCCAGGTTCACCTCGACAGCGATCCTCTGCAAGCAGACCGCCAATTGCAGCAGGCCGTCCACTCAACCTACCAGCGCTCCGACAGCAAGCACCACTCGCACTCGCGCAAACACTCGCGTACCTCCACCGTGGAGGACTCGGACTGGCCCTCGGACGAATCCGGCCGCTTCGACGACGCAGAGGAAGTAGACAATATCTATCCGCAACCCACCGGCTCGCCGGACACGCACTCCGCCAAGCGCGGCCGCTCCAACGACTGGCCCCTGCAGCCCGGCGAAGAGCCCTCGTCGGCGTCGCAGAAAGAACAACATGGGAGCAGCCACCGCTGGCCGTTCAAGAACCTGAGCCACGGCTCGCCCCGGCGCCATGCGCGGCAGGCCGGTGGCAGCACGGCCACTCGCGGCCGCCGCTCCCGATTCGTGGAAGCGCACATGAACGACAGCGTCAGCGAGAGGCCGCCGAGTATCTTCCTGCGCGAGGACGCGGGGCCGGCGGGCGCGAACGGCGCCGGCCAGCGCCAATCGGGCATCTTCCGGTTCGGGAAGGCGATCGCGTCGGCGTTCAATCCGTTCGGCGTGTGGGGTAATGTCTCTGAGATCTGGCGGAACTCGCCCGCAGAGCAGCGGCCGGAGCTGGATGCGCGCGCCCAGGCGGAGAAGGCGTATGCGGAACTCAAGAAGGCCGGTTACAGGGGGGCGGTCAAGGGGAGCTATCTGCAGAGCGTGCAGGGGAGCGGGTATGCTGGTGATCCCCTGCACCGAGCGAGCCAGGAGCAGTGGGATGGGACCAAGACGGTGGGCCGTCATTCGAGGCAGAGCTCGGGAGACGGGTACGTGTCGGGAAGCTCGATCCGCACATCGTTCCAGGAGCTCCGCAAGGCCAAATCGTCGTTGGGGATGTCGTACATCAAGCGCGGATCGGAGGACTCGGAGCAACGCGAGGTGCGCAAATCCAAGTCCCGCAAGGAACTGCAGCGGCAGGCCAAGTTGCGCAAGCGGGTCAGCGACCTCGAGGGGAAACTGGAACGCGCGCGACGGGAGCTGCGGGAGTTGACTGGCGAGGAGGAGGAGGAACCGGTAAGAACCCTTTGCCAGGAGAAACCCTACCAGCGCAAGTTTGTGCCCGGTGCCCTTCCCTCGCTGCCGTCGGAGCGATTCTACGAGAATGATACAGCTGCAGCGCCTGATACAGATACAAATACAGCCGAGCCAGGACCACTGGCCGTGATGTCGGGGAATGTCCAACGCGGGGAAAACCGGGGACATCCATCGCACGGCGACCATTTGATGAAGGCTTCTGCTCGAAGTACCCCGAAGAAGGCGTCTTCGGCTTCTTACCCAGAGAGTCCTTCGCGTAAGAGAAAATCGCCAGAGCACAAGTCAGTCCGCGACAAGGCGCCCCAGGACCAAGCGCACGCCCCGGGAAAGGAGAATCCAGACGAACGGCTCGCCCATGCAGAAGAGCCCAACACCCCGCGGAAAGCGACGAAGATGGGTAAGAGCGACAGCCCGGGGTCCGTCGAACGGAAACGATCCCAGTCCGAAGAGAGACCACTCAGAGATCACTATCAATACTCCCCCCGCCGACGCTCAAACACCCGCTCCCCCTCGACTCGAAGACGCTCGACCTCGCGCAGCCGGACAACACCATGTCTCCGGATGAAAAAGGGACGTTCCGACCTCCGCTCCGCGAGCACCAGCCACATCAGCGATCACGACATGCACGGCACCACCCCAAATGACATATCCCAACCCCCATTATACCCGTTCATGCAGCAGCTCCTGGACGTCGACCCGGATGCGCTAGATGCGAGCATCGCCGCGCCCACGCCAACCTCCACCCCGAGCCGAGATTATCACCCGGAGCCGGTCCCGCCGGTGCCTCCGCTGCCGAAGAACCTGGCCGCGACGGCGGCCAAGGTGGATCGCCGGCTCGCCAGGGAGATCTGGAAGCTGAGGACCGCACACATGGCCAGCTCGGACTGGCCTCAGCCCTCGGAGGAGGACTTTCGATGGCCGGAGGGCTTCTTCTGATTCCTCCCCCCCCCCCGTTTTCTCGCAGCGTTAGACCCGAGAGAACTTGTTCGCGTGAGAATATTGAGTGATACCGATACATCCTTTTGTTACGAATGATGATGAGACGAGTTTAAATGACCCGAACCACGTATGCCAGCGACGAACCGAACGCTACTGGGATATGATAAGAGCAATCAGAGCACGAAAAAGAAAGAACACAAAAAAAGAAAAAAAAAATTTGAAAATTGTTTGAAAAAAAAAACAAGTCCCCCCCGTTGCCTAACCCCAAGTGGAACGCCTAGCTTCTTGCGTGATGATATCCCCCCCCTGCGCGCGTTGTTGGAGTTGAGTTGTCCTTGTGCTGGGTTGGGGTGAAGGCAGGAGGTTTGGTTGATGTGTTGATGTATGTATGTTTCCTTTGTTCTAGCTTGAGATCTTGAATGAATATGGATATGACCTTGATGATCAATACCGGTGTTGCTGTAGAGGAGACGCGTAGTCATTGTGGTGGGAATGGAAATGGCTCTGAAGCTGTATGTCTGGTACCTTGAACCCTATATATCGATATAGGTACCAGGGCATTTGGGAAGAAATTGTCAGGGTAGGTTGATCTGGGGGAAGATAGGTAGATCAATCGGATGCCCTGGCGAAAGAAGCCTTGTCAGACTTTCGCAAGGTTTGATAGTTTATAGAGACTTTTGAGGACGGTTTGGAATCAGTTGTCGCCGAGTCCAACGGGGGTGGTCGCTCTTATACGAGGAATGGAAATATCACGGGTATAATAAATGTATATGCTTTTTTGGTCCTGCCAAGTACTAGGGCTATCTAGAAGCGATCGGTAGTATGCTCTGCATCTAATCAGAAGGTGATCCAGCCGATTTCCTCACAATCCCCCTGTCTCTCTACTGTGCCGTTGATCCTCTCCATCATCCACCCCGAGGTCATTCCGGATTTCTCGGCTCCTCGTTTCATCCTCCGAGAGATGTGGCAGTGGCCCTCTTTGTACGAATACTGCAGGCACTCGGCATCGCCTACACACTTGTTCTCACAGTCCTCCACGCTCTCGGCGGACTCGCCATCCCCGTCTCCTGACAGGTTATCCCAGTCTTCCTTTCTGTGACCCAACTTCGGCATGATCACCTCATAAAGCACATCCTGGTGCATCAGCGGCCGGATACTCGACCATCGCCGGTCAAACACCCACATCTCCCTGATCTCTTCCGGCGTCATATGATGCCATGCCACGGCCGGTACACACCACGACCGCTTCCCATACCCTTTACCGAAATAGTCAAACTCCCCCGGCGTATCCCCCTGCAACATCGGCCAGGACCAGGATAGCTTGACGCCGGAATCCGCCAGCGCCTTTCCTAGCACACAGTCGCCCGCCCAGTGCTTGTCTGTGTACTCTTCCCACTCGCTCTTCCGGGCCACATACTCCCCCAGCACCTTTTCCATCGCCGGCCGGGACAGCACGAAGCCGGACCCGCCGTGCGCGAACACCACATCCCCGATCTGGACCTGGTTGCCCAAGTAGAACGGCTCCTGCGCGTTGAGCTTGCCCAGCCAGGAGGCCAGGTTCGACCAGAAGATGTACGTATCCGCTTCCATGAAGAGGTACCAGTCCGCGTCATTCCGGAGGTGGAACGTCTCGTTGATCATGGGTAGGAACTTCCATTTGTCGAGCTTCCAGCCCGGGTTGGTGGGCTTGCCTGATGGCGTGCTGGGGTCGTCGGTGAGATCGGACCGGGTGAGTGCCGCGCGGCCTGTGTGCTGCAGACGGCGGTAGAGGTCGAAGTCCGGGTGGGTGGATTTGAGGTCCTCGTCGACGGCGCGGAGGACATCAAGCGTAGTAGAGCCGTTGATCGTCTCTTCGAAGTCGGAGAAGAGGATGGTGTTTGGGAGGCAGGGGAGGATGGTGGAGAGGTGCGCGGGGAGTTTGTTGAGGGCCTCGGTGGCGCCGGTCTTGAGAATCACCTGGATGGATTGCATGTCTGGGGGGATATGGGCGCATTTGGAGGCGGGCAGGTGTGTGGAATTGGCTGATTCCGGAAGTTCATGGAGATGGATCCTCTGGATGCGTGGATGGGTGGAATGGATGGGCCAGAAGAAATAGCAGAGCAACAGAAAGCCCAGCGAGAGAGGCAGGAAATGAATCCATCGCCAGGAGGGACGACGGCGGTTTATTGAAATCATCACTGACTCTAGATATGTTCACATTGTTGAGCTGGACAGGTGAGAGGGCTCTGTTCTTTTTTTTTTTTTTCTACATCGTGGTGGATGAGAGAAGTACCCGGACCCGGCGGGATGAGTTGGACCTTCCTGTTCTCTTCTGACAGACTCGACCAGTATGGACTAGTTTTGGAGACATTCTGAACGGATCAATGGCGCAAAAACTGTGGCTGAGAAATCAGAGTAAGCACTTATCCATCGGGTCCAATCAATGGCCCTTAGTGTCTTAGTTCAGACTGGAGGATCTGAAACATGGCGGCTGTTTGGACCGTCACGATCAAAATAGAACACAGCGAGCCTAACGCGTACTCGGTCTATGGAACTGCTGCAAAACATATTGAAACATGGTCTTTGGCACAAATATATCTGCCTGAAAGGGGAAACTCAGCTGTTTGTCAAAGACCTCAAGACTTCGGGATGCGTCCTGTGTTTATGCTGTGTTTCTTTTCGAAGGCGACATCCCTTGTGCTCTTGGGAATTGGCTGTCTGATCATGAAGAACAATTAGCTGAAAGTGATCTAGATATCACTTCAGAAGGCAGTAGGAAGAGAGACTTTTTAGACACCACAGGATCACAGCACCTATTAGAGCCACTTTGATATGAGTATAAACCATCTGAGCCTCACACTAGTCTCCCATTCCTCTGTAGCCTCAAGAGCTTCACGGACTCCAAGACATCATGGCATCCGCTGAGAACGAGGACCACACGGAAGGACAGGTAGGTGGCATGATCAAGATATGACCAGAAGAGAATCTCTCAACTTTCGTCCATATGAAGAAATGATGTGCAGCCATTGTCAGTCAAACTATAGAGGGGTGTGTCTGGGCAGCAGGACGGCACTTTTCACTTCGAGTTGAAGGTATCGATAGATGCAGAAGAGCTACATGTTGGATAGCGAAGGAGATAGATCATTGAGAACTCCTCCCAAGTCTCTGGATTTCTCCTCCCCTAGAGAATGATCATCTTGAGTGGTGACGGTGGCATGGAGGGAACAAAAGGCGGGAAAAGCGGCCGATTGTTGTTGCGAACACAAATCTAGACTGACTGACTGACTGACATCAATTTTTTCCTTTGCATCGAGCTCCTCTTAACTCTCTCTCCTTTCATCCTAATGTTACCTCCGATGCTTTGAACTATTTGAATAGAAGAGCTTTGAATATCCTGCATCGCCCATCGAAACCTCCTTAGCCGCCCGTCATGTTCAAGAAAAAGCCCACAGTGCGTTGTGCCCCTCCCCCGCATTTCTCCTCTCTCGCTGGCAAATACTGAAAGAGAGGCATCAAACTGACATTCGCTTCTTAGATCAAGAATCTCGCTCCCTTGCGATCCTCCGATCGCCGCAGAATCGCCGATCAGATCATCAACGACTACAACATCAGTGTCCCCTCGAATGCGCCAGCCGATACAAGCGGGGATGACTCCACCACTCCGAATCAGACATTACCCAACATCACAGCGATCCGGAACTCTCTGCTCCCAGAGAACTCACTGTCTGCACGCTTCACCACGACCGCAGGCCCGCAGCTTCGAGAAGTCCAGGGCACGGTGTACGTTGGAACACACCCCGAAGGCGAGGAACGCGTCCTGTGGTTCAAGATCGAGCATGGCCCCGGTGCCGATGGACGCCTCTATCCGACTGTTTACACGTTATGGCATAATCCGAATCTCGTGCCCTTGCTGCACACACCGGAAATGGTGATGCAGAAGCTCCGCGGAGGAGCGGATCTCATGACACCAGGACTGGCTGATGAGCCGCCCTTCCCTGAGCGTGCGGTGAAGGGTGCCATTGTCGCTGTTGCCGGTCTGGATCGCCATACCGTGCCGTTGTTTGTGGGAATCTGTGAGATTGATATCGCAGGGCTTGGAGAGGTTCAGGGCACAAAAGGACATGCCGTTCGGGGCATTCACTGGGAAGGTGATGAAGTTTGGGCGTGGAGCTCATCTTCACGTCCTGGACAACCTGCGCCGGAGTATCTGGCAGGCTGGGACGAAGAACCCAGCGAGCCAGATGTGGGAGAGGCTGCGCAGAAAGTCAATGATCTAACATTGGGCGAGGGTCAGCAAGCACAAACTGCAGAGGAGCCGTCTCAGGGTGAAGCTCCTGAACAGCCTGAGGAGGCGCCTGCTGAGGTAGAGAAAGAACCCTCGACAAAAGGTAGGGGGTCCATCTTTTTCTGTCTTGTATTAGTTTCAATCCTTCGCCTGGGACTGACCACTTGCAGAAATCGACGATGTTTTTGAAAAGGCCTTCCTTTATTCCCTATACAAACTCAAAAACGACAACCCTTCTGCACCAAACCATGGCCTCTCACTCCCTGTACAACCATCTGCTTTTGTCTCCAACATGATCACGCCCTTCCTTCCAATTCACTCTACTCAGCAGGCTCAATTCTACCAGATTAAGAAGACCAGCTGGAAGAATGTCAAGAAATTCATCAAATATCTCGACAAACAACGTCTCGTCAAATCCAAGGACCGCAATGGGCAGGAGACCGTCATTTTGGATGTGGATTTCAACGACCGCCGGGTCGAGCAATTCGTCCCTTACCGACTTCCGTCCAAGCATGCCATCGAGAACGCAGGAAAGCCTGCTCCCTCGGGGGACAAGAAGCCTGCAGGCTCTGGGGGAGACCCTGCTGTGGGACAGACGATCACTGTCCAAACACTCTATCGGCCAACGACCAAATTGACCCCAACAATTTTTCCAGCGTTGTCCAGCGGCGACCCCCGAAACTACTACAAATATTCTGAAGTATCGAATCGGTTGGACGAATATGTTCAATCGCAAAATCCGCCTCTTGTCTCCGGTGAGAACCGCCGGATCATCTCCCTCAATCCTTTCCTAGCCAATACTGTCTTCACATCGTCCTCGGCCGAGGACAGGAGCACCGTTGCCCGAGGCAAGACCACACGCGACGGTCTCTTGAAGCGTATCGTGGAAGACCCGGCGTTCCTCGCGCCACACTATGTGATTCTCAAGCAGGGACAGACCCTGTCTGATGTGAAACCGAAAGCTGGAGCAACCCCCAAGGCCAACGTTGTCATCGAGCGGCGAACGGGGTCCAAGACGGTCACCAAGGTTTGGGGTCTGGAAGTGTTTGGTATCGTCCCCAGTCTCTTGGCGGAAGAGCTACAGAAGAAATGCGCCAGTAGCACCAGTGTCACGCAGGCAACTGGAGCCACCAAGGGCGTGATGGAGGTTCTGATTCAAGGCGACCAAAGACGAGCTGTGGAAACAGCATTGGTCAGACGCGGATTGAGGACACAATGGATTGATGTGGTCGATAAGACCAAGAAGAAGAAATAAGTCGATCAGTGACAGCAATGAATAGATGAACGAAAGGCATCATGGATACCATTTTGATATCATAGATGCTTCAACTCCTATCTTCTAGGAAAGCCACCTCCACAACGATCTTCGTCCAGTATTCATTAATGAGCCCAAGCCCAAGCCTCAATAAGATGTAGTAAGTACTATGATGGGATGCTCGACTTATCTGGCTACTAGAGGAAAATCCCCCATGTTCCGAGCTGCGCAAGCTTACGTACGTATCTATCTATACAGCAGTCCACCGCAACGAAGAAACCGTCGAACTAAGATACCAAGAAACAAAAGGACAATTCCTCAACGATCGGCGTAAATCATCTGGATACTTCGTAGTCCTAAAGCAACGAAGCCAACCCAACCTGCTCATCAACGGAAGATCATTTCTTTAACCTATATCCTCCCTAAGCCGACATGTAGAAATGATTCCACCAATCGGTGATAACCCGATAGAAACCAACCCCTCCTGACCCGAGCAACATTGCCGTAGCCCATCGACCGATCTATAAAAACAACCAGCATCGCTCATTCCAACGACCCTGTTACTCCAGATCCCCATCACCTATTACCCATCATCCAGAAAAAAAAAATGACAGTCTACCACATCGGTGATCCCCCCTTCCCCCCTTGAGCCACACACACACAGAACTGACACCTCGCAGTTCTCTTCCGCCTCAAGCCAGGCGTCACACAAGCCCAGATCGCCAACTGGGGTGCCATCGCCGAGAGCATGGTCGGGAAAATCCCCGGGCTGGTTTCCCTCAAGGCCGGCCAGCCGTTGCCCATCAGTGTTTCTCGGGCTAAAGGGTTCGATATGGGGCTGGTGGCGGTAATGGAGTCGCCGGAGCATGTGGCTTCGTATGCTACACATCCGGCTCATTTGGAGTTTGTTTCCCCTTCCCCTTTGTCATCTGTGCTGGTTGTCTTTCTTCCTTCCCCCCACCCCCCTTGAGAGGCGTGTGTGTGGATGGTTTGCTGACGTGGATTGGGGTGTAGGGTGCAGAAGTTGAGGGAGGAGTTGTGTGAGGATACGCTAGCGTATGATTTGGAGTTTTGAAGAGGTAGTTTTTTTGTTTGGCTAGGAGGGTAGGCTGCTTCTACGAGGTGGAAAGAGGTGGAGGGCAGATCTGTACCATGACTATTGCTTTTGTTTTTCTTCTTTTGCTAGATCCTGCAAAGAATGGCCTCCAAGCATGAATGATGAAATGACAACATATGATATACAACGCCATTTAGGGGGACCAGGTGCTTTTGTTTTACCATGACAGGGCGGAAATATAAGCCATCAGCTCCGTGAGAAATGTGAATAGAAAGAGAAACAGCGCAAAAGAATAAGAAGAGAATCAAAAAGAGGGCGATGCGATTATTCCTTGGAATCGACCTTCTTGGCAGGGTGGTCTCCGTTAGCAGCAGGTTCGTCCTCGCGGGTGCGCTTCTGGCCAGATGTGGTATCAGCGGTGCTCTGCACGACGGGCACGCCACTATATCGCACGTCAGTCCAAACAATTCCCAAACTTGTTACGAAACATGAAGCAGGCAACTCACCGAGCATCCTTCTGGATCTCCTGGCGCTCCTCCTGGGGCTTGCCAAAGCCCTTCTTCTGGTCATCCGCCCGGCGCTCGCGCCAGTCACGGTTGTCACCTCCACGTCCGCCGCGGCCGCGTCCACCGCGTCCACCACGTCCGCGCGCGCGGAAGCCACCGCGGCCCCGGCTGGGCTTGATGCGTCCAGCCTCAATGTCCCGAACCTTCTCCTCACAATAGTCCTTCTTGCTCTTGATGAGCAGATCCTGGCCCTTCCACTGGGGCTTGGGGTCGAGGGCAAGGAACTCCTTCTGCTTCTCTTCCGAGGCGAACTCAACGAAAACGCTTCCCTTGAAGATTCTGTCGTGTGTGCGGCGGAGACGGATGGCGTTGGTGGGTCCGTGGGGGGCAAAGAAAGCCTCGATGTCAAGCTGGGTAGTGGGGGTCTCCTCTCCGAAGCCCTTGGCGTAGATGCTACGGCTCATGGCCTTGTCTTCGAACAGCTTGGCGACGCTGGGATTGGCGTTCTCAGTCACAGATTCGGGGAGGGGCACCTTGCGGCGCACGCAGGTGTCGTTGTCGGTCAGTTCGACGGCCTCGGAGGTCTTCAAGGCCTCAACAATGGCACTGAAAGGCTGGAAGCGACGCATGCGCTTGAAGGAGTGGAGGAGTTCGAGAGGAACGGCGCGGTTGCTGCTGCCTCCCACCTTGGAGAGAAGGAACTTGTCCATGGGAAGGTTCGAATCGGAGAAATAGAACTCAACCTGCTTGCGGATTTCGTCCGGGTTGTCTGTGACCTCCTGGGTGGAGGGGTCGAACTTGACGTTGTTGCGACGGCTTCCGCGGTCGCGAGTATCCTGCTCCTGGGTCTTCTGCTCTTCGGCCTTCTCCGACTGCTCTCCGAGCTTCGCAGCGGCGGCTACGATCCGGGCCTCCTCGGCATCTTCTGTGGAAGCCTCCTTCTTCTCTTCGGCGGGCTGCTCCGCAGGCGCCTCGCCCTTCAGCTCTGCGAGAACGCTCTGGACATCCTTCTCCGACTCAACATTGGTGTTGGTGGGCGCAGCGACCTTTTGCTCGTCAGACATGGCTGCGATGTGTATGTGAGAAAAGTTATGAGTAGGAGTGAAGCGTTGCGCAAGTCTCCGCGTCTGTAATATTACTGAGTCAGTCTACAGACAATTTCTCTTTTTTTCAAGCACCACCTGATATGTCACAGAATAAACGCGCGGTTGGGGGACATGGTCTCAGAACCAAGATGTGACTCGATTCTCGCACGGAGTTCGCATTCAGAAAGCAACTCCACGTGAGGCGCGCAGAGCATAAGCAAGTGAAAAAGAGAATGACCTTACCTGCAAGAACAAAATTCGCGAACCAAAAAAAATGATATGCAGAACAAGGGAATTGATCTAGAAGAAGCGACTGATCACACAGCGAGCCACGTATTTTTGTCTGGTTGGAAGAAGGAGAAATAACGTCGAGGGCAAGGCGAATAATAATAATGCGCGGCGGGGGGGGAAATTTTCTGAACACTGCGGAGCTTCAGCCACACTTACAATCAAGGTGTGTGGCGCAGCATCCCTAGGCTAAATCTAGTTAGTGCCTATTTCGAGCAAATTGACACCTGAACTGTCAGGCATAGAGGCTAGCCATACAATGAACATACTGATCGAGAGTGCTCAAGAAGATTCATCTCGCTCTTTTCCCATCCAGTATCTCACAACTGGCTTCATGGCTCAGTTTTGCTTGTCTCGGAGTGTTTATATCACCTTCTAACCCCGCCAAACATGACTTCCATAATGAAGCCATCCACGATCTCTCGTAGAGCGTGCCTTCCTCCTCTAGGCATCTTGCCTAGAAGCAGTTCCTCGGCTGGCTCATGCGTCGAACGCTGTCTTTCGATGCTGAGATCTTAGTTCTTGGTCTTCTATGTCTTGCTCACTTCAGGACTGGTCTCACAACATCATTACGTTCTTTTTGGATACAAAGTTCAGGTATTACACCAAGCATTGATCCCTCTATTGCTTCCCGTCTTCCAGTATCAGGACACCACTTCGGCTCTCTCCGGTCATAGTTGCACGCTCCAAGTGGGACATAGTTCGAATAAGGTAATGGCTCGTTGACTGCACAGAATGGACTCGGCTGACTGACTGTCACCATTTGAAGCCCTATCACCTGTCGATTCTCAGGGGAGCCTGGCGTCAAACATCTTGTTTCTATTACTGTGCCTAATCGACTGCCTCTACTTAGCCTATCACACCGGTAGCGACATTGGCTCGGCTAGGGAGACTTATATACAGGCTATCATCTCGCAATGGCGGAAGGCGGCAATCCTGTCGTGTCAAGCTCCTGGTCCGTCGCAGATGTAAGTCCACCCGGATTTCCTCAAAATGGAATCTTCTCACCGGTCTTTAGATAGTATATGTGACTATTATATCCCCTTTGGTGCTGGCAGCCTTCCTAGAATGGTTTCTGTGGATCGCAGCGTTTCTGTACTGTCTGTTCAAGGTCTACCAGAAAGCGGATCACTGGAGTGTCAGATTTCTTGCAGTGACCATGATGATCCTCTTCACATCTCTAAGGTTAGTTCCAAAGCCTTTTTGATTAAGCCAGAGATCAAAACTGATAGACCCTCCCAGAGGGATTTTCCTCCCAGTAATGATCGTCACTCTGCCTCTGCCTGCTCAAATGAGGCAGTATGTGCCATCTCATTTTGCTTCCGCTCTGCAATGGTTCGCATTCGGAATGTTCTCCGCGCTGCTGATTATACCTTGGCTGCTGTGCATTTACAGGCTCGTTACGCATTCACCAGGAAGGACCAAGCGAGTCAAGCAAATCTTAGACGACCACACTGCTCCAAAAACCGTCGTCGTCATGCCGGTCTATAAGGAAGCGCCCGAGACTTTGATACGAGCTATCAACTCCGTTGTCGACTGTGATTATCCGGCGAACTGTATCCACGTGTTTCTCTCCTACGATGGATGCAACGTCGATGAATCTTACCTTCGTGTGATCGATCACCTGGGGATTCCGATCTCATTGGAAAGCTACCCACAAAGCATAGATGTGACATACAAGGGTGCACGAATCACCGTCTCCCGTTTCAAGCATGGAGGGAAACGGCATTGCCAAAAGCAGACCTTTAGATTGATCGACAAGGTATACGCAGAGTATCTGAAGCGCCATGACAATCTCTTTGTCTTATTCATTGATTCCGACTGCATCTTGGACAGAGTGTGTCTGCAAAACTTCATGTACGATATGGAGTTGAAGCCCGGGTCCAAGCGCAGCATGTTGGCGATGACCGGGGTCATTACATCCACCACGGAAAAAACTTCGCTCCTTACACTCTTGCAAGACATGGAATATGTCCATGGACAACTCTTTGAGCGTTCTATGGAATCCACCTGCGGTGCTGTAACCTGTCTCCCAGGAGCTCTGACCATCTTGCGGTTCTCTGCCTTTCGTAAGATGGCCAAATACTACTTTGCAGACAAGGCCGAACAGTGCGAGGACTTATTCGACTACGGCAAGTGCCACCTGGGCGAAGATCGCTGGCTCACACACCTCTTCATGATCGGTGCTCAGAAACGCTACCAGATCCAGATGTGTGCCAGTGCTTTTTGCAAGACGGAGGCTGTCCAAACTTTCGGTAGTCTCCTCAAGCAACGACGGCGATGGTTCCTGGGGTTTATCACCAACGAAGTATGTATGCTGACCGATGTCCGGCTGTGGAAGCGGTACCCTCTCCTCTGCTTGGTCCGTTTCATGCAGAATACAATCCGCACAACAGCGCTGCTGTTCTTCATCATCGTGCTCTCAATCATTACGACATCAAGCAGTGCCAACGACTTGCCGGTGGGGTTTATCGCCATATCGCTGGGGCTCAATTATCTCCTCATGTTTTACCTGGGAGCAAAGCTCAAGCGCTACAAAGCCTGGCTTTTCCCAGTGATGTTTATTTTGAACCCCTTCTTCAACTGGCTTTATATGATATACGGGATCCTGACTGCAGGACAGCGTACCTGGGGAGGACCGAGGACCGATGCTGCCACCGCTGATGAACATACATCGCCCGAAGAAGCTGTCGAACAGGCAAGGGCCCAGGGTGACGAACTCAACGTCGACCTGACAACTTTTCGATCGAGGAGTGAGGAGAAGACCGTCCCAATTCATCCTTCAGAGAAGATTGAAGGCCGCTTCTCGGCAGCGCTGCAGCTTCCCGATGGTTACTATGACCATGGTAACGATTCTGGAGCCACTCTAACTGATCTGATGATGCCTCTTCCGAAGGTCCCGCGGATCGGTATTCATTCACAATTCTCATCGGATTCGGTGACCACGCTAGACTCAATGACCAGCATACACTTGCCGCTCAAGGTCGAGGATTTGATCAGTGACGATGACAGGGTGATGTTCCAACCCGTTCGACAGGCACGGGACCCAACGGAATCACCTCGACGCCAACCCGAACACGTTGAGAGTGATATAGCCTCAGGCCAAATCATTGTGCAACAAAACGCGTCTTACCATCTCGTCAGAGAACAGAGTGTGTCTTCGTCTTCTCAATCTTTGCCACATGTACCTCAGTCCGCCGAAGTGTCTTCTAGCGACAATGGTGACTTGAGTTGCGTGTCTTCCATCAAGCAGTTTGAGCAAGAGCCACAGTTTGCGCCCATAAATCCATCAACCCGCGGCTCCCTGGAAACCAATTTTCCGGAAAGGCGAAGATCCCGACGGAAACTTCCCGGAATCCCACGGCCGATCCAGAAAGACAAGGGCCCTGAGCATATGGTCTAGTCTAGAATAGCCCGTTATTTTGTGCAGGGTTGGAGGGTTCTTGCCGCTTTTGTGTAAATCGGGGGGTGGCCGGCACTTGAGTACTCATGCTAATAGTGTCTTTTTGTTGTCTATTGAAGGAAGTCGATCCCTACAGTTTGTTATTGCGTGGTTATGATCTTGTTATTCTGATGCCGCCAGGTCAGCGGAACTAACCGCATGTCTGTCGCTAGTTATCTGTACAATCAAACTAAGTAATGATGGTTGGCCAAGCCAGGTATCATGCACCTAATGCATCAGGAACCATGACTGTGATGATAACCTACCTGCTCGCTGACATGACTCGGTGAATCATCACTCGTGGTGACGTCCAGATATGCTCTACCTGGCTGTCAGGAGGGTCATAAGACATCAGGTCTGGTTGGATAACTATGGTGGCAGTGTACTGTCTGAAGCCGAGGAAGAGCCAGAAATCCGCAGAGGATTAGAGAAGAAGAAACTCGACCTTCCTTCTTCTCACGTTGGAACAACCTGGGGTCACGGGGTGCAATTACCCAAGAGAAACTATTCTAGGAGGATACTATTATTCCGTCCAAGGCTCCAAGAGTCAGCCAAGCACGTTGGGATGAGGCAGAATTCCTTGCAACTAAGATGGTCTGATGAACTGTTTGTTGGCGATGCAGCCTTTCCCTGACATATTTATTCACCGAGTCTTTCAGGCGTAGATATCTACCAGAGTAGCAGTGACATCGCCCAAGCACGCGCATCTCGAGGACGAAGACCTATGCCTCTGGCCATTCGATCCGACCTCGAGCAACTCCAGGACCCCGGATAACTACTAACTAGACCAAATCCCTTGTGAGTTGTGACTGTGGCCAAGATGTACACAACTCCGGCCCGCCGAGAACTATTACCTGATGGATAGTCAACCTGATCAGCTTCTGTGCTGGAGATCCCACTTTTTCCATTTACTGTTAGTCAAGCCGGAATACGGAGTACCTTAGGCCGAGAAAGGGGGGGATGATGTGATTGGGCAGCAGTCAGGTGACTGGGTGGATTTTATCGATAAGACGTCAAAACCCCGCCAAAAGCGGTGAGACCGAGCCCAATACTGCCGGGAATTCCAAGAGGCGGTGTGACGGTCGAAGCATCGAGCAGCAGCCAGAAGGTTCGATGGGCAGCTTGAGTTTCAACAACCCCGAAAACAAAAAAAAAAAAGAGTGATAAAAGAGGCTGACGGGAAGGCGGTTGGAGGGAATGGTTAGAATATTAATAATTCTAATTGCTTCTGATCTACATAAGAGTTCTATACAGAGAACATTCCGCGTCCTACTCCGTACATACAACAGACACAACACAGAACGAGGGGGTTAAAAAAAAAAAAATTCAAAAAAATCTGACAAGCTGGGAGTTGTTGTTGGGTCTTGACGACACAGAAGAACCCACGTTTGGCCCTACTTCCCTGAGCCACAGCTCACATCCGCTTATCACCCGCCCGACCCCCCCCCCCCATAATCAGTCAGTCAGTTACTTACTAGTGGCGCTATTGCAAATTCTCCCCTCCTCGCTCTTTTCTTGCTTTGGAAAACCCTCTCAGTCCCGTTTTCCCTCATATAGACAACTTTCTCCCCCCGACCTTAACGCCCTGACTCTCCCTCCCAAAGCTACATCTTTTCCACCCTCCCCCCGCTCTCACTTCACATCTTCTCACCATGAGTGTCGTCGGTATCGATCTCGGTGCCCAGAGCACCAAGGTTGGCGTTGCCCGCAACAAGGGTATTGATATTGTGCGTATATGCTTTCTTTCCCTGCCCCAATCTGGTCAATCTTGGTGATTTGCTTTTCTGAATTGGGAACCCGCCAATGGGATGGATGGATGCACTAACACATTGCTCTCTTCGAATGCAGATTACCAATGAAGTCTCCAACAGATCTACACCGTATGTGCAAACCCTGCTACTCTCTCTATCGGTCCTATATCTCTCATGTTGCTGACATTACCTCCATCACACAGGTCCCTGGTTGGGTTCGGTGCCAGAAGCAGACAGATCGGTGAGGGCGCAAAGACACAAGAGATGTCGAACCTGAAGAACACCGTTGGCAACCTCAAGCGTCTGATCGGCCGCTCGTTCAACGACCCCGATGTCCAGGTCGAGCAGCAGTACACCACCGCGACTCTCTGTGACGTCAATGGACAGGCTGGTGTCGAGGTCAACTACCTCGGAAAGAAGGAGAAGTTCTCGGCCACTCAGCTCGTTGCCATGTACCTGACCAAGATCCGCGACATCACCTCGAAGGAGCTGAAGCTCCCCGTCTCCGATGTCACCATCAGCGTCCCCGCCTGGTTTACCGATGTCCAGCGCCGGGCCATGATCGATGCCGGTGAGATTGCCGGCCTCAAGGTTCTGAGACTCATCAATGACACCACCGCCACCGCTCTCGGATACGGTATCACCAAGCTTGACCTCCCCGGCCCCGAGGAGAAGCCCCGCCGCGTGATGTTCATCGACATCGGCCACAGTGAATACACCGCTTCCATTGTGGAGTTCCGCAAGGGTGAGCTCAACGTCAAGGCCACTGCCTACGACCGTCACTTCGGTGGCCGTGACTTCGACAAGGCTCTCACCGAGCACTTCGCCGATGAGTTCAAGGAGAAGTTCAAGATCGACGTCCGCACCAACCCCAAGGCCTGGGCTCGCACGATCGCTGCCGCCGAGAAGATGAAGAAGGTTCTCTCCGCCAACCCCGCGGCTCCCCTGAGCATCGAGTCCCTCATGGAGGACGTCGACGTGCGCGCGCTCGTCAAGCGCGAGGAGCTGGAGATCATGGTTAAGCCCCTGCTGGACCGCGTCACCGCCCCTATCGAGGAGGCCCTCGCCGAGGCCAAGCTCACGATCGATGACATCGACTCCGTTGAGATGGTTGGTGGCTGCACCCGTGTCCCCGCCATCAAGGATGCCATTGCCGCATTCTTCAAGAAGCCCCTGTCCTTCACTCTCAACCAGGACGAGGCCATTGCCCGTGGTTGCGCTTTCAGCTGTGCCATCCTTTCCCCCGTCTTCCGTGTCCGTGACTTCTCCGTCCACGACATTGTCAACTACCCCATCGAGTTCACCTGGGAGCAGTCGGCCGATATCCCGGATGAGGACACCAGTCTGACCGTCTTCAACCGCGGCAACGTCATGCCCTCCACCAAGATCCTGACCTTCTACCGCAAGCAGCCCTTCGATCTCGAGGCCCGCTATGCTAAGCCGGAGATGCTCCCTGGCAAGATCAACCCCTGGGTTGGTCGCTTCTCGGTCAAGGGCGTCAAGGCCGATGCCAACGATGACTTCATGATCTGCAAGCTCAAGGCGAGACTGAACCTGCACGGTATCCTGAACGTCGAGTCTGGTTACTACGTTGAGGACGTCGAGGTGGAGGAGCCCGTCAACGAGAACGGCGATGTAAGTTTGAGCCTCGCGCTTTGTGGAAAGATCATTGATCAAGCGGTTACTAACCTTTGATTTCCCAGGCCATGGATACCGATGCCGCCAACGGCGACAGCGAGCAGCCCAAGAAGACCCGCAAGGTCAAGAAGCAGGTCCGCAAGGGCGACCTCCCCATCTCCACCGGCACCACCTCGGTTGAGCAGGATGTCAAGGATGCTTACATCGAGCGTGAGAACGCCATGTACATGGAGGACAAGCTGGTTGCCGAGACCGATGAGAAGAAGAACGAGCTTGAGTCGACCATCTACGAGCTCCGCGACAAGATCGAGAGCACCTATTCCGAGTTTGCCAGCGACGAGGAGAAGGAGAAGCTGCGGGCCAAGCTGACCGACATGGAGGTGAGTACATTTCTGCCATCCTTTTTTTTTTTTCTTTCGATTTTGATACTGACAATTTTTTCTTCTCCAGGACTGGCTTTACGAGGAGGGTGAGGACACCACCAAGTCCGTCTACGTTGCCAAGCTGGACGAGATCCGGTTCATTTCCGGCCCCATCATCCAGCGGTACAAGGAGAAGGTCGAGACGGAGCGCCAGGCCGTCCTGAAGGCTCAGGAGGAGGCTCTCGCCAAGAAGCGCGCGGAGCAGGATGCCAAGCGCAAGGCGGAAGAGGAGGCCAAGAAGGCCGCGGAGCAGAAGCCCGACGAGGAGATGAAGGACGCCCCCGCGGGTGAGGCCGAGGGCGAGGCGAAGCAGTAAAGACACAAAAAAAGTTTGCAAGATCTATTCCCTACTGATATCAATGAGTACGACCCACGACTCTCCCATATACAGCCTGATGACAAATGGCCATGAACGCGAATGAAAATATATTCTATTCGATCATGAATTTTCTTTTTCTTTTTGGTCGTGATTTCTGAATGATTCTGTTGTTGTTGTTGTTCTTGTTGTAGACTTTTTTCTCTCTCTTCTATTTCTCTCTCTGCTCTCTGCTCTCTCCTGTTGTTAATGTGTAATAATGAACAGCATTCTTGAGAGGTCATCTGGGGTGAATGTTCTTCTTCTTCCATGAGATCGACGACAGAATGAGTAGACACTCAAGGAAAGAGATCGGAATGACCTGACTCCCCGGCGGGAGTTACTACGTAGGTATTCGTCAAGGCAATAAATAAGATCGAGAGATGGCTGACCAAAGCCATCGATGATTTCTCGATCGTACACAGTACTATCATCCACACGAGCAAGTGGAGCAGTAGTGATCTCGTGTTCTAGCGTTGCAGCCTGATTCTCCCGAGTCCTGATCCTCCTGGGTTTCAATTTGTTAGCTTGGTTCGCTCCAAGTTATTATGACTTGTGGACTGTGGACTGTGGACTGTGTGGTCTGTGGTACATATTAAGGTCAAGTCCGATGGGGTCCAGTCCATTGGGCTTACAAGTTACAACCACTTAACTCCGCTAACTTCGGAGGGCGGGCGGCTTTAGGACTCATTAGGCTTTTAGCATCACGTTAGGTTCTTCCTCCATATTCCCATCTGGTTGGGTTTTTTTTTTTTTTTTTCCGGCGACCCTGCTCGATAGGGCTCGAGAGCCAAGTATCAAGATGGGTGCATCGTGACTCGTGAGTCATGGTGACGGGGACTCCGTAGTCCCGATTCATTGCCGTTGGCTGGTCTTTCGTATTCTGAAATCTGACCTTCTGAATGGAGTGACGGACACGTTTTGGTTTCCTCCCGTGGTTCGGGCTGTTCTGCGGCCGATGTCCGACGTTTAGTGTCTGTAACTTAGTATGCCTCCGTAGCCTGTTGGATTGGACTAGATTAACTAGTTAGTTACTTAGCTTATTGTAGAGGTCGCTTTCTCCTTGTATGGCTCCAGAATCTAGAGTCCAGAACCAAGGGACAAATAGTAATGAAACCCTGGATTCTTAATCACCAATGATAATAAACATGAAGAAAAAAAAAAAAAGTAGAGAAATTGCTGTGCCTGTGCTGATGTGGGTTAATTAATCTCTCCGGCTGCCGACGCTTTTTTTTTCCTTTGGTCAGATCCTTCGCGATGCCTGAGGATTTAGGAGAAGGATTGAGGAGTTGAGTTGAGGCTGACCAGACGAAAAAAAAGGTTATATAATAGGTATCGGAGGAAGCCACTGTTGCTGGGAGGTTGTTTTGTTGTTGTCTTTCATCCATCCTCTTCCCTTTTTCCCCCATCCTCAAGGGGAGATTGATTAGCACTCCTTCTATCCCAGTCCTATCCTCATAATCACACACACACACACACACACACACATACCACAATGACGGCGTCAAGCGACATGGACGTCGAGAGTTCCCCCAAGGACCAAATCTCCATCAACGAAAAGGAAGCCTCCGCAGAGCCCGAACAGGAATACCCCCCTCTCTCCAAGGTCGTCGTCATCATCCTCGGCCTCTATCTCGCCGTCTTCCTCGTCGCCCTGGACCAGACCATCATCGGCGTCGCCATCCCCAAGATCACCGACCAGTTTAAGAGTATCGAAGACATCGCCTGGTATGGCAGTGCCTACTTCCTCACGTCCACTGCGCTGCAGCCATCGTATGGGCGGATATACAAAATCTTCAGCGTGGGTTTTTCTTTTTTTCTCTTCATTCCCCTTGCTCTCTTCCTGCAATTGCTGTCTGGAGTGTTGCTGATGATGATGGTCTGCTGCAGGTAAAATGGGGCTTCTTGATCGCCGTGCTTATCTTCGAAATCGGATCGCTCATCTGCGCCGTGGCGCCGTCAAGTACCGTGTTGATCGTTGGAAGAGCAGTTGCGGGTATTGGAGTCGCGGGGATCTTCTCCGGCGCCATGGTCATCATCTCTGTCACTGGTATGCGCTTCCTCAATCTGGTGGTGGGCGATTGGGAGTGTGAAAGCTGACTGGACATTTAGTCCCTCTGCCTAAGCGGCCGCTGGTGTTCGGTATGTTTGGCATGGTCTGGGGTATTGCGTCCATTGCGGGACCCCTGCTGGGAGGTGCCTTCACCGATGGAATCTCGTGGAGATGGTGTTTCTATATCAAGTGAGTTTGGGGATGCTGTGGTCTGCTGCTGCCTCGCGCAGAAAATTAACAAGCTTGCAGTCTTCCCATTGGTGGCGTCTCCCTCGCCGTGATCCTCTTCATTCTCCGACTTCCCGAGAATACCGAGTTCTCGGGAACCCCGATCATGCACCGCATCCAGCAGCTCGATCTCATCGGCGCCAGTCTGCTCATCCCCTCCATCATCTGCCTGCTGCTCGCGCTGCAGTGGGGTGGCAACAAGTACCCGTGGAGCAACTCGCGCATCATCGGTTTGTTCATCGGTTTCGGTCTCATGGCCATTCTGTTCGCCTTCTCGCAGGTCAAGATGGGCGATAAGGCGACGCTGCCCCCGCGCATGTTCACGAACCGCACCGTGCTGGCCGCCACGCTCTACGCCCTGTTCTTCGGCGGCGCCTTCTTCCTCCTCGTCTACTACCTCCCCATCTTCTTCCAGAGCGTCAAGGGCTCCTCCGCCATGAAGTCCGGCATCCAGCTCCTGCCCCTGATGCTGGCCACCGTCGTTTCCTCCGTCGCGATCGGCGGCCTCGTCACCGCCGTCGGCTACTACACCCCGTTCCTGATCGGCAGCACCGCCATCGCCGCCATCGGCGCCGGCCTCATCACCATGTACGCGGTCGACATTTCGGACGGCAAGTGGATCGGCTACCAGATCCTGCTGGGCGCCGGCGTCGGTGCGGGCTTCCAGATTCCCATGACCGCCGTGCAAACCGTGCTGTCGGCCGAGGACATCCCGCTCGGCACCGCGGCGGTCATGTTCTTCCAGACGCTTGGCGGCGCGCTCTTCATCGCCGTCGGCCAATCCGTCTTCCAGAACGGCCTGATCTCCGGCATCGGCAAGTATGCGCCCAGCGTGGACCCCGTGGAGATCGTCAAGGCGGGCGCCACGGAGGTGCGGCACGTGCTGGACGTGCTGGGCAAGACGGATCAGCTCGACGGGGTCATCAACGCCTACATGAGCGGACTGCGGGATTCGTACCGCGTCAGTCTGGCGCTGACGGTGGTCGCGTTTGCGGTCAGCTTGCTCATGGAGTGGAAGAGCGTCAAGGCGGCGGGCAATGAGAAGAAGGAGATGGTGGTGCCTGCGCTGTAAATCTGCGCGGCCAGCATTTTTTTCTTTTTTTTCCTCTTCTTCCTTCCCCAAGATCACTAATCATTGCAAAAAAAAAAAAAAAAAAAAAAAAAAAAAAACAATCAACAATCAACCAAGAGCGACATAGATTGGGGGTTTACGTTTACTTAAATGGAGTTGAGCATGGATAAGCACCGGCATTGGGCGGAACAGGCGTGTCTTTTATGACTGGTTAATGACTAATCATCTCTGATTTGCAGGGCATTTTTTTGATATGTAATATGTATTAATGTTTAGATACTCTCATGAGACTCCACTCGAATATCAATTTTGCTGTATAGACTCCATTCTTGTGCAGATGAACTTTGCATTATTGACGGCGGGAATTGAGATGGGTGTATTGTGTAGCATTAGTTTATGCACTGTCCGTAGGGACTAGGGAGCATATATTCTGACTCAGCACCGCCTGGGATATGGATAAACGGCTGCCTATTTTGCCGAGAGATTGTCATACAGAAAACCCTCGCTGTGTCTTGGGAGTTGTGCTCCTGATAGACTTGGCATGGACCACAGTACTCTAGAGGGATTGTATTGTTATTATTATTATTATGATTCGGGATTTGATTGTCGTCTTGCACAAGGGTTTGAAATGATCTTGATTGAGAGTGGCTGGACTGTAAGGAGAAAGAACAGATATTCGAGGTTGGGGGTCAAACGAACTTGAAGAATTCAATCTTCTTTCCGCAAGTAGATAGATAGTATTGGATGGATACCTTAGTTATTACTATTAGTATTATTGAGAGATATCAGATCTGATCTGGGGGATTTGATTTTGGTGGCTTGAACGGTGTGTGCAAGTGTCGTACAGGGCGCGCACTATTATTGCACTTTGCAGGACATGATTCAGGTGGTGGAACATGCAGCTTGAACTGCCGCTGGATATGGAGTCAGTTTCAACTCCCCAGTCCCCAGTCTCACCAGTCACCACCGGGCACTGTGACGCTTGAGCACTGGGTAGAGAGATGATCAAGCTGTCAGCAATCAGCATCCATCTGTCTAGCTAGCTGCTCGACTGCAGTGAACTGTCACTCTCACTACTAGTCACTAGTCACTAAAGGTACTCTGTCTCTCGCAGTAAACGAGTCATGCCAAGCCCGCGATGGACAAGACCAGCAAGTTGGCACGCGACGGATTCGAGTACGCATCAAATCATCGTTGGAGTTCCGTTCTTGGAACTCTTGGTCGTATCAATCTTCCCCAGTATCGACATTAGGTAGTAGGTACTAGGTACTATGCTCACTACCTAACTATGTCACTGCTCCATCCGTTTTTCTTTTTTTTTTTTTTCTCCATCTTCTCCTGAATCTAAGGCTTGAGGCCTGAGCCACACATTTCTCGTCCAATGTTCCCTCTTTTTAGTTTTTATAATCATCCAGATTTACTCCTTCGTACTCGGGTCCATGATGTACATTTGTACATTCCCCCCCTTCGCCCTTGCACTGGTCAGTCTCGTCAATCCACACTCACCACCCACCCCCCCGGTGATCATTGACTCTCGACTAACTATCTAGATATCCGATCTGCCTTCCACGGAAGTTTCAGATCGTGGATCTAGTTCAGAGGTTCATCTTCATCCCACCCCCGCTTTGAGCAATTCCTGAAAAAGAAGGGTCGTGGTCCATGGGCGGAGCTGTAGGGTCAACCAGACACTAGGAACCCATCAATTTGTCTTGACCGCTTGGTCTCGATCTTCGTCTTGGTCTTCTATTCTACGCTCTATTCTCTATTCTCTTCAATTTTGACGTGTAATCGAAGATCGCTGTTGGGATCTTTCCTGCTCCGTCAAGCTCTCTCCGGTTGTACTTGGCACAAGCGGGCATTCAACAACTCTACAATTCTTGCATCTGGTCCAGGAATGCGATAAGCCCTCCCTCGCTACTGACGTCTTGCAATCCGGAAGCCTTACGCCTGTCACTTTCAGTTCGCTCCCTTGTCGCATCAATTTGTTCAGGATCACCACCTCGGCATCCGCACATACACATACTGAGCAAGCATTCACATTTCACTGTCGCATACAAGGTCCCAGCATGCGAACAACGTCGTGACCATCCCCCGCAATCAAACAGAAATACCCCCGGACCGTCCCCCAATCTTGACTCACGACAGCGATGATCTCTCGCGCCTGGCGAGTCGGTCTTCTTGCGTTATGGTCGGCTGCAGCTGCGGCATCTCCCTTGCCCTCCCCCAACAAGGACAGCAGCGATAGTACCCCGGAATTCGTCAACCATGGCAAGATCCTCACGCGACCCATCGAGGAACCCGTATACGACGTCCTCTGGGAGAAGTACGGGCTCAACAAGTCGCAAGAGTACAAGTATTTCCACGAACCGGGGCAGGACGATACCTTGGGCCACTACGATACCCGATTCTTTACGGAGCCCGTGCCGGACGAGGAGCGCTCCGAGACCCTGACGCATATGATTCGCGCTTACCTGAATTTTTTCAACGAGAAGAAACTCGAGACGTGGATTGCGCATGGGACGCTTCTAGGGTGGTGGTGGAATGGAAAGGTATGTTTTACCTTTTTTTTTTTTTCTTTCTTTCCTATGTCCCTCTGAACCAGACAAGGGGCGAGAAACTCACAACTCCGATCCGCTGTAGAATCTACCATGGGATTGGGATATCGATACACAAGTGCCGGACACCACTTTGCTGCAACTCGCCGACGACTTCAATCAGACTATCTTCCACTATACGGCTGCCGACTCGAACGCCGAGCGTAAATATCTCCTCGACATCAACCCTTGGGCTCGACAGCGCGAACGCGGCCAGGGCCTCAACATCATTGATGCGCGGTGGATCGACATGCGCACAGGGCTGTACATCGACATCACGGGGTTGAGTAGGCTGGAGAAGGACAAGCCCCATCAATGGCAGGATAAGAACAACCACAAGTACCAGACGGGGGATATCTACCCGCTGCGCAAGACGGTGTTTGAAGGCATGCCGGCCAAGATTCCGTTTCAATACGATGCTATCTTAATCGAGGAGTATTCCCAGAAAGCTTTGACGACGTCGAATTTCCACAAGTGAGTTTTGGACCCAGACTATCTTACTAAACGTGGCTAACCCAGGCTATTTAGTCACACATGGTACCCTGACTTGCAGGAGTGGGTGTCTGACGACGACGACGAATTCACAACGAAAAAGGACCTCGAGGATGACCGCCAATATGAGAGGCGATGATTGCCGTGTCTCATCCCGAAAGATTTTCTGAACATAGCCATACGTTCATAGTGGCATTGACATAATCGCATCCCCCTGGATAGGAACTCGGCCTCTCCACTTCACCTACACCATTTCGGTCCGCTGACCCAGGGTGGGATCTGCACTTCGATTTTTTTTTTTTTTTTTTTTTTCTAACGTGGCATTGGCTGGAGTTTCTGGTGTCTCTATTTCTTTCTTTTGATGTAATCTATCATCCTGTACATACATTCCCAACGCCACGGCGTTGTCATTCATAATCTCGAATTACGCATACCCGAGGACGCGGCCCTCACCCTAGCGACGTTGCCACCAGTTCCAGCCTTCCAGGAGTATCACTAGTCAGTAGTCACTAGTAGTACTCACTAGAGGTCGGATGTGGGTGCATGGCTACCCCAGGGGCAAGGGGTATTCCCCACATCGAATTCCTGACAAGTGACAACCTTGACGAACGCCGAAGCTAGTTACTGGAATTTTGGAGCTGTCCCCAATGATTGTCGTTGTTTGGTTCGTTCTAGCTCAGGGGTTCTTCAGTCTTTAGTGGTACAGGGTTACAGCCTTACAAGCACATGTTTTTGCCCCAGGCACCCAGGCATCCAGGCACCGTTGCCATGTGATCATCACTTCTCCGTTATCTCCGCGCTGACAAACGCAATCGCCGTGGAAATCGATCGAAGTTGTTTGCCTCTGGCTATATCCATCTCCAACTGCTCCGTCACCACAAGTAAATATATATATATATATATTCTCATACAGGCATTATCGTGCAGATCTTCAACACTCGCTGACTCCCAAAACCACAGACATATACAGCAGATACAGCATGGACGTCTCGTCCACACCACTGGCCGTGACCATCCACCACCATGGCAAGCCGCATACCTTCGAATTGCCCCCCGACGCAACCCTCCAAGATCTCTCCTCCACCATCGCAGACACCCTAAACATTCCCTCAGAGAACCAGAAGCTCCTCATCACCCCAAAACCCGGCATGCAGAAACACCCCTTCCCGGCCACCCCGCTCTCCACCCTCCCGCTCACCCCGAAGACCAAAATCACCCTCCTCGGCACCCCAGCCAAGGAAGTCGAATCCCTCCACGCCCAAGCCGCCGAGGCCAAACGGCGCCTCGACGCCCGCGCCTCCGCCGCCGCAAAACACAAACCCGCCCGCCGCACCACACCAGGCATCCACACCCTCTCCGGGTCCGGCTCCGCAAACACCTACACCTTCCACCGCCTCGAACCCCTCCCTCACCTCCCCAACCCGTCGCGCTCCCTCGCCTTCCTCGCCCGCCTCCGCGACGACCCAGGCATCCGCGCCGCAATGGCCAACCACCGCTTCTCCGTCCCCTTGCTCACGGAGATGGACCCGGCCGAGCACACGACGCGCGAGTCGCGCACGCTGGGCCTGAACCGCAACAAGGGCGAGGTCATCGAGCTGCGGCTGCGCACGGACGCCTACGACGGCTACCGCGACTACCGCACCATCCGCCGCACGCTGTGCCACGAGCTGGCGCACTGTGTGTTCAGCGAGCATGACCGGGATTTCTGGGACTTGACGGCGCAGATCGAGAAGGAGGTCGAGAGGGCGGATTGGAAGCATGGCGGGCGGAGGGTCGGCGAGGAGGAGTTTTATAATCCGGGCGATTGGGAGAGTGAGAAGGATAGGGAGGTTGTGGATGAGCGCGGGTGGACGGGTGGGGAGTTTGTGCTGGGCGGGTTAAGTAGTAGTGGTGGTGGTGGTGGTGGCGGCGGTGGGCAGAGTCGGAGGGAGATTATGGCGCGCGCAGCGGAGGAGAGGCTACGTAGGGAGCGAGAGGGGCGGGAGGAGAGATAGGAAAGATACCTAGGATTGAAGGATGTGGGCTTTTTTTTTTATCATGATGAGATATCTACGACATGGGCATGATGTGATGACTACGAAACTGAAATACCGTGTGTTTTGGAATAGGAAAAATAAATAACAATTCATATCAGGTGTGACAGTGCTTAAACCTGCTCGTTCACCAGCAAGCCGGCCATGCCCTGGCCCGTGCCAATGCACATACTCGTCACCAGGACCTTGGCCTTGGTGCGGCGAGCCTCGCTGAGGATCGTGCAGATCTGGCGGGCACCGGTGGCGCCCAGCGGATGGCCCAGGGCGATGGCGCCGCCGCGCGGGTTGACCTTGGCGTGGTCGAGGCCGAGGTTGCCGAGGCAGTAGACGGCCATGGAGGCAAAGGCCTCGTTGATCTCGTAGATGTCGACCTCGTCCTTGGCGAGGTGGAACTTGGCCAGCAGCTTGGGGATGGCGGCGGTGGGGCCGATGCCCATGATGCGCGGCGGCACGCCGGCCACCGTCGCGCCCACGAACTTGGCCAGGATGGGCTGGTTGAGCTCGATGGCCTTGGAGCGGCGCATGAGCAGCACCGCGGCCGCCCCGTCCGTGACCTGGCTGGCGTTGCCGCCGGTGGTGCGGTCGCCGAACTGCGGGAACGCCGGCCGGATCTTGCCCAGCGCCTCGGCCGTCGTGCCGTAGCGGATGCCCTCGTCGCGCGTGAGCGTGACGGTGCGCGTCTCCCCGGTCTTGGGATCCTTCACCGTCGTCGTGATCGGCACGATCTCGTCGTCGAACCAGCCGGCCTTCTGCGCCGCCTCGGCCCGCCGGAACGACTCCGCCGCGTACGTGTCCTGCATCGCGCGCGTGATCCCAAAGTCCGCCCCCACGTTCTCCGACGTCTGCCCCATCGGCTGCATGCAGTCCGCCGCTTCCTGGCTCTTGAGCACTTCCGCGTTGAACGGCTTGGGCATCCGGTCGCCGCCCGCCGACATCAGCTCCGCCCCCACAGCCACGCCGATGTCGATCGCCCCCAGCTGGATCTGGTTCGCGATGTCCTGGACCGCCTTGAGCCCGGACGAGCAGAACCGGTTCACCGACGAGGCGCCGGCCGTGTGGGGGATACCCGCGGCGAGGGCCGCGGCGCGGACGAGGTACGCAGCCTTACCGTCGTTAACCTAAAAAAAAAAAGCAACTCTTAGCATAAACCGCTCGACGCAGAGGTTGCTGTCTGGAGACGTACGTTGCCCAGACAAACATCCTCGATGAGTGTCGGGTCCAGTTTGGACTTCTGCACCAGCTCCTTCAGCAGCGCGTAGATCATGTAGTCCAGTTCCGTGTCCTTAAAGCCGCCCTTGACGGCCTTGGTGAGCGGCGTCCGCAGCGCAAGGGTGATGACCACGTCATCGGGGTTTTTCTGTGTGCTATCATTGCTGGTGAGTAGCTGACCATGTGTGTGGCTTTTTGGGATGGGGACACGGCATACATGGCAGCGACTCCGCTGCTTCCTGAGGGGCGGAGGTGGCTGAGTAGCGAGTTTAGACGGTCTGCGGCCATTGTGATGTGAGAGTCTGTTCTCGGAGAGTGTGTCAGTAGGTGTGATATGAGCGTGACGAAGGACCGAAAAGTGGCAAGGATCTCAGCATCGCGTGCAGAGGGGATGGGTGGGTGAGGAGTGTAAGATAAGTTGGAGTTGAGGGTGGTTGCAACGAAGTGGTTTATCTACTGGTCTGTACCAGAGCCGAGCGGGAGCCGAGGCTCATCGTGTCCAGCAGCTCCGACGCCTACAAAGTACCCCAATATTTGTTTCACAACGACCAATAGAAGGGGAGAGTATGCATTGCTGATTGATCTAAATCTTCTGCACCCGAACTTCCTCAAATCAGACGTCCGTATTCGAAGAAAAACCGCCCGATCCGAGCCACAGGGCTTCAAACTGCCCGCAGATATCTAACTAGAAGCCCTGAAATACCAAGCCAAAAGTATCTCCATCGACATAAAGCAAAACCCATCAACTCCCGTAGCCATCCTTGATCCAGCCCATGTATTTCGGTCAAGAAGCGCCCATTGTTCCAATACTAGTAACATCTATGATCAGTAGTCCTGAAATCGCCCGTGCCTCAAAGTCCATGATGACCCAAATCCTCATTACTAACTACACTACCAACCTCCGACCAGCTGGCTGGGGTGATAATGCCATCTGTAGGCCCTCCGAGGTCACTTAATGTGCCGTCTGAGGACCGGTCCTCGGCAGACTCATAGATATGGCTGAAACTACCCGAGGTCGAGGGAGTAGCAGAACGCCCTGGTTGCTCGAAAGTCGTAGAATTCAGATCAGAAAAGTCTGAGAAAGGCGATCGCAAATCGCAGTCGGCCTCAGTCATAGAGGAATCCAAGTGGTCATAGGGGGCTTGAGAGTGCGATTCGGTGTGCCTCGACGGCAAAGAGTGCTGCTCTGTTGTAGAGGATACTGCAGATTGATCAACTTCCTCGAGGTTGTTATGAACTGAAGCAAAGATGTCGGTATCTGTAGCATCGGAAGTAGGGGTAAGATCGACAAGAGCGACAGAACGGTTGCTAGGTGATGGAATGTCAATATGCAGCTTGTCATTGTCAGATACCAGGTCCGCTGCTTTGGCCTCACTCGCGGAACTCGACACATCCGGTTGCTTGACTCCTCGTTGCACGAGTTGCGTCGGAGCGAGTTCCACGGCAGTCGAGTTCGCAAGAGCACTACCGGACGCTTCTGGGCTTCCTGATCTCAGGAGATTTCCATTCTCATCAACAAGGGCATCGAATGACCCGAATGTAGCGCTCTGTCTCCGCTTCTTACGTGCTTCAAGGACAGAAGCTCTCCGCTGGATTTCCTCGAGGGCGATCCGCCTGCGTTCTTCGGCGGCAGGTCCCACCTCCTCCGTCATGGAGATGTCCTCCCTGAGAGGAGATGCCGACTCCCTGGGGTGGATTTCATCGCCCAGGTTATGCAAGGCCAGTGCAATCTTGCGGCGAGAATTTTGGACCCATTCTCGGAATTGGGGGGATTCATAGACCGCTATGCCCGCAGCGACGAGCGCTGAAACGGTGATGATCAAACCTATCAGAAGAATCAGCTCTTGATAGTGATACACCGACCAGACTCACTAGTGACTACTGATAAGCACACCGCCCCGCAGGGTCGGGGAGCTCATCGTAGACATCTAAAGAGTGAAGAATGATAAAATAGCTGAAGAATCAAGGGGAAATCTTACCTTTCGCAACAGGTGAAGGCATCGTGATCACCGTCTAGAGATTTGGTCTTCACTTCCTCCTCGACCCTTCCTCGAGCAGGCAGAAGGATAAGTCGCGAGCTGATAACAGGTGACGCCGTCATCTCCGGCGCTTCCCTCCCGCCGCGCCACCATGTGATCGCTCAGCCCTTATCCGCCAGCCCTAACTGTCCGCATTCGGCATCCCGTGTTTTGTCCCCGCGCGTCAGAGTCAGAGACAGTCAACAACGAGCCCGAAGATCAATAGCCGGCGTACTGAAGGGCAAGGACATCAAGGCAGTCGGTCATGTCTCGTCCATCGTCTATGTTGCAGCGTCCGCTGACACTGACGGAGGAGCTGGAGAAGCTCGAGCAGCAAATCACTCTAACACTGCAAGGTAAACAATGGCTCTTTGCCTGTCTCTGGATCGAGTCAACGCTGATCATTTGCGGGCTCTGCATATAGAAATCGACCATAACTTCAGCCAAGCACACCGGATTGTCACAACGAGTATCCTTCCTCTGGTCGAACAATATGCAGAGCATTCGCGAGACGTGTGGGATGGTGCCAAGGTAGGCTTCTCAGCAAGTCGCCCAATAACCCCGACCATAGTCTAACCCGTGAGTCAGTTCTGGAAACAATTCTTTGAGGCCAGCGCCAATGTCTCCCTCTCCGGCTACGAGGAACGACCCGATGAAGACACCACCCAAGATCAGACGGCGACGGACGAATCCGCTTCAGATGTAACCCACAGCAACCTCACTGAAACCATGTCCTACGACACCCCGTCCTCCCAGCGCCTCGACCTCAACCACAGGGCCGACGACCACGACCTGGAACTCACAGCCCTCAGCCTCTCGTCGCACAGCACCCCGCGGGTAGGAACCCACGAAGCACCGCACGATGACACCACAATCACCTCCACCGCATACCCATCCCCCTACGCCTCCCTCGAGCACGACATCCATGAACCCGCACCCGAGCCCGACTCCCCCTTCAACATGGACGACTCCAACCTCCCCAGCACCCCCGGTCGAGCCCCCAGACTGCACAACTACGCCCACGACCCTACCGACACCCCCCTCTCCTCCTCGCCCTTCGTCCCGCCCGTCGCGGACGACCCCAACCCGGCCCCAGGATCCCGCCGCAACCGCCACCAGAAACACACCGACCCCGTCCTGCACCGCGTCCTCGACAAAACCTACCGCGTCCAAGCCACTCCGCTCGGCAAATCCCACGCACCCCCGCCAAACCGTTCCAAGTTCACCATCACCCCGAAACCATCCTCCTCCAAATACGCCTTCGACGACTCCCCAATCTCCAGCCCGGAGCCAGAGGCGCCCCAGCTGCACGCGGAGATCTTCTCCTCCCCGCTCAAAGCCACCACCCCAGGCACCTCGGGCCGCAGACGACGTCCAAGCACACACCACGACCTCCGCGTCACGCCGAAACCCGGCATGAGCGTGCTCACGCCCGCCAAGAACACGGCCGGCAGACGGGGCGCCGCCTGGGACAGCGACGAGGACTTCTACGGCATCGACGACGACGAGAACGAGGACCTCGGCCCGAGTCCGCCGAAGACGATGCAGTTCCATATCCCGCAGAGCAGGCTGATGAAGACACCCGGTATTGCCCTCACCCTCACCCTTTCCCTTTTCTTTTCTTTTTATCGATTTCCTTCGGGATACTGTACCTGCCTCCTGCTAACCATAACTTTCTTTTTTTTTTTTTATCTGCAGCCAAAGAAGCATCCAGACGCATCGTGGAGGATCTACTCCTCACCGCGGGCGCGAATGATACCACGGACGATTTCCTGGACGAGCAGAGCCCCAGCGTGATTCGACGGGTGGAGCGTCTGGAGGATGACACGTTCTAGATACCCATGTAGTGGCAGACGAGACAATCGAGTTAAGATGAATGAATAGTACCAATTTTCATGGGATCTCGAATGATAGCTGTGTTCACATAGCAGTCACCTATTGCGACTTACAGCATCTGAAACTCATCTAACGATCTAGAGTATCTAGGATTCTATTCAGCATACAAAGTATATAAAAGTGCAACTGCTCGAACAACAATGTCTGCTACACGGAGAGCTCAGCCTGGAGATCAAACCGGCAAGTAAATGCGCATTTGAGGTAGAACGATAGAAGCAGAAAGGGTATTCTATTGCAAGACACGTCATGTGGAATGAGTAAAGGAGGTAAATAGCTTCGAACCTGCGGGATAAGTACGGGGTGGTAGGAATAGGGCGATTAAGTACATATGCTGCAAGAACGCATCAATGGGTATCGAGCGAAGTCGCTGATCATGGGAGGAGAGTGTTCAAAGTACGGGGGGAAGAGAAGGGGGGGCACCACACCGCCGCGATATATGTACTTTGCGACAATATAGTGGAAAGCACCAAGAAGAAAAGATGAAAAAAAAAGGAGGGAGAGATAAAGATCATGAAAGAATCCGGGAGGTGAAAAAGTGCAGAACCATCTAACTCTGCATACCCATAAAGACTTCTTGACAGTTCTCGACCAAGAACTTCAAGACCTCGTTCTTCTTCTGCACGTCAGTCATCTCCCGGGCCAGACTCTCAGGTCTCATGATGGTCGGGGCAAAGACGACGGCAATGTTCTGGCTGGTCATTAAATTCTCCTTCTCGCGTTCAACCACCCGTTTCAGGTGGAATACCAGGAACTCCAGCACGTCCTGGTGAACCCGCGGCAGTTCGGCGAGGCTCTTCTGCAAAGCGGCAATGCGTGCTTCGGGCGAAGTGATTTCACCAGTATCAATGATGGTTTCGTAGACTTCATAAGTGATAAGAGGCGTGGGCAGCTTCCGGAAATATTGTTTGAGAGCCGACGTCACGGCGTGGATGTCAAGGTCGGGATCAGAAATGTCGTAATCCTGAGGAGACCGTTCAAATCCTTCCCGAATCGTCTGAATGGCCGAGCTGGCGCCTGATTTACGGTAGATTCCTTCCATGTCCATACCTGGATGGGGGAATGTTTAGCGTGAGACCCTTGGAAGGGAGCAAGACAAATCGTACCTCGTAGTTCAACTTCTTGAATGCACCGAGTGACAATGGCAGGAATAATACTCTTCTCATGCTCCATGCGCTGTTCCAAATCTGTCCCAAATAGACCTGCCGATGGGTGTTAGCGTATGCTCAAAAATTCCGACAAGACGACCGATACATACCAGTTGGGGCGGCCTCAGCCAGCGTGGGAACGCTATCGGCCTGAGGGATCCGAGTTCCCGCTTGCTTGCTCCTTTGGTTTCCAAAGAAACCGAAGCCTTGCCGACTAGGATCTTGGGTCTGGGAGCGGGGGAGTCCGGGGTTACCGTCTTGGGCGGTGTTGCTTTCACTCGACATGAAGGCGCCCTTGATACCCTTGGTGACGCCCTTGGCGACGTTCTGCCCACCTTTCTTCCAATTGAACTTGCGAGGCTGTCCTTTGCGGATGCTGACAACCTGCGGACCGGGGACCACAGTGGCCGGTTCGGCCTCCTCTGAGAGGTGAGCAGTAGAAATTGACGCGGTAAGATCACTGTTGGCGGATTTCAAGGTATCAATCGCAGACAACGACTTCTCCTTGCCGTGAGAGTAGATACCAAGGCCGTTCGCACCGCGAGTGCCCTCGGCCGAATTGGCCTTGTAGAGCTCTTGAATTTGATGCACCAACTGATTGTTCAACTCAGCCAATTGAGCATTCTTGGAGGATAATTGCTCGAATTCCTGGAAGCTCTTGTCCTTCATGCGGTTCAGGGTCGCAAGCTCCTCCGCGGCATCGTTACGGCTCTGTACTAATTCTTCGATCTGTGGCGTGAACGACTCTTTCAGCTTGTGAAGCGACTCGACAAAGTCGCGCAGCGCCTTGCTTGTAATCTTTCCAAGGTCGAGAGGGCCACTAGCACCGCGCTTCTCGGCCTCCAGGTGATCCGTCAAGACGGAAAGCTCGCGCAGGACAATCTCCTTCTGGGCGTCCAGGACCACCATCGTTGACCGCTTCTCGTTCAATTCGGTGTTCACCTGCTTGACATCGGCAGTCGCGTTGAGAACGGCCTCCATCTCGGCGATCTTCTGTTCTTTCTCCACGACCCGCTGGCGCTCTTTGCGGAGCTCGCTGCGAAGCCACGCCACTTCCTCCGCGCGCGATAGCTCGGGAGATGCGGGCCGGCTCCCCATGTGCGGAACTGGTGTTGTCCCGTTGACCGGGGATGGGGGCCACTTGAGGTCCTTTGAAAGACGAGAGCCTTTGTCACTGAAACTCCGACCATGGCGGACCGTGTGGGACACGCGGCGCAAGAAGGATTCGCTGTCCCGGGCAGCATGCGCCTCGTCTGATCCCAGGATCCGAGCCATATCTTCCTCCATCGAGAATTCACCTGCAGCGCTATACCGTAGCAACGATGGAGACCCAGGACGGTGGGTATCGGACTGCAAGGTGCTCATCGAGTTATGACGAGCATGCCCATGGGTTTCCGCGGTCGAATCGCCACGAGGCGTACGAGGCGGCTCGCCGATTTTCGGTGTGCTCTTCCTGGAAGAAGTCCTTTCCGGCAGCCGTCCGGTCCCGTCGTCACTGTGGGCGACCGATGGCGGTCGAGCTCCGACCTCCTTCCTCGGGATCTGGTGGTGGCGGCTTTCGAGCGAATCGCCCCGTTTGGGATGGGCCTGCGCGGCGTTGGGCGATGGGAACGAGCGGGTCGAATCTACTGAACCGCCCTTCTCATGCAGTTGACGAAGCTCATTCGATGGACGGGAGGGGAGTGTCACGGTGGTCTCCACGATCGTGGACCTCTTCGAGTCGAGCATTGAGCTATCCTTGAATTGAGCGTTCGATGACTTGGCGGATTCGGGGCTCGGTGTCGAAAATGAGCTGTTCTCTTTGAAATCCGACCTGGAGCTGCGGTTGGAGGTGCCTCGCGGTAAGTTGTCTGTAGAGCGCGCTGTCCCGTTCGCGATGGGTTCGTCCCCGCGCCATCGGGCAGATTCCACATCAGCCCGCTCCCGGCCCTTCTCCTGATATGCGATGTGGGGGGATGCGCTCGTTGAGGGGAGAGTTTCATGGCCGTCTCTCGAGGATTTCTGTGGTTGTCCGTGGGCAGTCGGGGGCGACTGTGCGCGCGACGACCGCCCTTCCTCTGCGGGGTCGAAGGCGACGGGTATGAGGAACTCTCCGCCATCCGCCTCCGCCTCCCGAGGTACCACCGAGTGACGATTGCTTCGATAGGTGCTGGAAGGCAGTATCAGGTTGTCTATTGATGAGAATGGGTGGTGAGAAAATGTGCATGCGGTCCTCAATGGTGATGGGTGGACTTACCTTGATCATCTGTGGTCTGACGCGAAATCGAGGGCCGTTCATTCCGTCCCGCGTCCAGCGCGGGGGCTGCCGCACGCGCATCGTCCGTATAATGATCAATGATAGATTCGTCTGTGGGATGAGGTCGTCGTTCCTCTGGCGGGAGCGAAGGCAGGGATTTGTCCAGTTTCACGTTGGGACCATGCTTTTTACTCGTCGGTGCACTCGCTTTTTTCTTCCTCCGGCGTTGCATCAGCGATTCGTGACAGTCCATGCAGAAGATTCCCTGGGAGGTGCGAGCGTAGCGCAGATTCTCAATTTTCCGTTTACAATTCCGGCAGCGAAAGCACTGGGCGCAGAAGGCCTGTTCGCCGGTCAGAATGGCCAGGTCTTCGATCTTGTCCCCGCATGAGCTGCAGCTGTAGGTACAGTTGCTGCAGATCAACGATCCATCTCCGAGCAGTAGTAGGTGGGCATCGGAGTCGAGAAGAGTGCCACAGGTACTGCAGCAGAAACATTCAATGTGCCATCGGTTCCCCGCTGTAGGACCAAGCAAGTCAGGATAAAGCTATCGCAAACACAACACGACCCCAAAGACACAACCTACCGAGTTCGAAAGCCTTGCCCTCCTCAAGAATCTATCCATCCCAGATAAAAGCACCGGTTAGCGCGGCTACCTTTAGGGGGGGGGGGGGGAGGGATAACAGCATCACATCGCATACCTCTCCGCACCCTTTGCAGGGAAATGGAACATCATCCTGCTCCATAGGAGAGTCCGGGAACATGCCTGGAGACTCCATTCCGAATCTTGCCTCCTCAGCGTCGCCGATAGGGTAGTGAATAAATAGGGGATGCCAAAAGGATCACTCAGGGCACGGCGACGATGCTAAGGGTAGTGTGGCGCGCCGAGGGCGTTATAGATAGAACGGTCGATGAACGAACAATCGAGGAGACGAAATGCGGTCGAAGATCGCGTCGAAAGGATGCGCAGCAACCCAACAGGACCAAACGAGAGGGGGGGTCAATGGTAAACAATCCAACCAGCAACAGAACGAACTATACGGAATCAGAATCCATGAACGGAGGTCGGTTGTGGCGCACGAAGAGCAATGATCTCGGGAGATGAGATGGGACTATTGAACACGCGAAAAGAGCGAGCGAAGAAGAGAAGAACGGAATTGGTTCGGTCGGTATACGTCCTGGACGGTGGAAGCGGGAGAAGTCGTCAGCTCAAACCTTCCAGTATCAACCAGCCAACAATGGGGAGCGAAAAGCGATAGGGACGACGAAACTGACTACTCCGGTCAAGGAATAGATAGGGTGTTAAGCAGTCCAGACAGACGCACGCACCCCAGACTAGTTAGATCCAGGGTGACGGGACCCTGAGTGAGATCTCTGGGCCGTGACCGACAAATTGGAGGAATCATGAAGGGAGAGATGGACCGGGGGGGAGGTACTTAGTAGTAGTACTTAGTAGTAGTAGTAGTAGTAGTAGTAGTAGTAGTAGTAGTCGTAGTAGTAGTAGTCGTAGTAGTAGTAGTCCTTAGTAGTAGTAGTCCTTAGTAGTCCTTAGTACTGAGTAGTAGAGGATGTGGGTGGAAAGAAGATACCCCGGATAAGGAGGAGGGGGGGGAAGGGGGAAGGGGGCAGGGAGGAAAACAGAGAGCACAACAGACTGGGGAGAAAGGGGGATTGTCTTTTTTTTTTTTTACTTACTACTAGAGAAGATGACAACCAGACATTCCCAAGATTGAAGATTAAGAAACGAAAAAGGAATGATTGTTCGACCGACAAGGAGTAGAACTCTCTGAAGCGATGGGTTTGGGGGAACTTTTTTTAAGAACGGCGAGAGAGAGATGTTTCAGATCGACTCGGGCGGTGTGAGCAGCAAAACAGCCTGAACTCCTGGAATTACGGGAGTAGTTAGAGGGACTCCCTCCTTCCCGTGGCGAATGAATTCAGAGAGATGATGATGGTGGTGGTGGATAGAATATAGTAAGTGATGATTACAGAGATCAAAAAGAAGAAGAGAGAAGAGGGAATTGGTTTGAAGCAGAAGAAAAGTAAGTGATGGGGATGAGGTTGGGAAAGCTGGCGGAAGGGGGCAGGGGAGGATGACCTGTATAGTTACAGAATACAACCTAACAGATACATGAGAGAGACATCCGAGAGAGAGAGATAGAAACAAGAGGATACATAGTACTCACTTGTCAGTCTGATCAATCTGCTTTCCTCCTTCCTCAGTACCCATACTGACTACGTCTACATCCCATTTCCTCGCTTCACGCTAAGGATCATCTCGTCCCGTCTCGAACAATCCTGAAACAACCGTTTCAGAGGACTACGGAGTAGAGAGAGATCTAATATTAATCTTTCATTTGGAAACTCATCTGGAACGAGGTCGATGTCCCGAATGGACTACCTACCGACCTACCAACCGATGTTATCGATCCAAATGCGCCTCACGTCTCGAGCGACTGGTGGATCACACTCGTGCGGTACGTCTCACTCCGCTGAATCAGCTCCTGGTGCGTGCCTTGTTCCACGCAGCGTCCGTCTTCAATCAGGAAGATCTGGTCCGCCCGGTGGATGGTGTTGAGCCGATGCGCGATGGCCACCACCGTCGTGCGCCCCGCCAGCGTCGCCAGCGCCTCCTGGATGCGTTTCTCCGACTCCACGTCCAGCGCGCTCGTCGACTCGTCCAGCAGGAGCAGCCGCGGTTGACGGACCAGCGCCCGCGCAATCGACAGCCGCTGCCGTTGTCCGCCGGAGAACTGCTTGCCGTCGCGGCTGCACAGCGTCTGGTACCCGTCCGGTAGCGCTACGATCACATCGTGGATCTGCGCCATGCGGCACGCCTCCTCGATCTCCGCCGGCGTGGGTTCGTGGCCCGGGCAGGCGCCCAGCCCGATGTTGAAGGCCACCGTGCCTTCGAAGAGGACGTTCTCCTGCGGCACCAGCGCGATGTCGTCGCGGAACTCCGTCCCGATCTGCCGGGTGACGTCCACCCCGTCGATGAGCACCGCGCCGGCATTGGGCCGGTAGAACCGCTCCAGCATCGCGAAGGTGGTCGATTTGCCCGATCCGCTGGGCCCCACCAACGCGCAGAATTGGCCCGGTGGGATCTCGAGACTCAACCCCCGCAGGATCAGTCGCTCCGGGCGGTTGGGGTAGGTGAAGTGGACGTCGCACAGCCGCGCGCCCATGCCGCCCCGTTCCGTGGCCCGTCGCTGCGCCGAGCGCGCATACTCCTGCGCCTCGAGATCCCGCGCCGCCGCCGCCGCCGCCGCCTTCTCCGCGAGCAGGCTGCGGGACGGCAGGATGCTCTGCGACGAGCCCGGACTCACTTCCTCTTCCGCAGAGCGGGTCGTGAGCAGCTCGACGATGTTCGACGACGCCACCCCGGCCTTGGAGATGTCGGGCGCCAGGGCAAACATCTGCCCGCACGACTGCGTGCTGAACAGTAACGCCGGCATGACGATGAAGAATTGCGTCTGGGAATAGCGGCCCTCGGCAATCTGGCGCGAGCCCCACCAGTACGCGAGCGCATACACCAGGTTGCTGATGCTAAACGCCAGTGCTAACCAAGCATTGCCGTGGAAGGTGGCCTTGAGGGTGGCCTGGTAGGGAGCCTGGAGCGCCCGGCTGTAGACTGCATACGACTGTTTCTCCAGGGAGAATGCAGACACGGCGCGGATGTTGTCGACCGCCTCGACTGTGACGGCGGTCGCTTTCGCAAAGGCCTTCTGGTGCCGTTCGGCGAGCTGCGCTTGCACGCGCAGTTTCATCACCCCCGCCGCCAGCAGCACGGGGATGGTCGGGAACAGCACGATGGTGATCTTCCATGCGATCGCGAATGAGATCACCAGGCCCGCAATCAGGTTGACGGCAGTCGCGAGCAGAAGACCAATGGTGGTGCCCGTGATCCCGCCCAGCGCGGACGCATCACCGGTGATATATGTGATCAGGGTGCCCGGCGTCCGGTCCTCGGAGCCGTGCCACTGCATCGTTTGACCCAGCAGCGACCGCAGCGATAAAACCCGGATCCGGTACAGCACTTTGTCGGCGGCCCAGCCGAAAGCACAGCCGCCGACCACATTTGCGGCCAGTTCGATCAGGGCGAGGATGAAGAACAGCAAGCCATAGAGATTGCCGTCGTGGCTGATCGCTTCGGCTGGCCTGCAGAGACTCAGGCTACCAACCGTGTGGCCGAATACGATGGCCTCCGCCGAGTAGCTGCCGCCGATGATGACGGACATGGCAAGCCCTAGCATGATCCAGTGCAGGTTGGGTCGGACCAGGGAGAACATGTATCGAGTCACGAACCACCCGGAACGCTGCCTCTTCTTCTTCTTCTTCTTTTCATCTTCACTTCCGTCCTGGGAGCCGGGCGGCGATTCCCCCACGACCGTATCCTCCGTTATGTCCGATTCATGGGCATCAGCCATTGCCTGCTTTTCATCCAGCAGATCCCGCGATTCCGGAATGGCCCGTTGCTCCATAATCATATCCTGCGGGAACGCAGCATCCTTCGCATTCAGCCGACCCAGATTCTGAAGTCGCACCATCTCCGCATACACCCCGCCCCGCGCAACCAACGCCCCATGGGATCCTTCCTCCGTGACCCGGCCAGCCTGGACAACGACAATCTTGTGCGCGCTCTTGGCCGTCGCCAGCCGATGCGCAATCGAGACCGTGGTGATGCGCTCGGACACCTTGGCCAGCGCAACCTGGATCAGCTGCTCGCTCGTCGAATCGAGCGCCGCGGTCGCCTCATCCAGAATCAGCAGGTAGGGTTCACGGACCAGTGCGCGCGCCAGGGCGATCCGTTGCTTCTGGCCGCCACTCATCTGGTTTCCCGCCGTGCCTACGTTCGTGGCGAAACCGTGCGGCAGAGCCTCGATGAACCCCAGCGCGTTTGCGCTGGCAGCCGCCTCCTTGACCAGATCGACGATTTCGGCCACGCAGCCGTCATAGCCGCTCAGCGCATCCTTCTCCGAGATGCCCTCTCGGATCCTCTGCGCAAGATCAGGCAGACTCGAGTCGAGGATGAAGGGCGCCAGTCGCTGGTGTTTCTCGGCCGCGGACGAAACCAGACCATATGCGATGTTTTCCAGGATCGTGCGGTCCAGCAGCGACGGCTCCTGTTGGACGAACCCGATGTTTCCGCGCAGATAGCGCACATTGAGATCCCGGAAGTTCTTGTCCCCGATCATGACGTTTCCCGACTTGGGGTCGTAGAACCGTTCCAGAAGCGCAACGACGGTGGACTTGCCTCCGCCGGACGGACCGACGATCGCCGTATGCTTCTTGGGCGGGATGTTGAACGTCACGCCCTGCAGCACGGGAACATCTGGTCGCGAGGGATAGGTGAAGTGAACGTCTTCGAAGCGGATATCTTCTTGCCCGAATCCGGCCGACTTGTCGCCCTCATCCGAGGTCCCATCAATCGCTGACGGCCGGTTGATTACCTGCAACAGCCGCTCCGAAGCGCCCGCTGCGGAGGCGAAGACGTGGATAAACGGCGCGACCTGGCTGAGAATGAAAGACGCGTCGATGAGCACGAAGATGACGGTGAAGACGGCGCCCACGGAGGCTCCCGAGCCCCCGTTGGCCACCGAATCCGAGATCATGTGGGCACCGGCCCAGAAGGCCAACGCATTGGCCGAGTAGGCGATGAAGTAGAGGAAGCCCAGCTGAGCAGCGTGCGTAGCGGCCTTCTTGACGGCGTCTTTCCTCGATTGCGAGAGATAGCCAGCAAAACGTTTCTCCAGCCGGTCGTTGGCATTGAAAGCGTGCACCAGCGTCAGATGCGACAGACTGGACGAAGCGATGGACGTCGCGGCGTTGACATTCTCCGCAAGGCGGCCCGCGAATTTCTTGATGTAGTGGCCTCCGCCGAGAGCCATCAGGAAGAAACAGGGCACCACCGAGACCAGCATACCCGCGATCTTCGGCACCTTGATGAAGGCGACGATGTAGGCGGCGACAAAATACGACAGGGTCGAAATGACGAGACCCACTTTCTCCGAGGTGCCGGACTGCACGACCTCAATGTCGCTGACAAGCCGGGAGACGATGTCCCCCGACGGAAGCGATTCGATGAAGTTGGCTTCCTGCCTGATGATACTCTCAAAGTAGCGGCGCCGGTAGCGGCGCGCCAGGCGCTCGCTCACCAAGCACCAGCATGTTGTGTGGATGTAGATGAAGCAGAAGTTTGCGATGGTGATGTAGATGACATACAACACTTTCGTGCGCACCGCCGATGAAAGCTCAGTCGGCGCGCTGGCCTCGGAACTACAGGTGACCGTGTTCAGCTCGTTGATCAGATCACCAAAGACAATTCCAAGTAGAGGGAAGGGGAGGCCGGCGCAGATGCCGAAGAACACGCCACCGACTATGAGCAGGACGTCGGTGATCGTGTAATCCAGCGAGAAGAGGAGCCGAATGTAGGCGAAACATCTTCCAAGATCCTCCTTGGTCGGGATGTACCGTTTCACCTTTTGCATCTTGTCACACGGAAGATCAATCAGTCAGCTTAGTTCCTGATCTGAATATCTGAGAAGGGTTGCACATACCGCTGACGATGCATCCTTCTGGCCATCCTTGCCCGAAACTGCCTGTGTCATGGTTGCCGCTGAAGCAGTTGCCTCCGGGGTGATTGAAAGAGTATCGCAGTGGCACAATTAGGATCGTCTGTTAGATCCGTGGGAATCGAAGCTCTATGCTCGAAGGAGGCCGCAGCAGCAGTAGCTCATAGACTGTGTGCAATATGTACAATCCAACAATTTTCTACCCGCTCTATAAGTCCTGCATCGCAGACAAGAATAATGAAGATGTCATCGGTATAGCAGCAAGAACGCTGAAAGATCAGATAAGCATCTCACATAGCATCTTCAACCGGGTACTAGATAGAGGTATACAATCTTGGGACTGGATGGCTGGGCCAAAACACAACAAAGAATAAATGAAAAAAAGAAGAAGAAGAAGAAGAAGAAGAAAAAGAAAACAAAGAAAAGCACCAACGAAGAAGAAGCTCGCTCAGCAGACTGACTAGCTTCTAGCTAAGACCCAGGGAAGATTTGAAACGTGGACCGACACACACACAGAGAGAGAGAGGGCGAGAGAGATATTATCATATTTACATACTAGTTAACCAGTAACTACTCCAGTCTCCAGAAGAAGGAGGGGAGGGGGGAACCACTCTCTCACTAACTCCAGTGGCTCCGGTTGCGGCGCAAGGTTAAGGATTTGCTCGTCAGGTCCGGTTGACGCCATGGATCAAATAGAAGGACCAAGAAGGAAGAAAGAGGATCCCTCGTGCGCATCAGAGCGGGGACACCCGGACAGCAGAGAGGAAGACGTCGGACGGGCGAGAGGCGAGAGAGAAAGAGAGAGAGAGGGACGGAGGGACCGAGGGACCGAGGGAGGGACTAGGGAGCGAGCCACACTCCACTTGGTTGCATGGAGAGAGGGCCGAATCGAGTAGGGTTGTTGATTATTCGAGATGTGTAACTAGCATCAGTAGACTGACTAAGTCGTACGTACCTGTTGTCCTTGTGAAAAGGACTGAAAATAAAGGGCCGAAATCCGCTGCAGAAATCAACCTGGTGGGAAATGGAAAATACGTAGTAGTGGACTGACGGGGACATCAGTATAGCCACTGAGCCAGTCAAAGACGCTCGGCGACAAAGAGGCCCCAGTGGGGGGATCCATTCTCTGTACAGGAAAGGTTTTCAATGTCGATCAGAAGAAGTTATCAATCTGGCCGTCGAAATAGTTAACCGAGGGGAGACGGAACCATGTCTCGTAGACTCCTATCCAGATTATCTCCGTCTCCTGACCTTTGTCATAGACCGTGACTGTACTTCTGAATTCTGAATCCAAATAATGATAGATAGATAGATAGATAGATACACTCACCTAACCATCCTGGATGAATGTTGACTCCCTAGTAGCAAATAGTGTTCCATAGCCTCATAGGATTGCAACGCCCAATGCCAAGTACAGCGTCCCACTCTTTAGTCGAAAACATTCCCATCTGATAACTCTGTTCGCTGTCTAATCATTCCCCATTTCAGCTGAGAAAAATAGGGCCCTCTACAGAGCAAAATCAAATCCCTTACACATCCATGACTATGGACTATCACGTTAATGATTCCCATCGTTGGGCTGAAATAGATATATTAAGTATCTAAGTCAGCCATCCCATCAAGAATGTGAGCACTTTTGGAATGAACGCCGAAAATGACAGCTACTGAGGCCATTCACGGCTGCATTTCCACTTATTACAACTCCTACCCACAGTAGTTTCCCAACTTCGACTCCAATTCACGTGATACGCACAACTTCAGTTGATTCTGTAGTATTGGTTTAGTTTGGCTGTTTGGGGGATTTGGTTTTTGATGATTTTGACTTTTGGCGTTTTTTCCATCCTTTTTATCTAATCTGATTGATTGATTGATTGATTGATAACCTTCTCTCGTTCAACCACCGTCGAAGTTAGTTTGTGGCTGATATTTAGCGGAAGAAGGGGGGGTATTCGAGAAGGAATTAAAGATATGCAGTAGTTATATATTGAGATGTAAGACATCGACTGAAATGCATGTCAGCTATTCCCCTTGGCTTCCTTCATGTGTCGACTATCGACAGTGATCTTCGCACTGTATCCCCACCATTTTTACGTTTCACAAATATCGGATGATTCAGTCTACCCAGTGGTAAGATAGTACGGGCTCATACCCAAGTATCTACAAAGTAGAAGACCTATCTACGATTGACTAATGATTCTGTGCAACATCCCCATTCCCAATCCCACTGTCTGATCTAATCTGATCAGCATCTAATCTGATTTGTGTCTCGGGCCTCAACTCCTTATGAAGTGGTCGCCCACTAAACCTGTAATCTGGCCCACCAATCTAGGCTCAAGAGTCGAGAGTCGAGATAGAATTCCACCTTCATGTGACGTGTCGTGGAGATCACCAGTCTCTCTCGGTGACGCAATCATCGTAGCTGGCCGATCCTCGACCGGCCTTCGCCATTCCCCCAGTCCATGATGGGTCGAGTATGACCGCACCTGGGAGAAACGAGCCGAATATGACCAGAAAGGAAAATGACAAGAACAACGGAGCCAAAAGAGAGAAGAAAAAAAGGGGGGAAAAGATTAGAAGAAACCTAGTGACTATCGAGTCTACAGCGTACAGAGCTTCCATTCCACTTACATTCCAATTCACCTATCGACCATGCGTGCGGCCTTCCAAACTCCCGGTGGTCTTATATCCGACTTGAAATTCCCTTACGCCTTGAGGGGAACTGGCCATCAGGAATCAAAGATTACTCGGGGCAGCGGAGCGGAGGATGTAGCCGCACCAGGAGATCAACCTCATAAAAACGCCGCGGTTGATGAACGACACCCCCATCATGGTAACTACGAGTCGCAGACAATATCTCCCCCTAGTCTTGCTCCGAAAGCCGGGCCACGGTTCTGGAGTTAGTATGTGGATAAGGATGTCAAATCGTAGAAGTAATAGAATACAGTCGTAAAAAGAAGCTATACGGTCCTTCAATTAATACATGCTTCACTTCTTAAAGATATAATAAGTCAACAGGTTTCGGGAGTTCTCCCGAGGGTTCCCTAATATCCGCCAAAAGTCCTCGTCGTCAGCGACCATCTTGTGCAACTGTACACATAGCTGCACGGTCAATCTCCGCACATCGGGTTGACGATCAGTCAACTGATTCGCAGCAAACTCTCCGAGTCGCTCCAGGGGGTGTTCGAGTGTGCCATCCTTGCGGGAATTCAGGCGACCGATAATGCGAGTCAACACACTGACACCCATGAGGATGGCCCGATAGCCCTTCTCATCCTTCTCCTCCGTAATAATAACATCCAGCACAGGATCAATCACATCAGAAGGTTCACAAACAGTAATGATATCATCTGCAGTTTCCTCCAGCCCGCTAACAATGTGACAACTTCCATCATAATATTTTCGAGCCATAACTAAGGCACTCAGCGCCTTGGGATAATAAGCCGAGAAATAAAGCTTGTTATGAATAAACATGAATCGAATGGTCAGAAGGACTTGAGTTTTCAAGTCCAAGGGTCGACCAAGGGGCTGCTTCTTGTCGTCGGGTGGGCTTTCCAACTCGTCGAACAAGGCCAGTAACATCTCGTCATATTTATCCTCGTCCGTAAAGATAGAGTCATGGTATCTGATAAGTCCTTGAAGCTTACGGTATCCAAGAATATCCATGGTTTTCGCGCGGATCCGTTGGATGCCTTTGTCAAGCATCTCTCGGGCCTTGATGGGGTCCTTCGACCGTGGGCTAATGCTTCTTCGCCGCTCCGCCGTCTCAACCTTCTTCCAGCGGCGGCGAGAAGGATCTTCAGCAGGTGTTGTAGCCTCATCACCGGTTTTCCCCGGAGCAGGTTGACGAAGCTTGTTATCGCGATGTCCAGGTTCGTTGGAGGGAAGTTCTTCTAAAACATTGTGCTTAGGTGGTGATCGATTGACTAAGGATATGTTGGGGGGCTTGGTGCCAAAGAAAGCGTTGTTTTCATTGTTATTCGCCATAGGGGACCCAGTCGGAAGAGAGGAAGATGATGATGGCTCGAGTGATTCCGAAGAATCCGTAACTGGGTCTGGCTGCTGGTTTACTGACAAGGAAGCGTGCGTGAAAGGACCCTTGCTCGTTTCAGCGACGGAATGCGGCAGTTCCGATGCTTCAACGACGGCAGGCCCTGCTTCAGTCAGAAACCCCGAACCACCGGTTAGATGCGGGACAAGATCATCCTGAGTGCTTACCCGATTGTTCACAACAATGGGCGAGTTAGTATCTGCCTTGGAAGGCTTGGGGCTTGGGTTGGGGGGTTGGTTCTCAATTAGTACAATGGCCGAAGAGCTACCTCTCTCTTCGTGGTCTGATTTGCTGGGGGTTGCGTCTTCATAAATGGCGACGGGTTCTGATTTAGCTGCATATTCCCGGGATTCCCGTCGACGCTGAACAGATCCAGAAGGCCCTGCAGCAGGGTCATGAGAAGGTGTCTGAAGGAGCTGTTCTGTAGTGGGCACCGATTGAGGAGTCGGGTCAACAACGTCATCAACGTAGCCTTGTTCTTGGATGAGGTGTGCAGGTGGCGCCAGCGGACTACCCAATTGGGCAAATATTGGAGAACGGGGGCTGCCGATGGCAGCAGAGAACTCGCTACGTGGGGAATGCACGGGCATAATTTCGTCCGAGTTGTTTCTCGAGTGAGTTTTGGTGGGCTTCAGTGGCTGTTTTGAATGTGAATCAGGAGCTCTAGTCTTCGGAAGAATAAGGCGCTTGGGTCGATCTCTGGTGGTGCCGGCAGGGTCGGCTCTGTTGCGGGAGGATCCGGTGCTACTGACTGGTTTTGATGATGGTGTAGATGTTTTCGATTTGGGAGCACTCGGAGAGCCGTCAATGCGATTGCTCTGACGGAGGCTGGAGTCGGTTGCGGCAGTCCGACGCCCAGCATACGGATCCGCCGTTGCGGGACGATTCAATTCAGGTCTGCGAGGCTTAGCTGCTGGCCGCATAGGAGCAGATGAGAGAGATGAGAGAGCGGCGCCTGTGGGGACTGTCCGAACAGATGGTTTAGAAAGGGTGTGGGACGAGGAATGCTTCTCGGGCAATGCAGATTGTGCAGATTCGGGCCGGGGAGGGGGTGTCGCTTTGGCTGGCGCAAGTCTGGCCTTTTTTTGGGCCGCAATTGCTTCTTTGAGGGCGGAACGACCAGCTATGGTGGACGAACCACTTGCAGCACCCTTACGCAAAGGAGCCGTGGTCTTCAGGGCTGTGCGGTCCACGTTCGGATTGGCCGGGTCTTTTTCCAGCAGTGAACGAGACTTGTTGTCCAGATTCGACAGGATACTGCTCATTGTCAGTCAAGAATGTCTCGGAAGTTGTACGCAAAAAAGGCGGTGGTGGACATACTCATTGGCTCTGTCAGGCCATACACGATAGAACATCCAGAAGGTACCGCGCATTGCCTCTCTCACACCTGGATTGGCATCGGCGAGGCACTTCTTGAGGGACTTATCAATCATGTCCAAACCCCCACCATGTTCGATGGAACTCTTATGGCGGCTTTGCTTTTGTATCAATGTCTTCAGCCATCCAGCTGCATAGAGACGCAGTTGAACATTCTTGTCTTGGCAGGCGCTTGAGACGTGCTGCAAGATCCGTGTGGTGAAAGTGGCATTTTCGATCACGGCATCGACAGTAGCATTGCCGTTCTGGGCGCTGATTTTCTTCATGCCACCACAAAGCTTGATCAAATTCTGCATCATGATTTCGACCATGGGATCAATTCTTGGACCACACCGCCTGGCGAAGTCCTGGATCAAGAGACAACCATTGGTTGACATGGTAGTGCGGAGAGAGTTGACGACTTTGAAAATCCCATCCAACAGACTCTTCATGCCGGTGAAGTATGCTGACGCGAAGTCGTCTGGTGCATTTCCGTGGGTGAGGCGCCTCAAAGTGAGGACACCCTTCTCCCGGCGGAGCCAGTTGTCTTCGGACTCCCGGCCCTCAAAATGGGGAAGTAAATCGCGCACCAACTCGTCCACTTGCCGAGCGGAGGACATGAAGAGGGGATCGACCTTTTCACCCTCCTGAGAGGAAGGTCGGGATGGTTGAGGCAGAGGCGCAACATTAACAGCGACCGGATGCGAAGCATGAGTCCGTTCCGACTCCGCTCTTGCAGGAGCCAGACGGCTTTTGGGTCGTTCTGGTTCAGCGGCTGGGGAGAGCACCGCAAAGTCAGAATCAGATGTGTCGCGGAGACGCTGAGGGCTGCACTTACTTTCTCTGCTGAATTCTCTGTAACTCTCGGAGTGGGAAGATAGAACGGACGCAGGCCGAGAGGGAACAGATTCTTGTGACACGGAAGAGTGTGCATGTTCCGCTCGGGAAACGGGTCGAAGAGGCGCACCGGCGAGGCGCGACATTGATCTAGAGGGCTGTATTTCCGCACGAGACATAGGACGATGGACCAGACCATCTGCCCGAGAAGCAGGTCGGGATGTGAAATCCGAATCGGTAGAACCGAGCCCGATACCCGCGAGGATCGCGTTCACAAATGACTTTCTCACATTATGTGCAGCCATCTGTCTCCTCAAATCAGACTTGGCACGTTCAGGAGCGTTTCTACATAATGTTAGCATCATGGAGTCAAGCAGGAAGGAACAGATCAATCCCGAAGAGAGAAGGACGCACTCAAATAGTTCAATAACAGTGGATTTGGCCGTGTTTCTTACAGCGCTGTCCGCATCTTCCAGACACGCCACAAGGCTCGGCACATATGAGCGGAACAAGAGACCGTAATTTTTAGTCATCTACAGCAGAACAGTTGTCAGAGGATGCCAAGGACGGATCTGCGTGGAGTGAAAGAACGGAGTAGATGAATGACTTACGTTCGAAAGCCAGATCATACTCATTTCTTTAGCTCTTGGGTTTTTACTAGTGAGTGCCTGTTCGAGGACATATTGCTCAACCTCTTCACTGGCTGCCAACCACAGATCGGTGAATGCCTGGGCAGCTTGAGCGCGAATACGTTCTCTGTGGTCTCCGAGACGCTCTACAAGCAACGGATAAAGAATGCGGCCTTGAACTGAGATCAAATGATGTTGTTCTTGGATGAACAGCCGCTTCAAGAGATGGCCGAGTGTGGAAAACCCGGCTCCAGATAGAGATGAATGTTGAGACGAAATTGCCAGGCGTACAGACTCGAAGATTGGCGGTACCGCCCCTTCGGGGACATTTTTCTGCTTGATGTCGGATTTGATGCCTAAAAGATGGCCAACCTTGGTGTCCACTGACAGATTGGAATTCTTCAAGGCCACCACCAATTCCGTCGCTCTGGACTCCATCTTGGAAATAAATTGCTTGACCTCCGCCGGGGTCACGACGAGCGGGACATAGAGAAATATGAAGGTAAAGAGGTAGCACAAGAACTTGTGAGGGCTACAGGAGATGAAGAGAGTAAGCGCAAGCGCAATCGTCACGGGGTTCCAAGCAGATGGGTTCAGAGCACAGATCTGTTGCACTCCATGGTGATGATTAGCACGGTGGTCTTCAAGTCACGAAGCCTCTTTGATAGAAAGCTTTAGAAAACACAACACAAGACAGCACGCAGTACGAAGCGCAATACAGAACAGAAGCACAAAACGCAGAACAGAGTACAGAGTAGGGTACACAGCACAATAGAAGCAGCAATTGGGGACACAGAATCAAAGCGGTTGAAACACTGTATAATAGCAGTTGAATCGTAGTGAAGAAGTTGTGGAATCGCAGTGGATCGCAGAAAGTACGCAATGTACGCAGTGGATCTGAGCAATTCGAAAATGGTGAAGAGAAAAGAAACAAGACGGAGGTAGGCGATCGAGGGCGACGAAGATATACCGTCCACCAGACGAGGACGAGGAAAGAACACATACCTGTGCTAAGTTCAGGAAGTCGCGATGGCAGGTAACAGTTGTACAACAGTGACGGCGACGAGTAGGCCGGCAGCGATGGAGCCTTGACGACGCGAGGAAGGTGTATAAAGAGAGGAGATGGAAAAGGTGACGTTGAGACTGGAAAGCGGCGAGTGCGAGTGACTGCGAGTGACAGTCGTCGTCGATCGAAGGAGAGAAGTAGCGGAGGGGGAAATGAATGAGATGCCGATAAGCGATTAGACGCGGCGATAAGCGCTCCGACTCTTTTCCAGAATGTACTGCGACGAGAGATGGATCGGATGATGAATATTTCGAGATGTATATAGATGAATCATAGGAGTTCGCCGAGTGATTATAAGGTGAAATGACCCTTTGAGGACTGAAGCGCGATTGTCGCGCGGGGGAAAGTTTTTGGTTTTTGTGGTTGCGGTGTTTGTTGTCACTTTTTTTTTTCCTTTTCCTGTCCTGGTGCTTTGTTTACCCGCAAGTCGGAGGAGCCATGGTTACGGCGTGGGACGGGAGTCCTATTCTGGATGATGCTGCCCAACTTGCTCCGGCTTGGGCGAGGATTGGAGATTGCGTTGGGAGAATGTGAAGATAATGTGAAGCAAGTGAATAGAGACGATGCGTCTGGTGGATCTGTTGAGTGAGAAGTTACAGGTTGTGTGAGTGATAAGAGATAAATTATTAAAGGGGAAAAGGGATGATCAGATCATCAGAGACATTTGAGATTAATGTTGCGAAGGTAATTAACATGTGGTCCGAGTCTACGGAGGCGTCTGAATAATATATATCCGCATCCATAATAATGGCTCTATACTACAGTAGTCTATAGCTTTACTGCCCAGTGAAAATCAAACAGCTTGTCATTGAGTAGATACTGGAAACTGATCTAGATTTTACTTCTATAGATCGACCGGTCTGAACAAATATCGTTCTTCAAACGATGAACCCCAATTGTTTACTAGACAGATTCTACGTCATCGAGGCTGTCAACAACTCCACGCGATCGCCCCTCCAACAGTGGATCTTCTTGTGAACAAGGGCACTTGGACCATCTAGATAGTGACTTACTACGCAGACATGCTTATTATTGTTTAGAGGCTTGATCTAACTAATAGGCTGCGTGAGGCTAAAACCGCCAAATTGATGCATAACACTCAGATAATTGGCCTGATGTCTGACAACACGATTTGTTGGTACCTCCTAGATACCTACCTACAGAGTACAATTCGCATGCTGCTGCCGAGTAATTCGAAGTATATCTTGCGTACCCGAGCAGATGACATCTGTAAGGACTGCAGTAACTTAGGTAGATATACCCCATGCAGCTCAATCTTAGACCAGTGTCTCAGCGCGGCTGAAACTTGCGTCGACAATAAGAACATCCTGGTCCTGCAGCAATCTTCTCATCGATCGGTAGCCTTTTGTCTCAAAACACTCTCTGAACCCAAGCCAACCCCCAGTCCAGATGTCAACTTCCCCCAACCCACTGCCCTCCGCAGTCCCCAGGATCCTCGCCCCGCCAATTGACTCCGAATCACCAATTCATGGACAGGAGATAGTCACATCACGCGATAAACCCCCAATATCCAAGCCAGGGCTCCCCAAACCCACCCTCCGTCTTCACATCAACAATGTGCGCCATCCAGCCGTCCTCTCCTTCCTCTCACTGGTCCCCGACCTGGCATCAACCCTCGAGACCGCCCTAGCTGCCATCATTCAATACCTCTATACTCCCCCCTCACCATCATCCACCAAGAAGCATCCCACACCATCCTTCACCCCCTCTATCCCCCCCACGCGCTCTGTCACAGTCCTGCTCCGCGACATCGACGGAGTCGCCTATACCACCGGCACAGACCTCGACGACGACCACAAGGAAATTCACCTCTCACTTTCCTACATCGCAACCAGCACAGCCAAGCACCCGCGCCCCGCAGCCGAAGCCGAAATCACTGGTGTCCTAACCCACGAACTGGTGCATTGCTACCAACACACGTCTCCGCGGGGGGCCGCCTCTGAGTCCGACTCGGACTCGGACCCCGCCCCCCGCCCACCAGGCGGCCTGATTGAGGGGATTGCCAATTTCGTGCGTCTCAGAGCAGGTCTGGAGCCGCCGCATTGGAAGCGCCCGGCGTCGGCGAAGGAGCGCCCGGACAAGTGGGACCAGGGATATCAGCACACGGCGTACTTCCTGGCGTGGCTGGAGGACGTGCGGGTTGGGAAGGGTGCCGTTGGCATGCTGAATGACCGATTGCTGCGGGTGGGGTATGTGGGTGAGGATGCGGAGTCGGATAAGCAGGGTTTCTGGAAGGGGTTGTTTGGGAAGAGCATTGCCGAGCTTTGGGAGGAGTATGGGGAGTATCTGGATCGGGTGAGGAACAGTGGGAATTGGGAGGATGAGATCGTCAATCTCGAGTGACATGTACGATCCGTGTAACGTAGATGCGAAGAGCTCCCGGGGTGTAGTCTCAAAATACCCCCAGCGAACGAGAAGGTTCCCACCAGTTGACCATACAATTCTGAATGCTTTGCTTATCATTGAGGAATGAGTCTATTGCGTACTTCTATACACCGATACTTAGGTAGTAATGTATCCGTTTCAAACCCACATCTTGCTCCAGTGTCCAATCCGTGGTGGTAAAGAAAGAGGCGGAGAGTAGACCAAAAACCCATGAGATAAAACAAAAATAGGAAGAATAAAGAAAAAAGAAAAAGAAAACAAAATAACATTGCCCATACTGTACAACACCTGTCCTCGCAAAGAAGGAGTAAGTAGTAATTCCTTTGTCAAAATATCCCTTGGGACAGCCCTTTATGTCAAATAATACATCACCATTCCAACATCAGCACCGGCTTCCGTTCAAATTTATCTTACACAATCACCTCACCCAGGTCGACATGGACCGGCTTCCAGGGTGCGGTTCCTTCCTCCTCCATCGAACTGGGCACACGGACATTGAGGGGGCTATACAGATACCAGCCCTTGAGGGCGGCAACAGCTGCCCTTGACCGAGCCTCAAGCAGACTGGCGCCAGCGCCCTCGCCCAACTTATCCTGACCAGAGAAGATTCCAACGACGAAGACAGGGTGTCTGCTCTTACGACCGGTTTCACTGATGATCTTGGCGACGGGAGGCTCAAAGTTCTCGCGCGCACACAACCGGGTGAGATCGCGGGCGGGTTGCGAGAAATTGAACAGATCGGAGATGTTAAGGTGTCGGGAGAGGATGTGTTGCTCGAAGAAACGCTTGGCCGCAGGACGACCGGCGTGAAGGTAGATGGCGCCCATCACGGCACGCACAAATGTTGCACTGGCCTGTTCGGCGGTGACGCCTTGGGCGCTCTGGGACTCGGCGACTGACTGCGCCAATGGTTCGGCGACCTCCTTAACCGGATCACCGAATTCGTTATCGTAGACAATTCTGGATGTGACCGACTTTCTCCACGACTTGCGATGTTCGTTGGGTCTGGCGGTACCAGTAACGGGCTCCGCGTTGAGATCCGTGCCGGGAACCACCCTCTTGAACTGCAACAGACCGGGGTCGACCTCTCCTCCAGGGGCGACTGCCATCTCAACACCCCACTCCCGTGCCATTGCGGCGAGAGTCTTAGGACCGACATACGCATACATGGCTGCGAAGATCACGGTCAGGGGGAGCCGAGGATATGTGCATACGAGATGTTCGGAGGCGTAATGAGTGAGGAGGTCATGGCCTAATGTAGCCAACGATTCATTGTTGAAATCAGGGCTTGGGTCCGCGGAAGCATCTACCAGAGAGCGAGCTAGTGTCTCGAGCGGTAATCGCGAAGGGAGGTAAAGTCGTGCATGGAGTGCGGCAAGTTTTGGGGACTCGCGTGCGGCTTTGACCGGGGGGGAAGGGAGGAGGTATCTCGACTGTCGGGAGTTGGAGGGAGGGATTGGCGAGATCAATGTTTGTTCGTCAATCAATTGAATGTTTTCGGCTTGAGAAACAGGCGAAGAAGTCGACTGATGCCGTAGACCGGCATAAAGACGTTGATGCAGGCGGACATTAGTTCGGGCCCGTGGTGAAAGGACTGAATTGCTCCATCGAAGGAGCTGCAGTCTCTTCATCTGGACAAATATGTATTCCCCGAGGGGTCTGAACCAAGCAATACCGAGAGATTAGAAAAAGCTGGCTGCCCAGAAGAATGGAGTGCAGGGAAATTGGGAAATCCAAATCGCTCAAATTATACTGGACATGCGAACTTTTGGTCGCTGGAGAAAAGTCAAGCTCAGCGGAAGTCACGGGATCTGGTGATCGAGTGCTGACGCTAGGCCGTATTCAGCACTAGCGTCACGGGATCTCTGGACGAGGGACGTCGATGGTCAAGTCGGCTCCAACCCGCCTGGATCGACTGCTTTTCCCGCTATCCATTGTCCACCGTTTCTTCCTATATTCGTCTATTCTCTCTATCGACAAGATGGGCGGAGGCGGAAAGATCCCGTATGTATCAATTGCTACAGCGCCGCCGCGAGCTGCTGCTAACCCATGTCATGTCGTAGGTACCCTAAGGAAGTCTGGTCTCCCGCTGGAGGCTGGTACGCTCAGCCTGCAAACTGGAGACTTAACACCGCTATCATGGGCGCTGCTGTCCTTGGAGTTGTTGCAATGACTTGGAGCATCAGTGCCGAGCGTGAGCACCGCGATAGAATGCCAGAACCCGGCAGATTCTTCCCCAGTCGCTAGTCAGTTCACCTTGCCTGTGTACCTTTTTTTTTGTGGGGATTACGAGCTGATATGTATAATTTCTCCTCAGCTGGAGCAAGCAAATCATTGAACACGAGAAACAGCAGGCCGCTAAGAACGCTTCATAAAAATCTCGCCCCGATCGAAGAGAAAGGGAAAGGAGGAAGCGTGTGATGGCATGACTGGTATTTGTTTCATCTAATTGCGGGCTGTACGACAATAGAAGGGCGTTTCTTTGAATCGGTCAAGTGTTCCGAAAGTGTTTTCGGGGAGACTCTTCGAGTGTTCGATACAATTTCTGCGTGTACAGACGGACTCGTTCCGTAAATTCAGTTCCGTTCCAGAGTTCCCGTCCATCGCTTGACCTTGTCATTCGGGGTACCCCGATCTGTTCCACCACATAGCCTGCGGCGACAGTGGCGCAAATCAAGGCCATTGGCATATTGTCATGCATCCCCGATTTCCTCGTGGCACTCTGCCAGGCCTCGCATTCGGAAAAGACCGAGTCAATGACAATGCCGGGATCTCTCCCTGCACTGATCAGACCCTGAGCTAAGGCTCCGAGAAAAGAGTTTCCGGCTCCCGTAGGATCGACAACAGCTGTAGCTTCCGAAATACTAGGTTGATGGTAGGCCGGGAACCAGATCCTCTGCTTCCTTGAAAACGTATAACTGCCGTCTTTCCCTGCTCGGATGACCAGATGCCCTTCCCCTTTAGGTCCGATACCCGATTGCAGGATGGTTGCCACCACATCCCGGCCGGCATCATTGTCCTCGCTCCATCCGGGCTGGCCGAACATCATACCCAGCTCTAACTCGTTAGGACTAACCACATCGACCACTCGAGCTGCTTCAAAGAATTTCTCCTTTTCCTCTGGTGTACACAGATCTGGTACAGGTTCCCACACAAAGATTGGTCTGGTCGTAGCATCGGCGGCGGAACGAACCTTGCCCGCTTGTTGCAATTCATCTCGTCTGCGCATTATATCTTCCACAATGCTAATGCAGCGGGATGAAGAACACACCATGTGGAATGTCTTCGAAATGACCTGGGAGTCAGAGAGCATTGAAGGCTCAAGCCGCAGTTTGGGGGTTAGATATTTAAAATCTAGTCCGAGGTTGTTATTATACAGAGGCGTGTGGGGGTTCCGTAGCAACGCTGAATGAGACCTACCTCGCTTCTCATTCACTCCATACCCATTCCAGGCCCTGGTGGTCAATCTTCCAGGATCTTCCCGTATGACACAGCCAGTATCCCATGTCTTGATGACATCCAGAACCTCTGCAGGGAAATCTGAGCCAACATCCACAATCCAGCTCACGGAGTTCGAATGCTCCTTGCCAGCGACGAGACGGGCGCCGATTACGGCATAAGAAGCTGCACCGCCGATGACATTCTTCACATCAGGTCTGGATCCGCCGAATTCAATCTCATCTATAATCCGTGAGTACGTGCCACCAGTACTGGTTGTCCCGCGACGGGCATACTATTAAAGCATACCGAGGATAAACATGCCCAATGTGCAGAACTCGACCTCATTATCAACTCCTTCAGCGAGAGGTACTTGCTGAGCCATGATCTCCGATTCCAAGATTTTTGACTGTATCTGATGGCGAGACTTTCAGGTCTAGCTAGGCCATCTCTTTATCCTATGGAGCGATTATTCGCGGGGAACTTAGTACTACAAAGCTGCATGATATGGATAACGATAGATGGGTACATGCATTACGGTTTTATACAAACAACGTCATGTAAACTGGTACTATTTCCAACAGCTTGGTGTATGGTAACGTAAGCGCCAGCTAGTGTGGAGCTGGTGGCCTCAGGAACAAACGGTCAGGAGCATCTATCTCATCATCGCTGGGAACTTACCACCATTGCTTGAATCCCACCTGGTGATTGCTTCGAGCATCGGACTTTTATCCTTTTATTTCAGTACTATACAATCCTTGAGCTCAATTGAAGCGTGATATTACCCACATAATCCCACCTCTTGGAGAACTCATCATCTTGCAAGTGACCTCCTTGCCTCGCCAGGGGCTTGAACTTCAAGATGGCGTCTGGTAGCCATATGCACAACTTGACAACCCTCATCAAGCGGTATGTATATCGAATTATTTATCTCTGAAACTTGGTTAATTTCTTCCGGTCAATCTATCTGGTTGCGCATGGTGGTTGTTGCCCACTCGCTGACGATGTATACTCAACAGGCTGGAAGCCGCGACCTCCCGTTTGGAGGACATGGCCATGTCGCTTGATGACCCTCACACCCCTCCAAAGCACATTGGAGCTGCAGCTACCCCTGAACCAGTTGCATCCATACCTCCCAAACAAGCCCCCGCACCCCCGGCGCCTCCTGCAGCCCCTTCGCTCCCTCCACAAATCGAAGACTTCGACGCATTGATCAATGGTGATGTTCGCAGCCTCGTGGAGCTGGGCGACAAGATTGGCGGTCTTGTCGCGGAGCAGGTGAGATATGCGGCTCGAAACAGAATCATTCACCTTCCACTTTTCTAACTCCTGCTATAGTCCAAGGCTGTTCTTCAGGCCTTCGAAGCCGAGCGCACCTACCTATACGTCTCCACCAAGGCCCGGAAGCCCACGCCTCAGCCGCCAGAGCTCATGACCGAGCTTCACACTGCGTCCGACACCATCAACAACATCCGCGAGTCAAATAGGGCCTCGCCTCTCTTCAACCATCTCAGCGCTGTCGCGGAGGGCATTGTTGCTTTGGGCTGGTTCTTCGAGCCGAAGCCTTCTGAGTTTGTCAGTGAGATGATCGGAGGCATTGAATACTACGGCAACAAGGTGCTGAAGGAGTACAAAGAGAAGTGAGACTCCGGGTCATATTAGAGGCAGTGCATGGACACTGACATTGTTGCAGGGACCGCACCCACGTCCAGTATATCCAGGCCTACTATCAGATCTACAAGTCGCTTGCCGCATACTTGAAGAAACACTATCCTAAGGGGCTCACCTGGAATGAGGAGTCTGGTATTGATGCGCAGGAAGCTCTCAGACAAATCAAGGGTGGTGCTGGCTCTGGCCGGGGGGTACCGCCTCCCCCGCCTCCTCCCCCGGTGCCGACCTTGAACGTCCCTGGAGGAGTCCCTCCTCCTCCTCCGCCTCCGCCGCCTGGTGCGCCCCCGGCACCAGCTGCCGCACCAGCCGACATGTCCGCGGTGTTCGCTCAATTGAACCAAGGCGACGCCATCACATCCAGCCTGCGCAAGGTTGACAAGTCAGAGATGACGCACAAGAACCCCAATCTGCGTACAGGTTCGACCGTTTCCGAGCGACCAATCTCGCAGGGCAGCATCTCCCGTTCCAAGTCTCCTGCCCCGAGTAAGAAGCCCAAGCCGGATAGCATGCGTGGTCGTAAGCCCCCTCGCCAGGAACTCGAAGGCAACAAGTGGCTCCTCGAGAATTTCGATAATCCTGATGGCATCATTGAGATCGGCGCTCAGCAGAACCAGTCCATCCTCATCAGCCGGTGCAACAAGACCGTCGTCAAGGTGTCCAACAAAGCGAATGCAATCTCCATCGACAACTGCACTGGTCTCTCCATCATCGTGGACTCCCTGGTCAGCAGCCTCGATGTCATCAAGTCCTCGAAATTCGCCCTGCAGATCGACGGTGTCGTCCCTACTCTCTTGCTTGACCAGGTCGACGGTGCCACCGTCTACCTCGGCAGCCAGAGCTTGGGCACAGAGGTCTTCTCGAGCAAATCCACGGCTGTCAATATCATGCTTCCTCCCAAGGAGGGAACCGATGAGGATACCAAGGAGTGTCCCATCCCGGAGCAGATCAAGACATACATCAAAGATGGTGTTCTAGTGAGCGAGATCGTCGAACATGCAGGCTAAGCGCTGCTTGATCTTCGTGCATAGATAAGGGGCACGCTTGGGTGCAAAGAGCTCCCGATCGAAGAGTACTGCGATATGTATCTAAATGCCATTGTAGATAAGGGTTGAATACAAACTCTTCCCTTTAATCCCGAACTTTCTTCAAGTCTGTCATCTAATACAAAGTGCTGACGATTACTATAATGATGTCCATTGTTTCCCCAGAGATTATATACGTATGATGGAGTAATTAAAAAGAGAAACAACCGTATGGAACAAACCCAACCAAGCCATTATCAGACACCCCAAGGAACGGGGCAAGAATTCTCCAAGGCATAGTTCAATCGCACCACAAGGTATGAAGCGGAAGACAATTTCCGGAACCCAGAAAATTCAAGATAGACTGAAAGAGGGCCATAGATCAGTAGGCAAATGAGAAGGTAAGCTCTGCGGTGGAAGCCGAGACTGAACAAGGAAGGTAAAATGGATGCGTGACTAGCATGAGCAATGATAAAAGATGGGTATATTGCATGTTCTGCTGAGTGCCTGGTCACTGCGTTTAGTTTGAATGAAGATGAGATGAGAGCTGGTGCAGAAAGAAAGACTCCGCGATGTTGCACTGCGTCGTTAGTCGAGGCTGGTACTATGTGCACAAGTTGCTCAAGCTGTTTAATGGTGAGGAGGTGTGAGAAGGAGCAGTTCAAGAAGAATGACAATATGATCAATGGAAGGAAAAGAAAAGTTTATACCAATGGAACGCCGGCTTGGAAGTGTCAGGCGAAAATGATTGATTAAGTCTTAGGTCTGTTGATGAACCGTGTCCGTCAATTTGAGGTTGAAGCATCGTGCTTGTGAACATCGAGACCTCTCAGTCTCTTAGCAAGTAAGCTTTCCCCGACTTCAGACCCACCAGAAGAGCTGAATGGGTAGCCGCCATAGCCGGTTTCACCTTTATTGAGTTTGTGATATGTCCTGACATTGGAGCTGTGGGAGTCGGAAAATTCGGCAAATCGCGGCGGTGGCAGATCTTCCCTGAGTGATGGGATGGGCTGAAAATGGTGAAGTTTCCTTTCATGCTGAAGATTTCCGAGCTTAGCGGTAGCTGCGTCGTCCCGCGCCGCAAACGTTGTATTTACAAATGGTCTTGTTTGAGGATTGCAAGACTGATCAGAAGAGGGAGGCCCATGCGCTGCAAAAAATTCTGATGCTGGACACATGTCCGTCGCAGGCTTTTTGTAACCCTTGTCTGGTCTCGCATTGACATGGGTAGGGTTAGTTTCACGAGCTTGTTTATACGGAGTATATCGAGGGTCAGGATATTGTATCTCGTTTCGTAGCTTCTCTTTACCGTCTGGCACTCGGTTGGCAAAGACGACTCGAACACTCGAGTAGAGATAATAACGACCCCTAGACGGACAGCAGATATTCAGATGGATCAAGTAACGTAATATCGGCTTGTCTCCAGGATCCTCGGAAGCGTTTAGAGAAGCTTCAGGCCGATCTGTGCCATAGTTTTTCCGAGCATTCAAAGGCATATCGATAATCGGGCCAGCCGAGTAGCTCCTTTGGCGGATGAAGGTCTTAGTGCCAGGCTCCATGTCGGTAAGATCGTAAGGGACGAGGAAAAGCTTGACAGCCGTCTTGTTTGGATTCTTAATCATAATTTGTAACTGGCCCTGCTGTGGTATACGATAACATCCACCAGTGGGGCATTTGGGCGGTTCTGTGCGTCGACTTCGTTTCTCTCTTCTCCGTAATGCTTCCAGGGCCTGGTACTCTGACCCAATGCCACTATCAGCGATCTGGTCATTATAGGGACGAGCAGGGCTTTGATAGCGGCGACGCCGATTGGATGTTGAAGTGTCCTTGGGTAAAGAGTTCTCCAGGTCGATAAGACCCACATAAGGACTTGGATTGTCATCTTCGATCGAGCGCCCGCTTCCCGAAGTCGGGTAACTGTAAAACACCGCAGGGAAGGGAACAGTGGCATGCGGCGGGCACCTTAGACTGGATTTGCACGTTCCTCTGCCCAGAACGCCAATTTGCGCAGTGAAATCGAGCGGCTTAGAGGGATTCATCGACATTCTTCCACGGAGAATTGATTCCTCATAGGATCCTACCATCGGTGCATGAGCTTTAGAGGAGGCTTCAGAAGCAAGAGAGGGTCTTCTTGTTCTCCAAGCTGGGCTTTGTACGGACGAAGCCAATTGAAGGCTATACGAAGAGGTCAATGACTTCCGGGGTTGATGAGCTCGGAAAGAACTTGAATCGTGAAATCCCCTGGGAAGATGGTTAGAGTTGAGGTTGGCCGCACCTGGGAATGGCGGGGAAGAGGACTGGAATTCCCGGAACGTCTCTGGAGGCAATGTGCGACGGCGGCTGACTTTGTCTATATCTGCCGGGTGTTCACGAAATTCATTCTTCAGTGAAAAGTCCAAATCGGTGTTGTTCGCCTGATGAACCAAAGGACTCGTTGGAGCTTTCAGGACATAGCTGGAGGAGAAGGAGCTCAAAGATGGAGCTCGTGGACGGAAGCCCGGAGAGGTACCCAGATCTGAAGCATGATTGGATTCCTGCACTCGTGACGGATTGGTGAAAACAGGCGTGGAGAACCACGGCGTGGTTGGAGAAGAGCCCAGCTGAGGGCCATGAGCGAGAGAGCTGAATCTGGGTATGGGAGATTGAGGCGGATGGTGTTGGGTTTGAGCACGGTCAACCCCTTCTCGAAAATCACCAGAATGCAGTGCTGAGCGAGGACGTTCTATATCCGCTGGGGATGCAAGTTCCGGGGATCTTTGCCAATTATCTCCATCCACCGAGTGCTCAACTCCACCAGATGGGTGATTCACCCTTGAGCTTTCATCTGACGTAACTGGTGTGGAAGGTCGAGAGCGAGTTTCTCGGGCCTATACCGTTTGTTAGATGGACGAAAGCACATGCAAGCTTGGATAGGACACCGGGGAAGGCTCATGCCGCCAATAATAGTCACGGGGAATGTCGCAATCATGAGACGTACCATAAGAGGTTGAGCCCAAGCTGTAGGATCAGCATTCTTGATATACCGTATTAATTCCTCTCGATCACTTTTCCGTATCTTCGGGGAGGCAAGCGTTGACTGGAGACTATCATTTGGAACACCAGTACTCCTTCCAAAGGAGTCAGGCTCTTGATTGTCCTCATGGTATCTACCCCAAGTGGACAGCCCCTCTTGATTTCCCAACTCCTCCGAGTGGTAGTCATCAGACCATCGGCTGTATAAACGCCGACGATCTGGATCCTGAAAGATAGGCATGGTCACAAGGATTGTAACTTCTAGTAAAATTCATCAAAAGATAGTCGAGCATTGCAAAGAATGACCTTTGGGTATAGAAGGAGGTCCACCGAGAGAACTATCTATGGGAAGCAGCAACCCGACTGAGGTTGCAGTGGTACGACGGGAGGTGGTGGCGGTCCCGGTAAGAATGGAGAAGGGGTGATTCGGAGGAGGGCGAGAGAGGGAAGAGGTTGGAGTCAGACGAAGAGAGAGAAACGGCAAGGAAAGCAGAAATCCCGAAACAAGCTGGTCTACTGGGGTGATGGAAGAAAGATAAACGAGGAGGAAAGTCGAGGTTAAGTAGATACTGTGCTGGTCTGGCGGAGGAGGAGACCGTCGGCGAGTCGGGAGGAGAAATTAGTTAATATGAATCATCACCAGCATCCTCTCATCCTGTCTTCTGCGTAGAAACATGGCATATGGAAGTATCTTTTTTCACGTCATTCGTTTATTATCAATCTCCACTTGCAATGTTCAGAGACTGATCTGCAATAACTAGAATTCCAGACATCGTCACTTGCTCACTTATCGCCGACTATCTATCAGTTCCTTTGCGATTCCCCAGCAAAATTCCGCCTGAAAAATTTCCCCCTCTGATCAACCAACACTGCTTGCCACGTTAATTCTCGCAATTGTTGCCCGAACACACCGCTTCAACCAATATCAAAGCCACACATCTTCTCCTCTACTTTATTCGGGCTGAATTAAATCCGTCTAGCTCTTATCCACCATGGTCAAACGCTCTCGTGACGCCGATGCCAACGCCAACTCCGCAGAGAAGCGGACCACCGAACCCCCCGTGAAGAAGAGGAAGGGCTTTTCGGTTGGGCCTGCAAATTTGCCTGATGGCACCTATCGTCGCAAAGGTGAGACAGACAAACAGATAGCTCTGTGGCTGTTGGCCCCTTCTTAACTTGCTCTCTTGTACTGACCTTCAAACCTCCAAAAATAGCCCAAAAGATCAAAAACGACCTGATCCAAAAAGCAAAAATCAAGAAAGCCTACGCCAAAATCAAAGCGGAAGAGCTCGCCTCCGCACCGAAGAAATCCATCTACGCGACCGAGGAGAATGGAGAGGACGACGCGCATGCAGACCAGGCCACTCTGGAATTACACCCAGACCGGCAGGCTATGCTGAATGCACCTTCGGCGGAGCGCCCCGCCCGACCTGAGCGCCCTGAGCGATCCCAGAACCAGGACCCCAAGGAGCGTCGGAATAAGAGGAACCCCAGACAGTCGGCGTTTGCGAGGGAGTTGGAGATTGCAGAGAAGCGTAGACAGGAGGCAGAGAAACGCAAAGAGGACCGGGAGTTCAGACAGAAGAACCGTGAGGCGATGCTAAGGGCGAAACGGCCTGATCAACACGGGAAGAGGAGATTGGGCCGGGAGAGCCAGGTGTTGCTTGATCGGATTGAGCGAATGGTCGGTCAGTCGTAAGAAGCTGTCAACGGCTGTGCTTGATGGATCTAGGTGTGGTCGAAAAAAGTCTTTCTCTCAAAATGATACCCATTAGATATGTTATACTACATGTGATTATGAAATGATGTGCAAGGTTTATTATGAACTTAGATTGTATTGTGACATTATTCTTGGAGCCATGACTACGCAGCTTTGTGTCCGGTCCCACTCCGTGGCTTCTTGAAGCATGCAAATTCCCCCTTGGTCCTCTCTCTGAGCCGCTTCAATATGCCTCTCATCTCACCAAGCTCCGACTGAAGCCTAGCTCTGGCTTCATGCGTAGTTCGTTGATCAAGTTCCACATAGATTTGGCTCTGCACGGTAGATGCTTCGTCTGTGGAGTACTGGGACAGCGTTTGCGCAATAAACTCGGTATCTAGAGTGGCCTGCATCAGGGCAGCTAGAGTGTACGAAGGCCGCGAGCCGAATGCGCCCAGAAGGGAGGATGAGATCTGTGTCAGCAGGTGCGTAAGAACCATGGTCAACAACGGTGATGGCGCAGTAGATGATGGCCGATTGGACGCCTGGGATATACACGACGGGATTGTGGTCGAGATTTCCGTATGGACAAGCACAACAGCAAGCAGGGTATTGTATACGTAGGGGCGAACTTGGTCCGGGCGGGGGTTCGACGGCTCCCAATCCGGAGCAGTAACGCCGTTGACAATCATGGAGTTTAATTTGTTGACTGTCGGCTTAGTGTATGACTGGAATAAACGGTCATCGATTTGACTGAGCACATCGCGAATGGTCTTGGCCTCCTCGGTTAACTTGACGGAGAAAGCGGTTTCAAAATTCGTGATGAGATGTGGAACGAAGTCGGCCTGGAGAGCTCTGATATTCGACAGTGTGAGGAGGATGCGCACATTCTGGGCCATGTTAGTTGATAAGGAAGGCGAATAGTGAACACATAACAACTTACTCGATCGTGAGCATCGACAGCATCCGCAACCAGAGCGGCTGAGTTGCTATCGGTTCCAGTGAGTTCCCCTGACGGGCTAGGAAGGATCCATTCGCTATCCTCTTCGAGGACCATGGGATGCTCGGCATTTTCCACCAAACCACTGAGCGCCTTGTACACACTGGAGACGAATTGTGTGCGCACCATCTGGAGTAGTTTCGCAGGAGGCTGCGTGACGACATCTACTGCCCCCGGTTTCGCCATCGCCTCCGAGACATAGAGGATTTTCTGCATTCCACCAAGGATTGCATTTTCAAAGGCGACAAATAGTCCAGGCATTTTCGTGAGATCCTTTCTCTCGACATCTCGCGTCCAATCTTCGAGCATTTTGCAAATCTCCGCATCCTTGCCCCAAGCGGCACATGCCACCCGAACAGAACGTTCACGGGCAACACTCACAAGAGCCTTGAGCAGATCATGAGTGTTGCCGCCATTCGCCACGGGCTCTAGTGCAGCCATTTCGCTCGCCGCGGTGCCGATGATGATCATGAACTGGCTGAGGTAGTGCAAACCGCTCAAGGAGTTCGAAAAAGGCGGCCAGAAAGCATAGTCTTCCCAGAACTCGCCACACTTAGGGGTGGGTATTGGCATATTCTTAGGATCTAATTTGAATCGCGACTCTGTGGGAGTGACGCCTCGACTGATCGGACTATTTGGAGTTGCTGGGGAAATCGGAGACGTCAGGAAGGAGGCATCATCCAAAGGAGCGTCAGCGAACAAAGACAGAACGCTTCCACGGATCAAGTCAACCAATTCAACAACGCCGTTCTGCAGCTCCTTCGTCTCGCTTTCAGAAAGATGGTGATGTTTTCGGCTTTCGCCTTCAAATCCAGGTGGGAGAAGCTTCTGCTTGGTCCCATTGATGAAGGATTGTGCTACTTCCCAAAAATCGAACACCTCGCCAAGTAGACCTCCCTGTGATGCAAGTAATCTGTTAAAGTATGCCAGGATACATTCCCAGAGCTCAACAACCTGATCGGTGTCTAGTACTCCTTGTATATCGGTCGCATCTTCCCGGGGTGCCAAGCGGAGATATGAAGCCACTGCTTTCGGGGATGGCTTCTCGCCCGCAGCGAGCCTTCGTCTGAGAATCTCGATCTCCATCTTGCAACGTCCACAGAAGGCGGCGATCTTGGTCTTGAGATAATCATAGCGGCTGAGGAGCCATACCCAGATGGGATTATCCTCCACACCCAATTCTAGCAGAGCACCAATGAGCTCCATGTGCTCTTCCACAGTACCGGCCGCTGTGATTGTAGTTGATGTGGTAGGTGCATCGCTGAGGCGTCTCCATAGATCACGTTTGAATGTTTGGATTTGTTGATCGACTTCGAGCCACATGCGGCCCATAGCTAACACAGCATAGGTGTCGTCATCCGTCAAAGGTCGGCCACTGCTGGCTGCTTGATCTGCGATGTTCTTAGCTTTCTTGGCGAGCGTTCTTGCTTTTGTGTATTGCTCAAAAATGGAGTCATAGTCTCTCTGTTTGATTGATCTCGAGAGAAGACCGCCTATTTCATAGACATCGCGATGCTTCTCCATTGCGTCGACAACCGACTTGAGCATCTGTTCCCTCTCGCGACCTCCCAATGCGGGGCCCCAGACCTCTTCCGCCTTGACGCATGCCTCGAGAAGAGGCACACGAATACCCTTCATGCCATAATCACTCTCCTTTGTCAAAGCATTCTTTCCAGGACCTACGTTACCGGGAGACGCAACTCGCGATGCTCCGGAAATACTCCTGAAGTGCCCGGCCGACCTGCGATTGTTCTGTGGAGAAAACGGAACATCCGCCGCTTTCCCTTGATTTCTCATCTCTGTATATACACTATCGATTGTTGCCTTGGCCCTCACAAAGCGCTCGAAGTTTGCTTCAACGAGGACTTTCAAGGACGCCGATTTCTGGTCGATAGATCTCGAGAGAAAATCCAGCCCCTGGAGGAGAGATTCTATAGATGCATCGGAGTGGGCTTGGGAAAGAAAGAGAGCCGGTGAGAAGGAGGTGGATGAGAGCAAGAACCGGTTGCGCAGGCGGGCCTCATCTTCCAAGGACAGTCCTCTCCTCTTTAGAATCTTCAGCACACTGTCACCTGTCCCCAGAGGATCCGGCTCATCGATCTTGGCAAGATTTTCGCGAGAACTACTGCCCGTGAAAGACCCAAGACTCATCCCCTTGCCGCTATGACTGCGCTCAAGGGCGAAGTAGCGGGATCTTCTCGCTCGCGAACCATCTCGTCCCGAGGCTTCGTCGTCGGAGGGTTCACTTTCGTCGAGCTCCGCAGGCCAATCCTCGGGGTAAGCGGATGGTAGATTATAAAAATTGGCAACGTCGGCGTCGTTCATGGCTGGCAATGCGCCAGGGCTGAGATCGCAGGTGGTAGGGACCTCGGGCTCAGGACACGCGGCTGCAAGGTTCAATGAGTGACGAAGACCAAGTAACACCTGCGGTGTAGTATAGTTTGCATGAATCCCAGTTGTATAGCTCCACCAGAGTCGAGTGATCAATGTTCTTCCTTGGCGCGCTGCATGGCCGTTATATGACCGAATTGAAGGGTATTTGTTGTCCGATACGGAGTGTTATCTAATCTGGGTAGAACGATCAGTGATGAGTGAGGTAGTATTGGGTGGAGCGACTACGGCGGACGGTAGCCAGCTGTATGGTAATTTCGAGTTTTGTTGGACCTCGAACGAGCAGATAAATTATATTGGGAGATGTAATTAGGTATTGTAGATAGACATGATGAAAGCAATAAGAATCTCTTGAAGTGAAATCGTTTATCCCTTTCAATCGAGGGTAGTTGCGTGAAAAGAATCATTCTTAAAACAAAGCTGTTTTGAAGCCTGATAAAAGTGGCTGAGATACGACGTAACGTGGTATCAGCAATAAAAGTCTCTTCCAAGATACACGCTCGAATCCTCCACATCTGTATCTTGTTGTACCTACGTAGTATATGGCAACAGAGTAAATCGCTTCTTGATACTTTAGCATTTCTAATATACATAAAATATCGCATTCTGTAGTACTACTGCTTCCTAGTCTACTGCCATGGACAACACTTGAACTTCAACGTGTCAGACCGAGTCAGGACTAGCGGGTCATCCCTAACGGGCCATTCGGTCCGGCACCAGTCTGTGCAGAAGGTCTCTACTTCTCTAGTAGGAAAAAAAAAAAAAAGAAAGTCTCTCAGGCTCTGCTTCAGTGGTGATTTCGGGTTACCGGGATCAAGACTCCGTGTTACTTGCTAAGGCGCTTCTCACTTCAGGTTCCCGCACAAGAGACCCGCCACCCGTGCTCTCTCCAGTGTGTCTTCTTTTCTCTTCCTCCCTTCTCATCTATCTTTTTTAAATTCACCTTTTTCTTGACCTGAATCGTCGGTTGTTGATCCGGGGAATCGTCAAAATGATCTCTGCTAGAAACTTCATCACCCCGGCCCGCCAATGCCTGCGGACAACACGTGTGTCTCCAAGCTTTGCGTCGCCTCTGTCGCAGGTAATGCGCGATCCTTCATATCAATCCATTTGAGCGTGTTTTTCTTGAGGGGATTCATTGAGCTAATCGTCCTCGTTTTAGCTGCGCGGTTACGCCTCTGCTGCCGACGAGAGGGTCGCCAAGTTCAAGGGACAGAAGGGCTCTGATGTACGTGGTGCCCAATCCAGCTTTTTTCCAACTTTCCTCTTTAGGCCCGGTGGCATCCGCTTGGTGGAATATCAACACCCTACCATTTGGTCTACAGGGTATTTGATTGCGAGGACATGAATGTCTGATGGAATTTGTGTCGATAGGGAAAATACACAGTGACTCTGATTGAGGGTGACGGCATTGGCCCCGAGATCTCGCAGTCGGTGAAGGATATCTTCGCTGCCGCCCAGGTAGGCGCATCCTCTCCCCAGTCTACCGGTGTATCAGAAGAAATCAGTACTAAGCTCAGTATAGGCCCCCGTTAAGTGGGAGCCCGTCGATGTTACCCCCATCCTGAAGGACGGCAAGACCACCATCCCCGATGAGGCCATCCAGAGTGTGCGCCGGAACTACGTCGCCCTGAAGGGTCCTCTGGCCGTAGGTCACCCATTTATCCCTCTTGAACTGCAGGGGCATAGTGCTGAGACAATGTGATTTAGACCCCCGTTGGAAAGGGTCACGTTTCCCTCAACCTTACTCTGCGTCGTACTTTCAACCTCTTCGCGAACCTGCGTCCCTGCCGGTCCGTCGCTGGCTTCCAGACTCCCTACGACGGCGTTGACACCGTCCTGATCCGTGAGAACACCGAGGGTGAATACTCCGGCATTGAGCACGTCGTTGTCGATGGTGTTGTCCAGAGCATCAAGCTCATCACCCGGGAGGCTTCCGAGCGCGTTCTCCGTTTCGCCTTCCAGTATGCTCGTTCGATCAACAAGAAGAAGGTCCGTGTCGTGCACAAGGCCACCATCATGAAGATGTCCGACGGTCTCTTCCTGAACACCGCCCGCGAGATCGCCAAGGAGTTCCCCGATATCGAGTTCGACGCTGAGCTGCTGGACAACTCGTGCCTGAAGATCGTCACCGATCCCACTCCCTACAACGACAAGGTCCTTGTTATGCCCAACCTGTACGGTGACATTCTGTCCGACATGTGCGCCGGTCTCATCGGTGGTCTCGGTCTCACTCCTTCCGGCAACATTGGTGACGAGTGCTCCATCTTCGAGGCCGTCCACGGTTCCGCCCCCGACATTGCTGGCAAGGGTCTCGCCAACCCCACTGCTCTGCTTCTGAGCAGTATCATGATGCTGCAGCACATGGGTCTCACCGATCACGCCGCCCGCATCCAGAAGGCCACCTTTGATACCCTTGCTGAGGGCAAGGTATGTTCAATATCCCGTCACTTCGATTTCGTTTGAATGTATGGCTAACGTGATATGCGCAGTCCCTCACCGGTGATCTGGGTGGTAAGGCCAAGACTCATGAGTACGCTGAGGCCATCATGAAGCGCCTGTAAGGGTGTTGATTGATTGTTCTTCTCCATGTACTATTTCTCTTGAATGTCCCCCCCTTTAGCCCATGAACGACCCTAGATCTCTGTTATATGTACTTAGATGTACCTAGTAAGATGCCATTATACCGAAATTTACCCGTTTTATCCTTTTCAGATTCTTATCACGAATTATCTCGGATTTCCGCGTGGTCTCTCTTCCTCATTGAACAAGTTTTTTTTTTTTTTCATCAAATCAACAAAAGTAAATACGCTGTCATGGCCTGTGCATTATCATACAAGTACCCATAAAACGCCTGCTCTAGGACTTTGAGGTATCAAGACGCGAATCATATCGAATGAAAAGGAGGCAGCAAAGAAGCCAATGGCGTGCGTGCTAACGTCGTCGACCACCTCTTCTGGTTCCAAGCCCTCCGCCTCTTCGCTCTTTCTGCTTCGATTTGGTGGTTTGCGCACGCGTGCTCCTTGTCGTTGGAGAGCCACTCGTGTCCCCCTCTGCATCGTCCTCAGCCTCACTCTCATCCTGAGCGGCATCTGTGCCTTCCTCGTCACCGTCGTCGTTCGCTCCGGCCTCTTCGGAATTCGCGTCTTCATCGCCGGTACCTGATCCTTTTCGCGACTCGACTTCGACTTGAAGGCGCATCGACCGTGTGCCTCGTGTCGCTGGCCGACCACGAGTACCCTTGCGGCCGCGCGATGGTACTGGAGAGGAACGAGTTTCTAGAGGAACAAGAAAGAGTCAATAATCGCGCGGTGATCCACATTGGACGGCCCTGGGGACATGGCAAACACACCATCTGTATCAGCTATCGTACTACCCCTCCTAGAATCCGCATGAGCACTCGGGTTAGGCGATGCGGACCCCTCCATCGCCAATCGTCTCTCGAACATCAGGTCGGCGTACTCGTCCCCGGGAAGTTCAAACGGGCAGTAGAAGTCCTTGGATCCATCGGGGTCATCGGAGGGTTCTGTGATCAACGAATCTTCCTAAGGGTCAAATAAAAACAAGTGGTCAGCGCGACGATTGAACACCCGGGCCTTAGTATTTTGTCATTCGCGTACCCGTTCGTCCAGCGCAGGAAGATTGTATAGAGTTCCGAGCTTTATCCATATTCCCGGTATCCGTGTGTGTTCGCAATTCGAGGGTGCGTAGCCTTGGCTCTTCATAAACTCGGAGATCGCGATCATGCGGAAATGTTTGTGCATCCCTGAATATAGAACGGTTGGTTAGTTATCTACCGCCCCATGGCACTGTGGCTCTTTCATCTATAGGATCAGTGAACGAACCGACTGGTTTCCATTTGATGATACCCTTCAGCAGTGCCGTTTCCTGTTCATCAGTCCAAGGATCCGCAACCAAGTCGTGCCCATTTTCTGGTTTGGTTGCGACTTCACTGGCTGGTGTGTTCGAGGATAGCTGCGCGCTTTCAGCTTGGAGATCGGTCAGCTTGGGTTTCTTCTTGGGCGGCATTGTAGAGAACGCTCTATCTACAGCTGTATGTAAAGCAGTGAGAGCTTGGAAGTAAGATAACGCTGCGCGCGGCGAATGCATCTCTCGCACTTCGGGATGTCGAACAAACGGTGGTCCGAGCGTCAGCTGGGGGAGTCCCAACACTAGTACGTTTCCAGACTAGCGAGACCTGATTGCGCGCCGACAAACGCGTTGGACAAGCTGATAAGGAAATCGAGCATGAGGCCATGAGATGACATTGTGCGGCTGATGATGGACCAGGAAGAGTATGGTGTAGACCCTTTCTCAAGTGAGGGCCTGTGGAGGCTTTCCAAGTTTACCTTGGAGGCTTTGCCGTCATTGGACATCTTTGCATGGAATGCAGAGTTACCTGGTGCGTGCCCAAGTTGAGCGACTAAACCACGCATGACTGACAGTGTTTCTTCATAGATCAGAATCGAGAGCTCCCACAGAGTGCTTTTGGATTGTTTGAGCAGGATTTCTCTACTCTACCCCAGCTGGACGTTCTCGACGGCAACATCTTATTACCGGGCCAGTTGCTAGAGTCGGTGACAGATACCTTCAGCGACACCGAAATCGACGAGATTCTCGACAGTCAGGACGATGACAGGTCTGATGCGAACTCAAGCACCATCTGGAAACTAGAAAGCTTGGATTTGGACCTAATCACTGAGGTCCCGTTAAGATCATGGGAGCGTTTCCATGATCGATCTTCTCGCGAACCCCCATCCGCCTATTTCAGTGAGTCAGGCGCAAATGGATTCGATGCAGCACTGTTGCGCCAGGCCAATAGCGACGGACATAAGGAGTCGGGACGTATTGCTCGAAATGACGTATTCTTTCACGCCATGTTCAGGCTGGGACTCGGTTGGAGCTCCATATTCTTTCGTTACAATAGACAACAAAGGAAATTCGAAAGAGTATCAGGCGGCATCCGTATCTCTGGGGTTAGTCTTACCGCTATAAACAGTGTGGTCGAGCAATTGCTCCAATGCGGAACGGATATGCAAAGAATCCGGGAGTTTGCACGTCGCACTCGTGTCAAGTCGAGAGAGTTCTCTGCTCGATCTGCTTTTTCTAGCACTATAGCTGCGATTGTCTACACGCTCGAAAAGCGGTTGAGCGGCTACTCCAGGGGTATCTCATCCCTTCTTCAGATAACGTCTCTTTTTGAGCGATGCGGTGAACTTGTTCATGCCCTAGCGACGATTGTTGAAGCAGTCGAGAAGGCTGTGTCGGATGCCCAAGTGATTTCGGTTATCATCAAGAAAGCGGCTCATTTTGCTCAGACCTTGAGCTCCATGGAGAATCTCTTCCGAGAAATTGTTGCACGCGCAATCACACCTTGGCTTCATTATGTAGAAGCCTGGGTTGGCCTTCGCGCGGAAACACCAGGACTCTTCGAGGCTACTGGGAATAGTGCGGGCTTTGTGGTAACAGAGCGCCGCGATGGCCGAAGTACCTCGAAAAGATCGAGAACAACAACTGTAGATTATCGCTATCATCCCGACCAAATGCCATCTTTCATTCCAGAAGACCAAGCACAATTGATCTTCGAGAGCGGACGAGGTTTGCGATTACTCCGGCGCTATCATCCACAACATCCAGTCGCGAGTGGCACGCCTCTTCGCAAAGATCGCCGGCCGGCGTTGAGCTGCGCAGGGACTTGGTCTGACATTGAGAGGATCCAGAAGAAGGCACAGTTTTACGAGGCCGAACTCCGCTCAGAAATTCTCAAATACACTCGCGGCCAAACCACAGACAACGCGCTCGCAGCATCGCATGCCCAGAAGAGCGACTCTGCGGTTGAGGACCGAAATGGGCCTGAGAATTATGAGATGTTTGACATTGACGACTCAAGAAATACAACCGGGCTACTCACACAGCACTCGACTTTAAATTGCGACGAACTTGTGCCACTACTCAATACAGCTCAACCGCAAAAATCGGAATCTCTCGAATCGCGCAGAAGCAAATTTGGACCTGAGATGATATCGGCCATCTACTTGTCTCTGGCACCTCTACTATCTTCGCAAGCTCTACTCATCGACTTTTCCTGCCTCCACTTATTATTCAAGGAACACAGGTTGAGGTATCACCTGACCCTGCAATGGCGCTTTCAACTCCTTGGTGACGGACACTTCACATCGCGGCTCTCGCACTCACTTTTTGATCCCGAGATGGAAAGCGGCGAGCGCAGATCAGGCGTTGTGCGAAGTGGTGTGCACACTGGATTGCGTCTGGGAAGTCGTGATACATGGCCTCCTGCAAGCTCTGAATTGCGGTTGGTGCTCATGGGTCTTCTCAGTGACTGTAATATGGACGAACGCTTGGACAATTCAGGCAATGTTGAGTTTCTGAAGGAAAGGGAACTTCCTGGTGGTTTAAGTTTCGCGATTCGCGATTTGACCGACGAGGAAATTACCAAGTGCAAAGACCCAAACGCCATAGAAGCGCTTGATTTCCTCCGTCTCCAGTATAAGCCGTCTGCTGTCCTGGAGACAATAATCACACAACGCTCTCTCACTCAATATGACCGTCTTTTCAAGCACCTACTGCGTCTGATTCGCATGGTTTCGGTTGTCAAAGGCCTGATTCGCGACTCGACTGCAAGAAGCTCTCTGTCTGGTGATACACGGAACCTGTTTCAGAGATTCCGCATAGATTGCCAACATTTTATTCTTACCCTGAGTGATTACTCCTTCCACATCGGCGTCGGTGCTACATGGCGAAGGTTCCAGGAAACTCTTTCGAGAACAGAAGAATGCCTTGAGCATAGTGATATAGATGGCACGATTGAGGCAGCCCACTCGGTTTCCAGATTGAGACGTTACCATGAGGACACTCTTGACCAGATCCTCTTTGCGCTATTCCTGAGCAAAAGACACGCCGAAGTTGCCAAGCTGCTTGAAAGGATCTTCGGTACAATTCTGACATTTGCTCCGCTTTCCCAGATGGATGGGGCAAATGGCGTTCGCCATGACAATGACGCTACAGTAGCCCAACTATACGGCAGTTTTCGAAAGCAGACGTCTGCGTTTGTCAATTTCTTGCGTGGTGTGGATGGCGGAAAAGTGTCATCAAGATCATTCGACAGTTCAAGCACGGCATTTGCTTCAAGGGCATCACCGACAAGTGTCTTCGACCATCTCCTGGCGCGGCTGGACATGAAGCGGTACTACTAAGCAAGATCAAAATAGCGGATTGCACGGATATGAGCGAAAGTGGTGCTTAACAACGAATTTCCAAGTGCTTTCAACCACATCGTGCAATTTGCAAATTAACACTTAACTGGCTTTCAAATACATATTCTTCATATTTCTATCAAAATGACAATGCTTCCTGTATGCTCATCAATAGCCGCTCGAAGGGGTCCTGCATATATTCCAATAACGCCAACATCTCGTTCAATACCCATAATCGCTCGTGAAAAGATTTTGCAGCATTGTAAACACGCTAAAAGAAATGAAGATTCGACTCCTCCCAGCCCTGAGCCAGAAGGATTGTCTTAGCCGATTTCTCCATGGGCTCGGGCCCACAGATGAGTACCATGCTCTCCTCGTCGGGTGATGCATACTCTCTCAGTAGAGCTTCGGCAATGCGTCCTCGGTTACCAGCCCAAGTCTCGGGTGCTTTGGTCAATGTGTGTATAATCGTGCACCTTTCCTTGTTTGAGGCTTCAAACTGGTCCAGCTCGGATCGACATAGAATGTCCTCCTCCTGTCGATTTCCGTCAAGCACAACACACGACGTGGGATCTTGCTGATCTTGCATCACCGCACGCAGAACTTGGAATATCGGGGTGATTCCTGTCCCACCGCATATCATTTTGAAAGAACGCACATGTCGCTCCTTGCCACTGATGAGAACTCGGCCATTTCCGAGGTACTCAAATCGGCCCGTCGGGCCTTTACACTCGACCATCGAGCCCAAGGGAAGTTGGTCCAAAGCCATGGTCATCTTCCCCCCTGGTACGGTGGGCGTCGCAAAGTAGATTTTGATCAGCACGTCGACAGATCCCTTTTTACTGGGATCAGAGAGTGGAGTATAGGATCGGATAACTGCTTCTTTTGTGCTAGAATCAGGCACCTTGATCATTAGATGCTGTCCGATAGGCAGACCTAGTGTCTGCTCTCCATGTTCCAGGTCGAAAGTGAAGATCCGTGTATCCCAGGATACGTCATGCTTCGCCGAGAGTCGTGCCTTCGTCCATGATCGCGGTTGAAGGAAGACTGCGCGAGGCTCGCTTGGTACTTCCTCCTTGCCCGCTTGCTTGAGTGCTTCTAGCGATGCGGGGTCCATTGTACCAATGTGATATTCAGGCATCATTGCTTTTGCCGTCTCGCTATCTGTAGCACATGTCAGTTCTGCCTTCATTTCTGATTCATCAGGAAATGGAACTCACGGATTTCGTTGAAGTCCTCGGAAACGTCTAGTCCCACAGAGGAGATGATACTCTGGGCCCCTCCAGGATGACCGTCGAGGAATGGCTTGCCGTCATACACTTCCCCGTTCACAACGAACCAATGCTCTCCCCTCTCGTTGTGACTTGTGAACTCATCTAGGCTGATGATTCGATCTAGCCCTGCCTTCTTCATGTTGATCTCTTTTACGGGCTCCGGTCCGACCTCTGTCTCACCTTCAATCTTCTCGCCCCAGTTACCGTTGGTCAGATCTCCTCCAGCCTTTTTAACGCGCTCCATCCAGCCGCCAGCCATGACTGGATGCGTTGGATGCTCAAATACCAAAGTTCCATTCTCCTTGGTGATCGTGACTCGAAACCATGGGTTGTTCATCATCCCGAGTACCGACCAATACATGTCGCGAGGCTGGATGCTCAACGCCTCATCCATCCCTCTCACAAGGATGGCATCGCTTGCTTCCAGATCAATTATCGGAATGCTGAGAGACCAGAAGCACCAGCAGAAAGAGGTTTCACGCCAGGCCATGTCGACTTTACCACCAAATAACTCGCCTTCGAAGTCGCGGTACTTGTCCTCGGCATACTGTATATCTGCCAAACGCCATGCTGTAGGATTTATTAGCTTTTGGGAGAAATTGATACACTTGGAATTGATCTTACATTTGCCCTTATCGAGAGAGATTTCTACCCTGTTTACTCTCCGGCCACCTCCAGCATATGCATATCCCTTGACAGTATACGACGGTCCAGCCGTCGCGAGATCCAGGACCTCATTATGCTGGGGGTATACAGCAGCGGAGTTCATATTAAGGTCGTAAATAGCATATCGTTCGTCACGCCACCACATTGGCTCTTGCGCGGCCATCTCGGGGGCGACCATTGTCCTATCGCAACATTCAGCAGCTGACAAAACTGATCTTTTGGTGGCTCACTTACGGTAACACCCGGTTATCATAGATATGGTACCAGTTATCACTGGGCGCATCGGTCAAGATCAACTTCTTAATCCACTTCACGCTTCGACCTCCGATCTGACCTGGAACAACGGCTCTCAGAGGCCGACCATGATCAGGGCGAAGAGGCTCGCCGTTCATTTTGTGCGCAAGCATAATCAACCTATTGGGGTCCATGGCCCAGTTGAGCTTGACTGATGTGCCATAGTGGCCATTTGGCTGTAGCAAAGTCAGTGGTCTGGAGGCCATCCATGCCAAAGAAGGGGAAAGCCAGAAGAGTGAAAAGAGAAAAGGACCAAAAAAAGGAAGGGGAAACACTGACAAGCTTGTCTGCCCCCTCCATACAGACATATTTCGCCCGTCGCAATGGCTTCGCATACCGCAGGACATCTGCCATCAATGGCCCAGTGAAGAGAGCCGTGGACAGACCAGCTGCGCCCCATGAGAAACCTTTCGATTTCCGGACCGTGTTTTGTTCTTTTCGTCTGTTGCCGGCGCACACAAGCGTGATGGGTGCTGTGATCTGGTTGAACTGCTGCAGAATTTGGCGAAAGTTCAAAACAACCGGCCGTTCGACTAGTCTACACTGCCATTTTAGAACCCGGGACACACACACACACACACACATATATCCCGGAAGTCCTTTACTCACCCTTCAATGCTTATCTCCCAGTTCGGGATATCTTCATCTCTTACCAGGGGGACTGGCCCATGGTTTCTGACATAGAACAGTTCCGGCGATGTCAGGAAGCCTGTATGTGGATGGTCAGCCGAGATCCTTGCCTGTGGGGTAGATTGAGCGGCCCAAAGAGGCAGTCCATACCTTCGTTGAATAGAGCTGTGAGAGGAGGTTCGACATTGAATGGGTGGACGCCAGTCAGTCTGATGAGCCGGGGATCTCGTGGTACATGACTATCCGGTGTTCCTTTGTCTTGGCTGAGGATTTCGGTTGGGATCTTAGATGGAGGTGGAAGGGGAATATCTGAAGCATTGACCGTCGAGAACTCGTCGACGGTGATCTGGTTTGCCTTTACCGAGAGGCTCTTGGGCAAGACCGTCTCGGTCTGAGTTCGGACTCGAGTAATGGTCGCCATGGCAGTGAACTTCAGTCTAGTTGGGGATGGTGGGCTACAGGGGAGGAAGCTCCGGAGACTGACAACTGGTTCTCCCGAGTTAAAAGGGAAGTAGAGCCGTGAAAGAATTAGCCAAAGTGGAATGAGACACAAAAATGGCGCATTCTGTTCCCAGTAGTAGGGCAATTGAAAGCATCTAGATACATTCTTGAGACGTAGCAATTGTCATACTAAGTTTGTATATACAACCGCCTCGGAGAAAGACCAAGGCTTACACCAGGGGTTTGCTTGATATGAGGAACTCCGCGGGATCTAAGGCTACAAGTGGATAACAGGCAGTTAAGCCTTACACTATCATGGTGTCTGCGGCAAGTCGGATCGGGCTACGGCCGGCATCATCACGGTAAGCTCTGATACTTAGGAGTACATCGGAATGAGCCACATATCACGGAGGCTCTCGGGAACGCAGTCAGGGCCTGGAAGGCGCCCCAGTCGATAGCTTCGTAGAGTAAAATAACATGCGTGCGCCAATGGCTCAAAAATGACGCCTATCCACCTTCATTCGCCACAATGGGGGTACCTAAATTCAGTAAAATGGCCCTATTATTGTCTCGAGTTGTAAACTCCCAGTCCATGCTCGATAGTTTTAGACACAACTTCGCCTGATAACCCGAGAAGGAATGACCCGACTGGCGTTTTCTGATTCCCAAACTCCAGATCCATGTCGGGAGACTATTGGAGTATTAGCCTATGTCATTTTCATCATCATCAGATTCGCACAAAAGAGAGTTCCGCGTATCTTGGAAGGAGTGGATGCTAGTAACTCCCGCAGAGATAAGGTGATCCTCCCTTACTACTATAGAGTATAGTCTCCGCGGAAAAAGACAGCGAAGATCGTTCCTTATCAGCCCACTTCTGATAGCAATTGCTATTGTTGTATGCAGTTCTCCAGCGATCGATAGTTCGATACTTGATATCTCCTAGGAGATCATAATGGCAGTTGTAATTGTCATGATCCCTGCCGGTACTAATCTCCACAATCATGTAATCCTGTATGGCTTGACCTACTGCGAGAATCGGCGATTAGAGTCATGTCGAGGGGGATCATACCAGAACTCACCAATGACACCCACCTATTAGCAGATCTAACAGGTAAATGATTGGTTCTCTTTGGTGCATAGCGAATTGACGAGGGTCTGTAGAATGTATATGACTAGACAAGTCCTCTGCAACGCCGTAGACGAGAAAGAAATCTCTTTGATGATGCATTGTTGTCCATCACGATGCCTTTGATCGATGGTTCAAAGGACCACAACACTGTCCATAGTCATGGCAGTGTCAACATCAGCATACCCCATATGGGAGTAGTCGATCCTGCAGGAGAGGTACCTGTTCGTCGCGATGAAGAGAACCGACGACAAAAGATTGTGGTGGTGGGACTGGGAATGGTCGCGGTCTCATTCATGTATGTCCCCGATCAAAAACATAGTTCACCGAGGCTATCCGGTCTTCTAACTGCGGTTCGCACTACTTAGTGAGAAAATTGTTAAGCAAGATGCAGAGAGACGCAAGTACGACATCGTCGTGATCGGCGAGGAGCCGCACATCGCCTACAACCGCGTCGGTCTTTCCTCCTTCTTCGAGCATCGCAAAATTGAAGACTTGTACCTCAATCCGAAAGAATGGGTAAGGCATCACGTCTCGAACGAGAAATGTTTTCTCTTCGTTGTTATGCTGACATTACTCTTTCTCTTTGGCAGTATGGTTCGTTCAAAGACCGATCATTCGATTACCACATCAACACCAGTGTGACCGACATCTTCCCCGATCACAAAACCGTTCGGACATCAACAGGCGACACGATACCCTACGATATCCTCGTCATTGCAACAGGCTCAGATGCGGTGCTTCCCTCTCACACGCCTGGCCACGATGCCAATGGTATTTTTGTTTACAGAACGATCCAAGACCTTGAGCGCCTCATTGAGTTCGCATCGAAACACAAAGGTGAAACCGCAGTTACCGTTGGAGCAGGCTTACTGGGCCTAGAAGCCGCCAAGGCAATGACGGACCTGGAAGAGTTTGGAAATGTGAAGCTTATTGATCGCAACAAATGGGTTCTTGCACGACAGCTAGATGGCGATGCAGGAACTCTGGTGACTCGAAAGATCAGAGAACTTGGTTTGGATGTGCTACAAGAGAAGCAGGTCGCGAAAATCAAAACCGACAACGGTAACAATGTGACTGGGATTGTCTTCGCGGATGGAGAAGAGATCGATTGCTGCTGCATCTGTTTTGCGGTAAGGTCGATTCCGAGCCTGTCATTACTTCAGGACTGACGTTGTGGCTAGATTGGAGTGCGACCCAGGGACGAGTTAGGAATCTCAGCTGGCATCCAGTGCGCTGCACGGGGAGGATTTGTGATCAATGAAAGGTGACTACGTAGCACCGATCTTGGACTATTTTTCACTGGCTAACACATTGCTCCAAGTCTTCAAACCTCTATTCCAGATATCTATGCAGTGGGTGAATGTGCTAGCTGGGAAAACCAAACATTCGGAATCATTGCACCAGGCATCGAGATGGCTGATGTACTGGCCTTCAATCTGACCAACCCAGATAAGGAACCGAGGAGTTTCAAGAGGCCCGACTTAAGCACAAAATTGAAGCTATTGGGAGTTGATGTTGCCAGCTTCGGTGACTTCTTCGCTGACAGAGATGGTCCGAAATTCCTTCCGGGTCGGCGACCATCAGTCATTGATGGTGCCATGGAGGACACTGATGGAGACAAAGAGCCAGTCAAAGCCCTCACATACAAGGACCCCTTCGGTGGAGTCTACAAGAAGTATTTGTTCACAATGGATGGGAAATACTTGCTTGGCGGCATGATGATCGGAGACACCAAGGACTATATCAAACTGAACCAGATGGTCAAGAGCCAGAAGCCTCTCGAAGTACCTCCAAGCCAATTTATCCTCGGTGCGCAATCGGACGGTGAGGAGAATGCCGATGATCTGTGAGTGATACAAGCCCACATTGAATAGCATAGAAGGAAGCTAACAAGAGATATGATAGCAATGATGATGCTCAGATCTGTGCGTGTCACAATGTCACTAAAGGAGACATTGTCTCCAACGTCAAGAACGGCACATGCAAATCCATTGCCGAAGTAAAGTCTTGTACAAAGGCAGGCACTGGCTGTGGAGGTTGCATGCCATTGGTGCAGTCAATCTTCAACAAGGCCATGCTGGACATGGGTCAAGAAGTCTCGAACAACCGTCAGTGCCTACTCTTTTACTCCCCTTGCTCAAACTGACTGGGAAATAGTTTGTGCACATATTCCGTTTCCTCGGGCCGATCTCTATACAGTGATCGCCGTCAAACAATTGAGAAGTTTTGTTGATGTGATGAAGGCTGTGGGAAGGAAGCCTGACTCCCTTGGCTGTGAGATCTGCAAGCCTGCCATTGCATCAATTCTTTCAAGTCTATTCAATCAACACATTATGGACAAGGAACTCCATGACCTTCAGGAAACTAACGACAGATTCCTCGCCAACATTCAGAGAAACGGAACCTTCTCTGTGGTCCCACGGGTCCCTGGTGGCGAAATCACGGCTGATAGGCTGATTACAATTGGCCAAGTGGCCAAGAAATACAACCTCTACTGCAAGATCACCGGCGCTCAGCGTATCGACATGTTTGGCGCCAAGAAACAAGACCTACTCGATATCTGGACGGACCTTGTGGATGCTGGAATGGAGAGCGGTCACGCTTATGCCAAAGGTCTGCGGGCAATCAAGGTAACACCATCCGTTCCTACTAGCATCCGTTTAAATTGACGCAATGAAATAGAGTTGTGTCGGAACCACATGGTGCCGTTTCGGTATCGGCGATAGCGTTGGAATGGCAATCCGACTGGAAGAGCGCTACAAGAGTATTCGAGCACCTCACAAATTCAAAGGCGCCGTATCCGGCTGTGTCCGAGAGTGTGCTGAGGCCCAGAACAAGGAGTAAGTCGAGTACCCTCTCTCATTTGGCGGCAAAGGATGCAGACGACTAACACATGCCAGTTTTGGATTGATTGCAACTGACAAAGGATTCAATATCTTTGTTGGCGGTAATGGTGGTGCCAAACCTCGGCATGCAGAGTTGCTTGCAAAAGACGTGCCCCCTGAGAAAGTGATTCCGATCGTTGATAGATACCTCATTTTCTACATCAGGACCGCAGATAAACTTCAACGCACAGCAAGATGGATTGAGAACCTCCCCGGCGGTATCAATTATCTGCGGGAGGTTATCATCGACGATAAACTGGGCATCGGTGCTGAAATGGAACAGCAAATGGAAGAGCTAGTGAATAGCTACTACTGCGAGTGGACTGAGACTGTTCGAAACCCTAAGCGGCGCAAGTACTTCCAACAATTTGCCAACACCGACGAGACGGTCGACACGGTAGAAGTCATCAAAGATCGGGGCCAGGAGCGGCCTACATACTGGCCCAAAGACTCTGCAAACGAAGACTTCAAGGGTCATCAATGGTCCAGTCTTGCTTGGCAGCCTGTCATCAAGGCCGATTACTTCTCGGATGAGCATCCACAGATCTCATCCGCCAACATCAAGCGCGGCGACACTCAGCTGGCCATATTCAAGGTCAAGGGCAAATATTACGCCACGCAACAAATGTGCCCTCACAAGCGAGCTTTTGTCCTATCGGATGGTCTGATTGGAGACGATGATGCGGGCAAATACTGGGTTTCTTGTCCTTATCACAAGCGCAATTTTGAGCTGAACGGTGAGCAGGCGGGAAGATGCTCGAACGACGAGAGTATGAACATTGCTACCTTCCCTGTTGAGGAACGTGACGATGGCTGGGTATACATGAAACTACCCCCAGTTGAAGAGCTGGACTCTGTACTGGGAACTGAGAAGTGGAAGGTGAAGAAGGGAGAAGCACCAGACCCTTTCCAGAAAATCGACAAGCGATACAAGGGGATCAGAGGCAAGAAGGCGTGTGATATTACTTCTCAAGCGCCGAAGACACAGGCTGCCAACATCATTGACTGGTAGGACGGGGGTCATTTGTTTTTTATTTGGACGCATTGTTTTTAGCTGGCACATTTTTCTACTGCATTTGTATCATCGGCGAGCCTTACAGATATCCTAGTCGTTCGATTTACCACAGAAATAAACATGATCATAATTCTCACATAATCCTTGTAAGACAGTACTTATCTATGTATGGATTCCTGTAGAGAATGGCAACAGTGGACGCCTGAGGTGGAATGGAACGCCTGGAACTGGCCACTGATCTCCTGAGGCAGCAACCATGTTTCTAGGGCATTTCTAATCACGTGAGAGTGAGAGTCATTGATTGGTTTCTGTTTCTTATCTCTTCTAATCTTGTATCGCCCACCGTCATGATGGACGCCTCATCGATCTCCCCTTCGACCATGATCTCCATCGAGTTACGGTTGAGGGTAACCTAACTCTAGTCTTATCTCGGTCCCTATCAAGATTCCCCACCTGGGCCTCCATTACTCACTTTAAAAAGGCGAGCATCTCCTCTGGATATTTCCGCGGAGGTCTTCACCATGACCTTCCTTCATTCTACTGTCTGGGTTCGAGATCGAAGGGCTGTGGCTGTAGCTCAAGCCAGGATTACCTATCTATGCTGAATCCACAAAGTTTCCGAGAGTTTCGCTAGACGCTAAGTGTCCAATAGGAGACACGGGGTTTATCATTGCCGTCCGGCTCATCTTCGATGGCGCCGGTCTACTCAATCTACAGTTCTGGAGTGCTCCCTATCCCTGGTACCGGGTCCCAGTTGGCCATTGGGCTGATCGGGAGACTCTACCGGCCGCGGAGTTACCCACAAAGACTACCATGGCCACTATCTGCGTTTTGATGTTGGATCCTCTGGCTGAAGAAAACCATGACTTCAGGGTTGTGGCTTAGTCCAGGCCTTATCTTCGTGATATACGGGCTAGACTGTAGCCCCGGCTGCTGTCCCTTTCTAGTCGATCATGGGCAGTCTGGCATTTTTGGCGTTTCAGGGATGAGTGTCCAATACCATGGGCTCTTATTTTCAGGCATACTCAAACTCAAGTGGATCGTCTGATTCGACTCCCGAGATAGAGTTGATATCCTCTTTTCTCATCGTTGCTTATCCGTTACGAATATCAGGAAAGACACAGTGCTTACCTGCCATGTCTATCTACGGAGGAGATGTCTCCGTCATACAGCTTGGAATCGTCCTGGATGCTGCTGTGAGTGTACATCCCTAGGAGATAGCTGATGTTTTCACTTTGTCATAGATGAGAACCAAGATATTTGCGGCGCTTGGGTCGTTTGCCCTTGATATTTATCAGATCTTGTATCTCAGGCATGGTCTTTTATATAGCTATTGCTCCTAGCCGGTCAACACATTGATCAGATCAAGAACACAGCTCAACCTATTCCCCCACTATCAGAAATCTCCATAATTAGTGACTTCTTTAGTGACTTCTCTGTTGACCAGTCGGACAGTCTCCCTTGTGTGCTTCCTGTTGTCTATAATAATCTCCCTGTCTTGTATATCCTCGACTATATACCGACTTGCCATCAATTGGAGCACCCTGTACAGCGATGGGCTTCATCAAGTCACTCTTCGTGTCTTCAGAGATCAACCCCAGTAACCGAAAAGCAAGGACGATACCAGTTCTCAACCCATTTGACCAGTATGGTCGGGTGTTTTTCTTCTCATGGCTCGGGTTCATGGTTGCATTCCTCTCATGGTATGCATTTCCACCTCTGGTAGGTTCAAACCACTGTACACGATGCAACTGGCAGCATAGAACTCTTCTTCTAACCATTATATACACAGTTGACGGTCACTATCCGGAATGATCTCCACATGACCCAGCAGCAAGTCGCAAACTCGAACATTGTTGCTCTACTTGCCACGTGAGAAATGCCCAGGGGACACCAGGCTGATGGTCTCTATAGCTAATATGCACAGGTTCCTTGTTCGTTTCATTGCTGGACCGCTCTGCGACCGATTCGGCCCTCGCCTTGTCTTTATCGGACTGCTGCTTTGCGGTTCTATCCCGACTGCAATGGCAGGTCTAGTGACCAACCCTAATGGTCTGATTGCGCTGCGCTTCTTTATCGGTATTCTCGGAGGCACTTTCGTCCCTTGTCAAGTCTGGTGCACCGGTTTCTTTGACAAGAATATCATCGGAACTGCCAATTCCTTGGCCGCGGGCTGGGGCAATGCTGGAGGTGGCATCACCTAGTAAGCCACCTATCTTGTGTTGTTTACTCCTCCTGATACCATCTAACGTTGATGGTCGTTTTTAGCTTCCTTATGCCTGCCATATTCGATTCCCTTGTTCACTCCCGGGGCCTTGCCCCCCACAAAGCATGGCGCGTTGCCTACGTCGTCCCGTTCTGCATCATTGTCGTGCTGGCTCTGTGCATGCTGCTCACCTGCGAGGATACCCCGACTGGTAAATGGTCGGAGCGCCATATCTGGATGAAGGAGAGCGCTGAGTCGGATGGCAACATCATCAGCCTCGACTCTGGTAGTCCTTCTGTTCGCCCCTCTGGCCCACCATCGATCAATCTTCCCACCCCTCCAACAGAGAAGAAAGGTGTTCAAACGCCTCAGGTTGTCGACCCCGAGGCCCAGGCAGTGGGCGAAGTTGATGTCCTCAGGACAGACGCAGTGGTCTCCCCCAGCCGCCGGGAAATTCTAAACGTCCTCCTCAGCCTCTCCACCGCTGCCGTCGCCATCCCGTATGCCTGCTCCTTTGGATCCGAGCTCGCGATCAATTCCATCTTGGGCGAGTTCTATTCCGACAACTTCCCCCACCTGGGACAAACCGAGTCCGGCCGCTGGGCGGCCATGTTTGGCCTTCTCAACGTCGTCTTCCGTCCTGCGGGCGGGTTCATCGCCGACATGCTGTACAATCACACGCAGGCCGTGTGGTCGAAGAAGCTGTTCATGTCCTTTCTCGGTATCGTGATGGGCGCCTTCCTTCTGGCCCTGGGCCTCACGGACCCCAAATCCGAAGCTACCATGTTCGGCCTGACCGCTGGCCTGGCTTTCTTCCTGGAGGCATGCAACGGCGCCAACTTTGCTGTTGTGCCCCATGTCCATCCCTTTGCAAATGGTACCTTGACCCACACCCCTCCTCTATATTCCTCAAACACATTGGACTCTCATCACTAACACTCTTACAGGAGTCGTCTCCGGTGCTGTAGGCGGTATGGGCAACTTCGGCGGAATCATCTTTGCCATCATCTTCCGGTACAACGGCACTCATTATGCCCGGTCCCTCTGGATCATCGGCGTGATCTCCATCGCAGCCAACCTGGCCGTGGCGTGGATCCGACCCGTACCGAAATCCCAGATGCAGCGGCAATGAGACCTGCGATGATGAGACTGGTTCACGTATCTGTTCTTCTTCCTTTTTTCTTCCCCCTTTTTTTTGTTTGGACATTCTTGCTCTGGATACCTTGGGATGATCAGCGATGGATATACACACGGCGTTTGGGGATCTTTCACTACCTACTTTACCTTTCTTTCATCGATCGAGATGAGAATCAATCGAATCCGACTTCACTTCACTGAAAACCATACAGTCAGTCCGTAGTACGAAGTAGTAGCTCCTCCCCCACCCTCGGGCTAAAACACCCCGAAGAGAAAGTTCATAACACCAAAACCACCTCCCCCCGTCTATCATATCTTAACAACAGTCAACTCCCATCCATCAACCCATTGCTACCTGCTAGAAATTGAGGGACTACCACCCTCGAAGGATGCAATGGCCCCCACCCGCCGCATCGCCCAAATCGTGCACCTCAAGCCCTCCGCAGTGGCGGCCTACAAAGAATGCCACGCGAGCGTCTGGCCCGAGGTCCTCCAGCAGATCCAAGATTGTAATATCAGAGACTGTGAGTTGACAACATATCTTGACTCTCGAGTGCGTTGATTGTGGGGAGGGGAGGGGGCTAAGTAGTTCACAGACTCTATCTTCTTCGATAATGATCGCACGCTCTTCGCTACATTCAAGTATATTGGGGATGACTACGATGGAGACATGGAAAAGATGCGCGCGAACCCGAAAGTGCGCGAGTGGTGGGCGATGACGGATGGGATGCAGGTATGCCTCTCTGCTATGTTGGTTTGAGGGGGAAGAGCCAATGCTGAAATATTGTTTTTGGCTCCAGGAGAGTCCCATTCCTGGCGCTGTGGGTAGTGCAGAGGGACCGGGGTGGTGGAAGGTCCTGGACGAGGTATTCCACACGGACTGAGCACTCTGCGAGTATTACAGGAAGACTCAGCGGCAATGTGTCCATGACGCATCTACATTGCCAAGCGCTGGAAATAGAGAGGATCTTGGAAATACAATTGAGGTCGAAAGACCATCTTGGATTATATGACTACTACTGCTAGCAGCAGTTTGTAAGAAAGAATGTCCAACCGAACGGCGACTTGCAGGAGCATGCCCAACGTTCAAGATAGTTCCGAGATCATGGACATCGATAAGAAATATCCATTTGTCAAAGCTCCGGACTTCGAGCACACTTTCATCGACAAAGCCGGAATTGCAACCAAAGAAAAGAAGATTAGAAGAAAGCATTGCAGAGATGGGTATCTTCACCAGGAAAACTCTCAATCGCCCAAGAGATTCGCTCCCAAGAACGCCCTATCCATCAAGCAGGCAAAAAAGAAAAAGAAAAAAGGGTCGTAACTCATGAATCCCCAGCGAATACACATCGTACCGGGAACCAGTCGCATCAATCAGAATTTGGAGGCACGTCCTTCAGAATTTCCCAGCCGTATTCTTCCTCGGGCTTCTCTGGGTCCATCCCGAGGGCGTTGCGATACGCGCGAACCTCATTCTGAAGGCCAGCAACGATTCGAATAGGTAATTCGTCCTCCTCGGAACGGAGACGGTAGGCAGTACGAATCATTTCAGCACACTTCATTGTCTGAGCATGCCAATAGTCGCGATCGAGACGACTCTCAAGGTGGGCGTCACGCTCGGACTGAAGGAGGTTGTTGTAATGGCGTTTCTGAGCCAGGTAATGCATGTTGTTGTTCTGACAATAGTTGCGAATCTGTTCCACCATAGTACCGACTGCCGCTTCGTATTCGCCAATCAGCCTGGTATTTTCGGTCTGCTCTTGCTTCAAGATTTCAACGAGGCGTTTCTCCTTCGCAAGGGCACGTTCGAGCTCGGCAATGCGGGCGGCTAATTATCAGGATTAGCGGCCAGTCAATTGACTTGATACGTGGGTTCCTACCAGAAAGTTCACCATTGACCTGCTGCAGACTGGGAGTAGTTCCTTCAGAAGAGGTGCGCTTCTATATCGGTTATCAGCATGCCACCTACGGATAAACCAGAGTTATAGGTAACATACCATGATCTCCTCGGCGCTAGAGACAATGCTCTTGGTCGTCTCCCGGTTGTTTTTCAAGACGTCACTTAATTCGAGCACCATTTCGTACAAGTGATGAAGGTCCATCTGGTGACCAGCATTTATGGGTATCCCAGCGTTCATTCCAGGCATTCCTCCGCCATTCACCTGAGGAGGACCCGGCATAGCGGGGGACATCGACTGGCGAGGGGCATTGCCCATATTTGCAGAATTCGCACCATTGTCGATGTAATTGGGAAACATGCCCGAACCGGGGCCACCGTTGCCGCTATTCAGAGACATGGTTGCAGAAGTAAAGGCACTGTTCAATTTCTCGAGCACTGACGGATTCGAGGTTGTAGAAGAATCGCCACCCTCCTCGCACCAGAGAGGACGTTCTTCGACAATCCCCAAGACCTCCTTTCTGAACTTCTCAAGATCACGACGAGTAACGTGGGTAGAACGACGGCGATGCCCACGCACGAAAGGCGCCTTGGAATCCGTGGGAGAGGTAGACACGTCGATGATGCCGGATTGGTACGAATGCTCGACTACTGCACTTTCGTTTAGCGAGTGAAGTGAATGAAATGCATTCGGGGACGCTTCAGGAAGGGTATAGTCCAAATCGAGCTCATGAAGCACTGGAGATGGTGGAGGAGGAGTCTCGAATTCGGGGGAAGCTGGAGGGACAACTGCACCAAAACGGTCAAGTGCCGGAGGCTCGGAATTTCCATTCCGGTCACTAGCGTCGCTGGGAATAGTGTGTGAGACACGTGAAATACCATTCTCCATCAATTCCATGTCGACCGGAGTAGAATAATCTTTAAAGATAGGGAGAAAGAAACAATATTCAAGGCTGAGGTTTCAGTATAGAGGCATGAGAATAAATGAGGACACAACAGGTAGGAGGAAGGGTTTGCGATCAAACAGAGGAAAGAAGCCACCAAGCGTTGGTTATTTGTTCCTCCTTTCTGTCACTGGCACCTGCTGTGAACTGTGTCGCTGCAGTGATTGTCCCCAATCTGCCCCTTGCACCCCTTCTAAAACATAATATAAAGCACGGAGTAGTTCAGAGCCCTTTCTGCCAACCTTAAGTCATGAAGGACTAAGCTTCGAAGCTTTTGAACTCGTCAATTTCTATTCCATACATGTCATGATGCAATGACTATCGGCTGTCTGCCTACTTTGACCTCGATAAGCTTCGTATTCCCGATGATTAAGACATGTCAAGGAGCGCGGCCAGCTTCTCATCCGAACCCAAGGCATACGGCGGAGTTCCCTCCGTATTCTGGCTCCCCTTACTCTGCCCGATTCGACCTCCAACTCGTGCAACGAGCATCCTCATTTTTTCCAACTCTTGGACCAGCTCTCCATCTCTCATGACAAGATTCGGTTGGATATTTTTCTGCGGCTCGAGGAACGGTTCGAGCAGACTTTGTAGCCGCCGTAGCTGGTTAAGGCGCCGTTGTCGTTGTTGTCGCTTACTGTCAAGACGCACCAGCTGTTCTCGTAACCTCCGGTATCTGTACCACGAATATCAGTCAGATGAAACCAGAATCGGTCGCTGCATGCTTACCTTGAACGTTGTTCCTCAGTCGCAGATTGGTCCACTAATTCCACGGGTAGTTGGGCGATATTGCTGCAATGTGTCAGCATATACGAGCCGAGGGGCACTCAAGAGGAGTGTGAGATGCGAGACTCACAAGTGACTGCACAAATCTACTGTTTTTTCCACGCGCTTGCTGCCGAGTCCCTCATTACGTGTGGCTTCGCTCACTAACGACCAGTAGAGGCTTGCAATCTGCTGCGCGACATGTTGAATGGCTTGGGAAGAGTAGATGATGCGATTGTGCTGTTTCAACGTAGCATTCACTAGAGAGGAATTAGTTTTCTAGAACCAATCTGTAGGATCGAATGCGTTCGAGGCTCTTGGTAACTGAGACTGAAATAACCGGTTGGGAGGAAGATTGTAAGAGGTGAGCTCACATTTCTGCAGAGCATCCTGAACCGCCTTATCGCTCAACTCATCTTCTTCCGACCCAGTCGCGTAACTTCTCCAATCCTCCGGTGCTTCTAGGCTTTCTGATAAGATGCGCACTTGCGCCCTGATGAACGTTGACTTCAGTTCAAAGAGTGTCCGACTGGCGTCCATTGCTCCATATCGACGCCTGCGTCTCTAGCTGTCGACTCCGTCAATCTAAGAACCCGCGAATCCAGACGCGCAAGATGTTCCTATCGATAACCAATGTCACGTGATACTGGTGCTCATCTGACGCATGCTTGCTTCTTGTTGTGGGATCTGGCTGGTCTGCAATTGTTTCTCTCTTTAGCGATCACTGCATTGCAAGGGTAGTGAATATGTGAGACTTGGAAATCTCAAGCAATAAACGCTATCCTCGGCCTTTGGGGCATAGTAGAGATCTTGCACAACCGTATTCTATCTAACCTCGGCAAATGCCTTAATGTCACTTCTTTACTCCGCAGGAACAAATACCAGAGGATTCCCAGCTAGCTACTCCAGAACGGAGTACTAGGATCATTACGAAGAAAAAGAGCTATTACCACCATACTCAGTGCGATCGATCTTCATAATGGCCGACGACAAACGCCCCGTGGGCCTTCTCTTCGATATCGGAGGCGTGTGTGTAAGGCAACTGAGCCACAAACCCTCCCAGAAAGACATTGCTAAGGACTTTCTAGGTCGTCTCGCCATTCCAGGCCATTCTGGACTACGAGTTGGCACATGACATTCCTCCTGGATGGGTAAATTTCAGCATCTCGCGCACATCGCCCAACGGCAGCTGGCACAAACTGGAGCGAGGCGAGATCAAACTGGATGCGGAGTTCTTCAAGGGATTCAACAACGACCTACGCAATCCGACGCTGTGGAAGCTGTTCCATGAGAATCTTCAGAAGAAGCAACCCGCGACCGCACCTGCATCGATCCCTGCGTTACCAATCATCGACGCAGAGTGGCTCTTCTGGGAGATGATGCGGGTTTCCCGGACACCTGATCCATACATGTACCCAGCTCTGCAGAAGCTGAAGGCCTCGGGGCAGTTTATCATTGGAGCCCTGTCAAATACAGTCATCTTTCCCGACGGGCACGCATACAACAGCGACTCGAACGGTGTCAAGTCGCAGTTCGACTTCTTCATCTCGTCAGCACACACGGGGCTCAGGAAGCCAGATCCTAAAATCTATGCAGCTGCGCTAAAGGAGATGGACTCATTGGCGAAGCAGAGGGGCTTGCAGGGAGCCGAGCCATCTGACGTTGTTTTCCTGGACGACATTGGTGAGAACCTTAAGGCTGCGAAGAAGGCCGGATTGAGAACAATTAAGGTCAACCTGGGTCGGACTCAAGATGCCATCAGGGAATTAGAGAAGATCACTGGTCTTCAGTTGCTGGAGACTTCGGACAAGGCCAAGCTTTAAGTCAAGGATCAATTGCAATCACCAAGTGTTCTCGATGAACTAGATATCCAAATTTACATAGAGAGTTGTTTGAAAATATAATACCCCTGCCTAGCATTGTTAATATCTCTTTCATAGTATTAAAACAATATTCATGTAGATATCTGGTAGATAGATAGTGCTTTTAAGTAGATGTCCTAAGTACATGGTAGTGTTCCGTCCCCGCTCGTGGCCAACCTCAGTTCTACGTCGGGATGCAGCCACGCTAAGCGAAACCCTCCACAAAGTCCGCGCACGAAATTTCCCTCCTCTGGATTTTCCTTCTCGCAGCCAACGTCGACAACTCGGTTCTCATCCCGCGGCAACAGTCAAGATGGTGAGTCTTATTGTTGTTCCAGGCATATGATAGCATTTGATGCATGGCTCGCATTTCATCTAAATCGTCCCTGAAAATGGGCCGATATCTTTGTGTCGGCCGTTGTTGTGGGGACAGGAAACGGGTCTTTGCAAGATGCTTCGGATGCCTTTGTTTGAAAATCTGAAGCGCAAATTGCTGACTCGGGGATTCTGTTCTGTAGCCTTTCCACAAGCAAGTCAAGAACAGCGCGTACTACAGGTGAGAGGATTTCTACTCAAAAAAAAAAATAAAAATAAAACTTCACAAGGCGCGATGTACTGACCTTTTCTTTCTTTTTCCTACAGTCGCTACCAGACTAAGTACAGACGCCGCAGAGAGGGCAAGACCGATTACTATGCCCGTAAGCGCCTGATCACCCAGGCCAAGAACAAGTACAACGCTCCCAAGTACCGCCTCGTTGTCCGCTTCACCAACCGCGACATCATCACCCAGATCGTCTACTCCGAGATCTCCGGTGACAAGGTGTTCGCCAGCGCCTACTCCCACGAGCTCAAGCGCTATGGTATCACCCAGGGTCTGACCAACTGGGCTGCCGCTTACGCCACCGGTCTGCTCCTCGCCCGCCGCACCCTGAAGAAGCTCGGCCTTGACGAGCAGTTCGCCGGTGTCGAGGAGGCCGATGGTGAGTACAAGCTCACCGAGGCCGTTGAGACCGACGACGGTACCCGCCGCCCCTTCAAGGCCTTCCTCGATGTTGGTCTTGTCCGTACCTCCACCGGTGCCCGTGTCTTCGGTGCCATGAAGGGTGCCTCCGACGGTGGTATCTTCATCCCCCACTCCGAGAACCGCTTCCCCGGTTTCGACATCGAGTCCGAGGAGCTCGACGCCGAGACCCTCCGCAACTACATCTTCGGTGGCCACGTCTCTGAGTACATGGAGACCCTCGCCGACGACGATGAGGAGCGCTACCGCAGCCAGTTCATCAAGTACATCGAGAGCGAGATCGATGCTGGTGATATCGAAGAGCTCTACACCGAGGCCCACGCCGCCATCCGTGAGGATCCCTTCAAGAAGGACGAGGATGAGGGTGCCAAGAAGACCAAGGAGGAGTGGAAGGCCGAGAGCAAGAAGTACCAGAAGGCCAAGCTCACCCACGCCGAGCGCAAGGCTCGCGTTGAGCAGAAGATCCGCGAGCTTGCCGCTTAAATGCATTCTGCGAATGAAAATAAGACGGCAGTGGAATCGGGCTTGAAGAAGTATCACCGAGTGCGATAATTCAAAAAGTTTTACTTCTCTCTCTATCACCCCCAAAAAAATTCAAAAGGGAAAATAGGTCTAGCCACATTGGCGTTTCTTGAATGTAAATCTGATGGGAATTTTATTAACGACTTCATGTCTTGCGTCTGGGATATCATGGGTTTCATCGGAGCAATTAGCTGGGTTTTTACTTTTTTCAAGGGAATTAAATGTTTGAGCCATTCCAATAATTGCTCCGGTGTTTTGTGTCAATTTGGTATTTTGCCAGCCCCGATGTATCAGTCGTTTGCCTATGGCTCAGTCGAGGTTCAAATCGATTTCTAGTCAGGTGCCTATAGTTGCGAGGACGAGCTGTAGAAGACTACGGACTAAGGCCATGATAACCATCTCATCTCCCCCAGGTCTAGTTCATCCTCGTAAATGTCATACAGTCATCTCGATGATTGTGGATTACCTTTAGTATGTGTGGATCCTACGATAGCGACTATTGGCGAGCTAAGCGATAAGGAGCCCTCACTCGGCAGCAAGTTGCTCTTACCGCTTTAGGTTGTGGGGGTTTGCTTTGATCTAACCCTAATCTGGTCAACTGCTCGATTCGGGATATCTTTCCTTAACAGGCATTCCGCTCAAATATCAGCTGCTTCTGCAGCTCGAGAGTTTTTTTCATCAGTGAGGATAGATAGATTGCGAAGAGTATACAAACTTATGATTTCAGATTCTCTTGAATCCGTCACGGACGGTGGTACAAAGCTTGCATTATGAAAGTAGCTCTTCGCCCACTAGCTCTGAATAACCGGCATGCCATCGCTACACGTAGTATGTACAAGGAAAGATGGTGGTATCACGGAATCAATCCTCGTGACTTGCCGTTTCTCAGAGTCGTTGTTTCGGCATCGAACCCGAATCGATTGAGGGGCCAATCTGGAAGGATTATTATCAAAGGTAGGTAGCTAAGTACCTGTTACACTTACGCTGTACCACTTATCTAAGCTCTGCCTCGAGAGCTTGACAGAGTTTAGACGGCTCCAGCAGCCGCCGCATTCGATGAAATTTTGACTTTCTGTTGAGAAACACGGGCTGCCTCTTATCTTAGGTCGGTGTGCTGTTGAGTTGTAAAGAGAAAAAGGAAACCGTACTCCGTAGGTCGGCCGAATGAGAGAGACTGCTAACCCTCCTGGCGAAGATATATTATCTGCGATAAGGGCGGCATTTTCGCCACATTGATATCAGATGAGACACAAGAGAGCTTGCGTCTTCATTCCACGAGATCAGCATGGCGACGAGAAATTACATCTTTTGAGTTTTAGATAGAACACTAGCTATTAATATCCGGGTTAGTGGCCACCATGAATGCTCGTTAGAGTCCCAGATAATCAGTCGTATGCGATGTGCAGTCAACAGCATTCACTGGATTGACTACGTCACGTGGGGACCAGCTGAGGAGGCGATTCCAGATTTTCAGCCTCGTAGTCCATCTCATGATGACTTACAGTTACGGCCTACAACTTTAAGCATGATAACCCGTGTCCCAGACACCCAAGTCCCAGATCCCAAGTTCCGGTACACTGGTTGTGCGATCTTGGCATCTTGTCGTGTGCAGAAGGGGAATACCCTCATCTCAGACATGGTACCATGGTGGCAACTTCAGGGTCAGGACATTCTGCCTGGTCGCACCAAGTAAGGGTTTTGTCGAACTTTGAGGATCTACCTATGATTATTCAAGGATGCGAGATGATGACTTGATGTGTGGGAGTTTGTCGCACAGCGTACTCCGTACAACGTCTTATTATTGTTGACGTCGAGGGTGGAGGACTTGATGGAAGTCAGCCCCCGGAGGATCAATGATGTGTCCGATACTGGGTGGAGGAGTCAGCCTTCTTGACTCTCTTCTCGAGTTGATGATAATATGTAGTCTATCTGTACTCTGTAGGAACGAAGCGTGATTAGCATTAGGTATTTTAGAGAAGGCTCTAGTGCTTAGGTTGACAATGCTCACCGTTTCTGCAATCATCATCTGCTCTCTCCCCAGGATCTCCCCCACTTGCACTCCACCCACTACTGTTGGGTCAGCTAGAAATCCATTCGCTCTGGGTCCCTTTTTCTGACTATGCGTACGGAGTCTACGGAGTCTAAGGACTATCTACTCCGTAGTATCTACTATTTTCCCAAGAAAAAAAGAGGTAAATCATTAATTAACTTACTCCGGAGTACCTCCCTGGATTTCTCCTCCTCTTCTTACTCAACCACCATCGTGATGGCTTAATTCTGTTTTTCTTTTTTAAAAGAAATTTCCCCTTGTATCTCCTTTCCTTTTGTTCCCTCCTTTATCTTGATTTAACACCAACCCCCTTTTCTTTATCTCTACTTCTACTATACACCATCGATCATGCCTATGCTCCGCTGTCATCTGATGGAACAGTCGCACCATCGCCGCCTTTAAGTCTTCCAGGAATAATACATCCTTCGACTCGCAGATATCGGACAGCATTAAGATCGATCATATCTTTCTAGTCTCATAGCTTCGAGCTAAGATATATCACCTTTGGTCGGCATAGCGAAACATGCACCTCGTCTCTTGACATCGCGATTTACCTCAGCTCAGACCTCCGACACCGGACGATATTCTTCCTCTCTAATCAATTCATCAACACATCCTTTGGGTCTTTCCTCGCACTATCTTGCAGCAGCAGGCTACAGATTTCAAAACAAAAAGCGAAAAATAAAAGAAGAAAAATGGAGGGTGTTGAGACTGTGGATGTGAGCTGGCTTCACCATTCACAGAAAGGTGCGTTCTGGACCCCCCGCTTTGACATGCTCTTCTGGTGGTCTATGTTTCTGCATTGGCCTGGAACACTCAATGTAAGAACCATCTAACAAGAATCCTCTAGACCATATTTCTCGCTGCAAGTCAGCATCATCCCAAATCAGCGATAAATCCATCCCCGATGCCGAGCGCATCACTTCGCAACCATGCAACGCACAGTGTACCACTTCCCTCAACACGAACGCCCCGCCACCCCCGCGAGAGCCCTTTCCTTCGGCCCCCGATACCCTTGGGAACAAATCGGGTGTGAGCGACCGAGTTGGATGTGAAAATGGCAATGCGAAAGACGAAAAGAGCGCGGAGGCAAAGGCATCTGAATCGTCACAGACACCCCAAAAAAGTGCACCGCGCTCGATCACAGGCAGGCGAAACTCATGGATTTCAAGCATAAGCTCCAAGTTCTCCTCAGGATCGACACCCCCTTCACAGCCGTCCATGAAGCAGCCAAGTCCCAAGGCTGTATCGCCAATCTCGAAAATGGACACGCATAACCCGTTTGGAGCGGCGTATTTCCCCAAGGACAAGGAAGACGAGAAGAGAGATGAACCCACTCCGCTCGTCTCTACCTCTCCCAAGGGCCCGTCCTTTCTCCAAAGTGCTTTCCGAAAATTCTCCTCCTCTTCCTCTGGTAAGCCGGTGCCGAACAGAGGCATCTGCGAGCGTCGCGTCATGAATATCGATCGTGAGCGGGATAGATGTAGGATCCCGGATCTGGACCAGAAGAAAATGAGGCGTGTAGCATTCTGTGTCGACGTTGAGATTGCAGGCATATCTCGGCGCGGTTCTGATGAGGAGGGCTCGCCTGGTAGCAGCAAGCGACATGATGCCGCGGAACCGAACTGTCAGAAAGTTAAAAGATCAAACTCCAAGTCGAAGAACAGAGAGGAAGCTGGTACTCCGAAGAACCAGCAACCCGTCACTGATGACAAGGGAAGACATGAGCAGGACAACAGTGCTCCCACACAAACAGCCAGCTCATCGGCGACACATTCGAAAGAAACTAAATCGAATGGGGAAACCAAGGAACCGACAAGGAAACAAGAGAAGAAGAAGCGGTCGGAAGAGGAAAGAAGAGAAAGAAAAGAGAGGAAACGGAGGCAGGCAGAGGCAAATGGGACTGTTCCTATGCAGCTGAGTACTGAAGATCTGGAGGATGATCCTCGAGCTGTCGCCTCGGGAAATGCTCGGTCTAAAACACAAAGCCACCCAACGACGGATCCGGTCCGCATCTATCGGCGTTGTTGTCAGTTACGAGAAACGCCTGTGCTGAAGAAGGTGGTAGATGAGATCTCCTCGCCTTCCTCGACCCTCGCCGAGTCTCCTGGCACCGTTGCCGTCCTTGACCTCACCAACTTCCCAATGACTCCCGAGGACACCGCCACGTTCTGCGATTGGCTTGCTATCGTGCCTGTTCGGAAGCTGATTTTGGAGAAATGTGCGCTTAACGACACATCGGTGCGGACAATACTTGCCGCCTTGCTTTCCACCAAGACCGTTGAACAGATGAGGCAAAGGCGCAGAAGATCCAGGAAGTCCGATATTCAGTCCATCAGCAAAGAGGATCGGTTCTGTGTTGTAGAGAAGCTGTCTCTGAAGGACAACCCTAGGATTGGGCCCGAAGGCTGGCGTCATATCAGCCTGTTCATTCATCTCGCGAAATCGCTGAAAGCCATTGACCTTTCTGGCATTCCACTTCCTAAAATCCCTATCCCAGCCATTGATCTCGGTACACCGATACCGCAGACTCCGAACCCTACCACCAAGTCCGTCGCCGACGCAACAGCCATCTTTGCGAATTCGCTTGCCCAGCGATTCGGTGGGGATTATCTGGAAGAGCTATTGCTCAGCGAGTGTGATCCCACAACAGAAGATGTCGAGAAAATCTGCGAGGCAGCAACGACACTTGGTCTAAGAAGACTTGGCCTCGCCAACAATAATCTTTCCCGAGAAGGCCTGCAACATGTCGTTCGCTATCTAGAATTCGGGAAATGTGAGGGACTTGATTTAGGTGGAAATCCAATCTCCGAGCATCTGGACCTGATTACATCCGCTCTTGAGGCAGACTTCCCGCTCTATGCGCTGAGTCTTGCAGACTGCTCATTGACCCCATCGATAATTCACCCTCTGCTTCAACGCTTGACATGCCTCTACAATCTCCGATTCATCGACTTTTCTCATAACCCAGACCTCTTCTCCAGCAAGCCGGATGCTCTGGCAACCTTCCGACGCTTCCTTCCCAAGATGGCATATCTGAAACGCATTCATTTGGCTGATGTCAATCTTGCGGCAGACCATGCCATCGCCCTCGCCGAAATCCTGCCAGAGTGCCCAAGCCTCTGCCACCTTAACATCCTAGAGAATCCTGCCATCACCAGACTCGCCGCTGCGACTGACCCTGCCACTCAGGAGGAGGCCTGTGCCGTATATGCATCGTTGATGGCGGCAGTACGCGTATCTCGTACGATCATTGCAGTTGATATCGAAGTGCCGACGGCGGAAAATAACGAAGTCGTGAAAGCTCTGGGCTCGCAAATCGTGGCGTATTGTCTTCAGAATCTGGAACGAGGCGCTATCGAAGAGGAGCTCTCGGATCCGACAGACACCTCGGTTGTGCGTGACACTGTTCCAGTACCTGAAATCCTACAACACCTCGTTGGAAGTACTGGTGGTGACGAGATTTGCGAGGACGACGTTGAACCTGCTCCCGACGAAGACTATGTCATTGGAGGCACGGGTGTGGTCAAGGCTCTAGAAGTCTGTCTCGGCACCTTGCATCATCGCGACATGCTTGGAGACCAGTCTGGTCCACCCAGTGGGACCACTACCCCTCGGCAACGGAAATCAAGGTCGTTTGTGCCTAAACGACCCCGGGACATGTCGAAGAATCTGCTTTATTCTGCCCGGAATATTCGTATTCGGATCCAATCGGCTCTGGTTCGTGAAGATAGAGCTGGAAATGACGCGAACTACCGTAAGTACATCATTCACCATGAGTGGTTCCTGTTGATCGGCAATGGCCTGAGCTAATCATCATTTTGGCAGGCCGACTCCAATTCCTTGACTTTACCTTGCAGCGAATGATTCAGCGCTTCGAAGACGAATATCCTGAAACTTGCGTCAAGCCGCCCTCTGTGACATCCGCGATCCAAGAGACCAGCTCGCAGAATTCCGGCGACGATGTAGGCGGGGCGCCTAGTGGTAACGGCCAGCTGTTCGGCATGAACATCGATGAGAATGCCATCGATGACGAGGAAACCGATCAATTTGCGCTGCGCCTGTCTCGTGCCAGCTCCATTACCTCACTCCATTCTCGCGCGATGACCTCGGAAGAAGGCCACGTTCACCGTCTTGGTCAGAATCTTCGCCGTGACTTCCTTTCACCCTCGCTGGGCCAAGTGGACGATGATGGGTCGGCAACCCCTCTCGACGACTCTCATCTGGCTGCCCTGCGCGACAAACTCGACCGTCTGCATGTTGAGCAAACGCGTTCTCACTTCGAGGGTGCGAATGCCGACAAGGCCTTCGAGGAGCTGGGATCCACCGTTGAAGAACTTTGGGCCATCCAAACACAGGACACGGAGGCATTTGAGCGATTCCGCCAGAGTCAGATTGCTGCTCAGATCAACAGCGGCAAGCGAAATGCCTCCCTGATGCCTGCGAATGGCAGAGAGACCAAGCCAACCAGTAATTGATCTGAACTATGGCACATGATGGATAACCATCTCCCAGCATATTCTGCATATTTCATGACCCGTCCGAAATCATTCGTAGATAGGAGGTCTTGGGGTCGATACTGTAATTAATCTGTCGCCATGTGTGTTGACTTACTATTGCATGTTTTAGCGGAGTCCGTGTTTGGCGAATGATGATGATTGTTGTACATATATTTTCGAGTGCACGTGGTTTCACTGTCTCCATTATTGATATTATATTTATTATTATTTTTCACATCAAGAATCATTTGACATCCTGACTCCAACAATATAAAATCAGTTCCTGGTGGTGGATGATTCCCTCGGTACGGCGGGAGTGGTTGCGTTTCCCCAGAAAAAGCTGGGGAATTTCACATGTCAGCCATTCTTCCATGTCCACTCCTGCTTCTCCCCTCGTCTTCACTTCCTCATCATCATCATCATTATCATCATCCTCTAATCTAGAACCCATCAAATCAATCAACGTCGCTTACCACTACGGTCATGTCCGCCCTTCGTCGATCCTGGTTAGTATCTTGAGCACCTCATCTTCCTCGATCGTACTCCCTGCACAACCGTCATCTCGTGTCACGATGGCCGCTCAGTCCAAGATACTCCCACCCGAGCGCTCCATCCGGCAGCTCCTCTCCAGCCTCACCTCGCTCTACCTCCGCCACCGCAAGAACATCTCCCGCGTTGTCTACCTCTCCCTCTTCGCCGCCCTCGTCAAGCGCATCCACAATGCCATCTCCGAACAGAAAGCTGCGTCCCGCTCGCAGGTGGAGCTGCGCAAGCGGCCCGGCACCAGCAGCTTGGGCGAGAGCGACGACCCGCCCCGGAAGAAGGTTGAGGTGAACCGGGAGTTTTTTCGGAATTTGCTGCGCTTGCTGAAAATCGTGATCCCCGGGTGGAAAAGTAAGGAGTTCCGGCTGCTGATCGGGCATAGTGTTTTCCTGGTGCTGCGGACGATCCTCAGTCTGTATGTGGCGGAGCTGGATGGGCGGTTGGTCAGTAACTTGGTGCGCGGCAAGGGGAAGGATTTCCTGTTGGGTCTGGTGTGGTGGATGATTGTTGCGGTGCCGGCGACGTTTACGAACTCCATGGTAAGTTTGGCGATGTTGCGATTGTTCGGTTGCTGGCTTATCTTCGGGGGGCAGGATTGTGACCAGATCGCTAATATATGTGTGTGCGTCACTTAGCTCTCTTACCACCAGTGCAAGCTTGCGCTGAGTTACCGAAAGCGTCTCACGGATTATATTCACGACAAGTACCTGAGCAACATGACGTTCTATGCGATTTCGGCCTTGGACGACCGGGTCAAGAATCCCGACCAGCTGATCACGGTGGATGTCTCTCGCTTCTCCGACAGCTTAGCGGAACTGTATTCGAACCTGGCGAAGCCGATACTTGACATGGCGATCTACAACTACTCACTGTCGAAGAGCGTGGGAGGCGAAGGCCTGTTCATCATGAGTCTTTTGGTGCAGCTGTCTGCAAATGTCATGCGCGCACTGACACCGCCATTTGGCAAATATGTCGCCGACGAGGCGCGCCTGGAGGGCGAATTCCGATTCCTTCACTCTAGACTAATTGATTACAGCGAGGAAGTTGCCCTCTACCATGGCCATGAGGCTGAGAAGGATACCCTGGATAAGGGGTACTTCACACTGATCAAACACGTGAACCGCATCCTACGACGGCGGCTTTATCACGGTTTCATGGAGGACTTCGTCATCAAGTATTTCTGGGGAGCTCTGGGGTTGATCTTGTGTAGTATGCCCGTTTTCTTCCGGATCCCTGGCCAAATCACGCAGACCATGGGAGACCGTACCGAGAGTAAGTCACTTGCACATATGAAAGATTTAGTTGAATGCGAAAGCTAACGGGTTATCTTTCTCCTTAAAAAAAAGGTTTCGTCACCAATCGCCGCATGTTGCTGTCCTCGTCCGATGCCTTCGGCCGTCTTATGTTCTCCTACAAGGAAATTTCCGAGCTCGCCGGCCACACCGCACGGGTCTCATCGCTTCTGGAGGTCATGGACGACCTGCAAGCCGGACGGTTTGAGAAGAAGCTCGTCTCCTCCGCATCGACCGAGGAGAACGCCGCCGTGCTCTCTGGCCGCGGCCAGGTGGAAGAAAGCGACTCGATTGAATTTACCGATGTCCCAATCGTCTCGCCAAACGGCGACGTCCTCGTCCGGAAGCTCTCCTTTACCGTGCACCCCGGCGACCACCTCCTGATCGTCGGCCCCAACGGCTGCGGCAAATCCTCCCTCTTCCGCATCCTCGGGGGCCTGTGGCCCGTCTACGGCGGCAAGGTGAAAAAGCCCCGCTTCGACGACATCTTCTACATCCCGCAGCGGCCGTACCTCTCCCGCGGTACCCTGCGCCAGCAGCTCATCTACCCGGACGGGCTGCGTGAGATGCGCGCCAAGGGCATCACGGATGCCGACCTCTTCGAGATCCTCTCGATCGTCGAGATTGCCGCCGTCGTCGACCGGCCCGGCGGCTGGGACGCGGAAGAGGAGTGGCGCGACGTCCTCTCTGGCGGTCTGCAGCAGCGCATCGCCATGGCCCGCCTCTTCTACCACCGGCCCCGTTTCGCCATCCTCGACGAGTGCACCTCCTCCGTCACCCTCGAGATCGAGCGTGTCATGTACGAGACCGCAAAGAAACTCGGCACCACCCTCATGACCGTCTCCCACCGCCGCAGTCTCTGGAAATACCACAAGAAGATCCTGCAGTTTGACGGCCAGGGCGGCTACATCTTCACCGGTCTAGACTGGGAGCGACGACTGGAGCTGGAAGAGTACGTGTTTCCCCAACTCCCTCTTCCCTGTGGTGTATCATTTTCATTTTCATTCTCATTTTTTTTTTCTTTTTCTTATTTTTTCTTCCTCTTGCGGGCTCTCTCTCGTCCCATGTAATTCTCCATTGGCTAACTGCGGGGTTGATTGATGATAGTGAGAAAGAAGAATTAGATCTCCACCTCCGAGCCGTGCCGGAGTTACAACGCCGTCTGGCTGAGTTGACCGCGTCTTAGACCCTTTTTTGGTGGCCGTTCCGTTCCCATAGCCTGGCATTGTTTATTGACTGTGTGTGGGGCCTGTTTCTTGGTGGTTGCATCGAACTATGACGTTGGGAGTATATTTGTACCTACCTAACTTTGATATGGATTGAGCGTTACTTGTAGTATGTTGCTGTTTTGGCCAGGAGCCCCTCAATATATTTACTTTCCCTTACGTGACCACTATAGTCCTCTGAGGAACGAAACGTTTGAATTGAACAAGTCATAATTACGATCGTCAAGTAGGCCATTATAGAACTCAAGAGCCTCGCTGCAAATGCAGATGCCATATCACATATAGACATGTACCTAATCCATGAAAATCAATCAATCCTTCATGTCCAGAGGCTCGATGTTCCAGATGCTGTCCGCGTACTCGCTGATCACCCGATCCGTAGAGAAGAATCCCATGCGCGCCACGCTGGTGATGGATTTGGCGATCCACTCGTCCTGGTTTTTGAACGCCTCGTCCACGATCTCCTGCGTCGTGATGTAGGAGTTGAAATCGTCGGAGACCAGGTAAAAGTCGCCGTGCTCCGTGATCGAGGAGATGAGCGCGGAGAAGTTGCTGGCGTCACCGAACGTGTCGCTGCGAATTGCGTCGAAGACCTTGGACAGATGAGGGTCGAGTTGGAATTCTCCGTAGAAATGACGATGGCGGAGCTCTTCGACGTCTTCGGCCAACGTGCCGAAGAGGAAGATGTTCTGCTCTCCGATCTCTCGGGTGATCTCAATCTACACGGTCATAGTCAGCAAGGGAACTGGAAGTATTATCTAGGTGCGGGGATGGGAAACTCACATTGGCTCCATCGCAGGTTCCGATGATCAGACCGCCGTTAAGAACGAACTTCATGTTGCTCGTTCCGCTGGCCTCTGTGCCTGCAGTAGAGATGTGCTCGCTGATGTCCGACGCAGGGCAAATGATCTCTGCCTTGCTGACATTGTAATCTTCGATGAAGATGACCTTGAGGAGATCGCCAACATCGGGGTCGTTGTTGACAACTGCTGCGACCTTGTTAATGAGGTGGATGATGGTCTTGGCCATCCAGTAACCTGGTGCAGCCTTGCCGCCGAAGATGGACACTCTGGGCACAAGCTTCTCTCTGTCCTCCTTCGACATGGACTTGATAGTTAGGTAGCGATGGATGACGCCGAAGATGTTGAGCTGCTGGCGCTTGTACTCGTGGATACGCTTCACTTGGACGTCGAACAGGGCCTTCGGATTCACACTATAGCCCGTGGTGTCTTTGATATGTTTGGCCAGCCGAAGCTTGTTGGCGGTCTTGATCTCTGACCACTCAGCACGGAATGCCTTGTCGTCGACATACGCCTCCAGCTGATCAAGAAGAGTCAGGTCCTTCAAGAATTCGTATCCGCCAAGCTTCGATGCGATCAGATCGGAGAGGCGTGGGTTGGCCTGGTGCAACCAACGTCGAGGGGTGATTCCATTAGTGACATTGGTGAATTTGTCGGGACCGTAGATCTCCACAAAGTCTTTGAAGATGGTAGTCTTGATCAAATCGGAGTGCAGTTCAGCAACACCGTTGACCTTGTGAGATCCGATGATCGCGATATGGGCCATTCTGACCATCTTAGGATGCGATTCTTCAATGATCGACACGCGGGACAGCATCGCTCGATCGTTGGGGAATCTTTTTTCCACAGACTGTAAGAAGAACAGGTTGATATCGTAGATGATCTCGAGGTGTCTGGGCAACAGGTTCTGCATCAGCGGGACAGACCATTTCTCCAATGCCTCCGGCAGGACTGTGTGGTTGGTGTATCCGAACGTCTTGGTCACAAGCCTCCAGGCTTCGTCCCACTCAAGGCCCTCTTGATCCACCAATATGCGCTGAAGCTCAACGATAGCAAGTGTCGGGTGCGTGTCATTGAGCTGGATGGCAACTTGATCCGGGAATTCACTCCATGCTCGCTTGGTTTTCTTGAATCGACGAACAATGTCGAAGAGGGAAGCAGCGCACCAGAAGTACTGCTGCTTCAGGCGAAGCTCTTTTCCTCGCTCGAGGTTATCGTTCGGGTACAGCACCGCAGAAATGGTCTCTGCACGCTGTTGATCCGCGACTGCACTCTCGTAGTCACCAGCATTGAACTTTTGGAAATCAAACTCCCCGCTGGCGGCCTTGCTCGACCACAAGCGCAGGTTATTAGTCGTCTTAGTGCCGTAGCCTGGGATAGGAACGTCATAGGCCACAGCCTGAACCATTTCGCCATCCTGCCAGGAGTGGACAGTCTTTCCATTGTCATCTTGATATGTCTTCACCCAGCCGTAGAACTGGATCTCCACGGTGATGTCGTGGCGAGGAAATTCCCAAGGATTGAAATCGAGCCAATAATCTGGGATTTCGACCTGGTAGCCGTTCACGATCTCTTGCTTGAAGATACCATATCGGTACCGCAACCCGTAGCCCCAGGCAGGGTAGTTCAATGTCGCCATACTGTCGAGAAAGCACGCGGCCAGACGGCCCAAACCTCCGTTACCCAGAGCAGCATCGTGCTCTTGATTGATGACATCCTCGACGCGGAAACCGAGATCCTTCAATCCCTCTAGTTTATAGTTTAGATGTTAGTTATCTTCACATACTAATTTCAGGGATGGCTGGACCTACCCCGAGCCGCGTCTTTCATTCCAACATTGAGCATTGCGTTATCCAGCGCTCTGCCCATGAGGAATTCCAGAGAAAGATCTAGAAGCAATCAGCCATTTCCTCCAGGGAGACAGCGCTCCCAACAAGGATTGGAGAACGACATACAATAGACTCTCTTCTGATCAGCGAAAGTTTGGCGCTGCTGGGTTTTGTTCCACTCAATGATCAAACGATCTCTGAAGGCTAGAGCAGTGCCTGAATACGCAGCCCTGGGCAAGGGTTCAGTTGTACAATTCCATCTAAAGGGACGAAGCATGGTCAGACTCACAGTTCATCGCAGTTGTACAGCGACCGGGCCAATGTAGTTTCCACATGGCGGACGAGCTCTCTCTATCCGCAGTCGTCAGCGCAATGACCGGGAGTGTTCTTCACCAGGGATGGGGAACATACCTCGAATTCTTCCTTGTTCGCGAATCCACTAGCAGACTACACCGATGGAGGGGGAAGAAAAAAAGGATTAGGCTCGATTCTCAATAAGAATGGACAGAAACTAGAATCGCCATGCTCGAACTCACGTGCTTCGTCCATCTAGACAAGACGCAAACATCGTCAGCGACAAGACCATATCAGGACAGCAGCTTATTCCAAGCTCTCGACAGAAGTAGATGACTTACGCTTCTCTAAGAGGCTCCGGGATACTAGCCTCGACGCTCTTGATCTCTGCGGGCCCGAAGCCAGTGTAGGTGCGCTTGTGCTTTGGACGACTGAAGCCGGGACCCACGGGACCCTGCAGGGGGATGGGAGCTCCGACAGAGGGTTTTCTCTCCCGACGGGGCGAGGACGGGGCGGACATTGTAGATGGGGATTATATTGACAGGGAAGTCACTGAGTATAGTCTCAAGGGAAGAAAGTGAGGAGCTGCAGGTGAGAGTGGACGAGTAATCTATACAACTCTGTGGAGCGTGGGAAAGAGACGAGGCACGGCAGTAGGAAACCGTATTCGTAACCAAGAGCCAGACCCCGATATGCGCACGGATTCAATTAGGGGGAAGAATGAAAGGAAGGAAGAAGGAAAGATCCCTCAGTGCTTGACTCGAGGAAAACGGAAAGGTAGAAATACCTCGCTACCAGGAGTGAACGATCTATGCGGGAGACGGGGAAGGACGAAGGAGGGGTAAAATCAGTTCACAAAGCGGCCATAGCTTCAGTCCAATGAGGTCAGAATCAGAGTGAGACAGGAAGTGAAGCTCAGCAGAGCAGAGGGACAGGGGATAGGACCAGGATGGCAACGGCTATTTTTATGGTTGATCTGGTTCTAGTGGTGGTGGTGGTGGTGATGGTAGCTTAGTTGTAGCTAACTAGGTAGTTTGTAGCTACGTCGAAGTATGTACTGTGTACAGACGAGTAGGAGGTACTTACTTGGTGGGGTCAAGAGAGAGAGAGAGAAAGTCACTCCTAAGGATTGCTACTAAAAACTATCTACTTACATCCTGATTACGAACAGTGAAACAGCATCCATATCAACAAATGGTCTTGACTCTATTCCTGTCTCTCTTGGGGACCACTCTAGACCCTGCTGGAACGACCAGCTCAGTATACACTATAACAAACTAGACAACTTCTCGCCATCGACAAGAACCGACCGATTCTCGGTCTGCCAATCACAACCAGGGAACCCAACAGGATGGTCTCCTGTTTCTTCCCTCCAATGGGTGGTCTGATGAATTTGGTCTTGAACGGACTGCTCGGAATCGCCATGGCAGCAGAACGGAGCAGTCTCCTCCTCCCGTCCTCTGCCGGTGAAGTGGGTTACAGGATGGCACAAACGAGAATAAATGAGCTGACAGAAGCATTTTATAGTTTATCATGTAATGTAGCTATCGAACTATCGAGCTATCTCTTGACAAGATAGAACCAGTGGAAAGGATCGGATCACCAGACGTCCAGAACATTGCCACGGTTTTTAGTTAAATGCTGGGTGCAGCGAAATAATGATGGCCTCAGGGAAACCACCCACACTGGCAACCAGAGCTCAAGTCAAGTGATTCGAAGAAAAATAATTATATGATATTAATATCGGTTCAAATACACAAAACCATCTCGGCCTCCATTCGGCCATGGAGGTTATAGATCGTAAGTCGCCGCAACAATGCGACTCAAGAAAATGAGGTATACAGGCCCCATATACATGCTCATCAGGGATATCCTCCCTCACAAAAAAAAAAAAAATACCTGTCCTCGCCAAAATCTTGATGTGACGAATGGCTCTTCCATGCCCTTCCCCATGCGCATCAAGAACGGTAAACGATACTCATCCATCCCTCTTGAAGAGTACGGTTGGTCTGCATGGGTTTCATATATACCAGATTGCCACACAAATGGAATGAATGATAGACAAGTCAATCGGAATATGAGAACGAAAGCACTAGAAAGAAAGAAAAAAAAAAAGAGGAAGAAAAAAGACAGCAGGAAAGGCCTATGCATAGAATCGCTGCAAAAACAAAAAAAAAAAAAAAAAAAAAAAAAAAATACTAAGAACATAATAGATAGCTTGGTAGTCAGCGGTAGAGACGAAGAAAAAAAAAAGCGAACCGCCAGAATCATGCATGAGGGATAGAATCAAGGAGCAGAGGAAAATACCATCGAGGATGGAAGGAGATAGGTGGCTCCGAGACAGATCAGAAAGATATCAAAGGCCGTGGCACTTGTCATGCGGAAATCATGCTGAGGCCGCCAACTTTTCAACAGAAGATAATTTGCGGCACTAGATCCTCAAACACAGTCCGAAAAAGCCATGAGTCAAAAGAGAATCAGGACTCGACCGAATGCAGATAGATCGGTTGCCCAATGAAGAATACCTCCTGCAGACTGAAAGAAACACCATGTCGCGAAAAAAAAAAAATTACCCAACACGCTTGACCCAACCCAAGCGCCTGACATAATGAAGTGACACAGACTGCACCGCAACGCCGATGCCTTTCAAACCGAACATAAGAGAGTATCAAGATGGCGAACGAATATAAAGACTGAAAGCGAGGTCATAACCATGAGGAGATCGACAGGGAGAGGGACTCTTGTTCCGGGGAAGACACGTCTTGTCAAGACATGTAACGAGAGTTGCCGAGTGAATAGAATGACCAGAAAGGGGGACAGTAACCGATCATAAGATTCCTGAATCCCGCAAGGCGTTTTGCAGTATTGTTTCCTTAACGGCCGCAAAGACTAAACGGATATTTGTGGTATCGGTCGCTTGGGTAAGGCTAAAATGGAGTCAGACCAAAACACAATGGATTGGATCAGCCAGAGTAAACCCTTACTGTGGATAGAGGTTCAAATGTGCTCGATTGACCTGGTTGAATCGCCATAAAAGGTATTTGGCGGCCCGGTTCACATCATTACCGCCAGAGTAATCGGGGAAGTATTTACTCAAAGGTGAGCGTGGTAACTTCTGGCGAAAGAGATCCACCTTATTCAGAAAAAGGATGATGCTCGTTCGCATGAACCACCGCGAGTTGACCACTGAGTCGAAGAGTACTAAGCTCTCCATCATTCGATTCTTTGGGGGACGGATGTCAACGAGGGCCATAGCTGGGTGACACAGAAATAGAACTTACTTGATTGCTTTCTTCCAGCAGCACTTGGTCATATTCACTCAATGCCACACAAAAAATTATGGAAGTGACGTTCTCAAAGCAATGGATCCACTTCTTTCGCTCGCTGCGTTGACCTCCGACGTCGAACATACTATCGATTGTGTTAGCGGCCCAAGATGCGAAGACATAATGAGATATAAGACGTCTCATACTGTATGCTAAGCTGGCCCATTGTGAAACGTGTCTCGTAGATACCGGTTGTCTTTGTTCGTGCACGGAGCACGTCGGCCACATTCGGAATATAATCAGGGGACGCTATGCGCTTCGCCTCCTCGAAGAAACTATTCATGGGAAACAACCGATAAGCATGGGGGTGTTTTTTTTTCTTTCCAAAAGCAACAGACAAGTGGCAGAATCATGTACTGACTATGGTGCAGAATCCATGAGATAGAACTCATTTTGATGCTCCAAGGCAGTCGATGTGCATGGATCGTTCCAGAGGTATGTGGCCGCATCCCCGACTCGAAGGTCTAGCGGTGTATTTGGATCCGGGTCGATGTTGTATTCTGACAGGAATTCAATGTATTCTCGAACCTTGGAGCTTGTGGGCTCGAGGTTGAATTGGTGATAAGCTCCGATGAGAGCTTTGGTGCAATCCAAAAGGTTTTTGTAGATCGTCAGCCGGTATAAGGCTAACTCCTCCACTGTGTAGCCGTTCTGATGGATGATTTTCATCTGCTTAACAATAGTAGATTTCCCACTCTCTCCAGAACCTATCGCGCAGCAAAAGAAAAGCTCTTGTTAGCTCCCAGGTCGTAAACCATTACCGTCGCATCCGGACGAATTCAGAACTGACCGAGTAATAGAATCTTGCATTCTCTCCGTAGGCGTCTCGAATCCTCCTCTAACTTGCGGTCAATGGCCTGGCTTCTCTTCTTCTGTTCCACATCCCCAGTGCCCTCCGTGCTAAAACACGACCCCATCTTCGCCAGTTTGCGTGTATTATTTCCCAGACAGCGGATGATACTAAACCAGTAGCTGCCAGCCAGCACAGGTGAGCGACATCAACCTATGAGACACTTGAACACCCGAAACCCTCGGGGACAATGATCATGAAACTAGGCGGTCTTGCGCGCACCCCTAAGACTTTGCAGCAAATCGGTTTCCGAGCGGTTTCTTTTTTTCTTTTTTTTTTTTTCTTAGAAGGAAGTGGTCCAGGCAAAGCGAGAGTAACAACGACGGGGTGACGTCCGGCTTTTGCGACCGATGGAGAGCTGATCCAAATCGAGTTGTGCGCAAGGGCGTCGAGTAGGCAAAGTCACGGCGAGCGGTTCCGGTGTTAGGATGAAAGCGCAATAATAAGTTGAGTACGGGCGTAACGAGTGTAAAGTGGTAAGGTTTGGGGAGCGGAAGCGACGACTCGTGACGCAGGCGATGAGACTAGGGAGGTGATGCTTCGGTCGGCGAAGGAGAAATGCAAGCTCCTGTTGCTTTTTCTCCGTGAGCAGATCGATTGGGGATGAGGGGTGACAGGACTCGATTGCGGAGCAAAGACAGGTGTGTGAGAGTGACTGAGCCGACGCTAAAAAGAGTAGTCAAAGTTGATCGGGAGGAGTGGATGAAGCGCGGATCTCAAAGTGAGATCATGTAAGCAATAGGGATCGGGTATGGCGGTCGAGGGCGTCCCTAAGTGAGAGTTGGTTGTGGTAATTGGTACGACAGTGTATTTAATTGTACAAGAAGAGCGACGATAAACGTGTGGATAGGGTTGACTGCGATCTGCCGTCGAGCTTCAAGGTCTGCAGGTACTCCGGAGAAAGGTGATATCTTAGTATGGTGAACACCCGTTGTGGATATTCCCAATCGTCATGTAGGCAGGCTAGAAGTGGAGATGGGAGAGAGAGAGAAAGAGAGAGAGAGAGAGAGAGAGAGGAGCCTGAGGTGTGACTTTGGGGGAGTTGAGTGGGTATTATTGGTAAAACGTGGACGGGCAAAGCTTACTACGCTTCACACTTACAGTTTGCACTGCTGTCATTATTTTAGGAGAAGGGCAAAAGAAAAGAACACTAAGATAATTATGGCTGTGCAGGTGTAATTGAGAGTGAGGCAGTATGATTTAATAATACTTCGAGCATCTCGGGTAGTAGGGATAGTGAGGATAGATCCGGATAATCGAAGGTATTGGAGGTGATAGCTACAGAAGTACCGCTTCTGTAACTGCCTGCCTAGATAGCCGAGTAGCTACCTCATATCCCTGTCCTCTGCACGGAGGCGGTTGGGTAGTCATACAAAGGATCAGACAATTTGAGATATCAAATACCTCCACTTGACCACTCTAGGAACTTGCTAGATACTCCGTAGTAAGCAGTAACATAGCCTAGCAACAATTGAGTTCCGGGAGTGATCTCTGTTGAGGACGAGGATAACCTGTCATACGGACAGAACCGTTTACCTAAGGCAGCAAGGCATCTATCTCAGTATTGTTGGCCTGTAGCTGGGAGCTGTAGCTGACTAGCTGTAGCCTGTAGAGAACCGATCACCGACTACGGATACTGTACACCTTTATGGGCCAACTAACTAACCGCCATGCCGGCGGAAAGGAGCAGGTCAGGCTTATTTTTCCAGGGTTCGTAACTTCGTATCCCATCAAAATGTGATCAAAACTCGCCCTTTTTTGGGGCCCCCTTGGCTTGTGCTCTTGACTCTTGACTCTTGAGCCTCTTCGTCGTTTGTCAGAGATAACGGTTCAGCGGTTATACTTTGTGTTCAACGGTCCAACATACATTTGTACGTGGTATCTATCTACTAATTGTTAGATCGATATCTAACGATCACAGCCGGATAAGAGTCAACCTAGTAATGTCCGTCCTCTAATGTGTTACTCAAGACCGCGATATTACTCGTGCTTCTTCGTGTTTTATGTGATCACTTGACGCCGAGTCTTGCCGTATGTTACCGTACTACCTGTGTAAGCCTGATACACAGCCACCCAGGTGGTCGTCTTTTGGTACAGGACCTTTCATTCGCAAGGCACAATCGACGGAGTACTATTCCAGGGAGCATTCCGAGGCTGAGGCTATGTCTTGATGACTCCCGATTGGCAAGTGGAAGCCTGGGAATGCATGTAATACTGTTTGATGAGAAGATTTGTAGATTTTGATCTGTATTGTTCTGTGTAGTCAAAGGAAGCTGTCTCAAAGCTCAAAGAAACTGGTGATAGTCAGGGGGATGGTGTGGTTTTCTTTGATAATTGCGATGCGCAAAGCAGTTCAGATGATCTGGACTTTGTCAAATCTTATCAAAGTCTCGAGGTGGTTTGTATACTGCTGCGTTGTACAGAACGGGCAATATATCTCTCCCTGCCACATGTCCGTTGATCGATCCTTCAGGTTGGACATTCGCTTTCGGTGCAACCACATACACATACACACACGGGGAGCAGATATCACCACAGGCAAAAGTACAGGGAGAATGTCAATTCCTCTTTGAAAAGGGGGTGGACGAGAAGACACGGCGTGTTATTATAATTAGTAGATACCCTCAGATCTTTTGAGTCCTTGATTGATGTATCATCTTGGTCCTCAACTCCTTTGTCTGCAGAAAGGAGCAGCTATCCGTAGTTCTGTTCTCTAGTGGATTGGTATACGCTACCAATTTACCTATCAAAATAGCCAGCGTCTGAAGGGATGTGATAGAGAAGAGGGGTCGTACTACTAGGTCCTAACTATCTCCTACCAAAGTCGTCCATAAGGCGTAAGGGGCACGACGGTGGACTGGATCCTATATTGCCTAGACCAGAGCTTATTGATTTGGACAGGAAGATAGGGAGGGGAGGGTATCCAACTACTATCTAGGTGAATACGATGCTTTAGATAGATAGCTACAGATGTGAGATTTTGTCTTCTATTCTTCCTTCCTTGCTGCCCCAATATTGGCTCCCTCGGTTCCTGGGGTGTTTTCCCCCCTCCACCTCAGGGTCGATGGAAGTTGGAACTGGTTAGGAAAGTAAGAACCGGATGTGCCCCACAATGACGATGACGACATCTATCACCGACCGATGTTCCGATTTGAAGCCTCAGAAAACGCCAGAACCAGATTTCCCGATTTCCGGATTCCCAAACCCCAATAATAAGTGATGAGACTTAATATGAGAGTGTCTTATTGCAGCCTGCATCCTTCCTGTCATCGCTTGTAGGTATCAGGCAATGGGGGGGGTATCTTGCTGTTCTTGCTGTCGAGTGTCGAGATATCCCAGAGTCATGACTGCTCTCTCCGTCCTCATCTCGTCTAAGTTCTATGTAGATAGGAATTGTTCTGAATAAGATATATTTTTCTCTACTACTACTTAGACTACTACTATTTCTTCCAGGGGAAGGGGAATGATACACGCAATGAATGTGCCCCTCTTGTGTGCCGCCAAGGATGTATTTTTCCAGGCCACCAATATGGCTTCTTTCTTTTTGCAACACTCTTGGAAGAGTTTGGAACCCTCTTCCAACCAATGGGTCGTTGTGTCAGAATTTGAGGTCTAGAAGACCTGCTTCTTGTGTGGTGACCGAGGACAAATAATCCTACCTATAGACTGGACTACTATCAATTTTTTTTTTTTTTCTTTCTCTCTTCCCGCTCGCAGTTTCGTCGCGGACGTCATCGTCCTTGTTTCTGGATTTTTCTCGCGGGACTCGAACTGAACGGACCAGCCAAACAACGCCAGTCACAGGCTACAGCAACGCAGCAGACGCAACAGGGCCTCGCTTCCCCACATCTGCTGGGCGCCACTTGCTAAAGTCGACTTGCTCAGTGGTGTCTGGTAGTGACTGGTAAGGTGGTAAGTGGTAACTAGATGGTTAGGTGGTTTAGTGAACAATAATAATAACTAGATATCTAGTAGGATCTAGAGAGTAGTATCGAGAGGACTAAATCCTACTATCTATCTAGTTCTCCTACTTACCACGGCTGCTGCCAGCCCCTCTCTCTACGTCCTATTCCTCTATTCCTACCCACAGACCCAGAACAACTACCTACGTAGTTACGACAACTACTGCTTCCATCAAAAAACACCTTTGTATTTTCTTCCTCCTTCAACACTCCCACCCATTTTTTTGTCCTCCCACCACCCCTTCCTCTTATCGGCTCGATTCACTCGTTATCCCTCTCTTATTCTTTTGAGATTGCACCGAGCCTGCAAATCCTCCATTCGAAAAGAAAGACTGCAGCCGCAGAGGAAGAAAAGTCAGACCGGTTATCTTTTTCCCACCGCCCCCCCAAAAGGCGTCATATATTACGTCCCTCACAATAATCCAAAATGGCGGAGTTCGTGCGTGCCCAGATCTTCGGCACCACCTTTGAGATCACCAGCAGGTACTGTGCCTCGCGATGGCTGAATCGAAAATACCGGACAAGTTCTCTGATGATTTTGCAGATACACAGACCTGCAGCCCGTGGGAATGGGGGCCTTTGGCCTGGTCTGGTATGCCATACCCCTCCTTTATCTTGGATCTGCGGCAAAGCGCTCCGAATTTGCCTCATTCAGGATCCTGCAAGCTGACAATCGCCGTCTACGAATTCCAATAGTTCTGCGAGAGATCAATTGACAGGACAGCCCGTGGCTGTCAAGAAGATTATGAAGCCCTTCAGCACCCCCGTTTTGTCCAAGAGAACATACCGCGAACTTAAGCTGCTGAAGCATTTACGACATGAAAATGTGTGTGCAATTTCTCTCCCTGCCCCGCAAATCACACACCTTTGCGCACGTTCGCAATCTAACATTCTGGCAGATCATTAGTTTGAGCGACATCTTCATTTCGCCGCTCGAGGACATGTAAGCTGCGGGCCTTCCCCCCCAACCCCGCAAAAAGCTCGCAACGAGCTTGTGAGTCGGCAGCTCTGATGGATCCTTAGCTACTTTGTCACCGAACTTCTTGGAACCGACCTTCACAGACTTTTGACTTCGAGACCGTTGGAAAAGCAATTCATTCAGTACTTCTTATACCAGATTCTGGTGCGCCTTCATGATTGTTCCTTTGTGAATGGCATTGGGTTGCTAACCAACTACAGCGGGGATTGAAATATGTCCACTCGGCCGGTGTCGTCCACCGTGACCTCAAACCCAGCAACATCCTTATCAACGAAAATTGCGATTTGAAAATTTGCGACTTCGGCCTTGCCCGTATCCAGGATCCTCAGATGACCGGCTATGTCTCGACACGATACTACCGCGCTCCGGAAATCATGTTGACATGGCAAAAATATGACGTGGAGGTAGACATCTGGAGCACCGGTTGTATCTTCGCCGAGATGCTCGAGGGAAAGCCCCTGTTCCCCGGAAAGGACCACGTCAATCAGTTTTCCATCATCACCGAGCTCCTCGGGACTCCCCCCGATGATGTGATTCAGACTATCTGCAGCGAAAATGTGAGTAGCCTCCGACTATGACATCACTGGTTTGGATCTTTGTACAGCCCTTTGCTAATTCGGTGGGTTTCGCTAGACTCTGCGGTTCGTCAAGTCACTGCCTAAGCGTGAACGCCAGCCTCTTGCGAACAAGTTCAAGAACGCCGACCCTGACGGTATGTATACCATTGCTTCGGACAGGAGATGTCTCCCTGGACCAGTGCTGATGACTGCATAGCGGTTGATCTTTTGGAGCGCATGCTCGTTTTCGACCCCAAGAAGAGAATCCGTGCCACAGAAGCACTTGCGCACGAATACCTTTCTCCCTACCACGATCCCACCGATGAGCCCGAGGCGGAAGAGAAGTTCGATTGGTCATTCAACGACGCCGACCTCCCCGTCGATACCTGGAAAATCATGATGTAAGGCTATCTTTCTCTGGAACGGATATTCTCTGGTGGAAAATCTAACTCCGGACGCATAGGTACTCGGAGATCCTCGACTTCCACAACATCGACCAAGGCAACGATGCCAGCCAGGCCCTTGCCGAAGGCTTGGGACAAGGCCAGCAGAACTTCGCCTGAAATCCAGGTCATGGGACATCTGCAAGATGAAGCGCAGATGAATTTGTTTAATGAGACGATTTTCTTTTTTTGACTTCTTCTGTGCTTTGTAGACGGAGGATGAAGATCACGATTTTGTCTGTGCGCTTTGAGACTTCCCCAGCGTCCCCTTTTCTTACTTTCTTGTTCTTGTTTTCCCACCCCCTTTTGTTGTAGCAGGCGTATGTATACGGCCTGCCTTTGAACCATGAAACTGTTCCATCCTGGCGTCGTTAGAGTCGGAGGTTGCGGAGGACCCAGTCTATCTATTCTTACCTCTTAGTGATGTCTGTAATACAGAGCCGTCCCGTTGTCTTTTTCCTTATCTATACATATACACACATATCAAGTTTCGATTTGGATACTCGGCTTGAAGGGCATTTCCATATTTTCAACTATCGTGTAGTGGGGTTATCACAGCTGGCCCCAGGATATTTCCTATCATTCATTCTATCGTGAGACGCATTATTCCTGCTGCCATGAAGCGTTGTGCAGAGGCCTCTGACGTATGCTGCGGATTACCCCAGAGCCGCCCGCCGCGGGGCCAAAAAATCAACATCGCAATCACCGCCGTCCGCTGTCACCGCCCGCAGACTGTGATTCGCTTCCCCTGGCTTGAAGATCGTTAGAAGCTAAGGTATCATATTCAAAGCTCAAGCTGCGGTGGAAAGGAAAAAGGAAAAAAAAAAAAAAAAAAAGCGGCTCGAGTGTCTCCCGCACCCCTTATCATCATTGCCCTCGAATACACGTGGGACGGCGCAAACCCATCTTTTTCCCTTCATCCTGAAAAAGGACACTGACTTGGGACGTATCAACACTGCGGTCCCCCGTTTGGTTTAATTCGGAACCCCCCCCTGTTTTGCATTGCAATGTCTCATATGCAAGGTCGCCAAGCGCCTATTGTGATGGTGATTGATTTTCACCATGCAAGGTGAGTTCTTTTCTGAAGGAGTGAGCTGTGTTTTTACGGTGGAAATCCTCACCAGCGGAGAGAGCATGAGAGCAATGAGAGATGCGGCGGTTAAGATAACATGTCAACCGGACTCGATATCACCGATTTGTTCCTCGCAACCCCCACTGCCCTCGACGTGCAAGCATCAATGGCTAACCGTATCTATTAACCCCATCTAGAGGCCCAGAAATCGAACTATGCATTGGAGAAGATGGCACTGATATTGCGACCGAGAATGACTGGTCGCTCTTACCATTCATGGCGCTATCAGATGGAGCGCATGCGTATGGAGCAATTCCTCCCCCATCACATCTCCCCACCCCAGCGATAAAGAGGAACCGTGCGATTGATACGATGTCATTTTATGTTGGCCTACCAGATCTACCGAGGAGTTCTCCTACTTCACCCTCCGCAAGAAGGAGACCGCGACGGAGCCCGCAACCTCGCTCTTCGGCATCGCCTGTTCCCGCCAGATCGACTCGAACCTGCTCCTGAACCGCCCTTCGGACGTTACCAGGTCCACCGTACAAAAGGCCGTCGTCGTGATAACGGATACACCGCAGACTGTGGGGCAGTTGAGGGAGAAGCTCTCCGTGGTGACCTCCGCTTGGTTTGCGCAGCGGTAGGTTGGACCATTTATCTGTCCTCCTTTTATGGAGGGACTGTCGATTGTCGACTGTCGGAATTTCAAAGCTGGGATTGATGGATGGTGGCTGACTGCATCTGGCGCAAACAGGGATTTCTCCGACACTGATATCTTGAAGGTTGGCTTGCTCCGGCGCTGTTCTATTTGCGAGTGCAAGCTTTGCTGATGCAGAGGCTTAGAAATTCCGTGAAGGCCTGATCATCAGTTGGGAGCAAAATGAAGCATCGAAAGATCAGAATCTCGGTATATCCATACATATCACTTATGTTGATCGGTCAGGAGACGTCGCTAACACCCTCTCATAGGACTTTCTCTGCGAGAGATGATTCACGAGTTCAAGTATCAGACTCTCGTCCTGTTCAAAGCTCTGCTTCTACAACCAAAGGTATGTGTGGGTTCATGCCTATTTGTGTAACATACGCCTGACGTATCTAGATGCTCTTCTTTGGCTCGCGATGCGAGCGGTTATGCATGATCCAGTTTTCACTGATCTCGCTGATACCGGGGCTCATCAATAGCCTCCAGGATTGTGCCGATCCGTCAGCCGACAGCTATGAGCAGACCGTGAAGAAACCCACGTCTCTGAAAACGAGTGATAGAGCATCATGTATGGAAACTCAGGCTCCTTTTAAGTGACCGAGCAATGAAGCTAACCGATAGCAGTGTTAGCATATATGGGATTGCCATTGCAGATTTTTGGAAAGGTTCACAGTCCCGACGCATCTCATTGTATTTCTCTGACCTTCATCCAGGGGAGTATGTTTGGCCCTTACACGCCGCTCCAGCAGCTGGATCTGCTGGCGGATTATGGGACTAAGTCGTATGTTGTTGGTTCTACGAATTCGCTTCTCCTCCAGCAGAAGGATCGTTATAGCGATATTTTAATTAATGTAAGTGGAGCATTTCTTCTGTCTACGCCAATTTGTGTTGCTGAAATTGAAATACTAGCTCGACGAGGACACCATTAACATCTCGTCACCTTCTCTTCGAAATGCATTGATACTCTCCGCTGCCGACAGACGCTGGATTGACCTCCTCACTCAGATCATAAACGATACTTGGGATGAAGCGCATCCCCAGCGGCCCAAGGATCACGGGTACATGGGCTCGGAAGAATTTATCAGGCTCCAGTTCGAGGAGTACCTACTTGCGCTGCTCGCGTGTATGAAGTACCACGAAGAATTGCAACCCTTCAACAATGGCGAACCAGGCCGGAGGAGCAGAGCGCAGCTGGAGGCGTACAATATCGAAGGGGACCCGGCCCTGGAATTCAATCCGGAGTTCCTGACACAGTGGCAGACCACCTCCAACTATGCACTATTCAAGCGGCTGACATCCGACGCGCTCTTATTCTCAATCGCTGAACCCCGTCACCCCTGCGCCGGCGGCCTGACCATCGAGGATGTCCAGCGACGATTGTCGCAACAGGTTGCCGAACTCCACCTCGACGAACGGGTCCGCGAAGGCCGGGAGGCGCTGAACAGACACCTAAGCACAGGCCAGAAGAAGGTGAGCGCCGCCTTCAACAGCTTCTGGGCTGACATCGAATCGATGCGCGAAGCCCAACGCAAGCGCAACGAAGAAAAAGCGCTCCAATCGCAACGCTCCTCCCTGGACAACAGCACCGTCAGCTCCCCGCCCCTCCCTGCCTCGGACACAGCATCCGTCAACTCGACCACAACAAGCTCGTGGTTCGGCGCCCGCAAGGCCCCCACCGTCGACATCGCGCAGGCGCAGGCCTCCGTGAACGCAGTGAGCCAGAAGGCCGGCGCATACCTCAGCTCCTGGGGCTCGTGGGCCAGCGAAAAACGCAAGGAGTGGCAGGAGAAGAAAGCCACGACCCCCTCCTCGCCCTCCTCAACCACCTCCCCGACCCTCAAGACCATCGCCGAAGGGGCGGATGCAGAGCGCGGCCGCCGCCGCTCGTTGCAGCAGTCGCGCCCCAACGAGGACTCCGGCACACTCTCGCGCAGCGGCAGCCGCCGCAAGCGATGGAGCAACATCCTCCTGCGGCGCGAAAGCGGCGACTTCGGCTCCCGCTCCCCGACCCGCCGCGACGACGGCAGCGCCGACAGCAGCGAGCCCGATCTCCCTGCGTTCCCCAAGTCGCCTCTGTCGCGGGAGGCCTCCATCGCCGACAAGGAGTCGAGGGCGAAGCCCGACGATTCTCCTACACCACCCCAACCAGACAAGGAGAACGCCCACACTGTACCATCAATATCCACATCAGCAGCAACATTAGCAACAGAAACAGCAACAGCAGACCCGCACACTCCAAGCCCCGAGCCAACACAAGCAACCACCTCCACACTAGCTGAAACCCCTCAGAACTAAATCATCCCATGATTCCATGATCCCATGAATCTTGGATTTCCGTGACAAGCCTTCTCTGCTAGCGATACACGACCCGAGAGACCTTGGAGAAACAGCGCTTGCGCTTTCTTGCATATAATTTACTTTTTCTTTTCCCCTTTCTTTCTTGTTTTGATACCAGCATAAGATCATAACCCGTGAGATGTAATGGGAGGGATGGGATGTGTATGTCATGCAGTGCGATGTAATGTGGTGGTTTGGATTGGATACCTTTCGAGTCCCCCCTGGTAGTAACTATAGTTTGGAGTAAATACGAGATGTGTTTACGGATTAGACCACACTAACTACGCCGCCAAATCAGACGCATGGACAAGATATATATACCAAGGCATTGTTTCAAGTGTGAGCGCTGAGCCAACGAACCGAAGTCTAAAACAATCTTTCTATCTGATGTTGATCAAGTAGTTTATCATTGGTCATATCAGCGCTATAAAGAGCATCATGTTGTTCCAGTAGTTAGTTGTATGGCCCTGCCAGTGCGAAGAGAAAACCGACTCCCTTGCTGCAAAAAGTGAAGCAGAATGGGGAAAAAAAAAGATTAACAAGGAAATACCGGCGCTAAGATGAGATGTCGAAGCAAGCAAAAAGTAACAAAAAAAGGTAGTAGGGCTGAACTGAAGAGTATAAATAACGAGAAGAGAAACCGCATCACGCAATGTAAGCGATCTCGTCTCCGTCCAATCGCTCTATGTAGTCCTTCTCCATAAGCGCCTCGATGTTCTTCTTGATATCCTGCACCTTTGGAGGGAAGCGTGATTTGACCTGCTGGATGACCTCTTGCACGAGCTGGACGTGTTTCATCTTCTTGCGGGACTTCATGATACGCACGATGGCAGACTAATCAAATGGCAATTAAAAAAACTGTCCCAACAAAAGGTTGGGGATAAAAAACATACCTGAAGGAGCAACTTTCTGTCTTCTTCTATCGTCTTGTGGGTGTCATCTGTCTCAACCTTCTGCTCCGACTTGATCTGGATGTTCAGGTTGACCTTGATCTTCTTGTTCTTGAAGTTGTAATTCAGAGAGAATGAGGCTCCAGGTCCCGGTTTGGCCCCTTCTGGGCTTGGCAGGAGCACCTTGGCTTTCAAAAGGATGGCCAGATTAGGGTCGAGGATTTCGGGAGCAAGACTGGTGGCGTTTTGGATGTCGGAGTAGGATAGGGTGTCCTGTTCATTGAAGAGCACGAGGATGCCCATTTGAAACGTTGACACCTGGAATGTGTATGGAACCTTGGTGTTTTTGATGTAGTTTGCCTTGACCTCGCCCTTGCAGAGCTGCCAGAGCCAGGTCAGCTTCCGACCGTTGTGTTTGTCATAGTAGAAGCTCTGGAATCGCTCGTAGGTCTTGACAATTTCAGGCGGTGCTGAAAAGCCGGTCGTAGGCGGGTTGAGTGGCCAGAAACCTGTCCCCAGGATCTGGAAGTGTGCATCCACTTGCTTCTTCCGGTCATCATCATCTAGGACCTTCTCCTGCCAATCCTTGTAGCTGGCATTAAGATCTTTCGAGATCTGGATATCCTGGAACATGCGTTGCAGTTTGTTGGTGTACTCGAAACCACAGGCTTCTTTCAGTTTGCTGATCATGCTGGTCTCCGCATCATCAGAAACCGAGCTGACATGTACTAGACGCTTGGCCAGCATCTTGGAATAGAATTTTTGGAATACGTCCTTGTCTTCGATATATTTGAAGACGGTCATAATCTGTACCAACATCTCTTCCAGCTCCGACTCCTCCGCAGCCTTCGAGCCTTTCTTCAAGAGAGAATCGGTATATCGAGCCAGCAGCTCAGGCGACTTGGTCGAGCTGGACTTGCACACCTTGTTGCGATTGACAAATTCGCGACAAGCGTTATCCAAGGACCTCACAAACTCAGACTCGCCGTTGAAGGCCTCGTTGACGAGATTCTGATACCTAGTGTGCACTTGCAAGAGGGCATCCACGTACATCTTGGGCTCGAACGCTTCGCCTTCCGCAGCGACCTTTTCGACAGCAGCCAAACCCGCTTTTCGGACATGGGTCTCGAATTTCGCCCGCAAGGGATCCAGACCGTCTTGGATCCGTGACAACAGTCGGTACATCCGTGCCAGGTCATCTTGACGCTCATTGTCGAGCAGAACTTGGAATTCGTCCCGAAGAAGTTCCGAGTGTGTCTTGACGAGCACATCCAGACAGGTCTCGGTGAGGTGCTTGGTGATATCAGGGTGCAAATACAGGCCCACCCGAGCCTTCTCCTCATCGAGACGAGCCTCTGCCTTCTTCATATACTCAACCACGCTATTCTCCGCCACAAACTGCCGTGACTCGTTCTCGTAATAGACTTTGGTCGCCGCGATGAAAGGTTTTTCGAAGTAGATCCGATAGACCTCGAGCGTGGACTTGGTGCTATCGTTCTCATCCAAGCCAAGGGAGACGAATGAATCCACAATATTCTTGATCTGCGACTGCTCAATGGTTTCGCCGTTTCTTTGTTTCTCGATCAGATTGAGTACTGCGTCCATGACCTTCTCATGAACCTTCATGAAGAAGTCGTCCTTCCATTTGACGAGATGCAAGGTGTACACATCGTATACGTTCTTTTTGCCCTCGTCAATCTCCCTCTTAACCCAGTGACGGTTCAGGTAGCGGAACAGATGGTTGACATATTTGGCGGCAGTTGTGTATCGAAGCCATTCGCGAATGTAGAAGCCCAGCAAAGCTTCTTCGCTGTGGCTTTCGGACTCGGTGTAGACGGCCTCGAGATGTCGTGATAGGTACTCGCCCAATAATTTGTATAGTTCCTCTCCCAGTAGATGCGCTGAAACAGCGGAGTTAGCATTTCCCTAGCCGAAGCCAACTCGATAGATACAATGACAAACCTCCGCGGTGCGACGATAACCCCTGACCATTACTGACTGCCTTTTGGGATGTGCAGAAGTTGTGGACCGCGCTTCACTCCGATGTTAGTCAGGTCAGATATACCAGTCTGCAAGACGTTTTCGCGAACAAATGGGGACGACATACGTATACAGGGCCATGTACTACAAGAGCAGAAGAACAAATGTCAGCAGTGTTGCACAGATGTGGCTCGCTCTCACACGTTGCGAGACTACTAGAGAGGCACAGGGGCAAAGACGTACAGTTTTCATATCCACACCCTCCTCCAGCTTCAGCATAACGCTGTCGATACCCTTCTCGAGGAAGCCCCATCTGCACAGATTAGCCTCGCTCCCAAGTCAACGCAACTTCGAGTCCTTTCAAGCGGCGAGATTCAAGACATCGGGCGAATGACTCACGTGTCGTTCACATCATCCTTGAGGGGTGTTTGAGGCATAAGAGGCGCCATAATGATAGCGAATTTTGATAGTCGAGAAAGGGCCGCCCTGGAATGATGAGACGGTCAGCGTTGGCCTGATCAATGCTAAAACGCCGACCAAAAGCGACGTCTATGATTAAATATCCAGAATAGAGACTCGAGTCAAACAGATATATAGTGAATGAATAGTGGACTCACTTCGATATCCAAATGATATAATTCAAAACCCCGAGACGAGGACAAACTGACAACGGCAGCGAGTCAGAGCGCCGGAGGCAATGCCTTGGGAAGCGGCGCACGAGGCGGACAAACAAGGGAGATGCGGATAAACAAGATAGAAAGATCAAATGTGAGCCAAAGGACTTGACTCGAAAACACTTGGCAGGAAAATCAAGTGCAAGGACCCAAGACACAAAGGAGGAAACACGCGACTAAAGACCGAGAAAGAGTAATGAGGGCGTGGCGTTGGGCGGTGGTGGAGAGTTGCGGGCGGCGGGATGATGATGGGATGTTAGTGGTAGGCGGTGAGGGAGATGAACAGTTAGCTGCCTGGCAGGCCACGACAGGCAGACAGAACAGAACCATAAGGCTGTCTGTCATGAATTCGATGGAGATGAGCATAGTGAACGAAGCTTTGTTAGGCATCAGTAGATTTTGGTGATGTTGATAGAGTGTCGAATACGTGTGGTCACATCTATGGGGAGTGAATCACAAAGCTTGTGAGATCAGGAGTACTTGCTACACTTTCTAGCAGCCCATTCCCCTTTGCTCATAGATATCCCTTAAGCATCTTCTCGAATAAGCATAGATCATGAGTGGCTATTTGTATTCTGATATAATAAGTGCACCTAAACACTCCTCCATCTCTCTCATCTACAACTATCTATCCAGCTCTTCACTGTCCTCAGAAGATGAAGCATTGCGGATTTCCCAGCCGGGATGACGTCACATGTGGCCTCCAGCATCATAAATTCATAACAAACCTTTTGCCATAAGGACGATACAGAGTATCTAGATCTGATATCTGTATTCTCTTTATCTTATCACTTTCTCACTTCTAATAACTTACAGGTTCAACTTCCATACATATCATCCTGCGTTCAGCTAATCATTTTTTCTCTCATCATTAGTAGATCACTCACCTTTTGTCCATATAGTACCATGTCTTTCAAATTGCCATCAGAGATCCAAGTCACCTCGCGTCAAATCCCCCGGTGGAAAAGGATCCCAAACACCTCTATCCAATCCAAACCCCTCATGATATATCACAAGGCGTTTGAAGCAAGTCCGAGCCAGCTCACAGCGCATCTCGAGGAGGTCGGCGAGGTCATCCCGCAGTGGGTCTATGGCATGTATAGCCACACACACTACCACAGCACGACGCACGAAGTCCTGGGAGTCGTTTCTGGGCAGGCTCGTCTGTGTTTTGGTGGGGAAGAGAACCCTGGACGCTTCGAAGCGGATATTGAAAAGGGTGACTTGATCATCGTCCCCGCGGGCGTTGGCCATCGGCAGTTGAATGAGCTAGAGTCTGGCGGGGAATATTTCAAAATGGTCGGGGCGTATCCGAAGCAGAAGTACTGGGATATGTGTTATGGGGAACCGGGAGAAGAAGAGAAGGTCAGGACCATTCAGGAATTGGACTGGTTTCATAAAGATCCTCTGTTTGGACCGGATGGCCCTGTGTTACATGTGTGAAACCCAGAATGCCGTGTCCGAGACGGAACTGCATGAAGGCGTCAGTGTTTACGGACACGTGTGATTGCTTTGTATCTTGTAGATAGACAAATAGAATGAGATAGAGAAGCATCAAGTATGTTACACAGCAAGGCAGGGAGGGATAACGACTGAAGAGCCCAATGAGGTGAGCTTATAGGCTACCGTTGGGGCCGGGGGAGCCCCAGCCCGATCCCCCGTGTTCCAACTCCGGGGACATCCTTCAACTCCACGTTTCCATTCAGAGAATTTGCTTGATACTAACAGCAAAAGAAAACATTCAGCATATGTGGATCAGTCGTTCTTCTGTATACCCGTATTCTTTTATTTTGTTATTGAAACCCACAGTCGTTCTTCGTTTCATGTCCCAGAGGGATAAAGATGTTCGAGGTCGTTCTACGGTAAACAGCTTGACAAAGGAAGTGCAGCAAGGGGGAGCCCGGGGTAGTTCTAGTTCTCATCTGTAAGGTAGCGTGGGAGATCATTTCGTTGCTTTAGCTGGCTGTCAAGACTAGATAAATAATAAAGGTTCATTGATTGTTTAATTGTGGTCATATTATTACATAGACACAAGAAATGGTGTTGAGCAAAGCGAACGCTAGAATACAGAAGCAAAAATTCATTAAGCAAAAGTCATTGGGCAACTCGTTCTACGAGTCTGTTATGGGAAAAGGTCTGTTAGCATATGCATACGGAGAAGAAGGGAAACTCTCCTTACCTGAGAACACTTATAACGAATGTGGTAAGCCAAGCTAATAGAGCAATGAGCAGAACACTGGCAAGAGCTATTTGCCGATTGCAGATCGCATCGTTCTTCTCGGAGATCTCCTGATTAATCTCCGCGCTCGTGCAGGCGCCTTTGACCGTAGACAAGGATTCGAATGCGATACTCAGATTGGCCGAGTCGAACACTATGAAGAATATGTCCAGGAGAATCAACCGCGCCTTCGCTGATGGCGAGCGTAACCCGAGGGGCTTGGCTGTGTATTCATCCCACGTGATGTAGACTAGGTAGACCAAGGCGACAGCGTCCACGATGATTGCCATCAGTGCGGACGGGCCTTGGGGCTGATCGTATCTGTCTGACAGATGCTGAATAGATCCTCCCAGGGCAAGAGCAGTGAGGGAGAAGACCCAGACTGTCAGCCGGAATAGTAAGGGAACCATAGGACTCTTCAATAAAGTGGTGTGGAAGCGCTTGATCCAAATCTCCCTGCGCCGCTTCATTTTCAGCGGATCCTCAGTATCTTCGCTTGGCTCCAGCCGTCCTCGCCATGGCTGTAAGTAGTTGCCGTGATTCTCATTCAACCATTCCGCCGTAACTTGTTTTTCCTCGAGTCCGGGTTCGAGGGGATAGGCGATTGCCTTGGAGAAGGGCCTCCATCGGGATTCGCGACGTGGATCTACCCCAGTTTCTTCGTCGAAGCTTAGTCTTCGACCGACATAGCTATAGTTCGCCCGGGAGGCTGTGTAAGGAGAGTGATTGTGTTGAGCGACCAAAGCGTCATCGGGTTGCGGGGGGAGTAGTCGAGCTGAAGCGGATGCTTCTGCGTCATCGTGCGCATACTCAAGAGAGCGTATCCATGCTATGCGCAGAATAGAGTTAGTCAATTTGAATTGCTATTGTCGAGGGCGCTCATGTCTACGTACGGGGTAATGTTCGCAGACTGTCCCCCAACACCTTCCTAGTCAAATCATCTTCTGCAGTAGAATTTCCTAGAGCTTGCGATGCACCAGCCGATGCGTCTAATGTGCCATTGCGAAGAGGTTCCTCGGTGTGCTTGGTGACCTTCAGTCCATTCGGGAGATGGGGAGCTGGCTGTTCCGAAGCCAGCTTGGATTTCTCAAGATTGCTGTTGCGCTCGAGGGCAGGCCCATGTTCTAGAGGCTGCTGTCCAGAATTGCGCACATCCTTTGCCATTGCCCTTCCTTCACTTCAGCGATTGTCTCAAGTGAGGTTGGGCTCTCGGAGGTTGCGGGAAGACGATGGATCCAGTCCGCATCGCCTCCGGAACCCTCGTGTAAAAGGAGGTGCAGTACCAAGACCGAAAAACTGCGTCTAGGTTGTTTAAGTATGTTGAAACGAAGAAGCAGAAAAAAATGGAAATAAAAATAAAATAAAAGAGAGATCGAAAGTTAGATAGCCAAAGGTCATGAGCCCATAATAAGAATACCAAGTAAAAGAGGCTGGGGGACCTAGCCCGACAACTGGCGGCGCTTGTTGTTGGTTCCGAATAATCGATGAGACGATTCTTATTATCGTTGATTGTCGACGAAGTTCCAGGCTGCGTCTGCAACCGAGTGCGGAATGACGTCTCCCGCAAATAGTATTATTATGGATACGCACACCAGCTCTCAACAAGCTTAACAAGGTCGGGTCCACGTTCAGCTGCGATCATCTTTTCGCCACAGGAATGCAGAATTAAAAAGCATCGTCGAGGAGGCACTGACAAGGAGAAGAAAGACAAAAAAGCAAGAGAAAGGCATGCTACCTCCGCAGGCTCCCTTCAATCGATCGTTTTGTCAAGCCAATCGATAATCGATCTGACTCCCCTGACTGCGCCCAATCCCTACTCAGCCACACTCATCGAAGTCCGTTGGAGATAATTTGACCGAATTCGGCATTCAGTGATCCCATCGCTATGCGGCTTTTCGTCGTTCCCATCTCGACCAGACGGGCGCTGATCTATGCTCGGCCGCTTAGCAAGGATCTTTCTAAGGAGCTCTCGGTAATTGATCGCGTCACGACCAAAGCCGCAGAAGTATGGGCAAAATGGGAGGAAGCCGATAAAGGCTGGAAGAAACACCTGGTGACATGGGGCAATCGAGTCCAGCAGCGGATTCCGTTCGAAGAATGGGCGCTGAAAAGCATACCGTCTCTCAAGGCGCAAAGACGACTCGACCAGTCGTCGGAGACGAAGAAAGTCGATGTCTTATTCCCCGGTAATGCGATCAAGGCCGAGAAGCTTCGGTCCATCCTCTGGAAACTGGCGACAGAGCGACAAGAGTTGCACCGTAAGAGGATGTGGTGGAGCTTGATGGCGACTCCCTTCACTGCACCAGTCGCGCTAATTCCAGTGTATGCATTTATCCCTGCCTGATCATGCATTGCCCATCGCTTGGTTGCTAACCTTTCCCTCAAGAATACCTAACATTCCCTTTTTCTATCTTGCGTACCGAGGTTGGTCGCATTGGCGAGGTCAGCTCATCCTCCATAGAATCGCATTCGTCCCAAATACTGACACACCGAAGCATTGAATGGCTCTAAACATCTAGAATACCTTTTGAAGAAAGACCTTCTCAACCCTGTCTCATTCCCAGGTCTAGAGCAACTCTACGCAAAACGCGTAGCTCGTGCTCTGGGAAACGATGGCTTGGAAAAGGCCGCTTCCAGTATGGTGGAAGAAGTGGAGAAAAACGAAGACAGGCTATTGCTTGATATGGCCGATGCTAAGAAATTGGCATCAATCCTCGATGCACCCGAGCTTGCGCTTGAAGCGGAACGAGCAATCTATCAGGTCGACGAGAGCTTGAAGACGCAGAATCAAGCTGCTGCAGAAGCCGCAGAAAGTTCTACTGCGTCCAAGGACAAGAAGACTTGAGACGAATCACCCTGTCCTCAAGGGGAACGGAGCAAGTCCAAGGGCAGGAGTGCTCCCTACTCATTAATGAAGGAAGGGCATGCTTCTTGGATTCGATATAAATGCAACTACGAACCTCCTAAACACGAAGAGATGGACCATATGGGAGAAGCGTATGAATGAGCGATGAGGATCAGAAAGATTGTATACTAGGCTACTCCTCATAAAATATCGATGAGCATCTATTACATCAATAAAACTCTCTTCTCCGAATAGCATCGTTTATCTACCCGATAAGAAGGACGGCTCTGCTGGGATCAGTTCGAACTTCGAACAAGGGGATTAGAGAGACCAGCTCGTGTGGATGTATGGTATTGTCCGATACCCCAATCAATAATACATCAGATACCAATACCATGCTCTATGAGACTGTGTTACCCCTGACGGAATGACCTTTTTTCCGGATGCCTCCATCGGAGCCACTGCGGGATGGCCAAATTGGGTAACGGCGAGCCATCATCATCATCATTAGTCAGGTCTCCGAGCGACCCCATACCAGCGATAACACCCAGCCTTCACTGAATCGCCAATCCAATTCCGAGCAGCACCGCAAGCACCCTCTACCACAGTTATGTCGACCAAGAAGATTGAACAGTGGGAGATTGAGCGGTACTGGGAGATCTTCGCATCATTGTCAAATGGCCAGCCCCATCTAAACAGCTCTCAAGCCGCCTCGGTGCTCAGGAACAGTCGGCTCCGCGACGAACAACTCGAGAAAGTATGGGATTTGGCCGACGTCGACGGCGATGGCGAGCTGGATTTTGAGGAGTTCTGTGTTGCTATGCGATTAGTTTTTGATCTTGTCAATGGGGTATGTTTGACCTGCTGCTGAATACCCGTCATGGCCCCTCCCGCTTCGTTACATGCGCCTCCCAGAAACTTGTCTCTCGCATTGGTATACGAATAACTTGCTTACTTGGATCCATGCGCCAGGAGCTACAAGAAGTCCCCCGAGTACTGCCCGACTGGCTTGTCCCCGAGTCCAAAGCCCATCTCGTCCAAGCGGGCCGTGCGTTGAGCGGGCGTCCCGAGCAATTCGAACGGATAGAAGATGAAGACGATACCCCTGGCTTGAAAGACGGCTTTGACTGGTACATGAATCCCGCCGACAAATCCAAGTATGAAGAAATCTACTCCGCCAACCGCAACCACCGTGGCGAGGTCACATGTACGCCCCCGACTGCCTGGCAGTGCGCACTGCTTTATCACCGATGTACGGAGCTGACAGGATCTTAGTTGAATCGCTTCAGGGGCTGTACGACTCCCTTGATGTTCCTGACACTGACGTTCGCTCCGCGTGGAACCTCGTCAACCCTTCTGCATCCCCCGCAATCAATAAAGACGCCACCCTTGCGTTCCTGCACATCCTCAACTATCGACATGAGGGCTTCCGCATCCCCCGCACCATCCCCGCCTCCCTTCGCGCGTCCTTCGAGAACAACAAGATTGACTACCAGGTCGACAACGCTCGCCCTGCACAGAAGTGGGGCGCAGATGGAAGCACGGAGACCTTGACAGGGCGAAAGACCAAGTTCGGAGACACGTATCTGAGTCGTCTAGGCGTCGGCGGAAAGGGGTCCTACACACCCAAGGGCACGGACTTCAGCGACACTATCCAGGACGAAGAATGGGAAAAGGTGCGCCTGAGACGCGAGCTGGCAGAGATGGAGGCCAAGCTTGACGCGGCCAACAAGGCCTCCGAAGGTCGTCGAGACCGACCCCGAAATGACGGCCGTCCCAACTGGGTCCTGATCAAGAAAGAAGCTTTACAGTTGTTGGAGTACAAGGAGCGTGAGCTGCGGGAACTCAGAGAAGGAACTGGCAGGGCCAAGGAAGGTCAAGATCTCGAGCGGTTACGGGACGACATCAAGACTGTCGGTGACCAAGTCGAAGGATTAAAGGCGCATCTCGCCGAACGGAAAGATGTACTTGCCGATGTCAGACGGCAGATCGAGGAAGAACGGCTACACCGGTGATTTCCATTCTGTCTCTGCCTGGTCGATCTCCTACCTAATACAACCTTCTTACCTTGCATGTTTGCCGGCGGGATATGTTCTCTCGTGTTGATTTGTTATTCGATGTACAGCCATTCTTTTGGCGAGGAGCTTAGGCGCTTAATGGATTATCTTGTGATTTCTCACACAGTTGATTAAAGGATGGGGCAGGTTTCCATCGGAAGATGGATGATAGGACCTGCTGCTGTCTAGCAAAATAATGTACATATACCAGCCATTTCCATATCAAAACATACCAGCACCCGCTCTATCTCTTACGTATAACGCCACAAGTGCAAACCAGTCCATTGGCAAGGCCACCATCGAAGTCTATTTCCCAGTAATCTGCTCCATCAAGCTATTCCCCTCGGGCTTGGTCTCCACAGCCTTGAACGCCCGCCCGGTCTGGTCAAGACCCTTCTCAGCGCGCGCGTACGCCTCCTCGCTGCGATCTGTCAGGATGTCCAGGTCCTTCTGCGACAGAAGCGCTTTGGGGTCAGCACCGGTCTCGAAGCGCTCGAACTCATCTTCACCGAGCGCCTTCCTGAGCTCGTCCGCATCGCTGTGGTTCATGGAGCTTTGGTCAAGGAGACTCTTGAACTTCCCCTTCTGGATGACCAGGCGCTCGAGCCGGCGTTTCGAGTCCGCTTTTTCAAGGAGGGTCTGCTCGACCGTGCCTTTGGTCGCGAGCCGGTAGACAATCACGGGTCTTGTCTGGCCGATACGATGTGCACGGTCTTGCGCCTGGAGATCCTGCTGCGGGTTCCAGTCAGAGTCAAATAGGATGACGGTATCTGCGGCCACGAGGTTGATGCCCTGGCCGCCTGCCCGGGTGCTGAGAAGGAAAATCTTGAAGTGCGAGTCAGAGTTGAATGCTTTGATTTGTGCTTGACGGTCGGTCTGGCTGATGGCGCCGTCGATGCGGCAGCAGTTCCAGCCGCGGAGCTGGGTGGCCCAATCTTGGAGAATGTCGAGTTGAGTTTTGAACTGGGAGAAGATGAGGATCTTGTGGCCTTTTTTCAGGAGACAGGGCACGAGACGGTCCAGGAGGAGCATCTTTCCGGAGGCTGTGACGAGTGTTTCGTCAATGGCGGCCGGCTCGTTGCCCCATGGCCAGTAGAAGTTATGCGGAGAGTTACAAGCGAGGCGGGCTTGCATGACGGGATTCTGCAGTTTCTTTTGGGCGATCTCTTTCTCTGTTGCACTCTTGGTTAGCATGGCTTTAATGCATATAGCATGAGAGTAGCATTGCACGTACTAGCAAGCTTGATTGTATTCGCCCGCTCGATCTCCTCTTGTTCAGAATCGTTGGGACTCTGTTCAATATCTAAGTCCTCTTCCAGACCTTGCTCGATGCGCCGTAATTGCGCATTGAACTCGCGGTCACTCAGCTCTTTATAATTCTGCGGACCCCTGCGTCTGCGAGTCGATCCAGTAGCACTGGCAGGGGTAGAATCGCGGCTGGACTTCAGACTCTTGTTTGGTGTCGACGAACCACTGCTAGTAGCACTGCGTTTCAAACTTGTCGAGCGAGATAGCCTCTCATTCTTCGCCATAAGTCGCTCCGCGGCCTTATCCTCCAGATACCGACGTCCTGTGCCATTGAGAATCTCACGGTATAGGTCTTTTTGCTCCACCGTCAGAGGAGCATAGAGAATGTACTCTCGCTTCTTGGGCAGTGCAGTTTCCACATCAGTCTTGACCCGTCGCAAGAGGAAAGGCTTCAGAATCGAATGCATGGTGGAGACAAGTGTGCGCTTCCGACGTTCAATGACATCCGTTTTCCCACCACTATCTAGCATCGAGGAGAAATCAAACCAGCTCTGAAAGCTATTGAGGTCGTTGAAGATCTCTGGAAGCAGAAAGTGCAATAACGACCATAGTTCAGTGATATTATTCTGTAGCGGTGTACCGGTGATTAGAAGTCGGTTGGCCGAATTATACGAGAGAAGCTCCTTGATGAGCTTGCAATTCATATTCTTGAGCCGATGACCCTCATCCTACTCATTGATTAGTGGACTGAGAATTCTTTTTGTGACTGCAACGCGGTGGATACTCACCACAACGATATATCGCCATTGATATTGCGCAAGAAACTTTCGGTCATTCATACAGATCTCGTAGGAGGTGCAAACAACCGGAAAGTCCATCTCCTTCTGGTCCTTGAGTTTCATGTACTTCCTTCGGATCGAGGCCCGCTCGTCTTTGGAGCCATGATACAAGACCGTCTTGATGCTCGGAGTCCATCTTGCGAACTCATCAACCCAGTTACTCACTGTGCTCAGCGGTGTTGCAATCAGAAAGGGTCCGGATATGTTCTGCTCTTTGAAAAAGGCGATCAGAGAAATAGCCTGGACTGTTTTCCCCAAGCCCATCTCATCAGCTAGGATGCCACACAGGCCGTTCATCCACAGGGTCTTAAGCCATTCCAGCCCTTCCAATTGATACTTTCTCATGCGTCCCCCCGTTACAAGACTCGGCTGCTGTGTTGCAACAAGGTCCTGCCCACCAAGCGCGCTCGGATTGGCCTCATATTCGTCCGCGGCATGCTCCAGGGCCTCCTGCACCGTGGGTTTATCTTCGGAGGTATCCACATCCACCTTCTTGAAATAGCTCGAGATGGAATTGCTGTTTGTGGCCGATGTAGCCTTTCTCGTCCTGCCTCCTCTCGACGTCGTCGTTGTCTTCTCGTCTACTTGCTCACTTTTCGGGGGAACCGTCTCGTTGGCGGAGGTCTGCTTCGTTCTTGCGCGCGTCTCCCGTTGCCGGACCGGCTCCGTGGAGGCTGGCTTCTTTTTCTCCTCCGGTACCGTCTGCTGTGCCCTCGCCGCTGCAAGCCTGGCCTCTTCCTGCTGTTTCTTCATCTTGTCTGCCATGATAGCCACGAAGACCTAACAATGAGACACTATTAGCTTTCTCATAGCACCAAGTCGATATACAAGCACCAAGCAGGTACACATTCAAGCAATTAAACAAGAACACACCTCGCTCGTGTTCAGAAGATGCATCAACGCCTTCGACCGCGCATCCATCTCCTCGACGTCCTCCACAGATTCCGCATTCCCATTCCTATCCACCGCCATCGAGCCGCTCTGTTCAAGCTCACCCGCTGCTTCCTTCATTTCCTGGCCTGTCGTAGATGAAGAGGGCTGTGTGGAATCCGGTCGCTGGGGGCTACTTCCGGAGGTATCGACGGTCGTAACAGGCGTTGCTGGATTGGACATATCCTTGCTTTCCTCCGGTCTTGAAAAATTTTGAAAATTGAGGCGCTTCTCAAAATAACGTCCTCTGCGCCAGTCCCATTCACGGGATAGCTGTGGCGCTGGTGGTAGTTCTTGATATCCTAGCAGTTTGTTTCCGTCTGGGGTCTTCTGTTTCTTTGGGCTTCTCTTATGTCCTAACCAGCTATCATCAAAGCCGCAGGGCAAAGAGATAGATGATGCGATAGAAAATCAACTTTCTGCGAGAAACCCACAGAGGCAAGTGTTATCAAACGGCCTGACGCCATCGCTCCTCGTCCCTTTGTTCTTCCCGGCGCGACTGTAGGAAACGCGGGTTTTCGCGTCTGCGCACAGACCAGTTTTTGATTGATTCTGACGAACCGGCAAAATGCAGATCGTCGATCGATCGATCACTTCTATCTGTACTCCGTAGTTATTTTTATTATTGACATGATGTAGCATGGCGAAAGTTCCCATGAATCGTCATTTGTTCAATATATGCATTTTAGGAGGACGAATCATCTATGGATATGGCTACAGTGACGCCTCCTGTAATTATGTTTATCTCTGCAGATAGCGTTCTGCCAGGGACTACACCAGGAACACATATCAGCAAGAAAAACAGGCTCAAATTCCTTTAAGTACAATGATTTTGGTAGATGTGCTTTTCTACTGAAAGATGACAGACTGTGAATACTTCGAAAGATCTAATTTGGGGATGCCATCAGTCCGGAAGCTGGGACCAGCACCATCTCATCCTCATCCCCTTCTCCAGCTTCTTCTTCCCATTCATCATCAACCTGCTCAATAGGCTCGTCCTTGAACATTTCCACAATCGTGGTCACCGCGCTCATCAGGGTCATTGGTGAACAATTGCCTTCCGGGTCTGAGAAGGCTTCCCAGATATTGCTCCCAGGACTCTCGAAGACAGAAACAGCTCGTGGAGTTTTTGTTTCGCTGAAAGGCACCATATTCTCCTCTTCCATGTAGAAGTTTTCACATCTGTGGGGTGACATGAATTTGCTGGGCGTTGTTGACTGTGATGGAGTGGCATAAGCGTTATGAGTTCTAAGTTTGGCAACGATATCCCTTGAGCCACCGTCGTCCACCATGTCCACATCAGACCCTTCTTCAGTGTCGCTGGACGATGATTCAAACCCGGCCTGCTCCAGCCTTTGTCGGTAACTGATCCAAGATGCAAGCAGAGACGTTTGGTCGAGCTCAATCGGATTTGAGGCCCGGTTTCTATTAGTAGCGCCGCGCAGTGATTGAGTAAAACTGTCTAGAGCTGATTGACCTGGAGTTGTCGTCAGATTCACTGTCGTAGTTGTGCTATCATCAACTCGTTCAGGCTGATTCGAAGACAAGAAGAAGACATCAAGCGGGGGAAAGCATCTCATCAATCTTTGTGGATGGGCAAAATACTCCCATTGTCGGAAAAGGGCAGCTCGTAGCCTGCCAATTTTCAACCGAACGATCAGTTGCCTGCTACCTGGTTGGGGACAAAAAAGCGTACGTGCAGATGCATTCCTTTCCTGATTCTGCGATGGGATCTGCTCCAGGCCATTGGAATAAGGAATCTCGGGCCCATGTTTCATCTTCTGGGGAGAAAGAGTCGACGCTAATCTCCTATGATTAGCAGATCGAAGCACACGATCAGGGGTGAGGATCTGACGGCGCCTTGTCGAAGCCGCCGGCGCAGAAACAGCTGCACGATTGCCGACCCTCAAATTGCATAGCTTAGATTTGTCCTGAATGCTTTGCATGGTCAATATGCTGCTACTCCACTCCCCAGCATACCGTCGATCCAGCCCTCGTCTTTCCAAAAATCTCCTAGCGTTGAGAATCTCTCTAGCGCCACACAAGAAGTAGTCAGTGTGCAAATGATCTATGAGCCTGCGAGTTTTCTGCCGTGAAATCTTCCGAAAGACCAGATTGTGGGGTATCCTATTGCGTCTCTCAGAGCTATTGTCCACCCGTAGGAGTGCTCTGAGCTGTATCGCCCGCATTGCGTGCAGCTCCACGTTCTCCAGCTCAATTTGAGCGTCACGATGCTTCACGTATCCTTGAAGCTCCTCTCGTTCTCTTGCAGATAGACCCAGCCTACTATAGACTGCAGACCAGTTACAATGTTGGCTCATATTCCCGGCAATCTCTACCTGCATCCTCGGAGAAAGGTCACGCCATTCAGGATCGTGGGTGATGCTAGCAGGCTGAATAGAAGTTAGTCGAGAAAATATTGATATAGCATGGGTGACAATACCTCTGTTCCCTGCATACCAACATCGGCCATCGTTTCATCGGGCTCGCTGTCCTCCATTTCCACGAGGCTGGCTGGCTTTCGTCCTGCCGTTGCCATCTTGGTCATGTTTCTGACATAGACAGAGTTCAAATCCCCATTGCTCACGATGAGGTCCTCAAGAAAATCTATTGGAACATCTTCGAGCATCTCCCACGTTTCTTTAGCTTGGTCATTACCGCCGTCAAGGTCATCTGAATCGCCATCCCACTGCACCTTTTCGGGCTCATCACTCCTTTCAAGGCCTGCTGGCTGTGGTTCATCATCACCCAAATGAGTGTTGTAAGGTCTCTCAAGAGTAGGGAACACTGCTGGGGGTAGGTTCGGATCATAATCGATGTAACGAGACGTTCTCCAACTTCTGGGCTCACGCAAAGGCTTCTGTAATGGTGTGTTTAGTTGTTCACGATCGAAGCGCTCTGGCCGTCGAATACTCTCGCGAAGTTTCATATTGGCTTTTGGATTGTTGATAGAGATGAAGATGTCGCTGCTCGACACTAGACGCGCAGTGACAAGTTAAAAGACTTGATCATGATGCGTAGCAGAGTTCAAGCATACCAATGAGATGTACGCTAGAACGCCATGTGTCTCTCTTCGAGAGAAAGTTGAAAACAGTAATTTCTGGGCTCAGGAAGAGAAAGCTGTTGGAAGACCAGTTGAAGGGCCCCAGACGAGCAACTTAAGAGCGGCAAAGATAATGAAAGAAGGAGAATCTATCTTGATGTAGAACAATGATGATGTCTTTGTAACAAGGCGATAGCAAAATAAGCAAGAAAGAAGGATATTTAGAGAAACAGAAAAGGCTCACTGTATGTTGAAGGGGCTAAAGCGCACAATGTTGGGGTATCTCCAGATTAGGAAACAGAGTAAGAGGACACCAGAAATAGAAAGAAAACAAGAACCACCGCCGAGCCTTTGATACAACATTCACTGTCGTAGATCGATAGACCCCACGTTTCTAGCGATCCTGAAATGGAGCAAGTGGCCTCCTATCGCTGAGTGAATCACTGTTTATGTCCATACTTATGTCCACATCCATTCCCATCGTATCATCATGTGTCCTCATAGCTTCATTATCAAGGCGATCAGCGATACTTCTTTTTCTGGAGACCGTCATTTGGGGAGCGGCTAAGTTCGAATTTGACATAGCCTGTTTAGCCCTCTGAACGTCCCGTTTGGCTTGAAGAATAGATTGGAAAGATGCAAGTAACTGTCTCAACGGCTCTTCGATGCAAATGCAGAACCTTCGCTGCTGGACCAGGTGCAATGCGAGCGATATGTTCAGATTGAGCATTACCATAATATACGCAATGACAACTGTGGCTGAACGCTCATTGCCAGACTCACAGAAGACAAGAACCTTCTTGCCTGCAGCCGTGCTAGTCCCTCCAGCAGCTTCAGTTGAGATTAGATGCTCGTTGATGCGTCTTATAATCTGAGAAAAGGCGGATATGAGTTCTTGGTTATCCATGACGTCGACTGAGTCTGCTTCAATGCCCATCTCTGCTCCTATTTTCTCGCCGGAGACCAAGCGCGCCTGCGCGGAGCGTGTGTTACGAATTGCCAATAGCAGAGTAAACCCTTCACTGGCGAGCCAAACTTTGTCTTTAAGGCAGGAGACCGGACCCAGATAGAGAAACGGTAGGATTGCCTGTGCCTGTCTGCGCCATGTATAATCCCAATCAGACAAGCGTACCCGATAAACAAAGTTCTCCAGATTCACCACCTGAAAGAACCCGGGAGGTACAAAGTCGCCTTCTTGGAAATCATGCGAGCTGGGTCTGATAACTTCCTGAAGCGAAAGGTTGTCATCATCGTAGTATGAAGGTGCAGGCCCAGACAGACGAGTTTTGTTAGACCCAGCGACGTAATCATGAGTTCTAACATAATGCGAACCGACCTGCTCCGACATTGGTGCTTCATTGCACCGAACTGGATACATTGTTGCGTTGATATGTTCTCAGGTCTGAAAAAAGAGACTTCACGAGGGATGAATGATGTTTTGCCTGGGGTGTGATGATGGTTGATTATCTCTCTTCTTTAATGTAATGTCTATACAGGATCAGGAAATCCCATTGATGAGCATAGATATTTCAACGCAAGCAATAGGAGGATTGAAAATTGAAGCCGCACAGCAAGGTAGAAGTGTGTGAAGGTGTGCAAGCAATCTAAACCAACTTAAATTCACATCAACGCCACAGATCTTGCCTTCCCCCGGCATTTTCATAAGGCAGTGTGAGCGAATTTAGATTAGCAGGCCAAAACACATTAACTCTGCCAGGGCAGGCAATAAGGCCAAATAGAGCAGTCGCTGCCTGGCAGCCTTACTGGGTCGCTTGGATGACTCAGCCCGGGATTAGGCTTCGGATTAGTCATTTGTGCTCATAATTTGGAGGCATAAAACTGCAATGATAATCCTGTACGACTTTGAAGATACTTGACTGAATGTCGTTAGTCCAAGTCTTCAAGCATAGATAAGTCGGGCTTTTCAGCTCGCTTGCATACTTTAAGTCCGAGTAGATAGAAGGACTTAAGCTCGCAGCAGGGCAACATCACAAGGGAGGCGTCAGGCATAGCCATTGAGAATGTCAGCGCTACCGGGGTATATCATGTTCTTGCAAAGCAAGGATTACTATCCTCGTCGTGTATGTTGCAGACCTACAGAGTCGGGCACCGAGAAGCGACACGCCCGTCTCAGCTGCCTGGCGATGGAGTCACTATTCCATTCCCAGATTTGCAGAGGAGGACATGTCCTCTAAGACTGCGTTTCCAAGAGGATAGAATCTGTACTACTCCGAATATCAGCGTGATTTCAAATCAATATATGGCAAATAGTTAGGATGGCTGCCAAGATCATCAGACAGCTCTGATTGAACCAGACTTTGACTTACCATGACCCCACAGCCTCTCTCTAACACGGAGATGACTCTTGAAGCCCTAAGCAGATGTAATCTGAATGTTGTCTAGAACTTTGATCAGAGACATCCCGAATTGGGACTAAGAATACAACAAGGGATGGATGCCTAAGGCCCTACGCCCCTCCCCACCTGTCTCACATGACACACGATAGCAATAGTAGGACTAGATCAGGCAGACAGAGGATGCGAGTAGCTGGCAGCAAGCTCGAGTCATAGTTAGAATGAGGGCCTATGAGCAGGAAGAGACGCCGGATTGAGTCAGACCACACCGTAAAAGAGTCATTCTTCGGATAGTTCGTGTATCACTTGTTATCATCTACCCAGTCGTATGTTACTACGGATTGACTAGGAAAGCTAGGGATGTGGATTGACTAACTAATACGACGGAACAGTCCAACGGCAGTCCTGCTCTACTGGTGATGTATGTTGGGGAATGGCTAGGCTTCCATCGGATGATGCGGCAGGGACGATCAATATCTTAAAACTTATGTGAAAGGTTTTCTAGGGTGGAAGACCGGGCAACTCAAGGAAAATCAGGACCTACAGGATCAGGCAACGAGCGTGACAGGCCATTTTTTTTGAAACGTTCTTAGTCAGATTGCCATGGCGGATTTCTTTCCTAATATGATATCAAAGCAGAGTTATGAATATGGTAAGCCCCGAAGAAACTCAAATCAATAGCATACAGAATAGGAGAGCAAGGCAAAGAAGCTGTCCAGAAATGTGTAGAGAGAAGACTGGAGAGGATGGCAAGCAGACATGTCAGAGAAAACGCCTGGGTATAATTCAGGAACTCAACAAAGAAAGGTAAACAACCATTAGAACACCGCCTTGTTTGTATGATTAACCTCGAGTATAACGCCATGTTCCTCACAGGTGTGTGTGTGTGTGTGTGTGGTGACCGATACGTTGTCAGGTGGACTGACCGACGTAAACCTCCCATTGAAACCGAAGCGCAGACTGAGGCCCGTGCATCGTATTGAAAACGCCCGCAAATGCAAACAGGAAAGAAGAAAAGATCATAAACGCGGAAGGCGGTTCCGAAAAGTACGAAGCATTCGGGTCAGCCCCCTTAGCCGTGCGACACGGCTGTCTGAGCGAGGGTCGGCTGAGGGATGGCCTGCTGCAAACCAGCAACGATTCTTTCTAACTCCTCTAGTCGCCGATCCTTCTCTTGCACCTCACGTCGTAGTCTCTTAAGTTCATTGCGCAGGTCAACTTCGTTCTCTTCGTCTGCTGGGAGCGCAATGGATCCATCGTCCTCGAGCGAGTCACGCTTCCGCTTGGCGGGCAGAGGAATCGAGAGGCCGTGGTTGCCATCCAGCTCAGGCGTTGCAACCAGAGGTAAATCTGAAGATGGGCCAGTCTCGGTGTGCATGTGCCGACGGCGGAGATGTTCCTTCAAGTTCTCTTGGCGCGTGAACCCATTCCCTGTGCTGCGGTTGCAGTCGGTGTAAGGGCACATCAGAGGTTTCTTCGCGTTGATATTCTTCTTATGAACCTCGCGCTGATGTCTGAGAAGACCGCCCGAGTAAGTAAATCCTTGGATCTTATCACATCCAGGCTCTAGACACTTGTAGGGGCGGTCATGTTTATCCATGTGTTTGCTATCGATGATGTCGCGTTAGCTTTCTGGAGCTGTAGAGAAGAGTAACGAAATTCAACTTACTTCCATTCACAAGGGCGACGGAATGTTGGTGGTGACTGCTGACATTCAGGGTGATCACAATAGATCTGCCCTGCGGTATTCTTAGGCGGATCCCGCGCTCTTCTTACTGACAGTCGCGGACGGGCGCCATCCATGAAGGCAGTTGGCATCTGATCGTTCATCTTGGAAGCTGGCGACAAAGACTCTGAAGCAGGGACGAGGACAGCTGTAGGCCCACCGGGACCTTCACTTCGTGGGCTGGGATAATCGGAGCCGTCACCCATATCGCAAGTACACCCCGCCGCTCAATCGAGATTGGGGGCCTGTTTGGACGTGGATTCGGGAGAAAACGAAAGTGGTGAGAGATGACTGATGACGGATACTTTCTAAGAATAAAATGAAAATAGAAGATTCGAGTTCAAAGGTAATCGTGCTGATATAAATCGTTAGTGACCTGATCCAGTGGCGCTCCTACTTGCGATGTTGGTTCCTTACGTGGAAGACGGGGTGCCGATTTTTTCAGGCGTTCAGGTAGCAAGGCATCCACTAACTAGCGAATGACTAATCGATTTTGGCGAGCCGCCACTCAGCAATCATGTGACTGGGTGTTCGCAAGCAAACAAATGCAAACTATGTGGAAGAAATAAGGAAGGAATGCTGTTGATAATTGATACCTGTTGGCAAAGGTAATATATTCGATTTCTATGATTCACACACCGAGACCTGATTTTCGCGTTGATTTTGCTGCACACGTGGTATGATGTATGTCGCTTTAGAAGTGCTCATCCATGTAGCCAGTCAAGACCCGAAATGGAAAGGCGATATCCAGATGGGACAGTGACACAGTATGAGTACTCGGGTTATAATATAGTTAGTGAGTCATCAGGCAGCCGGATAAGCCTTAGATAGCTATTGTATTATTTAATGACTTATGAATGCGAGTAACGAGACTCATGCTAGTCTACTCTGCGTAGCTCAACAGCTAAGATCGAAGGTCGAGATGGAGGCAATAATAACGAGATGCCGCCACAAGTAGAATTCAGAACTTCAGAAGCCAATGATGAGTGGCGCAGCAGACCTGGTTCATTGCTCAGCCACCGTTGTCGATCTCTCTTCACCGCCCTGACAGCATTGTTTCTGCCTGGGGCACCAACAATCTCAATTTACCCATAGCGTCGAGCACTTCTTCCAAACATGCTTCGATCAACCATAATCTGACCGCTGCACCCACGAAGATCCTGCAGCTCTTGCATTCACTTGACTGGTTGCCTGGCTAAACCAGATGGATCTCTGCCAGACCACGTCAATCCCAGCATGAAGTATACGTGAGGTACCCAAGTCATACGTACCATTGGGACGCTGTGATGGGGTCTTTGTAGCCCAAACTGGGCGATAAAAATGACAGGCTCAGACGTGCGCTTTGAAGATCAAGGAATATGAAAATCGGAATCAACGGAAGGTAGTGGTTTTTTCATCGAGGGAATCTTCTCTAAAATTTCAAGAACTGCTTAATCAGTGGCCCATTACCATCCCTCGTTCCTCATGAGCCCTCGGTATTACTCGTGAGCTTTCTGTTCGCCCTGTCACAGAAGGCCTTTCACGGAATATCGCCAGTGACAACCATCAAAGACATCGAAGATCACTTCTGTATGCTGTGAAGACATCGTCAGCTTGGGGCTGGTAAGCTCTTCCTTCAACAGCCATGTAGCGAAGCCGAGACTTTTTTCGGCGCATTTCCGAATACGACGAATGGAGATCGACAGCCCTGAACAGGCATCTTCGTTCCTCTTTCTAGAAGCCGTAGAACATGCTCATCGAGATTTTAGATCGCCCGCATGGATAAGAATAGCTAGCAATCCTAAGCAGTGGCGCAGCACTGTAGTTGCATCACCCCAATGCGGATCCTCAAGGCATCTGGAGTAGAATCCTGCAGACTCCAGAGCCTCGGCGTATCTACATGGAGCAAGCAGACATGGAAGATAAAGGACTTTTTGAACTGAATGCCCTCTTCCTTCTAGGGCACCCACTCAGCCTCTTCAAATACACGGTAGTCCCAGGACAAGTAATAAATAGCTCACCTTTTATCTGCAGGCACAGGACCAAAACAGTATGAGACATATTCTGAATGGATCATTAAGTAGAGGCTGATGGTGGTGCTAGAATCAAGCAAAGAGAAATCAAGCAAGCATATTCAATACTGATGCCTTAATGTATGGAAGAAACATGAACATGCAAATGGGCTGAAGCAACAAGATATCAACCGACAACAACTCAGCTAATCTGTGCCTGAGGCTACTTGATAGTGACTACCACGACGTTTAGTGAAACGCAGGTCTTTATGGTATATCCCAGATGTTATATCGTTCAGCATCCGTCCATATCTTTGGACAAAGATGTCTCTGAGAAGACTGGGTTTTGTGATGGTGGCTCACGGTATCAACCAAGATCGTGGGATAGACGTTGCCAGAGAATTCCTTGCTCACCTACACAAAATTGGTCGTCGAGTGAGCCGGGAACCTAGCCGGGACAACTGCGAGAGCGAGACGCTTCGAGTAATACCTGAACTGGTCAAGGCATTTGTGCCAACTGCCAAGTTCAGCTCTCTTCATGACACACGCTCCATCTACGTCTATAGTCATTAGTCATACCTTGCGGCTGTCATCGCCTGCCTTCGGCCTCAGCCTAATAATCTATTTTGAATCCAATGGAAAACTTCTCTGAGACTACCTTTTCCGAAGAGTGACGGGCACGCGCACTCCCATCACTCGCTGATATTCGAGCTATCAACTTGGAGCCAGGTAATCCTTGCCTAGGCGGAGGATGGGCGGTCAGACATTCATTCATATATCATTGATCTCTCTAGTTATGCTGTGCAAAGGTCGAATTTGAATGTTCATTTCATGTCTACAGGGTGGTCATTAAGCATGAAATAACGGGATTCATAGAGTCTTTAGCGCAAACCGGTTAGAATTCGCAAATGCATCCAGAGCCTATACACAGAGCGAGCAGACTCTGGAAACGATGGCAATCTCGGAGCATTCGGTGAGCTGCAGTTGTGGTTTCGTTACGCAGGAACTGTGGCTTAGTCTGTAGCATGATGTACACCCCCAGGCGCAGCCGAATCAAGCCAAACCCGGAATATATCGAATCGTTCAATGAGAAGCCATGAACCGATATGTCAAACCTTGTGTACTGCTAAAGCTGCACGATTCATGGATGCCTGTCCCGAGAAGCATTGCCATCTGGTTAGTGTGAATAACTCTATTTATATTTAGCATGGCTAGTGGTAGTGGTGGTGCTGTGCATGCACCACATAACGCTTGTAACTGGTACGACCTCTACACAAAAATGAATTACTGATTTTACGATTAATGGCAAAAGCGAGGCAGTGTAGTAACGAGTGACAGTAGTTGAATTTGGTTGGGTAAAATCAAGAGCTCAGCTTTGTAGACATGGCTGGCGAGTTCCATAGTAGACACTGGACAGGGCACGTAGAATAACAAGGCGATCTTGAATAGCAATCAAGATGACCCTTGTCTCGCCCTTCTGGCGACAGAACGTACTTGAAAAATCTCGTATCGCTCTGGCAATGCCACAAAGTTGAGTGAAGTAGAAAGAAATAAGGCAAATAGTGGCAAGAGCGAATAATCAGAAAAGGTAAAAACCACTCATAGCAACTTCGTCTTGAGCGCGATCTCGTCCAATCATCACAACGGAGAAGAACTCGTCGGCAGCCTCTAATTAGCCAGGTGTTGAGCATACGTGCAAGCCAGGAAGAGGCGAGGGTAGACCTGTGTATCCATGACTGAGATGCCCAGCGTATCCTTGCCTTTTAGTGACTCGGCACTCACTGCTAGCTAATCTCCCTTTTCTCACTGTTTATCGAGCTTTCTTAGAAGATTAAAATGGCAACTCTTCCAACACACATGCAGACACCTTGACCAACAGGAAGTGGCAACGGTGGATCGCAGATAGACATATGGAAGTAAAGACCGGTCCAAATCTGACTTAGTGCCTGTCTCAATGAGCCCCGTCAAGGCACAGTCGGTTCGTCATGTCCAACCACACAAGTGACCCGAGATCGATCCCCCAGGACATGAGCCCTGCTTGGGAGAACTTCACAAAGATAGTGGTCATCTACCACGTCTTTGAGTCACTGCATGCTTCTAAAGCCACCTGCATGGCACAGGGAACAGCATCGACAAATCAGTCGTAGTTGCCTCCGACCTGGCTTGCGAAGGCAGTAGACACGCTGCGTGTATCGTCATCATCGTGGATAAGTCCAGGGACACCGCGAGTCACACGGATACTAGCAGAGCTACCGCCGAAAATACTACTGTTGTCGGGCACACCAGCCCTATATGGCTCACGCCCCCCTGACTCCACGTAACGCTTCAAACGATCGGACTGACTGAGACTCGGCTGTCTGCTCATATCGTGGATGCTCAATCCAGCAAGGCTAACACCGCCTTGATCAACACTTCTCCCATCAATGACGCTGCTTGTGACATCGGACTCAGTAGCTGCCACGGACTCCCCGGCAACACTGGGAGCTCCCTTACCCCTGGCGCCATTCGCTCGTCGCGCTCCAGAAAGGGCAGGCCAGGAATCAGTAAAGTTCTGGAACATAGGCGGATAACCTGAAGGAACACTCACGCCACCCAAGGCGGAAGAGTGCACAGAAGAAACATCGTCAGGAATATACCCAACAACGGAGCCTGAGTCGTGAAACTCGTTCCGGTGTCCGTTCCTACCATTCATCATACCACTGGTGACATTTGATGCATGGTTGTAAGCCATCTGGAATCGTTGGGGCCCTCGGTATGCCTGCTTAGGACGACTGAACTGAATGAGAGACTCTTGGAGGTTGGAAAGTGGCCCTTCAACGAGACAGTGTTGCTCTTTGAAGTGTTGTAAGAGGCAGTTCCAGAGAGGGTGCTTGGACAAGACCTTGGGGTTTCCGAGAATCACGAGACCATACTTTGCTCGGGTAAGTGCAACGTTCAAACGACGTGGGTCGCTCAAGAAACCGATGCCTTGATGGTCATTGGAACGCACACAAGAGAGAATGATAAAGTCCTTCTCCCGACCCTGGAAAGCATCAACCGACGCTACCTCAATCTCCTTGTAGTGCTCTTTCTTGAAGGTGCCATTGGCCTGCATAGAACTGACAATGTAGCTACGCTGACCCTCATAAGGCGTGATGATACCAATATCCTGTGGGTGCACCCCTGCCTTGAAAAAGCGGGTCACAATCTTCTCCACGTTTGTGGCTTCCGTCCGATTGAGATACGATGTTCCCGAGGCGGAAATTTCTTCGTTGCCAAGGTTGGACCAAAACATCATAGGACTGTCAACAACGGGCCAGGGGAAGTCAACGTCGCGACGAAGACGATCAATGGCGGAAACACCGTTCTGCAATGATCCTTCATAGAACATGTTCGACGGGAACTGCGACAAACATGGGTGCATCCGGTACTGAACGTTCAGCCGAATCGGAGAACATCCAAGAATAACAAGCCGTTCAAAGAGAGACTGGTTGAGACCAGCTTTGGCAGCTTTCTTGTTCATGATGACTGGTCCAAGTTGCTGGTGATCACCAACGAGAACAACTTGCTTGCAGCCGAGAACCAAGGGGATCATACACTCGGGCTCTGCAGACTGCGTCGATTCATCGATCAAGACAGTGCGGAATTTGAGTTTGGAAAGCCGGGGGTCGCCAGCACCAACGCAAGTGCAGCAGATAACGTCGGCATTGTTCAAGATTTCGCGCTCAGCTGAACGAGTGAGTTGTTTCAGCCGCTTCTCGTCTTGACTCGACAACTCCCCCAATTCGGCCTTGAGTTGGTTCAGCTTGATGAGTTCGATGTTGCTGTCATTCAAGCGGACTTGCTCATGTAAGGAGAGGAATCCCACTGGAGACTCAACATCTTCACGAGATTTCGCAGTTACACGCACAGTCTTGAGACCAGTCCGGTGAATTCGCTCGCACAGTTGGTCGACCGCAACGTTCGAAGGGGCACAGACCAAGACTTGGCCTCCATTGATCTTGGCAAGATGATAGATGATAGTAGCAGAGGTAACAGTCTTTCCGGTACCCGGAGGACCTTGAATCAGACTCATTGGCCGCTGTAGCACACTCTTGACCGCATTGATCTGGCTCCCATTGAGCTCCGGAAGGCCAGGAACACTAAACTTCTTTGGTAATTGAGTCTTCATCGGCGCAGCAGCGACTTCGTGACCTAGAAGGCGATGGAAGATGTAGCCCGAGACGCTCATCTCATCGACCGCAAAGGTCTTCATAGCGAGCTGCATACGATCGAACGAGGTGGATTTCCATACATAATCCGCAGTGAAGTTGTGGGTACACTCTGTGGGGACAGACTTGTGGTCGCCTTTTGCGCGCAACTCGATAGTCACCTCGTCGGATTGATTGTTTGGAATCTTGATGACATAGCCTACTCCTTCCCACTTGGGTCGCAATTCGCCGCTGTATTTTAAGCGCATTTCATCTCCAACAGCCAACTTCACGTCCCCAAGTTCAAGCTTTGGCAGAATAAAGCTGGCAAGGTGTTTGTTGTTCAACCCCAAATCCCAGCGGACGATAAGACCATCTTGAGATTGGGATTCCTTCAGCTTGCGGTCGTAGTCGGCTTCAATCTTGACTAACGGGCCAAAGATATTCTGATACTGGAAGGCGTCATCATAGCGCAAGAGCACCGGGGCGGGCTCGTCGTCAACTGCCGTAGCTTTCTCGAGGTCCGCAAACGTAGCCTGCGAGTTCTCTTTCCACATCTCCTCCAATTTCGCGATCAATTGCGGGCTAAGGTGACGTGCTCTGAGCTGTTCTTGGTCCGATGGAGCAGCGACAAGCCATGGGAGAAACGAGCGATCTTCAATCAGTGGCTGCCAGCGCGATGTGTCCCAGTTCATATCTTTAGACGACGGCATCGCAGCACAGGGTTGTCGGCAAAGTAAAACCACAACAGTATCAGACTTCGCCGGGATAAACCCAAGCAAGAACACATTCTTTGTTCCACAGTTGTAACACTCTAGGATAGTGTCTCCTAACGACGAGCCGGGATGTAACTGGACTTCCTTGTGCCGAGCTCGGACAAGATGATTGACAATGTGCGAAGAGGATGTGTTGCCGCGAGCGCTGCAGAACCATTTGCTACAAGCAAGGCATTTGACAACACTGCTTGGATTATGAATGCCACAATACCTAGCGAGATGAATCGAACATTAGCAAAGGGCTACGATGCGACCAGCTTTCCAGATTCCCTGTACTTACGCGCATGCATGTGGGGGGAGCTCTTTTTCCTCCTCAGCGTGGCCCTCATTCTTCCTATGTCCAGTCACAGCAGCACTGGTGACACTATCGCCATCGTCATCCCCGAAGTTGTCGGACCCTTCATCATCATCATCATGTCGCCTTGGGCGCGGACCCCCGGACAGATTCAATGTAGTCTCATCTAGATCCGCTGTAGTCCTACCATCGCCGATAGCAGCCATAGTCGGCCTGAAGTGGGTGATGGGCGAATCCCAGAGACAAGAAGAGCAGACTCCTGTCGTTATCCCCAAACAAAGAACACTGCCCAACTCTTTAGGTAGACGTCGCAGCGGTGCCGTAGAGGTATAGTAATGGCGTTATAAGAGAAAACGAGTGTGAGGAACAAGCCAGAAGTTCTATCAGATCAATCTGGGATCAGGTCTTCAGTCCTTGCTGTCGATATGCCCCAGCGTGCCACAGTAGAGGGGCAAAGGAATGAGAAACTAAGTCCAATCTTAGTAAGTCCGCCGGCTCAGGTAGATATGAATGTACCATACAAGCTTGAGAACTTTGAACACTTCAAGCCACTCAGTTGGAGCTCCTCCGTGCTCTCGTACCAGGTGAATGAAGACCAGTTTATCCTGTAAATCAGAACGATGTAGACAGTCGACAGGGCTTAGTGAGTGAGGGAGAGAGCGGACTGCGATCGGATTTAGTCAATTTATCGGACCTTTTGCCGCCAAAAACCCACAGGGAGTACGGCAGGCAACGCGGACCAGAGACGCAGCTTCCTCACGGAAAAAAAAAGTTGACCGCGGAACCAAGTCAAGATGGCAATTCACACATCTCACTCAGATCGCACAAAATAAGATGCTTGTAAGTGCTAGTCCGTTCTTTTGTTGCCTGCTATGTTATTCTGCTTCTAGCAGTATCCAGAAATCTTCTAACCGTCAAATAGCGCCGTCAAGCCCGTGAGCGTCGAGACTATCTCTATCGGAGAGCTCTGCTCCTCCGCGATGCCTCCATCGCCGAGAAGAGAGCTCAACTCAAGGCTTCTCTGGCCACCGGAAAGGCCCTCGATCCGTCGATAGCAGACGATAAAGCGCTTCGCGAAGATTTCAAATACGATGAATCGCTGCAAACACCGGATAAGCAGAGCAAGGATACCGACTATGCTGATCTCGACGATGAATATGCCCTTACGTCTGGTATCATTGATCCTCGTCCAATCGTTACCACTTCCCGATCGCCTTCCGTTCGCTTAGGCACATTCGCAAAGGAGATTCGGTTGCTTCTACCTACTTCCATTCGCCTGAATCGTGGAAACCTCGTCCTTCCCGAGTTAGTGTCGAGCGCTAACGCTGCTGCACTGACCGATATGATCCTTCTCCACGAACACCGTGGAACACCCACCGCGATGACCATTTCCCATCTTCCTCATGGTCCTACAGCCAGCTTTTCGTTACACAATGTCGTCCTCCGCGCAGATATCCCGAACGCGGCTCGGGGAACAGTTTCAGAGAGCTACCCACATCTGATTTTCGAAGGATTCAAGACAAAGCTCGGTCTCCGTGTAGTTCAAATCCTGAAGCATCTGTTCCCTCCCCGCGAGGATGGCAAGGTTGGCAACCGTGTTGTCAGCTTCGTGAACAAGGAAGACAGCATCGAGGTGCGGCACCACGTTTTCGTCAAGACAGGATATCGGGACGTCGAATTAGCCGAGGTCGGGCCCCGAATGACAATGAGACTTTTCGAAATCCGGGGCGGCTCGCTGGAGAAGGGCTCAAGCGGTGATGTGGAATGGGCTCTCACACAATACACAAGAACGAGCAAGAAAAAGGACTACCTATGAACGGCTTGCGGTCTGGCAAGCATTGGAACGCAGTCAGATGGCTTTATGTATATTTTTGGAGGCATAAGAAAAGTTTTGTCCGGCGCACAAGGTGTTAGGGAAGGATTTCAGGTACCTGATGTTCGGTGGCACTTCAGCATATGTGAGGTTGATATACCCAAATCGAAAGGTTCTACTTATCAATTCCGTGGCGACCGTGCAAATAGACATTCACATATTGAGAAATCGTAATCAAAGTAGCTAATATTGGCAAAGCATCAGCGCTATATCATGCTATGTTTGCAACAAAGAACCCATGTCCCAACCATACCGGATACCGGGACATCATCTGAATCAATAGCCATGATAAATACCGGTGGTATCCCTTAAAGATCGACTACCACAGCCATAATTTAGCGCTTCCTTCATATATCGCAATTTTCTTTCCCATCACCCCTTTTTCAGAGTCTGGTATGCCCCGGTTGAGAAGCAATCGAGTTACACTCCACCTGCTGCACTTCGCTGCTTGCCACAGGAGTGCTAGTATCGCCTTGACCGAGAAATCTGGAGAGGATACTTCTGCCATCTTCATATTGAAACCAATTCTCATGAGCAGGAAGCTCTTTTCCGTCATCATCTACCTTCAACGGCACTGGATTTCCATCGAATCTCTGGACCCATTCTTTGCCGGTTTTCTCTATTAGGAAACTTCTAAATGCTGCGAGTGCGGAGCCCAGATCAGAGCCGAGAGGTGCCAGAAATTCGTTTGTAGATTTGCCAACACGACTGTACTTGCAATGCGTTGCGTATTTGTGAGGAGCCTTGTTTGATTCGTAGACCTGTGGAGTGCTCAGTTTATGGTGGAAGCAGAGGTGCTTTGACATTGCAGTCTGAGATATTTTGGCAGTTGACATGATTGTCAAAGTCACTGACCTTGACCTGATACTTCTCTCTGGACTTCTTCTGATGTAATTGGCGATTAATGGTTGTACTGAAATTCACACCGGTGCCCTCATCCACATAGACGTGGTAGTTTGCTAATATTCAGCAATCTTGTTAGACTATATAACCACATCAATCCTCTAAAAGGCAAACATACAGGCTGCACTCCTTGGTTTCGAAGTGTTCGCGAAGGGATCCTTGGACGCTGATTCATTGATAGTCAGTTTTCTAAACGATTGTTTGAACAGAAACCTCAGAGACATAGCAGCACATACCAGTTCGCTTATCCTTAGTATCGACCTCCCTCTTCTGAACTTTAGCCGCTCGCCTCTGTTTCTTCTCTTTTTTGGCTGAAACAGTCTCCAGAAGATAGGGCTTCTCCGGCTTCGGCTTCCGGCTCTTCGACAGCAGAGAGTCTTCAAGCCATGCAAGGGTCACTACCTTGACGGTGCCCAAGCATTTGGCCTTTTGGACTGTTCAGGGGTTTCCGTCAGCAGATTGTACGATCGATTCTGGGAGAGAACAGGAGAAGCCAAACCTTGTTCCACGTTCTTCTCAAAGGCTTCCTTCGTTGTGACCAAGTGTGTTACCCGGTCTGTAACGTCTTTCGAGAAGGTCCCTCCATTGGCACGTATCCATTGTGGGATCTTGTCTCCGTCCTTGCCGAACTTACCAGCAGCGCAGCCGTGGATCTTTTGGAGAGTCTTCCCCATCTCAGGAGAGCGCTTTTGGAACAGCGTAGAGAAAGAGAGAGGAGAAAGGAGAGAGAAAAGAAACGAGATAGAAGCCTGCCTTTAAGGCACGCAGTTGGGGTGTTAGGTTCTTATGATGGTGTTAAGGGGTGCGAGAGTTTGGTGTTTCATCGCCATAGAAAGGAGTTGTATCTATAAGCAGGTAGAAAACCCCAGAGCCATAAAATTTGATAGTAGGGTGACCGGGAAATGATCATTGATTAAGATTGCTATGAGTCTCCAATGGTCTAAATAGAAGATGAGCCGTGCGCTTTATCAACAACACGTAAATGAGGTGAAAGTAACCCGAAACTGAAACCCGAAAAAAGATGGTGCGAATTGGAATCTTGAAAATCAGATTCCTAGTCATAAAAAGTCATCATCGAAGATATGTCACAGAGATTTTTACCGAGGACTGAGAGTCAACAAAACTCCTTCTCCTCACAATTAGATGGATTTCACGGCTTGCACAAAAGCACGGATTTTGGCAGGATCTTGTGAGCCATCAGACTCCACACCAGAGCTGACATCTATGCCGACAACCTTGCGCCCAGACTCACCCAACTTCCGGACGATGTCGAAAACGTTGGTAGGGTCCAAGCCACCAGCAAGAATGACTCGCAAACCAGCATCGCTGTCAAGAACTTTCTGCACGCGGGATTGATCAAGAAGTTCACCAGAGCCACCTGCCCCAGAATCCAGTAACGGAAGGTTGTGATACGCTCTGCGCGCGATACCAGGTTCGCCCAAAGAGAACTTGCGAATAACAGGCACTGGAATGAGATTGGCCCACTCAATGGGTTCTTCGCCGTGCAACTGTACGACATCCAGACCTAGAATTCGCTGCTTTTCTAGTACGTATGCTAGTGGTTGATTTTGGAACACACCCACAAGCAAGGCTCGAGTGGGATGGCGGAGAATCTTGGTGGACCAATCGAAGAAGTCGGAGGAAGTAGAACTCGATGTTTCTTGTGACGCAGAGGCAGGCAGGCTGTCAGGACGCTGCGTCGACTTCACTACTTGAGCAATGCGCAGAGCGACCTGGTCAGAAACACAACGTTTACGACCTTCGACGAGGATGACGCCGACCAAATCTGCACCAGCTTCCACTGCCGCTCGCGCTCCCTCCTCGGAGCGAGTTCCACAAATCTTGACCAAGCGTGGGATTTGTGCCGTTTTGGAATTGCCTTCTGTTCTTCCGCCAAGGAGTTCGGCGACAAAAGCAGATGTATCCGAAGCCCGCATCAGTGCCTCCCCGACAAGAATTGCCTTGACGCCATCCTTTTTGTAAGCTTCGACATCCTTTGGCCCTGAAATACCACTTAGAGCACAAACAATGGTACTGTCGGGCACCTGGTCCATCAATCGGCTGGTGGTGGCGAGATCGACCTCGAAGCTTGTGAGATCCCTGTTGTTGACACCAATCACCTCAGCACCCAGGTCAACAGCAATCTTCATCTCCTCAGGGGTGTTCACTTCAACAAGAGGCTCCATCCCAAGACTACGAGAATATTTGTAGAGTCTAATGAGAAGCTCGACGCTAAGCATCTTCACGATCAGTAGTACGGTATCTGCACCAGCCAAACGGGCCTCCAGTATTTGATATTCGTCAAATATGAACTCTTTCCGGAGAACAGCAGGCCTGTGAGTCAACCCTTCCAGGCTTTGGCGGACAGCTCGCAGGTCATCGATGCTACCTTTGAACCATTCAGGCTCGGTGAGGACAGAAATAACGCTAGCTCCTGCCTTAGCATATTGCCTGGCTTGGGCAGGAGCACAAGCCGTCTCGGCAATCATGCCCTTGGATGGAGAGGCACGTTTGATCTCTGCCATCAACGATAGCGGATAGGGTGACTGTCTGAGACGAGCAGGGAACGATATTTGCGGTGGAGCAATGCTGAGGTTGTATGCAGCCTGAAGGTCTTCAAACCGTTGCGATGGAATCAGCCGTTGAGCAGCTACAGCTGCTCTGCGATGATCGTAGATCTTTTCTAGAATAGAGATCTTCTTATCGACTCCGGTGGAGGTGCCGTTCACTTTGGCCGGAGCAGAGGGTGTTTTGCCATTTCCTTCCCAAGTTCCCGCAGTAAGCTTCAAGAAGTTCCTGAACATGGTACGACCATACTCTGTGAGGATGCTCTCCGGGTGAAACTGGACCCCTTCCACTGCAAACTGTTTGTGCCTTACACCCATGATGATATCTTTGCCGCTACCATCGTTCAACTGGACAGAAGATGTCACCTCCAGGCAGTCTGGAACAGTTGCATGGGTTCCTGCCAGCGAGTGATATCTTGTCACCTCAAGCGAGGAGGGAAGGCCTTCATAGACACCCCTGCCATCATGCTTCAGAACTGATGTCTTGCCGTGCAAGATTTCACCAGTGACATCGACCTTCCCACCAAAGGATGTAATCATGCACTGCTGCCCCATGCATACACCGAACACAGGAATCTTGCCGCCGAAATGCTGGATCGCAGCATTGCTGATTCCAGCATCCGTCTCGGGATGACCGGGCCCAGGGCTAATGACCAGCTGAGTCGGATTCTTCGAGATCAATTCTTCCAGAGTTATTTGGTCATTGCGAAAAACCGTAACAGTGGCTCCCTCTAGGACGAGATATTGATACACATTCCAGGTGAAAGAGTCGTAGTTATCGATGAGAATAACATTCGAGGCGCTGGCCAACTGCGCGGCTTTGGTGGGATGGCGGGGAGAATGGTCGACGAGATCGGAGCCCGTCATGGCTGTGATTTTGAGCAGAAAAGAGTCGAGGTCGTCTTCACTATGTAGGCGAAAGAGGAATTGTCAGAACTGAACAGGTTGGAAGAAAGGACAGATCGAAAGAAACTCACCTGCCAGGGTTCAGCTTGAGTTGAGCTACGAAAGGCGCACTCTGCTTGTGTAACAGTCCAATATTTGGGTCTTTTGTTTGACTCACAGAAAGTCCTCCGATTCCGACAGGCGGATCGCTTTCCTAATCGAGAATTTTTGGCAAACGGTGCAAAAACTCTGCCTCACCGCCTCGCACTAGGCCTAAACAGGTATTCATTGTTGACCTCCAGCCAAAAGGCTCCTTCAATAATATTCTGGACGGCCCGCCTTGAGCTCAAGCTTTGTGCTTCTTTTGATCTTCACGAGACGACAAATCTCTGCAACCCTCGTTCCCTTTAGGAACCGGCTTCACATAGGATCTTTCTGATACCATATAATGATATAATAGTCCCGCCCAATGGCTCCCGTCCCGGAAGCCTATTTCCCGTCCCTGGACAAGTGCTTCTCCGGGGACGTCCAGCTTCTGTATGCGCATTTACCCATGTGAACTGTGAAGCAATCAATATTAATACAGTATCCGATAGATCTTGGAGGAGGGCCTTCATCTATACCTGTGCCCCCGATAATAACGCTGACGACAATGGCGCGCTATATGCGTTTCTGTCCCACCCGGAAAGCACTCGCTTGCTCTCGAATTGCCTAAGTCCCTTTTCTTCCCCATCCGCGAAAACAAAGTCAGATTTCGACTCCAAAACCGCTGCGATACATTCAGAAACGACTGCGCAAGCTTCATATGACCTGAAAGAAATCAAAGCCGACGCACTATGGTTGAGTCAAAAAGCTGGAATAGATGAGATCACCGCTCTGCGAATCACAGTCTTGGAATGGCAGGATCGCCCGGCTGCGCGACTATTAGGCAGATTTACCGAAGAGGAGACAACAAGCTTACAGAGCGCTGCCGGAGTTGACAATTTGCGTGCCTCGCTTGCATCGCCTGCTTTGATCGAGGCTCTGCGACAGAAGACTGATAATGACTCCGATTTCACATCCGAGGAAAACAGGCGACTGAGACTAGGTGATCTTTATCTCTCTGAGAGAAGTCACTTGTTGAAGACAGCCCGCAAACTCCTCGCTCTGTCTTTCCATAACAATCCTCAAGATGCAGCCGCTCCTCCCGCTCAGCACGTCAGCGATCGCATTGAATCCTTAAGCAAGCTAGGCACGACTATCTTCGGCGAGAAGCTTGCTGGCGATCAATGGCGTTCTTTTGTGCAGGCCTGTATCAAGGCAATTCAGGATCGACTTGCTGCACTGGAAGGAGACGGGGGCTGGTTGGGGGTTGCTGAGAGCAGCGAGGCAGTGGAGATTTTGTGGAGGACTGCCCTTGTAGAGGAGGTTTTGCACGTTATACAAATGCTGTTCCTTCAGCTCCAGGCGTCTGTGGAGATTCCTACTGCTGAGCTTCTACTTTCCTGGCTTCGTCTCATGCTCGACTATAGTTTTCTCGAATCAGTTCAAGTGGTGAGTTTGCCTTGGCCCTTTTTGTCCGCAGGTTCTCTCAATGACTGACCGCTTCACAGCCCTGCCAGGATCCATTAGAAGTGCTGCTTCCGCTGCAGGCTTTTGTCGCATTAACAACGCTTGCCTTCCTGAGGTTACCTCTCGCTATCCCTTCAATAATCGATAAGTCTACGCCCCCAACACCATCTTCCAAGTCGCCTTATTTCCTTTCTAAGGATGAAATCGGCCAATTGAATGAAATATTTGTGACTGCTGGGTTAGAATCAAAAACTGCGAATCCTGCATCATTTGCGTGGGGGCTGCTTCTCCATACAATGAGAGAACTAGCCCTTAGCGACAAGGAAACACGCGAACTGGAACAATTTCACAGTGCCGTTGATTCGTTCCAGTTGAATACGCCCAATTCAAATTCTGGTCGGTCTTCGGAACTTTCATTGTACGAGGATCTTCTCGAATGTGCACGATCCCCCAATTGCACAGCTGATGACTCCATTGCGCTCCTGACATCGGATGCGATGAAAGATATGATGTTCGATATGATCGTTGCCCTGGCCACTAAGGTTGGCTCAAGGTCAGCAGTCGATGATATTCTAACGGAACGATGGATCCGGGTGGTGCTCTTGGACCTGATTCACGTCGTGATGATCTACATGGATTACTCTTCTGAGATCGTTAGCTCGGTTCTTGTAATTCTCACTGGGCCCTCGGCAGATATTCCACAGTCTTCTCAATCTATTTCAGTTGCCAGCGATCCGCGATGGATCTTTACGAAAGATCGTTTGCTCATGGAGAAGATCTTCCGGCTCGCACGCTCGCGGTTCCCTTACGAGACTGTACCTTTTTTAAAGCTATGCCGAGCACTCCTGAGCGCGGATATCGCCAACGAGGAAGGCTTGCCAGAGATTCTTGATGAGTTGGAAAGCATGGACACTTTTACGCAAGTGGTGCCACTCGAATTCCAGGGTTATGAGACGATTCGTGAAGAAGAGAATGCCAACCTGGTGACTCTTGTCCAGTCGCTCCCTATGTTCGATTCGTCATCACCAAGGCTAATCGCGGATCATGAAGCCAACAACGCCTTGATCGTCACAACCTCGTCACAGGTTCCTCCATCTACAATGGGTCAAGTGATATCTGATTCAAAGCCAGCAGTGATCATGTGGTATCATCAATATTCCTGCCTAAGCTATCTTGGAAGTTTCCTGGAGGAATGGAATGAGACCGGTGGATACTCGGCCGCAATAGATGAAGAGTCTATTGCAGAGATTATTGGGTTGTTAGCGGATTTGCTTGTTGCTACAGGGGGGATCCAGACACCAAACGACGTTGGATCAGGCGCAAACCGTATTTTGGAACTTGCAAGCGATGGACTAGCTCGCGAAAGTGATATCATCTCTTTGATTTTTGAAATCTTCGAGCGCAACCTGCACAATATCGGCCCGAAGGCGGGCTCGGAAAGCAAGCTAGATTCGACAATTTCCTGTCTGCGCTTCATTCGCTCGCTTATCAAGGTCTTACCGGGTAGAGTGTGGCCTTTGCTTGCACGAAGCAGCCTACTCGGACCAGACGGCAAGGGTGGTATTATGACCGCAATTGTTTCGGCAATCGAGGTTACTTCTGGGGACTACCCCTTTCTCTTTGAGTGTATCCGATTTTTCGAGACTATCGTCGACGATGCCGCATCTCGGGCCTTGTTGAGGAAGTATCCGAGTAATCTGACAGGGAAAACAGCTGTGGCTTCCGATTGGACGTCTGGCGTCCCTTCTCACATCATGAGAAGCATTCTGTTGAACTTCACACGAACAGTGGTTGAAGTGTTCAACAGTAACGCTGACTGGCGTTTCAATGCTCCCGAGCAAAGATTGGAGATCAACGCGACTCTAGCCACGACCTTCGAGAGAATTCTGTACTATACCTATGCGACAAATGATGCTAGCAAGTTGGATACAAAAGTGACTGGTGTTTTCTCTTCATCGGCAACATACTTGATGGACGTCCTACGGCCACAGTCCAAGGCAGATCTGCCCTTCAATCCTATTCTCCGACTGCTTGTTGATGGTCTTCAAACGCCGGCTACTCTATATCTTCGCTACCTGTATCTGATGGAGAAGCAGGTCAGGTCGACGCTCAACCTTACAACCAGACTTCTGCAGGCCGCACGGCTTTTGGAACAGCCAGCTTCGCTACTCGAGGACCAGCTATTCAAAGCCACCCCAGTCCTCGTTAAGCTATATTCCTTGGACGATGCCTACCGATCACCAGTCATCTCACTTCTGGAGATCCTTATAAGCGGTGCAGCTCTTGACTCGGCTAATGAACCCCCTTCCTTGGTTGGCCACCTAGGAGCAGACTCCTCCTGTCTCTTCCTGGACGTTTTATCGCAGTTTGATAAGCCATCAAATGACCGGAGATTACACTTGGCTGCATGGCATCTTCTGTCTACTATTGTCAGTAAGCGTCAGCAGTGGCTTGCGGTCTATATCCTCACTGGATGTTCTCCGCGACAATCGCTGAAGAAGACTGGCACCAAAGACGGACCAGCCATGAGAGGAACTCCATTCTTGCAGCTTGCGCTCGGCGCATTGTCAAACATCGAGCAAATGGATCTTCACGTAGCTCTTTCCTTACTTGAATTTGTTTCCTGCGCGCAAGAGAATTGGCCATGGGCGACGCCAGAGTTGCGAAAGCATCCGCAGTTCTTCAACAGTCTTGTCAACTATGTTTCCAAGTTGAAGATCTCATCTCTACCCGTCCAGGATCAGATCTTCGCCACACGATTTGCTGCCGTTGTCGCTGATCTCTGCGCTGTATATCTTCATTCAGCCAAAGAGACGCAGGATCGGTCATTTTACAAGACATTGATTCCCCTCGTGTCGTGGTTTGCAAAAGATGCGGTTGATGTTTCTGGATACAATGCGTCATTGCATTCCAATCTGAAAAGAAACTTTGAGATGAGATATCCAGGCTGCAAGCTCGCAGAGTTCAAGAGAACGTCGTTGCAGCCTCGTTGTCTAGGGCGCGACTACTATTATGATATCCAACTCGGCGAGAAACTTCTCTCTTATGACTTTGCCTGGTCTGGATCTCGGAATCAGGGATTTGCCGAGGAGTTTGAGCGAGCCAACATCAATTTGTCGTTGGTCGAGGCGCAAGTGGTACGTACAGTTGTTGATCGTCCATGAATTACGTTCTAATCATTCTCGAACAGAGTCTACTTCACAGCTGGAAATTCTTTGCAACCGAACACTGCGCAGACTTCATCGCTGATCGCGAAGTTCAAAAGTCGATGGCCCTGGTCGTACAGAGCTGTCTCGAGGCTAATATCAATGGCGTTCCGCAAGAAGTGATTTTCGAAAAAATACAACAGACGCGGGTAGACTTCGCGCAGGCCCTGCTTCAGCGACTTGTTGAGGCTGAGGCCAAAGGTGCCGAGGTTTTCGGCTTGCTCAAAGTCGCTTGGGATGCTTTACGCACTCGCCGCACAACGTACGAGGAAGCATTGGCGAATGATGATACTGAGTACTATCGCTCGCTCCTTAACGTCCTCTTCCTTGCGCTTCAGTTCCACTTGGACGGGCCCTCGCGAACGGCGCCTGAGGCCCTCAGCAAAAAAGCAGAGTTTCCTTCGGACTTGACTTTGGTTGTTGAGATCGTGAAGACGGTTGTTGCGCAGGGTTTCCGTTCACTGACGACATACCTGCATGACCAGCCGGACAAATGTGCGCCAAAGGATTTTGCCATCCTAACCGCGATCCTGCAGACATCTCTTCAGATCAAGCATGCGGACCGCTTATACGAACATATCGTTTATTTCATTGAGGACAATGATACGGCCCGACATGCCATGTCGTTGTTTTCGTGGTCAGATCAACTCGCCGTGGCGGGGGATCCGGTATATGGAGAGCTCAGCATTCTGTTCCTTGTCAAATTGTCCACATTACCAATGCTGGCCGAACATCTGGCGGTCGAGGCGGTTCTGACAAGGCTTTCCACATGCCGTCTAACAAACTATCTTCGCCAACCCAGAGGATTCGGGCCTTTCGACCAAGTGCCGAGAATCTACGCTATTTGGACCACTGGTTTCCTCCCTCTGTGTCTGAATTTGCTCTACCACGTTCTTCGCACCGCACCCGAGGTAGCCGCATTTCTCAACCAATTCGAAGGGCAACTCAAGCGCGCGTCCGAGTCTTTCATTGCTAGCCGCTCGGCCGTCACCGCCGACTCGCCAGCTCGGCGCATCAGCCTGAGCATGGCCTCGGAAGCATACTCTCTCGCCCTGATCTCGTTCATTCTGAATCGCTTCCGTGAAGCGGGGGCTAGCGCTGGAGTTGATGCACAGTCGATCCAGGAGCTCAAGTGGGACAAGTCTCAAGTCAAAGAAGACATCGAGGAGCTCTTAGAACGCCGTCAAACCCTTCGTGCGCGTATTGTCGCCACGAACGAGAAGGAGGTGGAACTGGCACGACAAAAACCGCTGAACCCTGCGTCCGGGGCAGAGAACCGACTGGAGGAAAAGGTTGTGAGCGAGCTCAAGGCGACCCTGGTCTGTCTTGGAGGCGAGGAGGCGTAACGATGGTCATGTATTGAGCGGGCAACCTATTTTGACAATGGTATTATTTTTTTTTTTCCCTGCGATCTTTATGGTAGTTCTGGCTCAGTATTGCATGCTCCGTGGGGTGAATAGGATGGGTTGTAAAATATCTTTGGTCAGTTATACAATGTTTAGCTCTCGTTTTTAATCACCATTCTGAGTACTTAGACATGAACCTTCTTCTACTTCATCCTGGACCCAAGCATTGACGCTTCCCAGCCTATTCACGTCGCTGGCGGCTAACAGTCCCATCGCCCCGTGCCAATCACACCCAATTGGCCTCATTCCTACAGAGCATTGGCCGTAGACTAGACCCCGCGGGCTCATCACTTCTCACAACCACAACGATCTATCTCTGGGCTCATAATCAAAAACTTACCGAAAAGTCCGAAACAACCTCGGGCTTTCTTCGCTGCCGGGGCGATGATTGGCAAGCGGCACGATGGGAGATACCCGGAGCGGGGGAGATGCGGGGAGAGCTTCATCTGGTTATGCATTTTTTTTTTCCTTTTCATAATTGGTTGATGCAGAGTCAAGCACTGTGAATAAGATTGAATACGATTGAGTTGTATGGTTCCAGGGCAGACTGTTGATGGTCCTTGTGGTTTTTATGCTAGGATGTAGTGGAGTGAATGGGCGAGATGGAGGAAGGAGTATAAGTATACAGATGGATGGTCCGTCCTCTACAATCTTCTGGTGCTTGTTTCTCTCCTTTATACCTGGGTTGTGTCACATCGCACTTCTAAACAATCTAATTCACACCAGCTTGGCTATACTCACTAGGCAAATTCCAGCACAGACAGGATGCCATTCAAGTCCCGCTGGCACGTCGATATCCCCAACACACATCTCGCTTCGCTGCTGCTCAAATCACCCACGCATCCTCTCTCGACCACGCATCGCTGTTTTGCTGAAGCCGCCCGCCCAGACACGCACTACTTCACACTCCATGATTTCCGACTGTGGAGCCAGCGCTTCGCGGCTGGGCTGCGCAAGGCCGGGCTCCGGCCCGGAGACAGGGTGCTGCTCTTCTCGGGGAATGACCTGTTCTTCCCTGTTGTGTTTATGGGGATAATCATGGCCGGGGGCATCTTCACGGGCGCGAATCCGACCTTCGTGCCGCGCGAGCTGGCGTTCCAGTTGCAGGATAGCGGGGCGGTGTTTCTGCTCTGCGCGGATGCGAGCCTGGAGGCGGGGATTGAGGCAGCCAAACTGGCGGGGATGGGTCTGGATCGGGTCTTTGTGTTCAACAGTGATATTTTTGAGGGGCGTGGGGACGGGAGGAAAGGGTGTCGCTACTGGGGGGAGCTGGTGGCCTCCGTTGAGGAGGGGAGTCGGTTCATCTGGGATGAGCTGTCGACGCCCGAGGAGGCGGACCGGACGCTGGCGCTGAATTATTCTAGCGGTACGACAGGTCGGCCAAAGGGGGTGGAGATCTCGCATAAGAACTATGTTGCCAACATGATGCAGTACAATTACCTGTTCTATCTGAGCCCGGACTGGAAGGGAAAAGCCACCAGGGCCCGCTGGCTCTGCTTCCTGCCAATGTACCATGCAATGGCGCAGAACATATTCATCGCGGCTGCACTAAGCCGTGGGGTGCCGGTGTACATCATGCCTAAATTCGACTTTCTGAAGATGCTCGAATACGTGCAGGAGTTCCGCATCACGGACCTCATCCTGGTGCCTCCGGTGGTGATTGCGCTGGCCAAACACCCTGCGGCCAAGAGCGGCAAGTATGACTTGAGTAGCGTGGAGGCCATTGGAAGTGGAGCAGCACCTCTGGGTCGAGAAGTGTGCGAGGAAGTCGAAGCCCTTTGGCCGCCTGGCCGCCTCAATGTCAAGCAGGGTTGGGGGATGACTGAGTAGGGATATGCCCTGATCTCGCAAATCCCGAATGATTCAAGGTGCATAGGACCATCGCAAGCTGACTCGTCCTTTCCCGCAGGACTACCTGTTCAATCATGGGCTGGGATCCCACCGAAAAGAGCTCCACAGCATCAGTCGGGGAACTGAACGCAAACTGTGAGGCAAAAATCATGGCCGATGATGGGGTTACAGAGTATGGACGCGGTCAACGTGGCGAGCTTTGGGTACGAGCCCCAAACATCATGAAAGGCTACTGGAAAAATCCACAAGCTACCAAGGAAACAAAGACGGAGGATGGATGGTTGAAAACAGGAGATATCGCCTACGTGGACGGTCAGGGAAAGTTTCACGTCGTCGATCGCAAGAAGGTATGTCTCAAAGCCTGGGTTGTCCATATGACCCTCCTACAACCATCGCCACCGAACTATAGTTCGTAGCGGGATCGAACGCATAGGTGCTGCATGTTGCATGCAAGCTGACTGGGTCCAACTCGAAATAGGAATTGATCAAGGTAAAAGGCAACCAAGTGGCACCGGCAGAGCTGGAGGCCCTCCTGTTGGAGCATCCTGCGGTTGCTGATGCTGCCGTTATTGGAATACCAGTGTAAGTGGGCCAAGAGCCGACAAAAGAGACCACTTTTTCAAGTGTCTTTTGAAAACCCATTCACGCAAGCTAATGTTGGTGGTGTGGAAAGAAACGATGACGAGCGTCCTCGGGCATACATTGTGCTCAAGGCAGGGCAAAGCGCCACCGCGAGCGATATAATCGCCTTCATGGATGGCAAAGTCTCAGCAATCAAGAGAATCACTGGTGGAGTAATCTTTGTCGAGGCCATTCCTAAGAACCCGTCTGGGAAAATCTTGCGCAAAGTGCTTCGAGACCAAGCCAGGGAGGAGACCCAACAGACTGGTGTCACCGCTAAGCTATAGAGCGGTCTTCACACTGGTGGACTTCATCTTGTCTGATGGGCTATTTTAGCTTAGTTTGCCCCTCAATTGATGCATTAAAGAATACATCGCCCACAAGTTCCGTTGGTGAACTGAATTTGAGATCTGTATAGAGTTTTCCACAATCTAGAGCAGCTTTGACTGTGTCTGTGCTGGTGTCTTTGTGCTGTTGGAGATGACCAGGTTGTTGGGTCGACATGGTAGATGATAGATCGATCCAAAGTGGATCAATCTCACTTTGGAAACGCAGAAATGAGGTTTGTCAATTGCCACATCCATCTAGAAGCCTCTCTTTGCTCTAGATAGATGACTAGATATACACAGTACATCGATTGTTGAAAGAGGCGATAGGACAGCAGCCTGTCGGGGATCCCGACAGGACTGTCGCAGTCTTTTTTTGCCGCCTCGACAACGCCGCTTGATTCGGAGGTTTGGAGTACTGTCATGTGACTAGATTACCCCCAGCATTAATCTATTAAGCTCAGAGAGATGTTGATACAACAAACACTCGGAGCCCACTTCTGCGCTCAACTCCACGATGCAGCGAGCCACACGAGCCGCTTGGAGTATCTGTATCCCTGGTGTGTTCGCAGAGGCTTGATTATACCTCTCCCGTCTACTTCTTGCCATCAATGGATCTCTCTACCGTCTACACCGGGAACTACATCTTGACCAACAGTGGACATGCACACCGAGTGTTTACCAACTTGACCAGTCCATCGAGATTGACGAGGAGACACTTCCAACGTATCAGTCAGACGAATACTACCCAGTCAAGCAGGGTGAGATACTCAATGATCAGTATCAAACGCTTGCCAGGATAGGATATGGAGTAACTTCGACGGTTTGGCTTGCGAAGGACTTGATGTAGGTGCCGTTGATGTGCTTTGAGAAATTGAAATGATGGCGATACCGATAGTATGATATGAAATAGCACATCGAAATATGTCATTTTGAAAGTCTATGTGACGGGCCCAAATTGTGACCCACGAGCGAGAGCTGCACATCTACAAGCACATGAATCTCATGGAATCAAATCACCCAGGCAGAAACTTCATTCACAAACTCCTTGACCATTTTTATATCCAGGGCCCTCATGGTCATCATGTCTGTCTTGTTCACAAGCCTTTTGGGGCGAGTGTGGATCTTCTGGTGAAGATGTCTCCCGGGTAGGCAATGACCCTTGATGACATGAAGCCAGGAGTCAGACAACTACTTATCACCTTGGATTTCCTGCATTTGGAGTGTCGTATCATCCATATGGGTAATATACTCATTGTCCCCGAAACAAAAAGCCTATAATATAAGCCTAACTCTGTTGCAGCTCTTTAGCTGAAGAACTTACTGCCTCCAGGACCAGAGACAAGTTATCTCTCCTGCTTCGAAGAAGCTGAAGTCGCAGATCCATCACCTAGAAAAGTGCTCAATGACTGGATAACCTACAAGACTTTGGGTTTTTTCCTTCTGTGAGGTGGACAGCCACTTCTGACTGATTTTGGGGAAGCTCGATTAGGCGACAAAGAGCACAATGATGATATCATGCTGAATGTCTACAGAGCTCCTGAAGTGACCTTGAGGTCGAGTTGGGATTACACAGTGGATATCTGGAGTATTGTAATGGTAGTATGTGGAAAATCCCCCAATTTTGCCCTGGCCAGGAAATCTTAGTGATTTGATACACATAGGCCTGGGACATCGTTCGCTCTCGCATCCTCATGCCGACGGCTTTGGAGCTACTATACGACGACTGGCTGATGAAGGGGCTTGAGGAATAAGGAGGGGGATATCCTCTAAGAAAACATCCCGGAGTGTGGGATAGAGAAATTGGCACTCCACAAGATGCTCCAAAGTGAGCAGAAAATCGCCAGTAATAGTAAAATAGAATCCATAGCATTTAAACACACCCAGTCACAGCGCAACTGTACCCAACGAGACACCACGATCAAGCGCTCTTTGGAGACAGTGGAAATTGACCAAATGCACTCAGTTAGCATAGTGGATGCTGCTTGAGTAATGCTCTCGCTTTTCCCAGACAGAATGCACAGCTATGTCGCACGAAGGACTCGATCACAGGCTAGGGCGAAAAAAAAGTCTCAAGTTCGCTTTGCAGGAGATGTCTGTGCAAGATTACATAAGATGAGGTTCGATTTTTCTGGCATTTCAAGAACGTTCGTTACAATGCAGGCCTGCAGATTGCGCAGATGCATCGGAAACCAGAAAAAAGAAAAAGAAAAAAAAAATGTCTTGCCTTCCCAAGTCCACAGCTTGAGACCGACCCATTGCAGGTTGTAAGCTAGGATTGCCTCCTCAGAAGTTAGAATTTCTCCGTTTGGTGGATAGTCGCCATGGCTGATACGTCGCCTTTTCCGAATCTTGCCAAATGATATTCCAATGGGACTCAAATCAAGGACTACTTGGATTGGTGGCGTATGTTGGTTCTGTGAAAGTACAGGATCATGACTTTCAGGTTTCCACACCATCCATAGCATCTGCACCGAAAGATTCCAAATAGAAGTTGGCGACTGTCTTTGGAGTGGCTCTCAAAATGTAGTGTAGAGATGTGCATATGTCCGAGAATCTATTACCTTTGCGTCGCCGTCAGCAGCTCTCTAGTAGCTCTTCCTTGGGGGCTTGTACATACTGGAATACTTTTGCCACATATGCACTTGATCAGTTATTTTAAGGCCAAATCTGTCTGGTTGGTTGTGGACTGACTTCCCTCCAGTTATGGCGTGAAAAGTGACATGGATTTATTTCTTTTCGCCCAGTATCTCAGGGACTCGAATGTCGGCGCAATTAAACTTCAATCGATTTCCTTACAGTGATGAACCCCTGGGGAGTACCTAGTAGTTAAGAACTTCTCCATTGAACGAGCTGTAGATTTGGAGGTAATGAGATTTGCCAATGGGAAGTGCATTTGGAAGATCTACCATGCATTGACAGATAAGAAAACGGAAAGTCTTGATTCCGTTGTAGTGAAGAAAAAAAAAAAAACAACTGCATGGATGAGAAGGAGAGAGATAGAGGGAGAAACGAAGGAAGAAGATGAGGAGATCACCTGCCCACCGACTCCAATGCACATATGTTCCCTCTCTTACTTTAAACCCCCAAGCCGCCTGCCCGCTTAAGGTGCATCTTTCAGACAGCCTCATGCCTATATTGCATGTGTTATTGATCTAGAAATAATATGGATCTTCATGCTGACCATGGTTATTTGACCCCTACTAAACTAGGTATGGACTATGGAGTAGTCTAGTCTCATCGGGTTGATATACACTAAAATTGCCTACTCGCTAGTTTCTCTTTGCAGCGCCACTTTTACCTGAAGGAGCCCACTGCTCAAGGTGGCGCATCTTGTCGACAGCTGAACTTGCCTTGCATCCAGACACTGTCCCTCTGAGGATCTACCCTATGATGACGGGATTTGGTTTTCTGCCTGTTGGATCGTGGATTCGCCCACCTCATCAGTGCTCGTGGCTGAAGAGAGCGCAGCTGGACCGGGATGCCCCTCCCCAGTTAGATCGTGATCCAGGTGGCCCCAGAAGCAGAAAATGAACAGTTTCAGGGTCATCTGGATTAGCTTATGATTGTGGAGTTCGTTTAGACATAGACTCGTCTTATTCCGGACCTCTTGTGAGTCCTGGAGTGATTCCTGCGCCGCGGTCTTTCAGCCTCATCATATAAAGCCAAACCGGGCCACCTGGGGTTCGATCGTTTGATGTACATTGCTTGGTATAGCGTTTTCTCCCGATCTGCTTGCATACAAAACAAACCTGCATGTCAAGTGTTCATCATCTGACTCCTCCTGCTTTCCCTTTCTTACCTCTCATTCCCTCCCTAAGGAGAGATCGTGAGCATCGCATTAATTGTTGATCTATTTCCTCAAGTTTGTTGCACGATTCCTCACATGGTCAATAGACTTATACTTGTCCAGGTATTGACGACCGTTTAGACTGTGTGCTCTCCCCCGGGTTTTAGATAAAACCACTATTTGAGGAAACCATAGCCCTGGCAATGGGTTATGGGACTAGATATTGGGCCATACCCCAAGACTTACATGCACTGTTATTTGGGATCATTTACCCTGCTCTCTCGGTCATCTGCATAGTGATCCTTGCTCGAACGGTTAGACGTCGACGACAGGGTCGGTACGCACTGCCTCAACGACAAATGGACTCCCATCTCTCTAAGCTAGAGAAGCATGGTGATGACCAGCCAGCCCAGGAGATGAAACTGCAAACATCGCGTTCCGGATCATCTCCCAGGGCCGTCCCTTTTCCAACTGCCTGCGATATCCTGCAACCTCTGTCGCATCTGACGCCGTTACCGCCCAGTGGTTATCTGGCTTCCATGCTGGGCGGTGGACTGTCTGTGGCCCAGGTGGGGACATCGGAGAATGAGTCGACAGTCATGTCCGACTGCAAAGATATTCACCGAGACGATGATCGACCAACTACCTCGGACACGAACGACAGCCGTGTTGACTCATTTGCTGAGAGCCAACCCCAGCAGCATCAGCAACATGAAGCTGCAGCGGTACCGGCTACATGGTCTACAGAAAATCACGAGCAAGAAGTCTTCGAGCTTCCAGGCTCGGATGAGCCTCCATCTATCCAGAGGCGCAATCAAACGGTCCACTTTCCCCAAGTCGTGGACCCGGATGGTGCTCGTTCCTGGAAGCGGCTGATTGTGGAATACAACTGATGTGCTATGCATATGCTTGTTGGAATCGGTTGCTACATCTATTGTTGTGAATGTTTCGGGCTCTTCCATATTTTCTATTGCGAGTCTGCTCAGCTAGTAGACAAGCGTGGGTGGCGGTGTGTTTCTTGTTCGTGTGTGTTTTTTTTTTTTTTTTTTTTTTTTTTTCTCATGATGACTTAATGATATCGCGTGACGAAAATGTTTCTTAGTCTCTTAGATGATGAGTAGACAATGCAATGCTGCGATTATTTCCTTTATATGTATAGGAGTGTAATATCTACGCCAGAATCGTCTCAGTCAGTTTATATAGATGGAAATCCGAATCTGATAGTGATAACGTTGTGGATTGTGGACCAGCTCCACCGCTGACTCATCATCCATGACATGGCGATCTACAGCAAAGATGGACAACATTCAACAGTATCAAAGCTATATATCACCTCCCCCCATTCCCACCCCAGAAAGCTCCTCAAAGCACCCCAAAACCCACCTCAAAAATGACAATAACGGCCTACCCAACGACCTCGCCGTCCTCCTCCCCGGACATCGCCATCCTCAACCTCTCCCGCCTCTTCACCCGCCTCGAACACAACCTCCTCTCCCCCTCCGCAGACCTCAAATCCCTCCGCCGATCAGAGTACCAGCGCATGCGCATCGGAGCTGTAAGTCCCTTTCCTACTTCACTTCACTTCACTTCACTTCATCCCACCCCCGCCGGCCCAAATAACAACAGCTTCCATAAACTAACAGATAAATCAAGAACGTCGACTACGCCCGCACCCTCCTCACCCAACTCGAACGCAGCCTCCCACACCTCAAACCCCTCGACCGCCGCCACGAGCTGCAGACAGACCTCACCCGCAAACGCGAGACCCTTAAGCTCCTCCAGGATGTCGTCGACAAGAGCGCCGCGGACGCGGAGCTGCGGGGTGTCGCCGGCGCGCACGACGCGGACTTTGACTCCGACGATGACGGCGACGAGGCGGAGGAGATCCTGTTAGATGAGGAAACGACCGGCCACGCCGACGCAGAGACCGCTACGCCCGAGACCGCCACGTCCGACGCAGACACAAGAGACACACCATCCGAGGAGGACTTGGAAGGGGAGGAGGTCTCACCAGCTACCACCATCACCACCACCACCACCACCACCACCGCAGCGACACCAATCACAGCGACAGCGGCAGCAACAACGGCATCGTCGTCGTCGCCCCCGCCAGCATCAGCATCAGCATCAGCATCAGTGCGACACCGGTACCGGCACCAGAAAACATCCACGGCTCCGACGTCTACTCCGGCTACAACAACAGCAACCGCAACCGCAACCGCCACGGGGATCTCACCGCCCGCGTCCAAACTCGCCGCTACGGAAGAGACGCTCTCCCTCCACCGCACCGAACAGGAGGACCTCACCGGCTCGCTGCTCTCGCTCGCGTCGCAGCTCAAGGCCTCCTCGCACGCGTTCCAGTCCAGTCTGGAGGCGGAGAAGTCAGTGCTGGCGCGCGCGGCGGAGGGGCTCGATCGGACGACGTCCAACATGGACGCGGCGGAGAAGCGGATGGGGATGCTGCGGCGGATGACGGAGGGGAAGGGTTGGTTGGGGCGGATGATGCTGTATGCGTGGATTTTCGGGCTGTGGGTTGTGGCGGTGTTGATTGTGTTTTTGGGGCCCAAGCTGAGGTTTTGATGTTGGATACCCCCTTTCTTTTGATTCTTTTGCTTTTCTTTTCGTTTCTCTGACAGGAGTGTTGGGCGTTGATTAGCGTCTAGTGTTGATTGATACACAGCCTGTATATACATGTCTGCTGGCGTCAGGGTAAAAAATAGATCTACAGTACAACGGCCGCAATATGAACAAATGGAGTAATTTCACAATTCCTTTTAACTCTGACAATGACCAATGACCAACCCGACATGACACATGAGAAACGACATGGTAATCTGCATATCCTGCCATTCCCCGTGCCCACTGCCATATCGTCCTCCATCGTTCCCCATGGGCCACTAAGACCAAGGATGGGGTACATGGTATGAAAGGGCATACAGAATCAGTGGCAAGGGGCATCAAGAGCAGATGAGAGGATATCCAGCATGCAATAATAATAAAAACAAAAAGGAAAAGTAAAGAAACAGAATGAGGGATGAGATGGTGAGCATTAGAAGGGTTTGAAATGAGTTTAAATCAGGCAATCACAGGCATCCCATAGAAAATGACAACAGAAGAAACAGACGTAAATCCCAGGTCTCACACAAAACCATAGGGGGTGTAAGAAATTCAGATAACTCGCTGCACATGGTGAATAAAAAAAAAAAAAAAAAAAAAAAGACAAATGATAAGCAAACTCCTGCTCTGTGTCACGGGGATATCGAGGATGTTGATAATAGTAATAACAGAGAGTCGATAAGATATCATTTCCAAGACAACAAAGGAAATAAAGAGAGATTAGTAGATAGACAAGGTGCATGTTTCAATGCCAGGAGCTCAGAGAGGGAGGTAGTGGCGATGAGGATGGGCGAAAGGCGTCCAGGTAGATATAGCACAACATCGGTATCCGATTGTAAGCCACATGGCATGCGCTCTAAGATGGTTAAAATGGTTTGAGCCAAAACCTTACTCCGTCAAGTGTCCGGCTCATTAGATCAGACCACAGAGTCTCAGGTTCTCTTGGATAATGATATCTAGTTTGGAAATGTTAGTGGCTGACGTATTATGTTTTCAGGTTCGTGGGAACACATACCATTGACAGCCGCCATGACGAAGCGGATTTGCGTGGTATCAGTGGCGCATGTGAAGTGAGTGTAAATCTGCTTCTGCTCGGCCTGATTCAACGATACGAAACGGTTGAGGATGTAATCGCAAGCCGCGGCGTAATCGGCGCCGCCTTCATAATCGGGGAAGTAGTTCTTCATCGGGCTGACGGGGAGCTTCTCCTTGAAACGATCGATCTTGTTCAGGAACAGAATGATGGACGTCTTGACGAACCACCGAGAGTTGCAGATGGAGTCGAAAAGGGTGAGCGCTTCCTGCATACGGTTGACGGTCTCATCTTCGAACAACAGCTGGTCATATTCGGAGATGGCGACTAGGAAGAGGATGGTGGTCACGTTCTCAAAGCAGTGAATCCACTTCTTACGTTCCGAACGCTGGCCGCCGACATCAAACATGCGGTATGTCAGGTCGCCGATGATGAATGTGGTCTCGGTGATACCAGTCGTCTTGACACGGGAGCGGAGGACATCCTGGTCGGTAGGCAGGTAGTCAGGCTGAGCAATACGGTCGACGGCATCGAAATAGCTATTCGCTGGAGGTTAGTGGATGTTCTTCCACGGGCTTAGTCCCCAGATGGCCAGGGCAGCCACTTACTATTTCGCCGAATCGTTCAGCTGGTATTCACGGGACCGCTTGAAGCACTCTTGCACACCGGTATCGCGCCACAGGGCCCCGATAGCGTTGCCAACTTCTGGGGGAAGGCTGTCACCCTCAATCTGAGCGGGTTGCATGAAGATGGTCTGGACGTGGTATTCATTGCGGGCATCCTCCAGGGGCAGCTCCAGCGATTCCATGGCCTCCAGAATGACACGCATCGACTGGACCGTGTTGCTGTAAATGATTTCCTTGAACGATTCCCGCTCATCGCGCGAGTATCCACCCTCATGGATGAGCTTCATCTGCTTGAGAATAGTCGATTTACCAGACTCTCCAGCACCTATTTCGCTAGAGATTAGCGGTCCATTCGACACCGACCGGTCGAGAAGGGCGATGCATACCGAGCAGAAGCATCTTGATCTCGTTCCGCTGCATCATCTTATCCCGCTTGAGCTGGTTATCGATCTCCTCGTTGCGGGCCTTGCCCTCCTTATCCTCGGTACTCATGCCACAACCCATCTTGACGGTATGTGAATTCTTAGAATGATCGTTGGTAGCGGATGGACGGTGTGGTGATTGGAGAAAAAGGATTGAAATGAGCTCGCAAGGCTAACCGTCGCGAAAGGAAACCTGCCAGCGGCAGAAAGTGGATGTCAGCAAACGGTTCCGCCACGAAACGATCTTCAAGTCAAGATTGTCGGCTCCAAATGAACGTGGTACAAACACGAGCAACAGAACCGCGATTGGAAAGGGTCTCGAAGGGGGTGGGGGAAGGGAAATACAGCCAGGGAATGACTATTACAAATTGAGAGTGGACGTGCTGACGCAAGGAGGGTGCAGTTCATGCGGCGGGAAGGCTCACTCGCAAAAGGCAGACAGGCGGAAGAGGATAAAAGGGGAAGAAAACCACCCACCTTGATCGAGTTCCTCTTCCGAACCGAGACGATATTTCACGATTCTCAGACGGTCGGGATATAAGTGAAGGCAATAGTATTACCAGGGATGAAATCGACCGTAAAAGGAACTGGGATGGGGGGGGGAGGAAAATAAAAGAAGAATATAGGGAAGCGGGCGGGAAAAGAGGCGAAAGGAAAGTGAGTGAGACTGAGACCACCTGGAAGAAGCTGGACAGGTGGTAATCAGGAGCCGCGCTAGAAGGGTCCGATCACGAAAGAAGAAGAAATAATGGAAGTAGTCAGTAGAACTTAGAAACGCGGCTAGGGGAAAGGTGGGATGAAGATAAAGATGATGATGATGATGAAGATGATGACAGAAATATGCGTGTCTATCGATCTATCTATCAAAATCCCAACAAGCACTATATATGGACGATGAGTATGATTATGGACTGAATATGATAATGACAATGATAATAATAAGGGACGGAGAAAGAGGACAAAAGGACAAGGACAAGCAAGACAGAAAGAGGAGTCGAAGTGTGAAATGAGAGGGGGGAAAAAAAGGCTTTTTTGGGGGGGATGTGGAAAGAAATGCGCACGTTAGTTAAGACTAAGCAGAGACTAAGGTAAGGGGAAAAAATCCGCAGAGCAGCAGAAGAGGAACCCTCAGGCTCAGAGATTCTCCTTATGGGTATCTATATTCTATCTAGTTAGTTCAATCCTACTTAGTTCCTATTTTCTATTTCCCTATGGATTAACTAGTTATACCTAGGTAGTTATGGAGGCAGAAACTGAGAAGAAGAGAGAAGGTAAGTACCTAGTCAGTAACTAGTGGCTGCAGCGGAAAAAAAGACAGCAAAAAAAAAAAAAAGAAAGAACAAATAGGGGGAATGGGTGGGGCTATGGACTCCGACAGTGCAAAGTTTCAGCAGATTCCCTATTGTGATTGGGTGTAAATGGTAAGGGGCGAAGGTGGAGACTCTATTTTGACAACCAATGGCTGTGCATATCAGCCACTCTCCTTTTTGATGGCATTTTTTAAGGTACTACGGAGTACTGTAGTAGATACTTGCAATCCGAGGGGATGGTTGACCATCCAGTTCTCTGCATGATTCAGTATCTTCAGGAGATTTGGCAGTCAGAACAGTCAGAACAGTCAGGATCATATGAAGATCCATAGATACTACGGAGTAGAGCAGGAGGAGACTGAGACTCGAGGTATCCATGTCGTGGCAAAAGGAGTAGATCTCATCCGGTAGAGAACCCGGTTGGACCTATCTCCTCTTCTGAAGCTCAAGGATGTGGCTTGAAGCTCTCTTCTCCTATCTAAGGTGGGATAGAGATTATGTTATGAGGATCTTAGTAGATTAATTGACCATCTTCTCAACCACCATGGCGCTCTCACAAAAGAGCCTACAATCATCAGGTAAGCTTTGTGCAGATGCATGTCAAAATATGGCTGTTTCCTGCATATAGCAAACCATATTCTTAGTTCTTACAGTTATGTATGAGCAGTTGAGCACTCTCTGCAAGTATGCATACATGATACACCTAGAAACAATGGGTTGATCAGATCAGATATCACATTCATTTCCCCATGATCCAGAATTCAATCACACCGTGGGCAATCCCCAAAACAAGAAAAACACTTGCAGTTTCAAAGATGTTGCCGCAGAGTGGAATAATCGATAAACAGTGGAGACCACGACTGATCAGAGAGCCCAGTCAGCCTACCAACATTATCGAGATTTGAGAGACTACTAAAGGACTGATCTAGGCACATCAAAATGCATCCGCTTCATTCTTCTAGAAGGATATTATTATGATTCGAGGTTATGTTTCAGACAATCGACATCACCGCCAAAAAGGAAGAAAGTTCTCAACCCATCCCTACTTACTCTGGATGTGAATACCAACAAGTGATACATACATCACACACTGTATACACTGTACACCTCTGGCTTCTACTGCTCCACTCTTGGTTGCAAACCGTCTGCCGATCGTCTTCTCCGCTGAGGAAGTCTACAAAGTACCTCCTCCAGTGCTTCATTACTATGATCATCATTAAGCGTTGACTTACCCCTCAAGTCCTCGGTTGACCTGTCTCTCATCTCTATACCACCATGATCTCACAGACAATATTACCATTTGCTTTTTTTTTTTTCTTCTATTCCTAGTCCTGCTCGCCGACATGGTCTCAAATCCCAACTCTCAAGATATCCAGCCATTGATGGGGGATTTTCATTTCCCTCAAAACTCAGTAGGATAAACGAGTCTTGTCAATACAGACCCATGGCTCTCACCTCTATTCGTCCCTTTGTCGCGTGGTGACGAGTTTCTTTGATGGCTCCAGTGGTTGGCTCCCTAGCACTGTTGAACTATTGAAATCCTCGGTTGCTAATTCTCCTCGACCAAGCATTCAGGCAGCATGTTCTTTCACTTTGTGATGCGCAGTGACTAGGTAACTACTACCATCACTATCTGCAAATCATCGGAACTATCTATCTACTCTGTAGTAGTAGATGATCTGGACTGTCTGATACTGACTCGCATAGGGTCCTATCTAGGCAGTGTTAAACCTCTGTTGATCACCTGATCAGTCATACTCGACAATGAGCCTACTACTAGTAGTTCCTACAGACTATCACTCGTCTACTAGTAGATAGTAGATACAAGTCGAACTGGCAAATTCGAAATTCATCAAAAGCAATATGTATCTACCCAACACTAACTATCTAGAGCACAGACCCAAGAATGGCGCTTACAAGGTACAAAAGTCGAACGCTGGACGCGCGATCTTGGGAGCTCCACCACAACCACAGGACCACAGATTCCAATTGTAAGCCATCGCTACCCAGCGATCCTCCGATCCAGCGCCCTCGATCCCGATCTCTTCTTTCATCGGTCTCTGGCTTCTGATTCTGCAATTCACATCCTCTCTCCGTCATCTGTAACATGTTATGATATATCTCTTCTGTCCTTGCTATATATAATTCATCACAATGTCTCATGAGATGTCCTACATGGGCCCTCGGGGTAAGTCATACCAAAAAAAAAAAAAAAAAAAAAAAAAAAAAAAAAAAACATCGTAGCCCCGATCCACCGCGATGATGGGCGCCTTGCGACATCGCAACCCCCCAGAAGTCCAGAACAGCAAAATGCGAAATCCACTGATAAGCCACTACTGACATTTCCCAATTGCACACCCAGCCTTCAACCATGACCGGGACGACGATGCCGCAGAAGTAGAGTACGATCGGCTCCGCAATCTCGCCCGCCAGGAAGCCTCGAAGCGCAACTCATGTTTCCAACAGGTGCGCATGGCCCTCTCAACCTCCCCGCCTCCCTACCCCCGATGTCCAGAGTATGACGAGATGTCTGATCTGATGAGAAAATGAGAAAAAAAATAGTCCCAAGAAGCGTACTCGAGTGGTGATGGCGCGCGCGCCAAAGAACTCTCGGAGCAGGGCAAGGCCCACGGCCGCAAGATGGACGAGTACAACAAGCAGGCGTCCGAGTTCATCTTCCGCGAGAACAACGCCAACGGGCGCGTCCCGGAGGATACCATTGATCTGCACGGGCAGTTTGTCGAGGAGGCGGAGGAGATTCTCGAGGAGCGCATCAAGTATGCCAAGGCGCATGGGCAGACGCATCTCCATGTGTGAGTTAGCCTCCTCCAGTCCTTGTTATTTCTTTTCTTTTTTTTTTTTTTTTTTTTTGCTTCACATCTCTCAGGTGGGGAAGGAGGCATGCATAAGAGTAGGGCTGATGAATACGGCCAGGATCGTCGGCAAGGGAAACCACTCCGCCAACCATGTGCAGAAGATCAAGCCGCGCGTTGAACAGGTCTGTCGCGAGCTGGGGCTGCAGTATGCCACTGAGGAGAACGCCGGCCGCATCTACGTCAATCTCACGGGGGGGCCGGCCGACATGCCACCATCCAGCGGCCATGGGCAGGGACAGGGACAGGGTCATGGATATGGTCATGGCCAGGCTCCCACAAGTGGCCAGTACCCCGGCCAGCAGCAGCCGCATCACCAACAGCAGCAAGGCGGGCAGCAGAACGAGATCGAGCAGGTTGTCAATGCGATCCTGCCGCGGGTGCTGCGCAAGCTCGAGAAGGCTTGCTGTACGATTATGTGAGGCTCATCTCTTTTTTGCGTTGTTTTTGGTTATATATATATATTCATGGATGGACGCATGGCTATGGCTGGGATATGAACATGGTCAGGCTATATATATGACTTGGAGGATATCTACACTGTGTTAATGTTTGTTGGTAATCTCGGTTGATGTCCATAGCATTTTCTCTAGAGCATCTGACGATACCCGCAACGATGTGTCATCGAACCCCAGGTGATGCACATCTCTGCTCTTTCAGGCCATGGACAAATGTGAATTTGGTTTCATCATCAGTAGATCATCATAATGCATGCTTGCCGTAGTTGCTGTCCATTGACATCGACCAGGTACAACCAATGAAAAGTCATGGATTATCATTGCCATGTTCATCATACAGAGGGGAATCAAGTACAAACATAAAACACCCAAGTCAAGCCTCGCCCTATTATAGATAATCCACCGGGGTGACCAGCCCTCCCGGGAAGAAAAAAAAACAAATAAGAGAAAAGAGAATAAGCTCATGACTGAGCCTGTGGAGGAAAAGACCTCTCACACTGATCCATTGCTCTCGCCTCCTAAAGTCGTTTCGGTTATCTTGTGCAGAATAGCTCGCACCATCGCCCCCTGGTCCTGTCCCTCGGGCTCGTTCCCGACTCCTTGCGCCTCAATCTCATCGATGAGGGACACGGCCTTGTCGCGCAGCTCCCGCACCACTTCCCGTGTGTATGCAAAACTGCCGGTGCTCTCCATGTAGCTGACCGCGTAGAGCTTGACTTCCTCATCCTTGGTCCGCTGCTTGAGAATCCCAATGAGTTGATGATTCCGTGGGTTCGAGCGGATACTGTGGATGATGGGGAACGAGAATTTGCCTTCCGTCAGATCCTCGCATAGTCCCTTGTTCTTGGTGTAGGTCGTGCTGGAAAGATTGAGGTAGTCGTCACAGATTTGGAACGTGAGCCCCATGACGTTCACCAGCTTCACGCAATCCTTGCCCGCTGTGCTCTCGGCTTGCATCAGTTTGATGGCCAGCCGAAACAAACCGCCCGTCTTGTTCCCGACCATCTCCAGATATTCCTCCTCGGTGGGACAGGTCAGGGTGTCTCTCCAGAACAGGTCCATCCCCTGGCCCCGGTGCAGGTTCAGCAGCTCCTGGACGTAGATGTCGATCGCGGTCGGGTTGTTCAATTTTTGCACTTCTTGCAGAGCTAGGAAATATACGTAGTTGGCCGAGTTGATCGTTTGTGCGGTGCCGAAGATGTTGTGAGCCACTGGAATGCCGCGGCGGAGGACGGAGTTATCTTCAACATCGTCGATGCTAGCAAACGTTCGGATTAGACTACCATCAAGTAGATAAAAAGGGGGTTTGGTGAGGTGTGCTTACAGTAGCGAAGCTGTGTGAAGCATCCCCACCACCTTGGTGATGATCGCCAGGCTGTCTGGGGGCACTTGGAGCCAAACATTAAAAGCGTTGATGAGCTGCCGCCGAATATCCTTGCCGGGGTGTTGTTGCATGTAGTCATAAGGACCCATCAGAATCTTCTCATACTCCTGCGACCATGTGCCATCTCGGTACTTGGTGCCATCCACGCTGGAGCGATTCCGAGTGTGTCGCTTCGACGAGTCCATGTTCGTCTGGAGCCGGTCGCTCGATGACTCTGCCCCATTTGTATCGACATCTACCGATGAACCAAGTCTCTCTGCTCCAGATGAGTCTGTGTGCAATCCGTCACTCATGATGACGGAACTCCTTCGAGATGTGTTTCCTATTGGTAGTTGATCGCTGAATCCGGACAGGAGGGGTACAGTTCAAGTTGTCGCGATGAAGCTCTTTTATTTCTCGGAGATGCCGCCGGAGACGCTGAAAAGTAAGATGAAGACTTTCTTAGAGAGGGCGCACAGCTTCCATGAGGTGTCCGAGAGCGAAATACTGCATCGAGCGGCACACCAGCACATGCATTGCAGAAAGCGTGACCCGGTGCTGCCTGCAAATCTGTGATGTATAATGTATCACATGCTCCCCGCATTATTACAACGAAGAACCTTAGGCGCCAAGGCAGATAAGAGACGAATCATGTGACTGGCTCTGGCTCGGAGAAGGGGACCGATGCAACTTAAGTCAAGAGAGACATCGGCATCGAGACGCCTGAACGCAGGAACAATAGGGGACTGAATCAAGGCAAGGGACAGTGAAATCCTGTCATCACTTCAAGCATGAACCAAGGGGGCTGGGAAACGATTCTCCACTATCAGGTAGTGTTGTAAATGCTGATAAGTATCTTTCTCAAATGGTGTCATTGTGATTGTCCTTCCTCTCGGGCCTCACCTCCCCCCCCCCCGCCAAATATCGGATGGCTGGGGTTTTTTCTAGTTTTTCTGCGGCAGAGATCGTCAGCTCGGGCTGAACAAGTTTAAAGTGACAGAACAGGGCGTAGCTGAGGCTGACATCATGAGCTGAAAGGACTAGATCTAGTAGACCAACGAGATGCTCCAAGTTCCTCACTTCCTCTCCATGCTGGCCGGTAAGCGCCCACGGTCAACGAGGGTGCAGGCGTATCCCGGGGCAACCATCGGCGTGCTGTTGCTGGGATCACAGCAATGTGGGGAGAAAGAAACCGAAGAAGCCAACTAGCGAGGGGAACTGGATCATCCTGATGGATTTCAATCGGCATGATCAACCCACGATGATGCTGATTATTAGGATTTGGAACGGGGCCACTAACAGTCTTGATGAAGATGGAACTATGTCCGGGTCAAGTTAGGCCAGATGAAGTGTCAATGATGAGTTGGGCACACTAGCTATCTAGATTCTAGACTAGTAGTAGATTGTTGTATTCGACTGTCTTGTCTATCTGTCTGTCTGTCTTTCAATTGTGGCACTCCCACGATCTTAATTAAATTCAGGCCTGGCCGGGTGTTCGATTTCTTTTTTTTTCTTTTTTTCCTTTCTTCTCTGTTTCCTGATTAGCGAGGTATACATACAAAGCTTCACTCCTCGTGTCGCGACTCAAGGGTTTTATCCTTTCTTGTCTTCACATCATCATCGGCATCATTACCATTCACCACACATCCACCTCTTTTTACTTCATCTTCCTTCTTATCTCTCATATCAATTGATCCTCCGATCTCTTCTTATTCGTCGCATCTCATATCCACCCATGGAGACATTACTAGCGCATTCATTCGATTATCTCTCTTCCTATGAGCCAAGTAAAGTCCGCAAGGGCCTACGCCAGGTGGAAGGTCTTCTTGCACAGATCTGTTTATCCAAGTCGAAACAGCCAGTGTCTGATAAACGAAAGTCGTTGCTCTCGTTTGGTGCTCCACCACCAGTGCCCAAGGCTCTATGCGACTTGAAGGATGATCCCGCGTTTCGTGAATTTTTCAAGTTACAAGATGGCTTCCAATGGAATGGTAAGCTGCTGCTCATTCAATGTAGTATATTCGTTATAGCGCAGGACTAACCAGTTTCACAGTCGCATTGCGCCTGGTAACTTGTTTGGAGCATCTGCTGGGTCGCGGAACCAATGGCACCAATGGCACCAATGACCTGCTGATCTTGTCGACTCTCGATTTAATTCAAGGCGTGCTCCTGCTTCATCCACCATCGCGAACGCTTTTCGTTCGTGAAATTTACATGAACCTGCTTCTCGACCTTCTCGATCCCGTCAATTGCCCAGCAGTCCAATGCGCGACCCTCCTTACGCTTGTCACCGCTCTTTTAGACAATCCAGCCAACACGCGAACATTTGAAGAGCTGGACGGATTGCTCACAGTGACTTCGCTGTTCAAGCAGCGTTCCACCTCCCGTGAGGTCAAGCTTAAGCTGGTTGAATTCCTCTATTTCTATCTGATGCCGGAGACCCCCACGTATCCTATGAGACCCGGGGCAAGCGCACCAAATACGGCAGTTCTGGGTCATCATCGCAGTCCGAGCAAAATGGCCGCCACCCCATATTCGCGAAGTCTCAATGTCTCTGCGTCGGGGCATGGTGGAAAGGGCAATGGTGAGACGCGTACGACAGAAGAGAAGCAAGCCCTCCTGGGTCGGTTTCTCAACAACGTCGAAGACCTGGTGGAGGACTTGAAGGAGACGGCTCCTTTTGGTGCGACGGTTTATTAGCATGCAGTGGATTGGACTTGCTTTTTGAATCTCTTGTTTGTGTCTCTTCAGCGATAGAGCGTTCATGGTTATGGGTGCTATTGGCTATGGGCTATGGGCTATGGGCTGGATTTTTTGTTTCATCCTCGGTTTGGATTTTAGCCCGGTGTCTTTTTTTTTTCTTTCTTTCTTTCTTCCTCTTTCTTTTTCCCTTTCCCCGTCTGGCACGGTTTCATTCTTCCCACTGCTTTCTTCTCTCCCACTACCACCATGTCTCTTGAATGTTCCCTATGATGTCTTCTCGTCCACTTTCCTATCATGTCCGAGTCACGGTCTTTGATGTTTTACGCCGTTACGTTCAGGTAGCCTGAAAAGATAACAATTGCACTTGGATGACAATATGAATTGGAATCGCAATTCTTTTACCCTTTGAATCTCTGTAACTCACAAGCTACCTGCATAGCATGTACGACAAGACCTCATCATGAAAAAGGAAAATGACCAGAGGCGCCTCCACAGCCAAGCACGTACCCGTTGACAGATCTGTTATCACACATTTAAGCTTCATTTTTATGTATCCTGCATGCAACCTCGGAAGTATCTGCGTTTCGACCGTTGTGACTCATCCGTTGAACTCGTATCATGATTCGTATTACATTTTATGACTATATAACTAAACTATTATGTAGCTGTAGACAATCCCCCTGAAAAGCGTCTGTCTAGTAATCTCCCAAAATACCATCTCGTTGCGCCTGAAACCTGGAAACCCACGGAACCAGCAAGCCGCAATATATATCACAACCCTCAAACAAAATGACCGAAACAATCCAAGACACGCTCCAGGGAAAGTCATCCAACACCGCACCCCAAAAACCAGTCCAGTACATGGACACAGTCGAAGCCTACAACAAATGGGCAGAGGTATGCACCCCTCCCCTCTCCCCCCCCCCCCCCTTCCCTTCCGTCGAGCCACTGCTGACACAAAAACAGGTCTACGACACAGATGGTAATTTCCTACAAGCCCTCGACACCATCCAACTACGCTCCCTCCTGCCCCTTTTCCTCGACAAAGTGACCCACTCCCACTCCCGCTCCCAGGCCCAGCCCCAACCAACCCGCCTCATCGACCTAGGCTGCGGCACAGGCCGAAACACCCTCCAACTCCTCCAACTCGCGCCCCTGGATGCCGAGATCATCGGGCTGGATGCCTCGCCAGGCATGCTGGAGGTAGCGCGCGCGGCAATCGCCCGCAACGCCGCAGACAGAAAGAGACAGGGGGGCATTGACGTGGTGCTGGAGCTATTCGATCTGCTGGCGTCGCCGCCTGCGCCGTCGGAGGCGTATTGCGGTGCGTCTGCGGTGATCTCGACACTGGTGGCGGAGCATATCCCGCTGCAGGCATTTTTTGGTGCTGCGGCGGCGGTGCTGCGGCCCGGTGGGTACCTGCTTGTCACGAATATGCACTCGGAGATGGGGGCGATTAGCCAGGCAGGATTTGTGGATGTGACAACGGGGACGAAGATCCGTCCGACGAGTTACTGTCATACGGTGCGGGATGTGCTGGTCGGGGCTGAGAGCGCTGGATTCGAGGTTGAAAGATTGGATGGGGAAGATGTTCGAGAGGTGAGGGTTGATGAGGGGATGGTTGAGGTGCTGGGGAGGAGAGCGGAGAAGTGGGTTGGTGTCAAGGTCTGGTTTGGTATCTGCTTCAGGAAGAGGTTGTGATTGTTTCAGTCAAGTCTCTGTAGGCCTCGGTTTTATTTTTTTTTTCTGCGCTTTCATGTTTGGCAGTTGTTGCAGCGAAGGCTACCGGGATGCAGGGTGCAGCTGGTTGCATATACAAGACAAGTAAGGCATTTAAATAGTGTACAGACAGAGGTTGGTTACCTCCCTTATATATTCCTGTGATACCTAGAAAAACTTCAGCAATCGCTCACGATGTTGTACAAGATTCTCGTGCTGCCGCAACAGCTGTCCCAGTCGGTTCTGTTTCCAACCCATCCCTTCATCCAGAATCAGATGTGTGTATGCGAAGACGCTGGCATCGAACAACCCAGGATTCGGGCGATCGAAGAAGTGTAAATTGTCACCGAGCAGAGCCGATAGCGCTTCAAACGCATCGGCAGCATCCGCCTCCAGCGCAGCGGCGTCCACGTAGGCCGACGTCTTCAACAGCTCGTCCCGCGCAGCATTCTGGAGCTGCATGGAGAGCGCAGCGCGCACGGCGAAATTGCTCGTCGACGGATCCACGTATAACCTCCGAGCTACAGCAGTAAAGTTCTCTTGGTCCAGGTACAGCGTGTATAGCTGTCATGATGTCAGCAAGACTCAATGTCGACTTTGTGCCGCCATTCATCCAGTACTCACCCAGGCATTGCGTATCCGGTGATCCAGTAGTGAACCATACACCTCGAAGCGCAAGTTCAGTTGCTGTTCCTCCTCACAATGTACCTGTTCAATGGCCCATTTTTGAAGCTTGCTTGACGGAATTGGCGAGGAAGTGCCGGCAGGGAGAGCGGGAAGAAGGAAGGGAAGGGCGCCGGTTGGAGAAGCGTGGTTGTTTGAGGGGACGGTTTCCACGTCAATGCCCACAAATCTCAAGTATGCCTGCCACGGAGCCACTGGGTTAGTAAATAACAACGGAAACAACATGGCTTCCTATAATACCGTACCTGCCACTTGAGACATTGCGGGTTAAATGAAGGTCTCCCGCGCCTTGCACGCGCCGGGTCTGTGAATACAAACAACCGATTGCCACGCCGCTCCAATCCCGAACGATACGGAAGGTCATTCGGGCCATATGTCACCAGAGGAAACTGATCGAAGATGCGTTTGATCGGAGTAGGAACGGAGAAGAAATCCCGAGCGCGAGAAGCAGTCGTATGGTCCGATGCCTGATCAGAGGGACCCCGGTTGTCTGGGGCCATGTTTGGAGCTAGGAAGGGAAATAGAATTGGCTCAAATGGAAGTCTTCGTCGTCGAGAACAGAGCTTAATCAGTCGCGTGAAGGGTATTCTGCACGCCAGGCCGATATCAAGAGTAGGACAATGGGAATCAAGAATCAACGAGGATCTGCTTGTCCCTGAAACTCGTCGCAGCTCGATTGGCAATGCATCCGCTTATTGCCAGCCGTTTTTTTGGATAAACTCCTCTGCGCTGCCTCAGGCATCCAGGGACAGATGTCTTGACTAGGTGCTTGGATGCCTGAGGCTGTCCAGCGTCACGTTTCCCCACCATGATGTCTTCAAATCTCTAATGCTGATTGGCTGCGTATCACATTTTCGAGTTCCGATTTCATCAGGGGAAATTTATTTTCCTACTTAGCAACTTGTACCTACTACTAGCTATCATCGCTTCCTCCATCGGCGGTGAATCGACTGGAGCTGGAATCTGTGTCTCTCGGGTTTCTATCTCTCAGCCTCTTTTGTGACGATTGGAGGGGAATACAGCATCTCATACTCCACCTTTTGCTAGACTGATTCCTCCCCACCTCTCTCTCGAGCAAACCGGAACGTTCCGTTCTCGATAAGGGCCTGGTCCCTATTGTGTTGCTTCATCTCGTACAACGATCTCAGCAATTGGTTACCGAGCAGACAACAACCGAAACGCCTCGTATCGTCCTTTTAGACCGATATCTACCTCTTTGGTACCTTATCGGTTGTTTCTTCCTCGAGCATAAAACTTGCAGGTCACCTTATTTGCCAGAGTGGGGTAACAACTTCATCTGAACTGGACTGGGGTGTCATCCATACGATTCTCGACCTCACGAGTCCGTGATCACTTTTATCGATAGTTCAAGAAATTGAACAGCAACAGATGTTTACTGGGAATTGGATTGTCCGAGATTGAACAACTGTAACAATGCCGCTCGATGAAGAGGGCGCCAAGTGGTCGTGGTAAGACCTCGGCTTGTCGTTTTTCACTACTGTAGATGTCTTTTTGGTGTCCTTCAGTGTTGCTAAATCTGCACTTTCCAGTAAACCATGTATCCGTGGTCATCGTTCCTCAAAATGCCAGCATTTCGACAGACTGATGATCAAAGTCCCCAAGGCGGGGCGCCCACTCGCCAAATGTCCCCATCCGAAAGGAAAATGCAGTTGTCAGAGGGAGTGTGCGTTCATGATCGCCATACCGAAAGGTTAGTAAAGCTGGGACGAATATATGTGCACTGTCCGATTTTCCCCTTTGTTCATCACGGACTTCTCTGATGGCAATTCAAGGAAATACTTGTCTATGTCGACCGGTGTATCAGGTTCCTGCAGGCATGAGCGACCATATTTCGCCTCAAACCCAACTGTCTATGAATCCGATGACTGCGCAGTCGATGTCTATGGACAGTAGTCAAGATTCCGGACGCCGAGGTAGCACTTTTCAGCCGACCACAGAAGGCTTTGCGAACACATTCAACTCTGTACCTGGTTTTGACGCGAGACACGGGGAGAACGGGTCTTTCAGCAATCTACCGTCGTATGCGCCTTATGATGCCGGTTTCGGGATTGCCAGTAACTCTCGTGATGTTGGCAATCCGGGCAATTCAGGCGTGACCACTCCATCCCTCATGGCTCACCAGACCTTCAATATTGTTAAGAGCGAAGAACCGCAAGAGAAGAAAGGTTGCTGTACCTCCGAAGCACAATCTTCTCAGCCGGAGCAGGTCTCAGGTACCTGTTGCCAAAGATCTGGTTCCATTTCGGGTACTCAGACTCCGTTGTACCAGCCATCCTTGAACGGCACGCCATATACGCCAATGTCTCCTCCGCAGATCTCATCCTGGCACGACTTCTATGCAGCGGACCATAGCGGTTATGGAACACCTTATACTTTTCAGCACCCGGGGCTCGGACAGTCTGGATTTGTGCCAAACTATGTGTCTCATGCAATGTCAGACCACTCAAAACTGGGCTTCGCGGATAACAACCCCTTTACTCAGACTGAATTGCCTCGAACGACCCCGGCGCAAACTCAGAGTCTTGGTTATTGTACTTCTTCCTTAATGAATGGGGAACTGAAGCATAACTGCACGTGTGGAGACACTTGCCAATGCTTAGGGTGCGCATCTCATCCTTTTAATAATACGACAAGACAGCACGTTCAGGAGATGGGTCTCTTAGTCACACTTGATGGCGAAGAGTCGAGTTTCGACGGTTTGAATGGATACCATGATTTCTCGTCGCGTGGCACTCCCAGTTCCGCGCCGCTGGATTATCACTTCAATCGCCTCAATCATTTTGGTCACGGTACTGATCCAATGGCCACGCACAACGGTTCTGACAAGCCTGTCCAGAATGGTGGCTCGCCTTCGGCAAGTTACGCGTCAGATCAGCATCTCATGGTGCCCTCGGAGTACTACACGATCGAATACCCAGTGAAACTTCCAAACGCTTGCTCCAATGCAAGCGGGAGTTGCCTCTGTGGCAGCGACTGTAGCTGTGTTGGCTGTCTCACACATAACGGCCACAACGGCGTAGCAATTGAGACCGGAATGATGGAAAGCAATGATCTGACCCCATTGAGTCCTTCCATGGAACATGAGGGCGTTGCATCATCTCACATGCCTATACTCAAAGGCACTCCCGCCCACTCCCCGAACCCGATGCTCTAAAGCTCTGACGGATCGTGGATGCTCTGTTGCAGCTCGACCATTCGAATCTTATGATTCCTGCTTCCTACTTCCTCTACGATGCTGAAATTGGCGTTTCACGATTTATGACCAAATACCCCTACTTATATACGGAGTAGATGCTGGACGTTAGGGCTCTTAATCTTCTTCCCTTCATTTGTGCACATCTCTGCTTGGACGACCACGTTCATTCCCTTCTTTGCCTCGCTGAATCTCTCAACTACTTTTTTTGGAGTACATACCCGGTCTCAGGTTTCGTTTCACTTACATATTCGGAGTTCATGCTTTTACCTGTTTGCTGAAAGAATCATTCCTTGGTTATTTCCCTTTTTCTAGGCTAAATGATCTATAGAGTGGTTTCCATTTCAAATTACCTCAGAAAATCTTCATGTTCTTAACTGCTCTGGTCGATTCGTGCCCGTATGAGCCAGGACTAAGCTGTAACCCATGGGCTCCATTAGAGAAGCACCGCCATACTCGCATCAAGATAGAAACTAGGAATTGGGATATGAACGGGCATTACGACGATAGACCGAATGCTAAACAGTGAATTGAGCTTAGGAAATCTCTCTGACCGACATGAAGCGTGCCTTGACCGAACTTGTTTTTCACCACCTATACAGGTATTAAACATGATGAAAATGCCAACCCATCCTCTATTTACGCAGCGCATCTCTGACGGGCGAGTCTCCCCGGCGGAAGGAAGCTAGAAATGCGTCAGTTTTGGATACTCTCATCACTAGCCTTATTTTCTTTTGGACATACCATCGGCTTCCTCCCAAGCACGACCAGCTCCGAAACCCAGACCAACCCACGCGGGCCAGGCTCTCCGCTTGAAGAGAAGGACTGAGAAGACAACACCGAAGGAAAGGCCGAGACCAGAGCGGATGATCATGGAGGAGATGGCGCGGTCCCACTGTAAGCAACGTACATGGCATGATTAGCGAAAATCGTTATTTGAAAGGGCAGGAAGCTCGCTAGAGCTCTTCTCTCATGCAATTGAAACTGTCCGCCGCTTGGACAATGGATCGGACGAAAGCGTGAGGTATGTACCTTCTCATTCAGCAAAGCCTCACTGACGGGCTTGGTCGACCGGAGGACCGGCTGGGATTCGTTGGAGTCGGCCATTGCGAAAGATCTGATAGCCCGTCTGTCAGTATAAATGTCCAGGTCATCCGACGGGTAAATCGCAATTAACATACAGCAATAGAAGACTTGTGCAAGAAACACGAGAGTGAATTGATTGAACCGAAACAGGGAGATCTAATGGATTATGGAGCAGGTCGGAAACGACGTCGATCGAGCTCTGCCGGGCAAAGGCGGTCGGAAAAACTAGGCTGGGGTGGGTTTCTGTCGTCAGTTGGCTCTCACTCGCTCTATCTACAACTTTTTTTTTTCTTCTCCGCGAACCAATCCGATAAACAACTGTCAAATGTACAGAACACCCCACACTTGATCTGGAAGAGACGACTGGGGAGTGATTGCGACATTCATCCTCATTCGAGATGCCTTCATTTGCGGAGGTGGGTCAATTATTCCAGCAGAACTCTGGTCTTCCATGCATTACATCCGCTGATCTTGTGTTAATGCGATATACAGCGCCCGCGCTCGTCGCAAGAAGCCCTCCTACGGCTCGAAAAAGGCACCGCTTCTCCCACAACACAGATCAACAATGCAGCCCAGATTCTAGGGATTGATCTGGCACTGTGTGCAACACATCCGGAAATCAACCGAACCGGCCAGATTTCGATCAATGCGGCTCCGAAAGAAGAATGGGTTCTGCGGTGGTTGTTGAAGAAATTGCGGGCAGGGAAGAGCCATCGTGTCGAACCGGCCTCGTTCCTCCTCTTGCGACAGCTCATCGATCTCATCCCCGTCAAGACATTGGCGACCATACTCAAAGACCAGAAGTTCCTTGCGACGTTGAGCGATGTGATTGCCGATCTGGAGGAGGATGTGTTTGCGAGTCTGGAGAATGGAACGGTTGACTTCCTGCGCTCTGGTTCAGAATCAAGCCACACTTTGAGCGATTCGTCGCATCAGGATGACAAGTGCGACAAGAAGGGAACAAAGAGGAAGCGGGCAGGCGACGATGACCAGGATGCGATGGATATTGACGACCAGCCGCAGACGCCGACTTCTTGCTTCCTCGCTTTTATCCGGGTCTTAGACTGCTTATACAGCCTGGTCACGTTGGCGAGTCGGACGGTGGGTGTTGATGAGGTGGCTAGCTCGCACTTGAAGTTTGCACTGCGAGGCGAGCCGGAGTCGATCGCTAAATTGCTGGGCAAATCGTTCAAGTTGGCCGCCGTTGCTACTACGCAGCTCTCACACGCACAAAAGACGACCGATTTGCAGCATCTTCTCTACATCATTCCTGCCGTCCTAGACCTCTGGGAACTGAGATCCTCTCGTCGGGACGATTCAGACGCCGGCTCAAGCCATGAATGTTTCGCCAAATACTGCTTCCAGCAGGCTCTTCGACTCCAACTCTGCGTGCGATCCGTTCGCCTCGATACTGATGAGAAAGCCCAAGTATTGCACGGGGTCGAGCGTCTGATTGCTCTGCATGTGGTTCTCCCTGCTCGCGCAGCGTTCTTTGACCGAGGCGGCTCTGGCATAGATTATTCTAGCGACCAGCCCGACTGGAGCCCTGTCAAGCCGGTTTCCGAGACTTTTAAACCTATCCTTTGTGCAACCGAGAGTACCAAACCCGGCACCAATGAGAAGAAGCTGTGGAAGACCGCTAATCTTCTGCCGGAATTCCTCGATATCGCTGCTCGCTCTGTGCCTAGAGACACCTTCCGCCGGCAAACGCACGAAGCTCCCTGGTTGGAGACTTTATTTGTTGCTGTTGCGGAATTGGCATTTTCGATTGTCAAGCAAGAGGGCTTATCCGATCATGTCGCAGAATTCGTTGTTATTCTGGAGCAGCTCTTCCGTGTGGTTCTCAACCGACGTGTACAGCTATCTCTGCATACTCTACTTACTCATGCAGCCTATACGGGCCTACTCAAGGATGACCTGTCACGAGTCGAATGGAGCTTGACTGCCTTGTTGATTGAACTTGGAGCGGATATTTTCCTGCCCAATTCCGGTCTCAAGGATTCGAGCAAGCTTTTGCAGGCCCTTCTTGGAAAGATCCTTCTACAATGGAAAGCTGGCGCGCCACGTTCGGATGCCAACTATCATGTCATCAAGAACGATATTGTAATACCTCTGTTGCGAGCATTCCTGGCTGCGAGGGACCTTCCGTCGTTCATGCAATTATGGTATGAGCAGTTGACTGAGGTCGAAGAAGCACGCATTGCAGACACTAGTTTGAGCCTCTTTACCGTTTGGGAGGACGACGATTTATGCAATATTTACAGCGAACTCGTGCGAAGCCCCCTCACTAATGCTACTGCTGCCGCACAGATGCGAGCAGCGGCGACAGAAATAAGGAATGAGGATGGCAAGGTATCCACTGCACCGAATTCCTTTGCACAATTCGTGATTCTGGAAGCGGGCTTGAGGAACCGTTCCCTCACTGGCGCGGATGTGATGGAGGATGTGAAATCTGTTCTCTTTACTCTGGCGAAGACACTACCCTCGAAACAACCTTTCCATTGGCGGTGGCGCCTCTGGCGACTTGCACGCAGTCTACTCGAGAATAACGTGCAATTAGCCGATGATCCTCTTACAGTCTCTGTCCTCAACCTGACTGATGCCGCTAAAAAGTCGATCCATCGTCATCAGAAGAATCAGATGAAGAACCAGTGCGCTGCCTTGGAAGCATTCCAAGCTTATTGGTTTGCCGTAGCTGCGATCAAGGATTCATCGAACACAGACGCATTGGAGAAGTTTGGCTCTCTTACGGGCGAGATCAAAGACTATATCCAAACAATAAGCAAGCAAGATGCGCTGCAAGCAATGAAATCGCCCTGGGATGGCCGGGTCGAGACGCTTGATTCCTCGGTGTCTCTCGCCTTGGGTTATTTCTTGACCCTTATCAAGAACCCCGGCACCTGGGCTTGCACCAAAGTCGATGACAAGCGTGCCCTTTTCGAACACATCCTATCTCTAGCTACATCACAATTCCGCTCTTCCTCCTCTGGTATCGAGTCAGCTTCATCTGAGGCGAGGTTTCTTCAGGCTTGGGCCTCTATTGTCTGCCACGAATACCTTCTTAATTCGCCGAGGATCGCCGTCGACCTCATTCATGTACTCTCTGAGCGCGTAAAGGAGGACAAGAAATACCGCAAGCTGTATGTCGAAAGCATTCAGAGAATTCCCGCGCCCTTGATTCCTCGGCGCCAGAGAGGTATTCTCTTGGACCTGCTGCAGAACATCCTCGGCCAGGAGGATAACTCGGCTGAGGTTGACCTTGGGATCCTGTCCTTGATGGCTAAGCTAGCCGATATGCCAAAATCGACAGCAACCATCACAAGTGATTGGGAGCCCGTATGGAATGCTGCCAGAGCTGTCACACTGCAGGGAACAGAGCTTGATCTTCAAACCATGAAAGCTTTCAGAAACCTACATCGAGCAGTCCTCTCAAAGCTGCTTGTGCTCTCAGTGGAAGATTACAGCAAACTCTTCAAGAAGATGTATCGCAAGGTTTCGGCGAAAGCTTTGAAGTTGAAGTCTCTCGACCGCAACTCAATGCAATGTTTTTACTTGAGAATATCGTTATCTCAGCTCTGGCTTCATCGGAAGCAGCTTTCTGGGGCATTCGATGAGAAGGAGCTTGATGCCTGCCGCCAGAAGGTGTTTGACCTGGTGGTTGCAGAAGTTCGCTCCGTTAAGGATCAGTGGAAGAAGCAAAAGGTGGAGGAAACGATTACCTTGATTAAGCTCCTAGATGCATTGGAGGATTTCGAGGATCTCGCATTGGATAATTCCGAAGTTGATAAGTTCTTATCGAAGATTGAGAGTTACGTTGAGAAGTCTATTGACTCGGGATCCTCGCTGAGAAGGCTGATTAGACGCCGCGTTTTTACTAGCCGTGGCTCTGAGAAAAGCATCACATTGCCTGTTATTCAGTGCGCAGAGACCCTTCCTCTTCAGCACATGCATGGAGAGGAGCAGCAACTGTTCGTCCGCACGACCACCGAGAAGTTCAAGTCCCTGAGCGTGGAGGAATTGACCCGGGTGGTACGGGAATTACGGGAGCTCGGGTTCATTGGTGAGAAAACCGCCTATCGTCTGCTTGTGGCTGGCGTTGCAATCGCCTCGCTCCCCTTAATTGAAGATAAGGAGAGTCCCGCAGCAAAGGAATTATCGTTCCTATGCACAGCTATTACCGAATCTGTCCCTCACAGTACGTCCATTGAGCAGTTCACTTTTGCCACAGAGTGCTTGGACATTTTACTTCGCAACCATACCCGCTGTATCGCCCAGTGGAATATCGACAGCCTTTTGGCATGTATCGCAGTGTGCGCTTCCAAGGCTGGGCCCCATATTGATCCTGAATTTGCTGCTACCATCTATACGCGGCTCTGTAAGCTTATGGGCGTGCTTCTGGGTCTTCACCGTCAGAAACTTGGCGGACGTTTCCATCTTATCCTTCCAGCCATGCAGCGACTTCTCAACTGCCTCTTCGCCCGGTCCAAGAAGCGAAGTCGGTCCATGCTCTCTGGACAGGGCCACAATCAGCAGCCCTATTGGGTTGCGCCACTAGAAGCATCGCACGCCGTCCACTTCACACGTCTGCTCACTTCCCTTTGCGATCCCACTGTCTCCTCCGTGTCGCGACCCACACAATCAGGAGGCAGCCGTGAGGGTCTGACTGACCAGACCAAGAAAGCCAAGCGCATTGCAGGCCAGTACCTGCAGTACCTGATCATGGAATACGCCCAAAGTTCACTCCGCGGCTCTTTGGCGCCGGAGGTCAAGGCGGCCATCCTTCCTGGTCTTTACACCGTTCTAGATGTCATGTCGCGAGACACCATGCGGGCCATGAATGCAGGCCTGGATATGTCGGGACGGGCGATCTTTAAGGGACTCTATGATGACTATGTGAAGTTTGGCAAATGGAACAAGGGTTGAGATGGAGGAGAGGAACAGCAGGTGGCGTGTTGAGTTTTCGTATTGTTTAGAGCACATATACCACTTTTTCTTCAGTAGATGCTGGCATAACCTTTCACGTCTTTCAGTAGCGTATAATGCTCCTTTGAATTGAATCCATCATGTCATGGAATAATGTCTGAACTTAGTCCAGCAGATCAACTCTATACAAGCCGAATCCTCAAGGCAGATGTGAATATGTCACGTGACACTAGGGCGTAACCCCCTATCAGTTGTTCTCTCTCAATGATTGTCAAACAACTCGTCAAGAATATCCAAGTCTGGTCCCATTGTCTGATGCTGGATAAATGCTCAGGAGGGAGCTAATCAACAAGGTCCAGATAATTTCAATCTTTTACTCGATCTCATCGAGTCACCCTGAGATTAGATATGCACCAGCCCACATGGCGTTCCCATCGCGGGCTCTGAGTCGCCAACAGCAGAGTCACCCGTGGAGTCTCCCCAGTCTCCAGGCCGATTGTGGAGAGACCAAGTGGAGCAGCCAACCTTTATCACTGATAACGGCGCTCTTACTCGACAGAATCGAGCAACGGAAAATGATAGCCATCACAGGAGCTCCAGGAGGGCCTCGTGGAGGGCGATAAGGGGCGGTGGTTTGCAGGTTGGGACTTGGGACCAGTGGATGACTGGGTGCTGGTCGATCCCTCGGCATCCTGGCCATTCTGGATGACGGTCTCTTATCGTAAGTGTGCATGATTTTCTGCCTAATGCGTCGGAGTAGCTAACCCATCTCGTTCGGATTCAAGGTTATCAGCAAGATAGAAAATATCGGGTCGCATTATCGTCTGGATTATCGTGGTAAATGACGGGCCACCATCATGTGTATCTGTCAAAGTTGTCCAAGACGTGGACTGCTGGAGTTTATATTCTCACATGAACCCGCCCTTGTTCATTCGTTTTCACTCATCTCGCTTGCTTGCGTCATACCTATACAGAGTAGCTTACTACCCAGTTACATCTCTGTTGGCGCTGTCTACTTATCCTACACGACAGCACCAAGCCAAAGTGACATCCAAGCGACATGGCTCGAATTAAAGGATGGATTCAGAAGCTGGAGGTGCCAGCAGAGCCTGGACTGAGCAATGCCCAGTTGATGTTGACGAACGAAGACTTACGACCAGGTGAGAATTTTGCTGGACCGGCTATCATAACCCCCGATCATGAGACGCCTTTATTTTCGTGAAACTATGGTCTGACGCGAGACTAACGGTTCTTTTTCTTTGCAGTTGAGCCGGAACGTCGCCAGTGGAGATGGTTCAATTTCGTCGCATTCTGGATTGCGGATTCTTTGAATATTGTAAGTTTTTCCGTGTTGATGGCGCATTGATTTGGAGTGTGGGCTGGGCTGATGACTTGGATTTGTATAGAACACATGGATGATCTCCTCCTCGATGATTGTGGATGGCTTGTCATGGTGGCAATCATGGATTTGTGTCTGGGTCGGATACTTCATTGCCGCTGCCTTCGTCTGCTTGACTGGTCGCATTGGTGCTACATACCATATCCCGTTCCCCGTCGCCGTGAGATCTAGTTTTGGAATCTGGGGCTCTTTCTGGCCGGTTCTCAACCGTGCCGTCATGGCTGTCATTTGGTACGGTGTTCAGTCGTTCATTGGAGGTCAGTACCATTTGCCAGCGCCTACTCCCATCAAGACTTGCCAAATAACTGACCTTATTGTGAAACAGGACAATGCGTGTCTCTGATGATCGAGTCTATCTGGCCCAGCTACGCCAATTTGCACAACTCCCTCTCTGCAAGCGCCGGTGTCGACACCAAGAACTTTGTCGGCTTCTTCCTCTTCTGGCTCCTGTCGTTGCCTGCGCTGTGGTTTCCAATCCACAAGATTCGCCATCTCTTTACCGTCAAGGCCATTTACTCGCCTATTGCTGCTATCGCGTTCTTCGCTTGGTCGATCTCCCGTGCGAACGGTATTGGACCGGTTGTCCACCAACCCGCCACCGTGCATGGAAGTACCTTGGCCTGGGCCATTGTCAAGGCGATGATGAACTGCTTGGGTAACTTTGCTGCTCTGATCATGAACGACCCGGACTTTTCGAGATTTGCCAAAAAGCCAAAGGATGCGTTGTGGTCGCAGCTGCTGACAATCCCAATCGGTTTTGGCATCACTTCATTCATCGGCATCATTGCTTCGTCGGCTTCTGCAGTAATCTACGGCGGCGAACCCGTGTGGAATCCGCTTGATCTGCTCGGAAAGTTCTTGACCGGGGCCAGCTCGGGTGAGCGATTCGGTATCTTCGTGATCGCTACTGGATTCGCTCTCGCCCAGCTGGGAACGAACATCTCGGCCAATTCCGTCTCCGCTGGCACCGACTTAACAGCACTGCTTCCCCGCTATCTCAACATCAGACGTGGTAGCTATATCTGTGCTGCCGTTGGTCTGGCAATGTGTCCGGTATGTTATAATTTCTTTCCCTCATCTGGTTGCATGAAGACAGCTAACGCGTTGCAGTGGAATCTTGTGTCCTCATCCAACCAGTTCACCACATATCTTTCGGCATATTCCATCTTTCTGTCCGCCATCGCCGGACCCATGATCTGCGACTATTATTTCAACCGCAAGGGCTATCTCCAAGTGCGAGACCTGTACAACGCCCGAAAGGATGGACCGTACTACTTTACTTGCGGTTTCTCGTGGCATGCGTATGCCTCTTATCTCTCGGGCATCATCGTCAACATCGTCGGCTTTGCAGGTGCCGTCGGCCGCACGGTACCAGTGGGAGCCCAATATATCTACAACATCAACTACTTCTCCGGGTTCATCGTCTCTGCCGGGATGTACTACACCCTTACCCGCGTCTTCCCCGTGCCTGCCACAAGTGACAGCTGGAACGAGGTCGACGTTGACTTTGAGGACTTGTCGGTGGCCTATGGACAGGAAGTTGATTCGGATGAGATGCAGGTTGCAAGAAAACTCGGTTCCTTGGATAAAGGATCCGGGTCTGATCAGAAGGGTGCTCAAGCCACCACTTCAGGGTCATATCTTTGATGATTTGTGTGAATTCCCGTGTGTCTCATTCTAATGATGTTTATTAATGATACCATTACTTTTATTTCATGATATTTTACAGAATAGTGCAAATTCAATGCTTGAAGTAACCCATCTCGCCGTCGCTAAGTATACGGAGTAGGCAGCCATTGCAGGCAGACTGATTCAGCATGTTTGCATGACGCTCCTTACCAGCTACTTAACAGGCAGCCATCCCCAATCCCTCATTTCTCTTACATCATCTACCACAACTAGTAAAGAATGGAAGCCACACAACAACCGCGATACCGCCGCATTGGAGCTGGATTTTGCGGGACCATCTGGGCTCCCTCAGAAAGAGGGCCAGCGTTCAAACGCGAAAACGGAGGACCGCATCGATGCCTCCAAAACGACTTTGAGATGCATCAAAGAGTTCTAGAGTGTCTACGACCTCTATCAGACGCAGGGCTCCAGCATCACATCCACGTCCCCCGCTGTTACACATTCATCCAGCCTACAGACAGTGAATGGTGGAAGCATCATCTCCCCCATTTCCCGGAGAGCTACGCCCCCTGCAACGTGATCCACGCACACCGCATCCCTCCCTTCCCCCAGACGACGCGGGAGCGTCTCGTGGCAAAATACTGTCCTCCCAGCCTCGCACCGGAGATCCTCACCAGCGAAACGAACGAGGATTGACTGGTTCGATCATATGTAGCAGCAACGATCTGAACGCTTCCAAGCATTCTCGCTCCGGAACTACCCTTTACATGCAGACCAGATGGAGGAGATGGGGATCTCGCTCAGCGACATGCGCGGCTACGCGGAAGCCATGGCGGAGACACTCGCCGTGATGCACTGGGCTTCTCGGGTGGACGCGAACGACGTCGAGTTCGTCCTGGTGCGTCCTGATGCTGGCCAGGGGCAGTTGGAGAACATCCTAGGGGAGGGAGCATGTGCTGTGGATGCTCGATTTCGACCTTGTGCAGGGAGATAACGATGGATGAGGCCGGGGTTGGGCAGGCTGCTGCGGCCTTTTGGAAGAATGACCCGTTCTATCCGCGACCTGGGTAGGCGAGTCTCTGGCTGGCGTTCCGGGAGAAATATGAGCGCACGAGTGAGTGGATTGTGGCCGATCGGCCGGGTGATCAACCGCTGGGACTGGCGCAACGGTTTCTTGTTTTGGTCGACGGAGGAACAGCGACCCCATGGCTGAGTTGAAGCTTGAAGGGTGCAAAGCCCGTCATGGCATCCCGTTTGCTTTAACGAAGTGCACGCAGGGTATTTTCAGGCGAATGCAGCAATTACGCATCCCTGCCGGTTGTTGCAGCTAAAAAGCACATGACCCGGTGTGGTATCGAATCGCTTCGATGCATACAAAACAGTCGACTATTTTAATTACAGTTTTAGCGACATTTTAGCAAATGTCCCCTGCTTGTTATTATTTCCTCCCTCCCCGGTGGAAACACGGTGGTCTCTTCTCAAGAGGACAGCCATGGCTTTAGCTACGATGCTGCTTTCGCTGGCGCTGGCAGCTTGCATTGCCCGCGTTGTATATCTGTGCTACTTTCACCCTCTAGCTCGCTACCCAGGGCCCTGGTTTGCCCGTTTTACCAATGCCTGGTAGGCTCTACCTGACCGGAAGTCTAGCCGGCGGACGGAGAATCTGGCTGATAATATCCAGGAGATTCGTCACTTTCTTTGGTGGTCAACATCACTTGATCGAACAACGTCTGCACGCCAAATACGGTCGTGTGGTTCGAGTAGCTCCCAATTGGCTGTCGTTCTCCAGCTCGGATGACTTCGAGGCCATCTACGGGTTCAACAAGGCGATTGAGAAGAGCGACTTCTACGACTTTGGTCGCGATCGCGGCAGCCGCGCGGAGAGCATCTTCTCCACCAAGACCGAAGCTGGCCATCGAGTCAGAAAGAAGAAGATCGTAGGACCAGCCTTAACTAGCAGCAAGATCTCTGCATACGAGCCCGTCATCGACAAGCATGTTGATATTCTACTGTTGCGGCTACAGTCGGCCGACCCCTTACCAGAACCGAACGGCCATGGCCCTCTCTCAGTCAACATGGCACCGCTGGTGCATCAGTACACTCTCGACTCAATGCTAGAGCTCATCTTCGGTCCTACGCTGGCCGCACACCCGTACACCGACACCCCTGCCGGAGACGGGATCTGCAGAACCCTCCGCATCATGACCAAGATGGCATGGAGCTTCTCCCTCTGGCCGGCCTTTGGCTGGCTCATGAACACGCGCCTAGTCGATGCCGTGCTGCGCCGACCCACCCGCAACAAACAGGGAGTCGCGACAGGAATGGCCGGCCTCATGGGTGCCGTCATGCCCATGCTTCAGAAGAACCCGCAACAAGTCACGCAGAGCCCGCAGCCCAGCATCGTGAAGAACTGGTTGGACATCCCCGCTAGCGACGCAAACCGCATGAGCCCCGGCGAAATCACCGCTGACGCCTTCAACATGGTCATCGCAGGGCCAGGCAGCACAGCCGCTGCCCTGACCGCAGTCCTGTATCACCTCGGCTCACAGCACGGGCAAACCTGGCAGGAGAAGATCCGCGACGAGACGCGCATGCCCACTGTATCCTCGCCCGCGCTACAGGCTGTCATCAAGGAGACGCTGCGCTTCAGCGCCGCATTCCCCACGGCGTTTCCGCGGGTCATCCGCCACGGCGCGGAGACGGCCATCCCGGGTCTTCCTGCTCCGCTACCGCCGGGGACGATGGTGTCGGCGAACACGTTTGTGCTGGGCCGCTCGGCAGAAGTCTGGGGCGACGACGCAGGCCAGTGGGCGCCGCAGCGATGGCTGGGCGACGAGCAGCAGCGCCGCGAGATGGAGGCGAAATTCGTGGCGTTCAGCAAGGGCTCGCGCAGCTGTATCGGGCGCGAGCTCGCTCTGCTTGTTCTGGCGAGTGCTGTCACGGGGGTCGTGCAGCGGTGGAGAATCCGAAGCCAAGGGGCGTTGCGAGGGAAGAGTTTCCTGGAGATGCAGTATGACGAGTGCTGGATGGAACTGGAACCGGTTGCGCTGTAAATTCCAATTTCTGATATGATGGTCTGGAATGCTGCCTGCAGTCTCGTCTGCTACTGTTTCCCCTGATTGTTGCATCCGTTCGTCAAATATCGGAAGAAGCTATGAGTCACGAAAAGTCCGTCGGGGAACCTGAATCGTCGCGCGCGCGTAGGATATTATCTTCGTGATCACAATTCGCTGGGCGATGCTCTGGCCCCTGCGTGTTATTCTCCACTGTGACACTCAATCTAATTTAGTGCTTCTGACCTGTTGGTGTCGGGATCTCGATTGGGTCAGCGATCTTTGTTGTCTTGGCCTCTTAGCATCGCAGAGCATCGCATAAATACGCAGTAGTTCGATCGACATCATGTCTCATTTCTTTTCCCTTTCTATTGCCTTTTATCTGCATTGAGCAGTATCAGGTCTCTTCTACTCTTTCTTGTGTGCCTCTCTTTCCACTCCGTTCGAACGATCAGCATTTGTGCTTCCTTTACATGAACGTTCTGAGACCACATAGGGTCCTTGGAAGGCTACACAGCCGTTCGTTCCGCTCCAAAATGGCATCCACAGGCGCTCTCCCGCAGACGCTCAAATCCATCACCGCGACCAAAATCAAAGAGCTCTCCAAGCAGCGCGTGCTCTTTGAAAAACGCAAGGGACAGATCTTCAAGGCCGCCCAGGACGCCCCCGATCTCCGCGCCAGGGTCCAGGTCCTCCTCGAAGGCGTCACCAAGCTCAACGGCGACCCCAACGACGCCTTTGACCGCGAGGATCTCGACGCGGATGATGCGGCCTACCATCACACCGCCAGCGTCGAGGATGGCTCCGCCCGCGCAACCTACACGAATATCCGTCGCTTCCTCCTGCAGAGCCGGTATGACCCGTCTGTCTCCGAGCGCAGTCTGCAGGACTGGGTTGCGCTGCTGGAGGAGGAGCTGCAGTCGCTACAGCTGAAGCATGAACATGCTGCTTTCTACAGTAAGCTGGTGACGGAGTGGTTGGAGAATTTGGGTAGCGACGCGGCGTCCGCGAGCACCACTCCTAGTGTCGCTGCGGGCGAGCAGAGCGACGACAAGGGGTTTGAACAGGTTGGACGGGCGGAGATGCAGGAGCAGCGCGCGACGTGGGAGGCGCTGGTTTTCGCGACTGCCGAGAGGAATCCGGAATCGATCCGTGCGTACCTGGACGGGCTTTTCGCCGCGACAGGCATGTCGCGGCAGGCGCTCAAGGAGCTCCGTGAGAGTATCAAGTCTTTTGGAACGGATCTCGCCGCGCAGAAGAAGTCGTTTAGCCTCGACGATCTCAAGTGGGTGTCTCAGTCGCTTCTGAAGACCGACCTGCTCTCGAAAGAGAAGACGGTCATCCTGAAGGAGTTCATGCGCAACGAGGCGGTGGCGCAGGAAGTCGTGGACGTGTTGAACATGCGCCTCTCTTCCTTGGACAGCTGGACCTGGCCCGAGGAAGGGATCCCCGTGGAGATGCGCCGTCAGCTGAACGGGAAATATCGCGTGTTCATGGATGAGGATCTGCTGGACGGTCTCCTCTTCCAATACCTTGGGATCCAGTTTTCGGTGACATTCAGGTCCGCGTTCGATACCTTCTTCAGGACGCGTGCCTGGAAGTTTCCCCGCCAGGATATCTCCGAGCAATTGCGGGAACGGCGCCACTACTTCCTCGACGCGCGTGCAGATATAGTCTCCGTAAATGATTTCAGGCGGCAGACATACGCGAACGACTACTTCATGTCACAGCTGCCGACGTCCGTGGACGCTGACGTTCCGGAGTATGGTGACGAAGCAAAGAGTGACATTTCGGCCATGGGAACACGCAGGAACGTCCTGGATACCAAGCATGCTCTGCTCCATCTCTTGATCACAGAGTCTATTCTTCACACTACTCTGCACGGCCAATTCACCGCGATTCGCTCGGACTTCAAGTGGTTTGGCCCATCGTTGCCACATACCACGATCCTCACGGTCCTGGACTACTTCGGGGTGCCCCAGGGTTGGCTCGATTTCTTCAAGATCTTCCTTCAAGCCCCACTCAAGTTCTCCCACGATGGCCCCAACGCCACGGTCCAAGTTCGAAAGCGTGGAGTCCCCATGAGCCATGTCCTCTCGGACTGCTTTGGTGAGACAATCCTCTTCTGCATGGACTACGCGGTGAATCAGAAAACCGAGGGCGCGTACCTCTATCGGCTGCACGATGACTTCTGGTTCTGGGGCCGCGAGGGCACATGTGTCAAGGCCTGGGACGCCATGACCGAGTTCTCCGGGGTCATGGGGCTTGAATTCAACGAGGAGAAGACGGGCACTGTTCGGCTGAAGAACCCGGATCCCAAGTTTGATCAAACCCCCACCGAGGAAACTACTTCATCGTCCCTGCCGGCCGGGGATATCCGTTGGGGCTTCCTGAAGCTCGACCCACAGGAGGGGCGCTTCATTATCGACCAGTCGCAGGTGGACAACCACATTACGGAACTTGGCCACCAGCTCTCTTCGTGCAAGAGTATCTTCGCCTGGGTGCAGGCCTGGAACAGCTACTTCGCGCGCTTCTTCAGCAACAACTTCGCCAAACCCGCCGTGTGCTTCGGCCGGAGCCATATCGACATGGCCATCTCGACTCTCGGCCGCATCGAGCGCACGCTCTTCCCCGACGGTGTCACCGCACATCTTCGCCAGGTGATCGCCGACCGGTTCAACGTCCACGACCTGCCCGAGGGATTCTTCTACTTCCCCATCGAGCTAGGCGGGCTCCAGCTCCTGAATCCCTATATCCCCTTGCTGGCCATGCGCGAGGATATCAAGCAAACGCCACAGCGCCGGTTGCAGAAGGCGTTCCTGCAAGATGAGATCGAGTACCACGCGGCGAAGGAGCGGTTTGAGAAACAAGGATCACCACAAAGCGTGGTGCGGGTCATCACAAGCAGCGACGATCACGATCGGTCCGCGTTCCTGTCGCTGAATGAGTACATGGGGTACCCGGAAACCTACAGCCGACACTTGCTGGCTGCCTACAAAGATCTCATCCGCATCCCTGGCGAGATTGACATCGGCCAAACCATGGCATTCCGCACCAGTCAAATGTCGCTGGACAGAACGGGACTGTCGACCTCGCACACCAGTCGCGGGATCACCGATTCATGGGATACCATGACGCCGTACTGGCAATGGACGGCAGAGGTGTATCATGCGGAAATGGTGAAGAAGTTCGGCAGTCTAGCGGCGGTGAACCGGGAGTTCATGCCTCTGGGGGTTGTTGAGACGCTCCGGGAAGGAAAATTCAGATGGCAGGGCTGATCTTTTGTAATGTATCGATACCCATATTATATAGTAAACGACTCCGCTTCATGATTTTGATCTCGTTGTTCCATTCGTTTCGCATACCCATAGATTATGACTTGTAGATCTCCTCAAAGTCGAGAAGAAGCCCGCGCATACGCTCCTTCTCAGCCTGTCCGCCAAAGATGACATCCACTGACTCTCGGCTCAGGCTCAAGACCTCCTCGCGACTGAGATGGAAGTGCTCCGCGGCTAGCATGTACTCGTTACTGACGGGACTGCAAAAGAAGCCCATATCATCCGTCTATCACCCATTAGTTACCAACTCCCGCCATCCACAAAAAAAAAAATAAAAAATAAGAACATAGGATGAGGAAGTCTGACTTACACACAGCACCACAGGACAATCCACATGCCTCCAATACCCAAAATGATGGTTCGGGAACCCGCCATCGATCATCTCCGCATGCACATTACATGACATGCACAGCTCCAACCCCAGCCGGCGGCGCGCAATCTCTCGCTTGAAATCCTCCGGCACATGAATGACATGGCCCAGCCTGTCCGGACGGAAGGACAGCAGCGTCTCCAGCTCGTTCGGAGACCCGGAGACGGGCGTCTCGGCGAAATGCACCGTGATGCCCAGACCGGCCGCCTTGGCCTTAGCGAAAGCGTCGCGGTAGAGACTCACATCGCCGCGGGCTGGGTTCCCGCAGACGTCGACGCCGACGACGTGCTGTGAGTGAGCGATGGCTAGGTCAATGATCTCCAGGGCGTCGGCGGAGTCGCTGTGCCCGCGGTCAATGGCGAGGATGAGATAGGTGGGCATTTGACCCGGGTGCGTAGACTGGAAGTCGTCAATGGTGGATATGATGGTAGATACGTATTCTTCCCTGGAGAAGGAAGCTGCTGATGAGGCACGCGGGATGGTGCGGAGTTCGAGGTAGCGGACGCCATCGGCGAGGAAGTCCTTGAGAACGGAGTGGGTGGCATATCGTAGGCTCTCTAGATCGTTGCAGAGGTGATAGATGGATTGGGAGAAGGTTTGGAAGAAGCTGCACAGAAGATTAACGGAAGAAATCTGATGAGGTTGGAAACCTGCGATAAGTACGTTTGAAGGGAACAGTCCACCTTGCCTGGTGGGATCACCACCAGAGGATCTTCTACGTCGAACTCGGGGTCTTGAGCCTTCTTCTTCAACCATATCTCGTGCAGACACTGGCGACTAATGCTGCCGTTGAGATGAGCGTGTACCTATTCCTGTCAGGTCTGATTCAGGTGAAGATACTTTGGAGTCACTGCAGTACCTCGACCTTAGGCAGAGCCTTGGTGAAAGCTGCGTCAACAGGTTTAGAAAAGTCCATAATTTGATCCACTTCGACTCTTTATATTGGGGGGCTGCTTGTGATAATCTATCTCATCAGCTGGAATACAGCCGTTGGAATGTGATGATGATGGAGATGGCAGAGAGTTGACGTGGGGAAATATTTCAGGTGACTCGGACATTTCATCTGTTGGATCACGAAGCACAAGATGTCCCAACAATGTCTGCTCATGATGCTTTCTGACATGAATGTATTCCATACTACTGCTCCGAGGTTAATTCCTGAAGTTTCGAAGAATCTAACTCCATCATTGGGAGAATTGGATGACTTTGATCCACAAAAGACAGTGTGTCTAGACGTCAACAGACATATATTTCCAGGATATGGACGCCCTTTACTCAGTTCAATTTCGGATTTCTATCACCACGAGCACAAACAGTATATATCTTTCGAGATAACAGTCTTTTAATACTATAAATACCCTCAGTGCTCACCGCTAGCCTCCCTGAAAATGGATTGGTTCGATGTTTGTATGATTCCCTTGGCAAGCTGTATTGGTCCAAGGACGCGTATGTACTTGCGTTGACATCCCCATCTGCCGTACGTGGTCATGCCAGACGGCCCAGCGTCATATTGCATGAGCTTGAATGTCACTGATAGTCGACAATGATTAGTCTTACTCTGCGCCTTGCAATTTCCCTTCAGCTGGCACTGGATGGATGCGTTCTTGATGGGTCTCAACAGAGCCAGATTTTCAGAGCATGAAGCAAAATGCGACTCCACCCCAACGGAAAGTTGTTTGAGGATAAGGAGAAGACGTCAAGTTTCCCAGACATATAAATATCCCTGTCAATGCTGTCATTCTCAACGTCACGCCTGTTTTTAGAAACGAAGGATTCAATCCATGCGAGGGTCTTCCTCAATCGACGGGATGGTAGGCGCGAATCCTAGTAAACAAACAGAGTCAGATGACATTCGCGCGCGCGGGACAGTATGCACAATGCAATAACAGCATAATGCGGGGGTATGATCATCTTGTTCATATTAACTGCTATGACGAAACCCTGGACCCAATCCATGGGATGATCGGAGTTTCGAGTAGATTGAGTCTGGACAGGCAGAGGCTGGACCAAATGAGATGTGGGGAAGAACGGCAACGAAACCTAGGAGGCGCATAAGAGGGTCAAAGTCTCAAGAAGCAAGCCAAGAACCTCGAAAAGAAAAATGAAACCCCGAGGAGACATTTGCAAGCGATCTCAGGAGCTCAACTGTTTTCCATGTCACGAGAACAAGATACCGAGCCGCTGGTGTACGGAGCCTGCGCACCGGCTTCCTGGAAAACTCTTATCTTGGTTCTATCCAGTCTGTAGATGCCACGACGGTAAGAAGGCGCGGGGCCACGCGGGAAAGATAAGGGATCTGTAGCCCTGTAGCCCATGATTATCAGCAGCTCAGCGCTCAACTCACCTCGTACTCCTAGCCTCACTCATGCAAGAAGTCCATTGCGTGGGATGCCCCAAGTGCGACACCCAAAAAAGGGCTGTCGCGGGATCTATTCACTAGCCGGGTTAGGGCCAGAGGAGCAGTAGCGTTCAGTAAACCGCGGGGTATCACTCCGTTAGATAGAGATATTGACCTTGTCAATCAAGAGGAAGTATGCACTGTCGCAGGCGCCAACCTTGTTTTCCCGTGTTTTCACACCAACTCTTGCTGATACCGGGTGTGTTATCTAGAGATATTGTCGAAGGATTCTGGAAACCACCTAGTATGCGGACGATTGGGTAACTAGTCCCGTATTCCAAGAAACAAAATGCTATTTTTAGAGAGAGATCGAGGGGTGGAGACGTCGATTTTCATGTTTCAGTGGTGGTTTTCTGGCGATACAGTGCTTGAAACGAGCAAGTCCCGCCTGACAGCACAACTGCTTGGCGAGACCCTTAATTCTCCGAACCTGATGACTGATTTGCTGCTACAGAGCACGCAGAAAATGCAGGTCGTCATAAACTCGCTCTCCAGGGTGTATCTCCTCGCTGCTCACGATTTGTGTGCGAGGATGGTGCTGGACACGGGAGTGGCGCTTTTGGGTTGGCGCGGACCGAAAGTAAGAAGGCAGACGCTCTAGGCTCTGGCTTGCAATAACGTGAAAAGCAAGATCGTTGAGTCGAGTCAAATATGGTCTCTGTAACCAGAATCGGATGTTCGATAGACGTCTTCCCTCTAGGGGACAAGTTGGGTGGGCGACAAGGCGAGACAAGAACGGTTTGGCATCAGCCGGGGATGCTCTGAAAACGACAATTAGGCTCTGGATAAAACCAAGAACCACGCCATGGATTCTGAGGTCCAACGCCGGTGTATATTCCAGGCGTAATACAAGCGGGAAAAGGAACAACGAGTGTGTTTTCGGACTTATCAGGACATACCCAAACAGTCGCACGTCCCCACCCTAAGGTTAGTGTCTATGTATAGCCCGCAAGAAGTCAACGAGGCCCCCCCCATGTCTCGGAGATTCTGAGGTTAGGGCCATCATTTTTTTTTCCCGCTGCAAGGATCAGGGAAGGTTAGAAATTAGGAGCCTCATGACAAGGTACCGAATAGCCGAAGTAAGTGAGGCACTGCCACTGATGAGCAAAACTCTTTTGAGTGGTGCAGGAATCCATAGTACGTAGCTCATAGTTATCAATGTGTGCAATCGCAGCAGGTAGTTGCGACGATCCCAAGACAGGCCCCCTTCAGTCCGCACTCAAAGAGAGCAAAAAGCATGAGGCAGAGAAAAGAGATAAAGAGAGAGAAAAAAAAAAGCAAATCAAAGGAAAGCAAGGATGATCATAAGATGCAACAGATATGGGAAGGGGAGGGCATCCAGTGCCCCTCCCCTTCGCAAGTCCTAGCCCTCATTCTGTTATTGGCAAAACGCAACCGAACTAGACTACTGTACTATCGACAACCATGCGCAAGCCACGGCATGTTGCTCAACTGACAGGCTGGCTGGCCGCAGAGCGAGAAGACCAGATAGGTGAATAGAGAGATGGTCAAGAGTCAGGGACCAGATCAAGAGTCAGACCGCAGCGAGGCTAGCGTGTACAACACATCAGTCCAAGGCATCAGGAGATGGCCGTCTGACAGCATCGCATCGCGGGCGCATGCTCTGTGCCACGCAGGGTGATTGGAAAGAGAAGCCAGAAGACGACCGAAGCATCGAAGACGCATCGAATGATGGAAGCGGCTGAGCTGAGCTGACTAGGCTGGTGTTCCATGCGCATATGCCTCAGGCAGGACTCTGCATTCCCGCGCACATTTTTCAGCTGCCTCAATCGCACACTGCTGCAGTGCAGTCAGTGCAGGACAAGGCGATGCTCGGTACTCCGTAAGTCTGTCCTACGATGCGATTCGGACTACCAGTGAGTGTATATCTTGGATCGAATCGAAATGAGTTGTGACTTGTACATCGTAGTGCTACAGGCCCTATGGACCAGAGTCTCCGCAGTCCTCGAACGGGAATTGACAAACCACCCCGTGCTAAAAAGCCAGTGGGCAGGAAATTACATCCCAACCCCGGTTTGAGAGGCGCAACGTTCCATCCGGTTGGGAACTACCTACTGAGCTCATTATTAATTACAAAGGAATTGCGATTTCAACACCCTGGTCAGTGATGATGTCAAGAGTAGTGAATACAAAAATTACTGGTCTACAAAGGAGCGTTATCTTACCCGTTTTGCATTCCATTGCCTTTGTCAGTTGATTCCCCTGAAGATCAACTGCAATTGCCTAAGGTCACCTTTTCTTTTTTTTCCTTTTTTTTTCCCCGTCCTTGAGTAAATGATGAATAGATTGTCAGCTCTTGAGTCATCAAACCCGAGGAAGACTGAAAAACAAAAGAGAAATGAAGTGCTCCTACTCCTAGGTTACGAACCACTTGACTCGAGGGTTTGATGGAGCATCGTGGAATGTGGATTATTATTAAGGGTCATAAAATACCAACAAGGCGGGCAAGACTCATGAGTCTGACTGTACTTACAGAACGGTCATCAATACCGTAAGTCAGGTACGGAGGCTTATGGCGTACTGGAAATACCATCCTAGATCTTGTAATACACGCTAATGCATCTGATGCGGTAACCATGATGGCGGGAAACGATAGACTAAGGTACCTACTATCTAGTCTATCTAACTGTAGTCTCCTTTTTAGTTTTATAATTCTCTTTCTTGTGACCGATAGACTAATGAGCAACTCATGTTTCTTATCCAATTTCCCCCTTTCCACCCTCCCTTTTTCTACTCTATGGGTGCATGAAATAAATACATACCACAACGGAGCACCTCGCTGTATGATTGTCTGGAAACTCGAACAGCGGGGTTCCCTTGTGTCGCGCTGTTTGTCCATGATGTCATAATGTCCTCAACCCTGATCTGAAAGCGTTTCTGGTAGTATTGATTCATAGATTAAGCTACACCACCAAAGACTGGGCGGGTTAAACTGCCACAGCTGCAATAATTGTCATTGTGCAGGTATGCAAAAGTTCTTAGTCTTTTTGCATGTCATTCCCTCCTCTGTTGGTGGGGCTGAAATTAACAGTAGTCGTAGTTAGTCTCTACTTGCCAGGAGATATGGTTTGTGGGGGATGAAATGAGAAAACAAGGAACTTGGAACAGCGACAGGACCCAGGGGTATCTACTGGGGCCAGCAAAAATAATTGATTGATATTGTTGAACCAGTTATCTAGGTCAAATTGCTCTCGCTAGTCTATTAGTCTGTCAAATAGTTATCACTGCTAGAGGAAGGAAAGTCAGAGTGGGGGGGTTGACGGTGTCCAATGGACTATGGAGACGGAGTATTATTGAATATTATTGAGACTTGAAAAGCACTGAAAGTTAAAAAGCGTGATCGTAGCAAGGAATTCACGGATGCAAGATCCTGGGCAAAAACAGGAGAGAACAATGGACGGAATCATGGAAGGCTTGGAAGCTGTCACCTACTACTACTAAGTCTACTAGGTAGTACCAGGTAAGGTAAGTGTGGGGCAGCTACCGTTTGGGAAAGG